GGCCTCCTGGATAAAAGACGGAAGATTTTGAGTATGATTGAGTACAAAGGAAAGACGAGGCTGGATGGAAGTTTTGTCAAGTAGGTGCCGGGATGGATAGTCATGTGAGAGAGAGAGAGCAGTTGACAGCAAACTCGCTGTCCACGAGTACATGTAGTTCCATTCCAGACAGACAGATAGGCAGACAGACATCCGTTAGAGACACTCAGCAGCTAGCAGCAGGGCAGATGCACCATGACTGCATGTTCGACTGCGCTACCACATGTAGGCACAGGGAGATCTGTTAAACTCAGACAGCAGCCAACGTCATCTTTCTGCACTTCCCCTTCTTCTTCCCCTTCTTTTTTTCTTTCCTTCTTTCTCTCCTCTTCCTCTTTCCATTCCACCCCCCCTTTCCGTTCCAGTGATCGCCGACCAAGCCATACCAAAGCATGCAAGGGCCACACAACACACCCACATACTGAATCATGAAAACTCACTCACCCGCCCTGCAGTTCTTGGCACGCACCCCCGTGCTCTGATAGGCTCTCCACAGCACAGCCAATGGAAGCGAAGCAGTGCTGCACTGCAACTGCGCCGTCTATATACAACACCCCATCAACACCACCACAAACATCTACACTTCGGACATGACGTTTCACCCCCAGCTAGAGTACGTCTCTACCACAACGACGGACCTCTATTTTGGGCGTGGTGGTACGTACGTACGTCGAAACCGATCAATCAGCTCATGGCTCGGCGGCGCGTATGAGATTGCGACAGTTCGGCGTTGGGACCGTATGTCGGTCCAGACAGGTAGATCACAGCATAGCCCGCCCCGGACCCGGGGCTCGTATCAGAATGGGACCTTAGAGGGCCAAGGCTCCGGGTGTGGGATTGCAGCATTCAATAGGCTTTGTCGCTATCGTAGCAAAATATTGGGATTACCGGCCGCCTGGGCCGGAGGGGCTTTGCAGATCGGGTAGGTGGAGCTATCCGTACCTGCGGGGGAAGGCTCCGGTTCCACCCGCTGCGGTCGAGCGGTCATAATGCGCCCGGTCGGGTAGGCCTGGATGTCGAGTCTGAGGGTATCCGGCTCGTTTGCAGTAGTAATAGGAAGAGTGAAACAGAGAGAAGATATCACTAATCCGGCGGGCTGCCGCTCAAGATCGCACTGCACAATGCTTTTTCAGCGTGCTGACGACAACTACCTAGATGTATATAGTTGATCCACGGCTCCAAGACCCGTCTCTTCCTTTTGGATAAAGGTAAAGAAGGAGTTCCTGTTTTGAACCTAGAGCCGACAGGAATTGTTTATATAGGGTAGGATTTATCTACTACAATATATGAATGTTTTAATAACTATGGCCCTCATTGGCCATAATGGCGGAAACCAACCCTCTTCCTAACATTGAAGGTTATCTAGACATCAAGTGAGGGGGAGCCAAACCTACTTCCGAGTTGTAAAGTGGCAGGTTCATGGTATCTGTACATAACCTACCCCCATAGTCAAGGTAGTCTCCCCTTTTTGAGAGACTCGAGCGAGACCATAATCTCCTAGCTAGCTGCAAGTTCTCGATATAAACATCTCGGTCTCCCCAATTGCTTATTATATTAGTACTTGACCGCATCGCCGCCCCCAGAGACAGAAATAAATTCCCGATATACGTTACTTAGCTAATGGTTAGCACCACAGGAGATAAAACTCGGATCTCAATTGACGCATTATCATTTTTTCTTTTTACCTTTAAGCCTCGTCTAGTATTTGAACCTTACCTCGTAGGTATACACAGAGTGTATTACTCCCGGCAATATTAGACTACCTCATATCTATCTAAATAGTAATGGTGGTGATATTAGAGATAGCCACATCACCTACACTTCCGAAGACTGATCGGTACCACAGTGAATTTACATCATGATATATCACTCGCACCATAAGACCGTCCGGCTCCTATCATTGATACACCGCCCCTATTACGCTTGATGATAACACCCCCGGTTTTAGAATAGCGCGGTATTGTATCTCTCGATGCCACTATCCCTCCGTTGTCCCAAGGTGAGCTGGTTAATGTATTAATAACAAGTTAATATCCCAAGGCAGGCTATCAACATGATTCGCTGAAGTGATACCCATGATCCAAAAAAAAGCTCAATTCAAACCTTCCCCATAGTCCACCACACAGTCGTCTATAACCTATAGGTAACGCCTCTACTTTTCCAAGGATTGGGAAGCGTAATCGTTCCCCTCTATCTATTTCTAGGATTTAATTTAAACAGCAATAGTCACGAATGTAGTATAAGATATATACTCATGCCCACCCACGCCCACACCGGCCCAACCAGGCGCACATGGCACCAGAGCCTGCTGTGGTGCGTGTCGGGAAGATCTGGCCCCACAACAAAAGAAGTAATGACCCCTCCCGAGTCTCTCAAACAGCAGAAAAGCAAGGGAAGGGGGAGAGGGGGAAGGGGGGAGGGGGGGGGGTATTTATTGACGGGGTGCTGCGGCTGATGAGCAGCAGCAAGCTGTATCCCACACAGTGGCGTGAAATCTACCAAAAACAAAGCTCTTGGAACTAGAAAAAAGGTCCTACTAGGGCAGGCAATGTAGGGGTAGTTAGAGCGAGAGGGAGAGAAATGCCAAAATTACACGCAAGATTTGCACCAGGAAAAAAAAAAAAGCCAAAGTAATGCACTGTAGGAAACGATTTAAACGAACTAAAACGAAGATTGATAATATCATGAGCCATCATGTCGATTGATCAAGCTCAAAGAAGAGGTTGCCCTAAAGAAATAGTAACAGTGATCTCATCCGTGGCAATAGCAAAACTTTTTTCGTTCCTTCCTTATCCTCCCGTACTAACTAGTTGGTAAGTTATAAAGGAGTAGGATTGTAAGAGGATTGATATGCCGAAATAATATTTCGTTGATATCAATCAGGAGACACATAAAAAAGAAAAATTTGAAACTACAGAAAGGTCCCCCAACCAAACAGGTAAAGAAAATGATATAATAACAGAAAATGGGGTATGCAGACCATGTACGAGGTATACTCCTCTACCCTGTTACATAAACGTGATCATGAGAGATACTATGATGTAAGAAGAGTGAAAGAATGGGAAGGATGGACACACCGCCAAGTAAGCACGCATATTCCATGCGTACGCTAGGTAGGCACACAAGATAAGAGAGGATATAAAAAATAGAGCCGTAAACTAAAAGGAAACAGTGATGTGCAGCCAGATAAGCGGTGAATAGATCGGGATCTGTTCGCCAAGCTTTTGGAAAATGGTAAAAAAAAAAGTCCTAGTAGGGCGATGCTGTAACGGAATACTGTGTTCGACATCAGGATATCAACGCTCGCTGCCTTATCACCGCAAAACAAACATCAAAAGTAGGAAACAAAAGAAGGGAGGGAACTGTTACCCATGGATATTAATTAACCCCACTCACACCTCCGCCACCCCTCCCACCACCTGCACCCTTACGTCGTTCCTTCTTCTTAACAATTCGTCCTCCTCTTGGCCGTTTTGGCTTCGTAGGTCCAACTTGAACTCTGGGTTGTTGTGGCTGCTGGTTTTGAACAGGCCCCGGAGGCTTCCCGTCCGCAACAACCTTATTCACCTCACTGGTTGCATTGGGGGTTGCTTCAACTGGTTCAACACCAGAGCTCATACCTACATTCTGCTGACTGTCGTTTGGTCCAAAACCATACATCCACCCTGCATTCGCATAATCCATGTGCCCAGGAACCCAATGCATTGCCTGTGGGACTGGTAAACCCCCACCCATGAACGCGGGGCCCTGGCCTTCATCGTGCTGCGAGAATACGGGTGACGGCTGAGCCGAATGTTGGTATTGCGCTTGTCCTGGGTACCATGGCTGCGCATTAGGATCTCGTATATTGGTATTTGGAATCATGGGGAACTGTTCAGCCCAGGGTGTCTGTGGATGACCTGGTGCCATGGGATACCCAGGTCCCCAGCTCATATTGGGACCGCCTTCTGAAGACTCCGGATAACCCTCATTGCCATATCCCCACCCTTCACCTTCGCCTTCACCTTCTTCTTCACCCTCCACCTCACCTTCCTCGCCATTTTGCTCATCCCATGGCTGCTCCATTCCTGTAGAGAAATCGCTACGGGAATTACGGTGCTGGTGCCGAGAGTTCCAGACATTCCCCCGATCCTCGAGCCGGAGCTGCGAAAGGCCATGATCATCCGCATCGACAGGGTTGTTAGCTCTTACGAGAGTACATTCAACCGCTTTTCTTCCCCGCGTCCAGACATCTTCCAGGGTAGCGCTGATACCCGTCCATTGAGGTTCTGCTACTATCGCTGCCTTATAAGAGCCCCCAGGCATGTAATCAATTGCATCGCCTCTCAGACTGGAGGCCGCTCCTTTCAGACTAGACCCAGCAGACCGTGTATCCCAACCATCCTCCTTCTTGACAATTGCCTCCTTTATTATACCAGCCCTTCCTGTCTCATCGCCATCACGGTAAAATCTCTGCCCATCCTCCCCTAGCATTTTTTCATCATTTTCTTTTTCAGCTGTTGGCTTCGGGTTCGTCCCCGGGAAGTAAAGATGATCGCCGTCCCTTGCCGCACCGAACAAACCTAATATAGTAGATATTGGAGTACTTAACGGTAGCTTCTCGGTCCTCAATACAATACTTTCACTTGGGTTCGTCGGGAGCGGAACTGTTATACGAAGTTTAAACCCTTCTCGTGGCGGCGGTCTTTTGGGTAGAAACGGGGGAAGAGCATTTGATTTCGAATTGACAGAAAGAGGAGGATGCGGTTGGGTCCCACCACCGTCTTCATCTGATGATATCTCGATTGGTGAATATGAGCGGTTGATTACACGTGTAGGGCCAGGATCCTGTGTCGGAGGGTTTTTATGAATATTGACTGCAGATGAATTCTGTTTAAGATTATTACTCCTTTCGAGTAGCTTCCGCCGTAACTCGGCTTGACGGGACTTGATAAACTCGGTACCCGAAAGCGGTTCTGGGGCTACATCACCATTCTTTGCAGCTGTCGAGGCAGCAATTGTATGGGGGGAGGTGGCGGTGGTAATTCAATTTGTGCAGGGGGCTGAGGATTTGCAATTGGGCCAACAGTTGGAGGAGGGGTGACCCTTTGCCGCTTCCCTTTTCCATCAACAATGGCAGTCTGTCCCTCAACCAGCGGCGAGGATTTTCGTTTCCGAACCCCACTCTCTAAGAGTTTACGTCTTAACTCGGCTTCTAGTGCGGCAGGTGTCTTAGAAGACTTGACCTCATCCTCTTTGATTTGGGGGGATATCGGTGCAGGGGAAACAGGCAAGGCTTCTCCTCCAATTGGTGATTGTACCGGTACGGGGGCTGGGGACTGTGGATGAGAAATACGAGGTAGACGTGGAGGAGGGGGAGGAGGAGGTCTTTCAATTTGTCTTGAAAGCTTCTCGCGCAACTCAGCAGCACTAGTTGAAGGCTTTGGTGGGGGTTTGAGTTTTGGCGAGAGTGTAGCCGTTGAACCACCGCTACTACTACTGCTACTACTTGTGTTGCGTCTTGGTTCTAGTTGTTGTTTCGGTACTGGCTCGTGTTTCTTTATTTCCGGCTTTTGATGTGGCTCGGGTTGGTGGTGCTGTTGAGTCTCCGACGTGGTTTTCTGTTCTCGCTGTTGTGATTTCCGACCGCAGTCTTGCGGTAGTGATGTATGAGGCTCGTCCGAAGGCAAGCCTATCGACGCCAGTAATTTGTCGTAGAAGGAATCCGCGTCTGTCATCGCTTCTATTGTGCCTTCCTCCAAAGATATCCCACTATTGTTCCAGAAAACTGCAGCACCAGCAGCTCAGTCTTCCTCTAGCCCTAGGCAAAGAAGCCACTAATATTGCATTTACTTCTGTTGATACACGGAAGGAATGTTTATTGTCAGCGAAGCCCTGCCAAACGTTTGAGCTATCACAAAACAGAATGGATGGGAAAAGAGGAGGAGATAAAGATAAAAGAGCCCGAGAAAGAGAGATGGAAAGGGTCTCTTTCAACGCTGCGAGAGGATAGGTTTTGTGAACCGTTTGGGATCAACGCACCCCAACGGATCAGATAGTAAGCGAAACAAAAAAATCTGTGGTATGTGGGCGACCAGGGAAGCAGAGACCAGGCAGAATGTAGATGGTGAAATAAGGTAGTGTGGTGAGTAAGGCCAGGACAGAGCAGGAAAGAAAGAGACGATATTCACTAAGATCCTGTCGAGGGAAGGCGCATTAATTTGGACACCAAGTGGCTTGTTCGTGCGTTGCAGTGGGGTTCCTTTGTGGCAGTGCAATACATGGTGCTTCTACTAGTAGTAGTAGATTACATGTAGTCGACCTCGAATACGCGGAGATAGTACATGTACTTACCCCTCCTTTTTACGATTTACAATATATCCACTTGCTATTCTTTACATAACCCGAAGTTAATAGTTACAGGCGCTAGCATTCAAACATATCTTCCTCCAGCATTTTCAGGCCTAGCAAAATGGGGCTCCTATCACTTCCTCCTGAACTTTTTATCCAAATCTGCTCTTACATCCCTCTCCCTTCAGCATATTCTCTACTCCTCGTGAACAAGCATTTGTTCCACTTGTTATACGGACATATCACGCACTCGTCATTTGCTCCATGGCGGAAACATTATTTCAGGTATCAGCGTATCTACACGCGTGTTTGCAGAGAAGCAGATAAATACATAGCACAAAAGCAAGATATGATGCGCAATAGAGACCAAGCTACAGCCGCTCTTAATGGGCAGGAGCAAATCGGATTTTCGATAGAGCTGGAACTTGAAGCTATTAGTCGGGAAATGGCGGGGCACCTTGGCCTGCTTCCAAAGCATAAAGAGATCTCAGCTAGCAGCAGCAGCAGCAACAGTAGTATCGACCCTGGTGCAATCTCGCTACCTCAAATTACCATCAATAGCTTGTTCACTGCACTTCAACATGTTTCCAACCTAGAGACCGGATTCCAAAGACTGCAACCTCTGGAATGCCCGCTTTCTAGTATTATCGAGATCCTGCACAGAAAATACCCCCATATAGAATTTGTCCAAAAGCTCTGTCCTGTTGCTCTCATACCAAAATCATCAACATTTACCATGCCACTTGAGACAGCAGCAACATATCGAGTCTTCACAGCCTATCTCTTATTCACCTCTCTCACACCTCATGATATTCTTGAGATACTGTCGGATGCATTGCTAGCCAGTGAAAAAAGCACCTACTCCATGGACTCTATTAGATGTTCCCAGGAAGCTGCATTAGTGGAATATTTCCATTTTCTACTTTTATTTCTCTCCATGTATAATTTTGATTATAGAATTCGCCACCTTGAGACTTTACCCCTACTAGACAAGAATATCAGCTTCCACGCGCAGCGAATTCTCAGCTGGAGGTTGACTACATGGATCCAGGGATACTTTCGCCCAGAAAGACCTCTATTTCCGCCCCCATTGAAAATGGAGAGCGATGGTATACCCCAAACAGAGCTGCCGATAGGCATTCTGTCGGGGAGGGAATCAATGAATACTACTCCTTCCTCCCCATTTCTGGAAATGGGTTCGGTGCCTAGCGGGGCATCGTCTTGGCCGACCTTGAGATCGCCTCAAACATATCCAGCTGTCGCTCAACAGCAGCAGCAAAATCCAGCATACTTCTTGACGCAAGAACAGCAGAAGGTTGTAGACACAGATGTTAGCGTGGGTGAACTCATGCATGTTATAGCGTATGGTGGGACAGGAAAGACCATATGTTTGGCGGAGTATGCAAAAAAAAGGTACGGCCTCTACGCACATATCGCCCAGTTTTCAAATTGATATTTTGAAGGCCTCATAAACGTTTCCTGTATATTACTTCCAGTAGCGTCGCCGCGTCAAGTGCGGAAAAGAGGTTCCCCGGTAATATTGCATGTGAGTTTCGTTTCCTGGGGCATGCTATTGAACTGTGGCCACTTACTCCGTAAAATCCATAGGTAAACCCATGTATTCCGTCGCGTATGACGCTATAGTAGCGGGTGCCTCTAAGACTAAGGGCTCCCTTCCCGATAGCGGAAAGCCTCTCAAAGAGCGACGCCATGATTATGAACTCGAGGAAGTAATTGGTGTATTGGGCCTGGACGAAGAAAAAATCGGATCAGCACTTATAAACCCACAAATGCATTTGCAGCCAGGCGCGAGTCGTGGCCGTGAACAAACAGAAATGAAAATATTTCCTAGCGTTAAAGAAGTTGCGTTGATGGTTCAGAGAGTGTTGGTGAAGTACTGGGAATCCAAGGATGTTGAGATTGGATTGACTAGTCGTTTTGTGGAAATAGACAATATGGGGCTAAATAGAGATATTATAGTAGAATGGGCGAGGCAACTCTGGAATGAGATGCTTAATACAAAGTATCTGCTCCATGACGCATATACTAAGATTCTACAACTCAAAGGAGGACTGCCAGATGGATCAACTATAGGGCAGGGAGATGTCGATACGTTGGCTTTCGGAGAATACGATATCATCATATGGGATAGGGCACAGGTACATTCCCTAACTTTATTTCATTAGTATAGTATGGAATCAAATGAACTGATATTGGGGTATCAGTACTTGAGTGGTAGCGTGATAGAGATTTTTCTTCGACAGCGCTTGCGGGCAGGCTTAATCATATTAGGTGACCCTTATCAAAGGATTCACGGCCCCGAAAGGAAGAAAGATGAGGCTTCAGATATCAAAACCTATAAGCCGACGTATTCTTACTATCTCACGCACTCCTTTCGTTTTGGGGATGCGATTGCAGGAGTTGCCAATGTACTCTTAGGATACTTAGGGGAGGATACTGCTATCAACGGTGTTAGAAAGCATGATAGTGTGGGTGTGAGCTACTCACATATAAGCGGGAAAAGTTTGGCTCAAAAATCAATTATACTCAAGCCTGGTCCTACGGAAAATGGAGGAAGTGGGAAATACACTGTAATATTCAGACGGGATGCTGGTAGGTTCATAATCCTCTCTATTTAAAGCTCCCGGCTTCTTTGCTTACCTTTGTAAATTATAAAGATCTGATTGACTATGTCATTGAATACTGTATGCTCCACTCGAATTCTGGGCATCGGATTAGTCTCGGCACGAACTGTGGCTTTAACGGGAGCAGTCTTCTCACTCTTCTCAGAGATGCATATACTATCTATACCGGGGGGGCCGTTACACATGGCGTCCTCGCAGAATACAAAACGTGGAAAGCTCTCGGAGAAGCTGTCAATTTACCTCATAGTGGCCCTGCCCTCGTCAAAGAATCCAAGCTTCAAACTAGATTTCGATCGACAGATTTCCTCAGCACTCTTGAGCTTTGTGAGAAGATGGTCCTTGACGATTCCTATAAGGAAACAGAGGCAGATGTTATATTTATCACTGTTCATAAAGCAAAGGGTCTTACATGGGACCGTGTTTTCGTTCCGGACAGTGTCCTTCGGTACCGTTTTAATCTTTCGGCGGAGAACCTCAACAAGAATCAGAGACACTGGTTTTCGAGGGATAAAATGTCACTATTCTATGTAGCAGTGACAAGGGCAAAGAAAGAGCTCATTATAGGGAAAGGGATTGCGAGCTGGTTGGTAGCAAAGATGGGACTCTATCGGTTCTATCTTAGCCCAATACAAGGGAAGGGTGCTTGCCCTTCATGTTTGGATAGGATAGAACAGGGTGGTGTTCATGGGGAGGCTAGACCCAAACGCGAGGGTGTGGTCATTGGCTGGGAGTATCTACTCCCACAAAAAAGCTTCGGGGTTACTGCCGACAGTTATGGGAACTCACTCCCACAGAGCCCCAAGAAAGATGCGGTTGCTTGCGATATCTGTGCAAAAAGTTGGAATCGTATGGCGAGGGCAGCGCATATGGAGCTGAAAAAATTCGCGAATCCAATCACGAGAGCACTCGATGGGCCTGATAGTGCTATGAATCAAATTATCCTCCCGAACATACGATGGCGGCCACCGCGCGCACAGGTGGGGCGCCCAAATTCGAGGCTGTTCAAAACTATGTACAAGATGCAGACCGAAATGGTACAAGATTGCGATGAGACTCCGTACATGCATGTCATGCCTACGCGTACACGCCGACTATAATAAACATAATTACATACAAGTATCTGTAAGTAGTATATGCTTGGTTATTTACATGTATTACTCAAGTATTTGGCTGTTTGAAAATTGAAACTTGCCGGTGTATTCCTGATGTTATTACAATTAAGATTGAAGTATGCCAATTATGAAAAAATAAGTACATGTACATGTACATCTTCTACATGTACACAATTATTTGTACAGTCGCAATTACTTATTTGGATATGTATTCCAAGAAATACAGATTATTTGACTTGACGATAGATAATATATGTAATGCAGTTAAACACATTAATAGTCCGTGGCCATAGCCAGGAATAAATTCATCCCATGGGGGCGCATCATCATAGCACCACTACATGTAGTATCATATACTAGAAGATGAATAAACACTCACTTCCAAAGCCCCAACAATCCAGAAGTATCCTTCCCCTGCACCGGATCATCTTCGGGTACCTTTTTCTCCACCAAATCCCCTCCGGGGTGTTCACCGCCATAGTTCATATCCCACTTCTTCGCTCCATCCGGGTAAGCTCCTACCATAGTGAAACCGTCTTTTTCACTAATACATCTATGCGCCACGCCAGCAGGAATGATAATCACATCGCCCGCTTTCACGTCCTCCTCCACACCCTCACTAGCATTTTCCTTATCGGAAACGCCGAATCGTAGCCTCGCACTTCCAGAAAACACGCCGAGAGCCTCATGCGTGGTCGAGTGATAATGGGATTGGTGAAACATGGAGTAACGCCATTGTGGGATCCAATTATTTGACCTAAAATGGGCTTCAATTGCTTCTGTAGTGGTTTCAGGCGGAAAGGCAGAACGGTAGAGAAGGAGCGGAAAGGCCGAGTTGGGGATGAGAGATGTTGGGGATAGATTGATCGTGTGTGGTTTTGGGAAAGGCATGTTGAGTTGTAGGAAGTACGCTAGGCATCTATCCTTGAAGAATTGGATTGCACTTTGTGAATGGATTGCTAGCTGCTTAAATAATAGTAGGGGGTTAATAAGTGACGTCATACTTCTCTTTATGGCAATACCTAGGTCGATTATCGTCCGGCCACTCTACCTGAGTCTCAGGACCACACAAATAGGTCGACTTCTTGACCTACTCGTTTGGCATCTACTGCGACAATCGAATCATACATGGAGCAGGCGCTAGCAGGTGGTACCACTAACGTACTTCACATGCAAAATTAATAAAATCACTCGAATACCAAAACGCATTAAGAAATCTGCATGTTTCAGTTGGGTTGGATGGATCACCAATGCAAGTAATTTACCAGGTACTCATAAACGAGTGCTATTTACTTCCCCCGTGACTGAATTTGTACATGGCACGAGATGATCTACTATGGTCCTTATGTACTATAAATCAAATTAGGTGTTTAGATCTAGATCTTAGTCGGCTTTATAGCGCCATACAAATTTAATTCCGACGACCGCCAACTTAAGACCTGGTCCACACACTACAACCTGTTGTTACAATGATTGAGAAAGCCATGTATGTACAAGGCTCTGGCATTTAGTTAGTGGACGGATCCCCACCTATCAATACCCCCATGTAGTTCGCTCACTTAATGCTAGGGCCTTGTATATACACCTCTATAGTATAGTACTGTAGTGTTACTGAAACCGAGATGCTACTAGATCACATATGACCACTCGATCGAGTCTCTGGGAAGAGAGATTAGCGATTAGTACCAGTGGCTACGGTTGTCTACTATATCGGGGCACTTTAAATGGGTAATTTGAGAGCACTGTAGAGAGTATCGGCCTATAACTACGGTGAAACTTGATTCGCACGCCGAACTAGTCAATTATACAGCTAAATAAGGTCGAGAGGTTTTATTTTGATATCATGCCATGGAAGGGAAATGCCGAAGGCAAAGTGTCTAGCTAAACGTCTTAGGCGAATGAAGATAATATCTCGAGAATTAGCAAAGTTAAAACTGGCGTACATTTATCACATCAAGAAAAAGTTTAATAAAAGAAAGACATCAACTCCTGTTCCCCCAATCCCAGCAACCCTTTCTAAAATCGCAAAGTAATCCGTCTCAATCGTCTACCGGTACCCTCAGCATACATATATGGGGATAAAAATAGTATGCCAACATCAACTACAAGTGGCCTTTTGTTCCCAACGCTTCATAGCTGCTCAGAATCTCGCTATTCTCATGCGTATCCTCTTCAAACCCAGTGACTTCCGCAACAGCTTTTGCCAGTCCCTTTTCCTTAATGAGAGCTTTCAAATCCTCGCTCTGCGAGTCATCCGAGTTCTCGTACCGCAAAGCTGCGGCAATCCCCTTGATTAGGTTGTCGTACTTCAATCCGTACTCCTCCGCCATCTTTACCGGTCCAATGAGACGGTCATCGGGAGCAAGTTTCCGCATAGGCTCACGCCCAACACGAACGACATCATCGTGGATGTATGGGTTGTGGAATCGGCTTTGGATCTTATCGATATACTTTTCGTGCTCCTTCGGGTCAAAGCCATGCTTTTTGCAAAGCGCAACCCCAGATTCGAGCATAGCTCCTCTCACAATCTCTTCGATCCTCTTATCACCTAGAGCTTCATCAACGGTCGAATAGCCCTTCAAGAAGCCTAGGTATGCACATATCGCATGGCCGGTGTTGAGGGTGAATAGCTTGCGTTGGACAAAAGCGATAAGGTTATCAGTCAACTGCATCCCTGGGATATTGAGCTTAGGACCCTTGAGGGCGGTCTCGTCGACAATCCATTCGTGGAAATTCTCGACGCCGACTGCGAGGATGCCCTCGCTTTCTTCGCTAAATGGTGGGACGATGCGGTCTACGGCGCAGTTTGGAAATCCAATCTTTTCCGCAACGTATTTCTTATCTTCTTCTGAAGTAAGGTGCTTCAGGACTTCATCGTGGAGTAGAGAAGATGCGCCGGTACGGTTCTCGCAGGCAATTATGTTGAGCTCAGAAGTTACACCAGCAGCGCGGCGTGCTTTCAACCCCGTTGCGATGTTGATTGCGACCTTTGGTAGCACGTTGGGACCAACGGCGGTGGTAATGATCGAGGCTTCGGTGATAATCTTTTTGACATCTGCTTCGTTCGTTGTGAGGATTCCAGAAACATGGTCGACTGTATCTGTCTTTCCTTTGTGCTCCTGGTCGAGTATGTGGATTTTGTAGGAATGGTCCTTATTTAGGGCGGTGATGAGAGGTTCGGCGACATCGGCAAAGGTGACTTCGTAACCTGCGTTTGCGAGAAGATCACCAATGAAGCCACGGCCAATATTGCCTGCACCGAAGTGAAGGGCTTTCTTTCCCGCGTTTGGAGACATTGAGAAGATGGAGGAGAAAAGGTGTTTCAAATGCTTTAGAAACTTCATTGTAAGTACTCGTGCTTGTCGATACATATTTGTGTTTGAGGGTTTTACTTAGATCTGTAGAATCCGTGAGAGTAACTGACCAGGTTTTATATAATGTTACCAAGTCTCGCAAACTGATAAAGCCCAATATTATAAATCTCCGTAATAACAAAGATCTGGGAAATCCGTTGTCAGTGAGATGTTTTTTACGCCCAATAAGCAAACAAGCCACTAAGCTTGATATCTAATTAAAATATCGCCGCACGCAGGAGGGCTTAGAAGAAGGAGAGAGAGCGGTGTTTTTACCGATGAGTTTAATCTTTTAATTGGCCGAACACGAACTTCTCAACGCAGTTGTCGAACGACTTTTATCTTCCAAGTCAATCGAACCAGCGATGGCGGGTGTAGGTAGGCTGTCAGAGATAGCTAAGTCAAAGATCTTTTTCACTTAATCGGGTCAAGGTGGAAGTTTGGGGTATGGTCAGAGAAGATAAATAAAAGGTTGTCAAGGGACCGAGAGGCCCTTAATTAACCACGAGGCCATGAGCTGATTTTCCCTTATCCCCCTCCTGCGCTCGCGCAGGTACGTTGGGGTTACGTCAAGAAGACCGAATCGTTTTTTTTTACCGCAACGTCATTCTCGCTGCAATTCGCGCCGGCAAGCCGTAAGCTGGAAAAGCAGGGCTTTTTTTTTTTTTTTTTTGCGCAGATTAGACAATAACTTTATGAAATTCAGAATTGTGATATCGGGTGAAAGATTCCAGACAGGTAAAACGGAGCTCTTGTACTCTACTCTGTACAGTTGTGTACCTTGGCACTAGTTTATAACTACACCTAGCCCTGCATCGGCGGCTCAAGTTTGAAATCCAGCACCACGCCAGGACAGTGTTCGCCAGTGAATTGATCACTCACCGCCCTTTTTATTTTGCTCTCTCTTAATTCTCGAGTGAAAATTATTTTTTATGTGCCCCATCCGGCTGCATCTCCCAGCTACCAGAATTAATAGATCATGATTCATGGTTTGAAGCGACTTGAATTATGAGGCCCAGGTTCCAGGCAAGCTAGCCCGCGCAGCGCATCGTTGATCACGAACCCCAGTCCAGGGTCGTGTTGATCTGTTACAAGGGTGATGACGACGTCAGTCAGCTACTTACTTTGACGAGTGGAGTGCAAGGAAATCTTAGATGAACACATTTGAGACTTCGTAAAGACAGACACAGATCCGCTAGTATACCGTCATCGTTACCTGTTTATGTACCCATGAGCATCGCGGGTAGATGATAATTGACAGGACTAAAAGTAGAACCGGCCCGTAAAGATGCCAGGGGAACGGGATGCAGCGGCTACTTTTCACTTCCATGACAACCAAAATGCAGCCTTCCCAATCATTACCCCGCAAGCGTCACTATTTATTAGTAAGTCATTTTGACACCTCGTCAAGGTGTTACCTTCGGCCTTTCCCAATACAAATCACAAGATAAGACTTTATCACTATTAATTTAACCAAGAGAGTACCAGTGAACAGGTTTTTATAGGATTCAACGCTTGCATCTCAGCACTAGATACGTAGGTTTTCAATTACTGGCCATATTAATATAGTAGCCCAGTATGCGGCAGCCAGGCTACCAGTACGTAGACTGCGTATTATTTGGCATCAAGTGGCTGGGCATGAGGCGGCTATTGGTTTACATATCCTTCTTTGAATTTGTCGTCACTAGCTAGTGTCCGAGTGAGGCAGGTGGTCTTATCGAAGGGGCGGGATACAAATCTATAAACCCAGCATTACTAACTTATGAGAGTGGAAGTGGTACATATTATGAAGGTATGGCTGGGGGGTGGGGAGATTGTAACTGAGATATATGTATCGGATGTGTTTTGGCACGGAGGTTGATCTTCCCGGCGCCGAAAGGTGAACAAGTGCTGCACCCGGATATAATAGTTCCAAACTTCGTACCCCCGGCGCTTTCGGATAATGCTCGTAGTACTGCTACTTGCGGCTAACTTACTTTTTACCCTTCGAAGATAGCGAGTGCACTTATAAGTACACGCAGTCTTAATTATAGAGCATATATATATACTGACTATAGGTTCTAGTATATAACGAGTCATGTGAAATCACTCGTTTAGCTGTTCGCATTTGCGGGGCTGTGCCAGGAGAGTAAGGCACTGCGGCATTTGCTTCTGGTATCGACATGTGTCGATATATAGTACACGTACCCAGGGGTGCCGGAAAGTGATGCAACGGTCAAATAGCCCATACTTCTCAACAACCAAACTAGCTAACAGAATGTGGAGCAAATCTATGGTAATTTAAAAGCTGGAGACCATAGTTATGGCGAGAGTTGATGTGGTTGACTGTTGCTTCTCCTTTTATTACTGTCTCTTGTCACAAGTTGTCCTTCCCCAGGCTAAAAACCCCAAACCAATGACCTGAAAAATTGCAGACTCTGTTCTAGAGACTCATTTATCATGGGTATGACTAAAATATCTATCCTGCCCAAGCATTGTGCTGTGTTAAAAGTTGAAGTTCTGAGTACATTTCGGCGTTGCTAGGTCAAGCGTTGCATCACTTTCCGGCACCCCCGGGTACATGCAGCTATTATGCGTAGCTAAGTCTCATACCCATCCACTACGAGAAGCTTTATAATATGTGTTGACTCGAACACACAGGTGTCACCACCCTAGGGTTCTCTACGTGCATGTGACAAACCACATGCACATGTCGTGTCCGCACAAAATCAACGCAAAGCCTTTGATAAGTATAACCCTTATCGGTTTTTTTTATGCGAAATGTTGTGACTTGTATTTGCTTATACATATATCTCTTCCGGGAGCATCGATTCCTGCTTATGCCTACTAACAAAGGGCGGGAAATTTGTGAGTGTACCGAGAATAGCGAGCTACCCGTATACTAAGAGATAGGCACAATATTGCAACATTTGGGATAACATCCTAGTTGGGTAATTAATTTTTGCAGTTAATCTGCTTTGGCGTAGGTAGTGCAGGTCGAGTGATATATCATGATGGAAGATTGGTTCGGTATGATTGGTTTTCATCACACTACATTTATCCCTGTTTATTTCTTTGATCTACATGCATAGTATCTGCCTATACCCGGCTGATACCCTTGGGAATGTGACTAAAAGACAAAGAAAAAGATGGCCGGACAAGCGGTTTGTAAAAAGCCGGAAGCTTTTGGGGTTGGGGATGGACTACACTTATGAAAGCAGAACGAACCGTTCAAAGCCTTGATGGCTCTGGGCAAATGTTTCCTTATACTTTCGTGGTGTGGGTGTGTATATATATGTCACAACAATGGCGAAGAAAGTACGCCGAACATGAGGCCTTCTGTCACTAGTTAAAGCTACATATAAGGAAGTGAAAAACACAGAAATCCCGAAAGATATGTATATAGACTAAAGTATCGAGAGCATCTAGATACTTAGTGTAGAGATGTCCATGTGTTCTGCACTCCGCTTATTTACCTTAAGATTAGTGCCAAGCATTGTAGCATCGTGATGAAGCTATGTATCTCTAAAACTTTCGCTTCTTCTTTGCAGGCGCCTTCTTTTTAGCTTCCAGCTCTTTCTCCAGCTCTCTTCGTTTTCTATCTGCCTTCTCGTCTTCATTCTCCTCCGGCGTTGGCTCTCTCGGTGCCGGAGGGGGCGGTGGTGGTGTCGGTGGTTTAGAAACCGTCTGCAATATACAAAATCAGGACATAGAACGACTTGGGCGTTCATTAAGATGTGGTGACATCAGTTGATCGGGCGAATATCAAAACTCTATTCCACGCCCACAACAAAGACAAAGACTAATCAGGAGATCTGATAAGATCTTTGATTTTCATTTGAGTTGCGATAAAGCTTGAATAGCATACAAGTTTTGGTAGTCGCCCGACTTTGTTGATTTCACGAAACCTTGATAAACACTCAACCAGGAAGAGAATATAACTCACCGATGGGCCCCCTCTATCGCTCTCGGTTTTAGTTTTACCAATTCTCCCAATTCTCCCAACTACCTTCTTGACCTCTTTGGGCGGCTCTACCTCCTCATCCTCCGTGTCATCCGGAACTACGACCGGCTTCTTTTTCCCGCCAATTACCATCTTCTGTTTCGGCTTTGCGACACTTGGGACTACGACTGTGTCTGAGTCTTCCGTTTCATCATCTGCAGCCGTAGCCGCTGCGACGGGAGTATAACGCATTGGCTCATCGACGCTTCTTCGGGATTTGGGAGGAGGACTGAGACTAGGCTTTTTAATGAATTTTCGTGGCGGAGGTAGGTCGAGGGTGTCGGAATCAGACTAAAGAAAGGATTTAGTAGAGAGACAATAATATTAAGGAGACAACTTACAGCAGTATCATCGGGTTCAGGTGCCACAGGTTTGGGTGGAGGGGAGGGCTTCTTTAGTGTAAAGGCGTGATAAGGCTTTGGTGGAGGTGTTTTTTGGACCTAAAAAATATTAATATCATCCTTAAAACTATTACATGGAATTATTTCTCGGCAAGTGGGGAGATATGTACCTCAAAATCATTATCCTCATCATCGGAGTCGTCAAACTTCATTCTTTTTGGCGGCGATAAGTCTCCACTGGTGCTTTCCCTCTTGGGGGAAGCTATTCTCCTTGGGGATATATCCCGCGTCAATGATCTTATTCCGTCGTCTGCCCGTCTCGGTCTTTCGCTCGACTCCCGCTTTTCAATCTTGGGCTTGTTTTCATCCTCTTCAATGGTTGTCCACCATCCTTCTACCATTCCCAGGCCCCTCACTCCCGGCGCTTCCCCGCATCGTACGCCCTCTCCGAATACCTCTTTGACTACCTCCCCTACCCGTTTCTCTCCTTCCTGAATATAGTCCTCTCTCCAGGCCTCCACCTCGAACCTTTCCAGGCCGCGTCTCCTCGCCCTGCCCCCACCCAACAAGTTCTTTACATCCAGACCCTGCTCGGCGACTTGGTCCGTAAGGCGCTCTATTATCTTATCTTTATCCTTTACCACTCTCACGAGACTTTCAACCTGGTCAGCAAGCGTCGACACGACACTCAACACCGGCAGGAGGAACAGATTTGTAAACTCTGCGTCTGGAAGTCTGGTAAGGGTAAACACCCATTTTAGCTCTTTGAGTGGCGGGGGAAGCTCTGTAGACGTGTGGATCTGGAGGCCGCCGGTGTAGGTGGAAGTAAGCGTGACGTCTGTGTGGGCGGAGGCTGTTGACAGGGCAGATTCTAGCTTTGTAAGGAGGATCGTGAGTTGCGAGGTTTCGGTGGGGTCTATGGAGGACTGGAATGTGTCTGCAAGAGCAAGGATGGCCGGTTTGGTGGCAGTTGTGCTCCAGATATGCACAAGATCTGTAAGGAGGATCGTGTAGGTAGAGGAGGTAAAGGTAGACTGCAGGAGGAGTGGTGGGGCCCCACGGATCGGAGTGGTGAGGGGGAGGGGGTGCCAGGGGGTTTTGCTGAGCGGAGGCATTTTCAACCGTCTTGAAGCAGGAAGAACAGTATCACAGGGGACTGTGGAAACAGTGACCTGGTGATACAGGCAAGAGTTGTGGGGAATTGTTTACACAGCTCGCATGGAGTTAAGGCCCCTGTAGCTAGGGCTCATCTAGAGCCGCAGCAGACGTCACAACCGCAAAATTCACTTCATAGATGATCATTCGGTCGTTTCAAATCTTCGGTCTCATAACGGACATCCATCTTGCACTTCAAATTCCAAAATCCAAAGGGAAAAATATCATTTCGCCTATGCCCTTGATACCAAATAATAAAAAAGAAAAACAGAAAAGACAACTCCGCGAAAAAAAGCTTTTGTATTCCCGCTTTTTTAAGACTTTTTTTACATTTCTCCCCCCCTCCACCGTACACAGAAGGGTACCTAAAGAAAAGAGGAGTCTTCACCAGCACCAAGATAGATGAGATGAGAAGAACGAAAAATATTTTTATTTTAATTGGTCCCCCATTGATCCCGATCCCTCTATTTCTTCTTGGCAGCGGCTTCCTTAAGGACCTGTATTCAGAGGATTTAGTTAGTGTTTCTGTTATTTTTCGCCGAATATCGATATTTGCGGGGGAAGCTCGGATGCTGACCTTCTTCACAATCTTCTGCTCCTCGATCAAGAACGCACGTACAACGCGGTCCTTGACACAGTTGGCGCAGCGAGAACCACCGTAGGCACGCTGAACGGTCTTCTGGGGCTTGGAGATTTGTGAGTACTCACGGGGGCGGAGAGCAGGAACCTGGTAGCAAGGGTTTTGTTAGTAATTATTGTGTCAATATCTCTATAGATATTGGCTTTTTCTCCTCCGCTTCGACTGGCTGTGGCTGGAGGTGGAACAGCTGGGGATCGGTGCCGCGATATCTCCAATATCCAGTCCATATCTTAACCTCCAACCATCATGATACGCCCTCTTTCTGCAATGTCCCAACTCAGCACAGCAAAACCCCATCCAACCTATCCTACCCGTTTCATTCATCCAACCAGCCAACCAATCCAGCAGTCGAGCCAATGTCGTATCCAAAACCGAAGGAATTCATAAACTCACTCCAGGAAGCTTGATGCCACAGTCACCACACTTGGGGGCAGTTCCCCTCTTCTTGATGTGGAGGTAACGAAGCTTTCCACCCGGGGTCTTGATGACGCGGACCTTGTTGGAGCGGGTGTTGTACCTGTGAGCGGCCGACCGTTAATATTACGCCCCAAAACCGGCGCCCCGGTTCCTAATGCGTCGAGCGAGAGCACTTACGGATTCCTCCGCCTCTATTGTCAAAAAGTCAGTAAAGTTTCAGTTTCCTCATCCGCCCCTCCGTTCGCGGAGGAAAAAAAAACTCACGTAAGTCAATCTAGAGCTGGCCATTGGAAGAAATGTAAACTACTCCTGGGGTGGGTGGATGGTTAGTTGAATTTTTCGTCGTTGGCGTCGAGGTTGGTCGGTGGGAGGAGATGTGAATTTTCGTGATAGTATCCAAGTAACCGCAGTGGGGGAACTTGCGTTGTGGGGCGCCACACAGAGCAAATCAGGGAATAGCAGTCACGTCAAGGGGCTGTAACCTGTGGCGCGCCAAAGCGTGGCTAGCCATTGATGACTAATGGCTCATCCCGGTCACTTTAGCCTCAAAGCTTGCCTCCTGCGCCACTTAAGTTAAAATCTCAAAACGGGTAATTTACTTCAATTTCCTCCAAATCCAGCAATCGTGACAGGCAGGCGCGACCTTCTGCTTCACATCGCGTTTTTCTCCCAGTCGCCACACCGAAGTGAACACCTCCCCTCAAAGGATCATCTACCAAACTAACTTCACCCGATACTTCAAACCAGCTTGACTCCAAATCTTAATTCCCAACTCCCTTCCTTCCCGCCATTGACTATGGCTTCTCTGCCACCACCTCCTCCCCCAGGCTGGCAAGGTGCCTCAGCTCCCGGCGCTCCTCTTCAACCTCCTCCGCCAGGCTACAGACCCCCAGCGGATCCACAGCAAGCAAAATTCGACCAGAAGAAGAAGGAATGGCTGCGGATACAGAAGAACCGATTCGGAGAGAAGAGGAAAAATGGTTTCGTTGATACTCACAAGGCGGATATGCCGCCAGAGCATCTTAGGAAGATCGTTAGAGACATTGGAGATGTTAGTCAGAAGAAGTTCTCGGCAGATAAAAGAGCTTATCTTGGAGCGTTGAAGTTTATGGTATGTCCATTTCCTTTCTGTTATGAGTGGCTCTCGAGATGGAGACTGACGCGATTGTTTGTAGCCTCACGCGGTCTTGAAGCTCCTTGAGAATATGCCTATGCCTTGGGAGAGTGCCAGGGAGGTTAAAGTGCTCTACCACGTCAATGGATGCTTAACACTTGTGAATGAGATTCCTCGTGTCATTGAGCCCGTTTTCCACGCGCAATGGGCGACAATGTGGGTATGCATGCGACGAGAAAAGTCCGACAGAAGGCATTTCAAGCGAATGAGGTTCCCGCCGTTCGATGATGAAGAGCCACCATTGTAAGTCTATATCTTCCTACCCCCAGTCTAACATGTTGACCTCGAATTGTTTCTGATAGGGCTGCTATGTTAGGTCATGGAGCGAGAATATCGAAGATGTGGAACCCCAGGAGCCCATTCAGATGGAGCTCGACGAGCACGAAGATTCACCTGTGATTGAGTGGTTCTATGATCACCGACCATTATTGGATACTCCGCATGTAAACGGGCCATCCTATAAATCATGGAATTTGGATCTTCCTCAGATGGCGACACTGTACCGTCTTTCCCATCAGCTACTATCAGATTTAGTGGACAAGAACTATTTCTACATGTTCGACAGAAAATCATTCTTTACAGCCAAAGCCCTCAATGTCGCAATTCCTGGAGGACCTCGGTTTGAACCTCTTTACAAGGATATCGACCCTAATGATGAAGACTTTGGCGAATTCAACGCAATCGACCGTATCATCTTCCGTTCTCCTATTAGGACAGAATACAGAGTTGCGTTCCCGTATCTTTACAACTCCCTACCCCGATCTGTACACCTATCGTGGTACCACTACCCACAAGTCACCTATGTACGGGCCGAGGATCCCGACCTTCCAGCATTCTACTTCGACCCTGTCATCAACCCCATTTCTTCCCGTAGTGTAGCGCCCAAGAATCTTACTGTCTCACATGAGGACGAAATCTTTGGCTTCGGTAATGATGAAGACGACTTTGAGCTTCCGGAGGAGGTGGAGCCATTTATGTCGGATGAGGACCTCTACACAGATAACACGGCTTCAGCTATTGCTCTCTGGTGGGCTCCTTACCCATTCGATCGCCGTAGTGGAAAAACTGTGCGTGCAGAAGATGTGCCGCTAGTAAAACAGTGGTATCTAGAGCATTGTCCTCAGGGCCAACCGGTGAAAGTCCGAGTTTCTTACCAAAAGCTGTTGAAGACCTTTGTATTGAATGCCCTACATACAAAGACCCCTAAAGCACAAAATAAGCAGGATTTGTTCAGGACCCTGAAGGGGACCAAGTTTTTTCAGACGACTACTATTGATTGGGTTGAGGCTGGTTTGCAGGTGTGCAGGCAGGGATTCAATATGTTGAACCTGCTGATTCACAGGAAGAATTTGACTTATCTGCATTTAGATTGTAAGTTTCCCTTTCTCCCATGGGATATGGGCTTAGCTAATACATCCCAGATAATTTTAACTTGAAGCCCGTTAAAACACTCACAACCAAGGAGCGAAAGAAGTCTCGTTTTGGAAATGCTTTCCATCTCATGCGTGAGATTTTGCGCTTAACAAAACTCATCGTCGACGCGCAGGTGCAATACCGTCTCGGTAACATCGATGCCTTCCAGCTCGCTGATGGTATTCTATACGCCTTCAACCATGTCGGTCAACTCACCGGTATGTACAGATACAAATATAAACTTATGCACCAGATTCGTGCATGTAAAGATCTCAAGCACCTGATCTACTATAGGTTTAATTCTGGCCCCGTCGGAAAGGGTCCTGGATGTGGTTTCTGGGCTCCCGCTTGGAGGGTGTGGCTGTTCTTCATGCGTGGTATCCTACCCTTGCTTGAAAGATGGCTTGGGAATCTCCTTGCAAGACAATTCGAGGGACGTCACTCAAAGGGTGTGGCAAAGACTGTGACCAAGCAGAGGGTAGAATCTCATTTCGACTTGGAGCTTAGAGCGGCGGTCATTCACGACATTACCGATATGATGCCTGCGGGTATGAAGTCGAACAAGGTCAACACAGTCCTGCAGCATCTTTCGGAGGCATGGCGTTGTTGGAAGAGTAACATTCCGTGGAAGGTTCCCGGACTACCGGCTCCCATTGAGAATGTCATTTTGAGATATGTTAAGAGTAAGGCGGATTGGTGGATCTCTGTCGCGCACTACAACAGAGAGAGAATTAGGCGTGGCGCTACCGTAGACAAGACTGTGGCAAAGAAGAATCTTGGACGTTTGACGAGGTTGTGGCTCAAGGCTGAGCAGGAAAGACAACACAATTATATGAAGGACGGGCCTTACGTTTCCTCTGAGGAGGCAGTGGCAATCTATACTGCGGCTGTTCATTGGCTTGAGTCTAGAAAATTCTCCCCAATTCCTTTCCCTAGTGTTTCGTATAAGCACGATACAAAGATTTTAATTCTTGCCTTGGAACGTCTCAGAGAGGCGTACTCTGTCAAGGGCCGTCTTAACCAGTCTCAGCGAGAGGAGTTGGCCCTTATTGAGCAGGCATACGATTCCCCCGGAACTACACTTACACGTATCAAGACTGCGCTATTGACCCGTCGTGCATTCAAGGAAGTTGGAATTGATATGAATGACAATTATAGTAACATCAACCCTGTATACGATGTTGAGCCTATTGAGAAGATCACAGATGCATACCTTGACGCATATCTCTGGTACCAAGCTGATCAACGTCATCTGTTCCCGGCATGGATCAAGCCCTCAGATTCGGAGGTGCCACCATTGCTCGTGTACAAGTGGGCACAGGGTATCAACAATCTTCACAATGTGTGGGAAAGCGCCGATGGCGAGTGCAACGTTCTCATTGAGACACAACTGTCAAAGGTCTACGAGAAGATTGATATCACTTTCCTCAATCGTTTGCTCAGGTTGATCATGGACCACAACTTGGCGGATTACATCACGGCAAAGAACAACGTAGTACTCAACTACAAGGATATGAACCATACCAATATGTACGGTCTCATCCGTGGACTCCAGTTCTCAGCCTTTGTGTTCCAGTACTATGGCATGATTCTCGACTTGTTGATTTTGGGCTTGGAGAGAGCAAGTGAGATCGCCGGACCCCCACAGAGGCCGAATGAATTTTTGCAATTCCAGGACCTCAACACCGAGACCAAGCATCCAATCAGGCTGTACACTAGATACATTGATCGCATTTGGGTGTTCTTCCGCTTCACTGCGGATGAAGCTAGAGATCTCATCCAGAGGTTTTTGACTGAGCAACCGGATCCAAATTTCGAGAATGTAATCGGATACAGAAATAAGAAGTGCTGGCCTAGAGATTCAAGAATGAGGTTGATGCGACACGATGTCAACCTTGGCCGTGCGGTGTTTTGGGATTTGAAGAATAGGCTTCCGAGGTCTGTTACGACCATCGAGTGGGATGATACATTTGCGAGTGTTTACAGTCGTGATAACCCGAACTTGCTGTTCTCCATGTGCGGCTTTGAAGTCAGAATTCTTCCCAAGATCCGCAACAACAATGAGGAGTTCCCGGTCAAGGACAGTGTTTGGTCGCTCGTAGATAACAACTCTAAGGAGCGCACTGCGCACGCCTTCTTGAGAGTTACTGAGGAGGATATTGCGAAGTTTAACAACAGGATTCGTCAAATTCTTATGTCCTCTGGGTCCACTACCTTCACTAAGATTGCCAATAAGTGGAACTCTGCTCTCATCGCGCTATTCACCTACTACCGTGAGGCAGCAGTCCAGACCGAGCAGCTGTTGGACACAATTGTCAAATGTGAGACCAAGATTCAAACTCGTGTTAAGATTGGTCTAAACTCCAAGATGCCTTCGCGTTTCCCGCCGGCCGTCTTTTACACCCCTAAGGAGTTGGGAGGATTGGGTATGATTTCTGGATCGCATATTCTCATTCCTACGAGTGATCGCCGATGGTCGAAACAGACGGACACCGGAATCACCCACTTTAGGAGTGGAATGACCCATGATGATGATGTCTTGATTCCCAATATCTTTAGATACATTCAACCATGGGAGAGCGAGTTCATTGATTCCGCCAGAGTGTGGTCCGAATACGCACAGAAGAGACAGGAGGCGAACCAACAGAATAGGCGTCTTACTTTGGAGGATCTGGAAGACAGTTGGGATAGGGGTATTCCTAGGATCAACACCTTGTTCCAGAAGGACAGGAGTACCCTGGCGTTCGACAAGGGTTGGCGTGTCAGAACTGAGTTCAAGATTTACTCTATGATGGTAGGTTGCCCTTACGGAAATACTAGAATTCGAGCTAATATCACGCTGTAGAAATCAAATCCTTTCTGGTGGACGTCTCAGCGCCACGATGGTAAGCTGTGGAACTTGAATGCATACCGTACAGATGTTATCCAGGCCCTCGGAGGTGTTGAAACTATTTTGGAGCACACATTGTTCAAGGCGACTGCATTCCCATCTTGGGAAGGATTGTTTTGGGAGAAGGCGTCCGGTTTTGAGGAGAGCATGAAGTTCAAGAAGTTAACCAATGCCCAGAGATCTGGTTTGAACCAGATTCCCAACCGTCGGTTTACGTTGTGGTGGAGTCCTACTATCAACAGAGCAAACGTCTACATTGGTTTCCAGGTTCAATTGGATTTAACGGGTATCTTCCTACACGGAAAGATTCCTACTTTGAAGATTTCCTTGATCCAGATTTTCCGAGCTCATTTGTGGCAGAAGATCCATGAGTCTATCTCTATGGTTCGTATGAACTCTTCTTCTAGTTTGAATATTTCTAATTTTCTTGTAGGATCTGTGTCAAGTCTTCGATCAGGAGATGGAGGCGTTGGGTATTGAGACGGTGCAGAAGGAGACTATCCATCCCAGGAAGTCCTATAAGATGAACAGTTCTTGCGCCGATATCCTTCTCTTCGCCGCGTACAAGTGGAACGTGACCCGTCCTAGTTTGCTTCACGATACCAAGGATGTCATCGAGCAAAACGCGACCAACAAGTTCTGGATTGATATCCAGTTGAGATACGGAGATTACGATTCCCACGATGTGAGCAGATATGTACGTGCCAAGTTTTTGGATTACACCACCGACTCGCTCTCAATCTACCCTTCGCCCACCGGTGTTATGATCGCGATTGATCTGGCCTACAACTTGTACGATGCATATGGTCAATGGTTCCCTGGTCTCAAGCAGCTCATACAGCAGGCTATGGCAAAGATCATGAAGGCGAACCCTGCTCTGTACGTTTTGCGTGAACGCATCCGAAAGGGTCTCCAGTTGTACGCCTCTGAGAGTAACCAGGAGTTCCTGAACTCCCAGAACTACTCTGAGTTGTTCAGCAACCAGATCCAGTTGTTTATTGACGATACAAACACCTACCGTGTCACCGTCCACAAGACATTCGAGGGTAACTTGACTACCAAGCCCATCAACGGTGCCATCTTTATTCTCAACCCCAGATCTGGGCAATTGTTCTTGAAGATTATTCATACCTCTGTCTGGGCTGGTCAGAAGCGTCTTGGACAGTTGGCGAAATGGAAGACTGCTGAGGAAGTAGCGGCGCTTATCCGTTCACTCCCTGTTGAAGAGCAACCGAAGCAGCTCATTGTTACAAGAAAGGGTCTTCTGGATCCTTTGGAGGTGCATTTGCTTGATTTCCCCAATATTTCTATCAGAGCCTCCGAGCTGCAGTTGCCTTTCCAGGCGGCTATGAAGATTGAGAAGTTGGGTGATATGATTCTTCGCGCGACGGAGCCCCAGATGGTATTGTTCAATCTGTACGATGATTGGACAAAGACCGTCTCTTCGTACACTGCCTTCTCTCGTCTCATCCTTATTCTTAGGGCATTGCACGTCAACCAGGACAAGACCAAGTTGATCCTGAGACCAGACAAGAATGTCATCACTCAGGAGCATCACATCTGGCCCACCCTCTCGGATGAAGACTGGATTAAGGTTGAAACATCCCTCAGAGACCTGATCCTGAACGACTATGGTAAAAAGAACAACGTCAACGTGTCTAGTTTGACCTCCAGCGAAGTCCGAGATATCATTCTTGGTATGGAGATCTCTGCACCGTCCATGCAACGCCAACAGGCTGCCGAGATTGAGAAGCAGCAACAGGAGCAGGCACAGCTCACTGCTGTCACCACACGGACTCAGAACGTCCACGGTGATGAGATGATTGTTACTACAACCTCCAACTACGAGCAGCAAGCATTCGCCTCTAAGACCGAATGGAGGAGTCGAGCCATCGCCGCAAGCAACCTGAGGACTAGGTCAAACAACATATTTATCTCGTCTGATGATATCCCTGACAACGGCCAATACACGTACATCATGCCCAAGAATATCCTTAAGAGGTTCATCATGATCTCGGACCTCCGCATGCAGGTCGCCGGGTATCTATATGGCTCCTCACCCCCCGACAACGATCAAGTCAAGGAGATTCGCTGTATTGCCATGATCCCGCAGATTGGCTCTCTGAACACCGTCCAGTTGCCCCATCTCCTCCCGCAACATGATTACCTCACCAAAGAGAACGGCCTTGAGCCCCTTGGTTGGATCCACACATGGGCACAGCCCAACGAGACCCCCTACCTGAACGCGTTCGACACCACTCAGCACGCGCGGCTCATGTCGGCGCACAAGGAATGGGACAAGAAGACCATCACCATGACCGTCGCCTTCAAGGCTGGATCCGTCTCCCTTGCGGCCTACGGGCTCACCCCCGCCGGATACGAATGGGGTGCGCAGAACAAGGATCTGGGCAACGACATGCCCCCGGGCTTCCAGACAAACATGGGCGAGAAGTGCCAGCTGCTGCTGTCGGACAAGATCATGGGCTTCTTCCTGGTGCCCGAGAGCGGCGTGTGGAATTACAGCTTTTTGGGGGCCAGCTTCAGCTCCGAGGCGGAGAAGAGGCAGTATCATGTCAAGATTGATACGCCGGGTGGCTACTATGCCGATATCCATAGGCCGCTGCATTTCCAGAATTTTGCGGAGTTGGAGGACATTTGGGTTGATCGGAGTGATAATTTTGAATAGTTTGTTGGCGAATAGTTTGGGTTTTAGGGTAGGGTAGAGGAGGAGGGGGTAGGGGGGTAAGGATGAAAAAAACAAATATATGCTGTCATGGTTCTTTTTTACGTTTGTCTTTTTTTTTCCTTTTTATAAAAAACTAGAGATCATGAATGGTGGAATGGGTTGTATCATACGTACGAGCTGATGTGGTTTTTTTTTTTTATTTTTCTGTTGCTTTTTGTTCTCTTGTGTTGTCTTTATGGGCCGACTGGGGGCATCGTTCATGGTTTCTGGCTGTATTACTATTGATTTTTTTTCTTCCGTGTGCGTCGTACTGTTTTATATCTATATCAAATTTTCATGTCGGTAATCATGCACGCGGCCGGATGGATGGATGTCTGTGAGAACAAATTGATAAGTGCTGCTCTGTTTGGCATCAGCCCTGTGAGAGTAAATACTTTAATGGTAACAATATCCAGGGTAGTGGTAGCACACAGTGCACACACAGTCAGCTATTTGTTGGTAGCGAGTGAGTGATAGTGCACAGCCACCCGCACAGGGCTTTGTTCAGCAAACATTTGGAAGCACGGATCTGCAGGGCGCCCGTCCACTGCCGTTTCCTCCACAAGACAACAAGACAGACAACAGAAGACAGGGTTGCGCCAAGACCCCGATCTAGCGTCAACCTATTTGTCATGACGCAAGCAGCAGCACGGGTGGGGGAGCTCTGGATATAAAGAGGCCGAACCCAAGACACTCGCAGCAAACATCAGAATCTGCAAAATCCAGTCTATCAATCCACTGCAACATTGACCCGCCCACTCTCGCCCATCCACTTCCTACTACTACTGCTACTGCTACTACTACTCATACCAGCAATGATACCAAACCTCCTCCAAAAGCTCATGCGCCCATTCTCCAGCGCCACCATGGGCGTCGCCGGCCCCATCGGCACCGGCATCGGCTCCATGCCCGCGCACACTGAGAAGCTGACTATCGCCGCCGGGTATGTTTGTCCTCCCAATCCCTTCTGGGAAAATAGTTGGGGCAGCTAGTTAATATGCAAGTGTGCAATAGGTGCTTCTGGGGCGTGGAACACATCTACCGCCACCATTTCGGCGGCGGGAAGGGACTGCTTGATGCCCGTGTGGGCTATATCGGCGGTAACACGGAGAACCCGAGTTATCGTGCGGTGTGCTCGGGGAGTACTGGCCGTTTGTCTCCCCCTCCCCCTTCCTTCCTCTCCCCCGCCTCTCCTCGCCCGCCATATACTAACTCTCAGGATATAGATGCGGAAGCGCTACAGGTCCTCTACGACCCCAGCGTCGTCTCGTACGAGCGCCTGGTCGAGTTCTTCTTCCGCATGCACGACCCGACGACGGCGAACCGCCAGGGGCCCGACGTGGGGTCGCAGTACAGGAGCGCCATCTTTTACCACTCGCCGGAGCAGGAGGCGGGGGCGAGGAAGATCTTGGGCGCGGTGGAGAGGGAGTGGTTTGCTGGGAAGAGTGTGGCGACGGAGGTGCTGCCCGCGGGGAGGTGGTGGGATGCGGAGGATTATCATCAGTTGTATTTGGTGAATAGTGAGTGCTGCTCTTTTCTTTCTGTGTTTGAGGGGAGAGAGGAGAGTGGATGTGCTAACGGTTGTGATAGATCCTGGGGGTTACGAGTGTCCGTCGCATCATGTCAGGAACTTTCCGGAATTGTCGGTGTTGTAGTGCTGGCGGCGCGGAGTGCGGGTGGCTTTGTGATTTTCTTCTCTTTCTCTCTTTCTCTTTTTTTTTATGTTGTAGACAAAAGGGTCTGCCCATATGTGTTATTACAATTACAACACTACGTGGGATAGAATCCATTGAATTATATCTTCACCTTGACCAATTAATCGCGGGTGCTACGCCATGGTGCATCAAGCCCGGGCTCTTGAAGACAGAAAACCACATATCCATGAAGCTATCTTACCCTCAAGGCAATGTTTGAACCTCTTAACTCATGTAGACAGTTTCGTACTTTCCGGGCTTGTTTGAGATTGACACTATAATGCACATTCATCACCCGGTTTCTATTCAAGTCCCATACATCTCCGCTGGCCCTCATGAGCGGTGTGTGCGTAGGGCGGAGAAAGAGAAGACCTGTCAATGCAAAACCTACAGCAGCCAGAATAACAGTCCCTTGATTGACAAAAACAACCACAGTCGCTGTCGCGGGGGCGGGCGGATTGTAATCGGTGCTAATCCAACAAACAACCAGCACGCCCGGCCTATGCGCTCCTTCATGAGATATCACTCGCACACCAAACCCCCCCGTTAATAGACTTTCAATATCACCCACGCAAGTTATGGTAAAGTGAGAAACAATGAAATGGCTTATGTCATGAAAACAAAGATACATGGCCCCCGCGAGTGATCTCTCGTTAATTCACCGCTTTCCATCCCACACCCAGTCATGAGCAAAGTAAGCCAAAGACATGCACCAAACCATATTCCCCAGCTCACCACAGCCAAATAAGGCCCCGCTTCCAAACTTCCAAAGAAGAACAAGAAAACTTAGTAGAAGAGGATTATCTTGCGCTATAAGCTCTTGTGTATAAAGGCTCACACGCACACAGCCACCACTGGTATACCGGACACAATCCAGCGGCTTGTGGTGCACCTCATAAGTAGAAAGATTACAGGTTGCTGGTTGTAGGACGCAGGTCTAAGGGTGGCAGTCATTAGCTACATGTAGAGTTCAATAGAGTGTTATTCCCCGCCACTGGTGCAAGGCTAGCTGTGGTACTCAGAAAACCTCGCTCGCTGTGACATCTATTTGGCTATAGCATTCTAGATACAGGGAGAAAAAAGATGCTTTGTACCGTAGTCTTTTACCGTTAATATGTTAAAAGAATTATACCAAGAAAGAACAAAAAGTACTGCATTTATGGTCTGGGCCATATATACTACTCCCACCCCTGGATTGAACCATGAACCTTAAGCCATAGCACAACCTCGCGGTGTTCCGGAAGGCAAGTGATAACCATTAGACCACCACTCGCCCTTGTGTAATTAGAGCTGGCAATGATAGTTCTGCGCCAAGTCTGGTCGTAGGCGTCTACTGAATTAGGCGCGCCAGTAGCTCGCTGATGTGGCGCTGACTTAACCCCCCCCCTGCAATTCTGTGAGGCTGAAATCTAAACAACACCAAACCAGATCCGCACGTTCAACAACTCATCCAGAGCTATCGATATTAATCTCCGCCCACCCCACAAACCCCACAAAAAAGCTCAAGCTTCACCAGCAAAAAACCCCCCCGCAATGCTCATATCTCTCACTGTCGGCAAGGTTGATGCCGGCCTTGCAATTCTCCTCACGGAGGAGAAGCGTATGGTACAAAAACACACCCCCGACCTGACTCCCCGACTCCCCCGACCCCGCGAGAGCTCGCCAGTCGAAAACTAACCATATCTCCTTCCACAGATCGAATTCCCCTCTGTCCTCCTCCCAGCCGGCATATCCAGCGGGTCCATAGTCGACATCCAGGTCTCGCGCAACCACGCCGCGGAGGCTGCCCAGCGCGATGCGTTCCACTCGCTCCAAGAGGAGATCTACAACCTCTACGGAATAAACTCCCCCTCGCGCCCCGTGCTCCGCGTCCGCAATGCCACGCAGACCTCGGTGGTGCTCGAATGGGACCCGATCCAGCTCGCTACGGCAACGCTGCGCTCCCTGACCCTGTATCGGAACAACAGCAAGGCCGGGTCCATCCCGAACCCGACCACGCACACGAGCACAAAGATCTCGGGTCTGGCCGTGGACACCGAGTACTCGTTCCATCTCGTACTGCGCACCTCGGCCGGCACGTATAGCAGTGAGAAATTGACTGTCCGGACCCACAAGATGACGGATCTCTCCGGGATCACGGTGTGCCCGGGCATCATGCCCGGCGAGATCCGGGAGGAGCTGGAAGTTGTCCTGGCGAGGATTGGCGCGAAACCGCTGCAGGACTTTGTCCGCATCGATACGACGCATTTCGTGTGCACGGAGGGCCGTGGGCAGCCGTGGGAGCGGGCTACGGAGATGAATATCCCGGTCGTGAGGCCGGAGTGGTTGCTGGCGTGCGAGAAGGATGGGAGGATCGTGGGGGTCAGGCAGTTTTACCTCAGCGCGGATATATCAAAGATGCGGCAGGGACTACCGATGCGCGAGCGTGCGCAGACCGGTGCGAGCGTAGCATCTTCTGTGAATCAGCAATCCCAACACAGGCCTACGCAGTCTGTCAGCGAGATACGATCGGAAGCTGTTGTTAGCCCCCCTCCGGTCGAGACTCCGGCGAAATCTCCCTCGCCGCCGCCAGTTGCCGAGAACCCCAGGCCAGAGCCTGAGGCGAAGACCCCCGAGCCAGAGGCAAAGGTGGAAGAAAAGAGTCCGGATCCAGAGAAGGCTACGAGTGGCGATTCGGGGACACCTGAAGTGAAAGCGAAGGTGGAGGAGGGGTTTGAGGATGTTTCGCTCTAGTAGTAGAGAGTATAATGTATCAGTTATAATTAGTACCTGAGTTCTGCCGCCCAGGCCTGAGCTTGACAGCTTTAGGTGTGCGGAAACCTGGACTATATAGCAACTTTATCCAATACCTTTTGCGTTCGCAACTAAAATTAATACCACTATTTCGCAGTTCCTAAAAATACGTAATTGTGAAAAGCTGATATCTGTGGTAAAGGTTGGATTCTAATACATGTACGGATAGCCTATCATTGGATGGTCTAGCTGTATGTAGAGTAGTAAATCATGTTCTTCATGAGGCGGTCATTCGACTTCCGCGCCTAGTGAGCCACTTCCGCGATAAACTTAAATTGGCATCGTAGAGCTTACTTGGAGCTTCTCTAGTTGCTACGAGTATTTTTAAGGGGCGATTATTGCTTCCACTAACGTCGATAAGCAGAAATCTAATTACTCTACTAGAGTATCGAGTATACTGACAAAAGCATTCCAGCATGGTTTGGGCTACTTCACCAGGACGATTTAAGCTCCACGACAAACTGTGTCCATAATTTCAAGTATGTGGAGGGATATGACTTGCGCCTGCGTTACGAGAGAATCCAACACTAATATTGTGATACCTTCACGTGTGTCCACGCAGAAACAAGAACTCCAGAGAAAAAAACAGAAAAACAATAGTAAGAACCCGTATATTCCATCTAGAAATACGAAGTCCGGGCCCGCTTCCCCTTCCAGTTGCACAAAAGACCTCTGTCGAAAAAACCCAGCAGATACTGAAAATTCCCTTTTTCATATGTTTACAGAAGGTAAAAAGCACGCCCAGAAGTAAGAAGAAAAACCCCCTCCCTTTTTTTATTTAATGACAGAAAGAGTAGAAGACCGACAAAACACTTAGGCCTTGGCCGCAGCCTTCCTGACGTCGAACCTCCTCTGCTTCCTCAGCACCATGACGCGGAATCTCTCGAAATCGGTCAGCTGTCGTCTCCTCTCCTTGGCGACGAGCTTCTGGGCCCAGGCGGACTTGTTCCACTGGTTGTCGACCTCCTCCTTCTCCCAAACCTTGGTAACCTTTCCGTTGCGGGCACCACGAGGAAGGGACTTGCAGACAATGGGGGTCAAGATAAGGTGGGCGAGAGGAATCGAGTGGCGGACGAGCCCGGTGCAGGAAGGAGCATCAACGAGGACCTATTCATTAGGTGTCAGAATAATGCATCTGAGAGCAAAGATGAAAGCTAGTTTTCTCGTATTATACGTACACGCTTGTGGTCGATAACCTCTACGATGATGGCCAGTTTACCGGCGTATGGTCCCTCCTCGATACGGACGATACGGCCGATCTGGACAAGGCTATATTCAGAAAAGAAAAAAAATACGTCAGCGCCATCTTCTTTCAATAAATGAAAAATTCCGCCCCTTCTCCCCCACTCGGTTGCAAGCCCAATTCTCCCCTCCACTTCCAAGACCGCCGGTCTTTCCCCCAAACCATAAAAAACCAGGAAAATGAAAAATCGGAGACATACCGCCAATTCGAGGTCTGAACTTCGGTGGACATAGTGGTTGTGGGAGGTTACCGGTTAGTCGATTGGGCTCGGGATAGTTTGTTGTATTGATGGTCGTGATCGTGAAATCGAAAAGAGCACACACTGGAAATTCGCCGGGGTTCTCTCTGCGTGGCTTGGCAGAGGATTCCTGACTTGTGGGTGTGTACAACAGGGGGTGTGACGGTGGTTAGGGAAGGGTTAGACCTAGCGAACTCTTGGCGGGGCTTTAAATTCTAACTGACTTTTCTTGAGACCAGGAACGCAACCTCATCAACACGTCTTCCTCCTCCTTCCTGTCGCGTGCGACTGTGACGCCGTCCGCGAAGAGAAGGAGGAGGTTATAAATGTCAAGGTATGTCCACTATCTCATCATTCCCATTTCCCCATTGCCCTGGATTTCATGTGATGAAATAATTTGCGATTGAGTGCCAACTCGGCGAGTTCACGCCTGATCTCAAATGTCGACTGGCACTTATGATATTCAATTCTTACATATTCTGATACCTTTATCCCCCTCCCATTTTTCTACATCATCCTTTTACTCTTGTTTCCTGTGGATCAAAGGCTAATGGTCTTGAAAGATTTCTAGTTGACCGACAATAATGCCCCGGAAACCGCCGCCCCACTTACTACTGACTTGAAAGGTTTGTCTACCCTCCTCTCCTGATTTCCACCACCCACAACCCTATGCCTGTGATGATATCTATGCACATAGATAGTATGCGATCCTTCGGGAAATGCGCTCTCTTTTAACACCAAGATCACTGAGGACACATCCTTCTACACTTTTATGCTTTGAAAAGTTTTGTAGTGGACGTCAGCTAATTCGAAAATCAGATAGATATAGGTTCACTCTCTCAATGAATCAATTCAGCTGGTCTGAATAAGGGATTATTATGTCAATAGTAATAAAATAAATATTTGCAAATATAATTTTCTCCCATATATAATTTAACATAATGTGAAATTCAGAAGTTGTCTTTCTTTTGGTGTAGCCATATCCCGCTCCAAACCTATATGCGAAATGAAGATATTATATTAAGTGTAAATGTATTTCTCGTATTGAAGTGCCATGACTACCTGACGAACTATTACATATATTAATCGTCCATCGCCACGACGAATAGGGATCTTTAACAAGGCAGTGGTGTCCAGGGTCGAAAGTAGAGTATCTACTATCTAATTGGCGGCGATCTGTATTTTATCGTTGCCCTCCATTTCATTCGACCATCATATCATGTTCCAAATCATATCATCGGTGCATGCACCAACGTGGATTAATGTTACTTTAGAAGCTTCTTATCCCTTCCAGTCATATTTAACTCTCAACCCTTAATAATTTGTGTTCAAGCCCATGTTCACCACTTGATGGTTGCCCTGCATTATGTCTCATATATGATATCATCTACCATGCACATAATTACCCTACCGTAAGCATATAAGGTTTAAAGCTCCCATGCCAGCAATATATGACTCGAAGCTTAATCAAGCTACGCATGGGATTAAGCAAACAATGACAACCATCGAGGCTTCCCAAAGCCAAGTCAAGCTCTCACTGCCACTGGTACGCTCTTGTAGTTCCAGGAGGAATGTGCTGGTCGTTAACATAATATAATTAGGAATACCAAAAAGACTTATTCCATGAAATTGGTCAGGAAGATGAGCTTGTAATCTTAGCGCGCGGACTCGGTCTCCTCCGTGTCATTACAAACTTTCTCCATGCGCATGATGCTGCGGGTGACAATCTTATTCTAATTGTTGGCGCTGATGAAAGAGAAAACGGGTGGATTGGGGAAGGTAAGTTTGTCTATATCATGAGTTATTTTACGTGAATATATGATTTATGATTTCGTAGCATTGGCAGAGAAGGCTGCTGTATCTCAAGCCGTGAAGGCAAGGGGGTTAAGTATTGTCAATACAGAAAGCCAGACCGTTGCAGCGAGGTACCCATCTATCTAGTCTAAAGCTGAACAGTACTAATAGCTATGGGTACATGTAGGGAGAAGTTATATGCTAAAGGTGGAATCTTCTCGGTAACGTCGAGAATATTGGTGGTGGACTTATTATCGAGTATGATGTCAAAACGCCAGTCGAATATGCGAATGGATTCTCACAATACGCAGGCTTAATAAAACCGGAGACTATTACGGGCATCGTAGTGCTCCATGCAGATAAGTAAGACATCCTCTATTAATCAGGATTCTCTAAAGCACTCGATGCTCACATAAACAGAGTGATTGCAACCTCTCTCGAGGCATTCATTCTTCGTATTTTCCGTCAAAAGAATAAGTCAGGTTTTATCAAAGCCTTCTCCGATAATCCTGAACCATTTTGTACAGGATTCGCCCCACTTGCAACTATGATGCGCAATCTCTTTCTTCGGAAGCCCTCACTTTGGCCACGCTTCCACGTAACTGTTGCAAAGTCACTAGAGGTGAAGCAAGCAGAAGTAGTTGAACTCGAAGTAGCAATGACGGACTCCATGCGGGAGATTCAAACTGCTGTACTCGAGTGTATCGAGGTTTCTATATCTGAGCTTAAGAAAGGCAATACTGTGCTCGATATGGAAGATTGGAATATGGACAGCGCTCTCCACAAGAGTTTTGATATCATTATACGACGACAGCTGGATCCCGTGTGGCATAGAGTTAGCTGGAAGACAAGGCAGATTGTGAACGATTTAACAGTGCTAAGGGGGATATTGCACTCTCTGTTGACCTGTGACTGCGTTACGTTTTATCAGCATCTTGAGACAATCCTTGCAACGCATTCTCCGCCTGCAGGGACGACTCGGCAGTCACAATCTCCATGGCTGTTTTTAGATGCTGCCCATACCATCTTCAGTGTTGCGAAAGCACGGGTGTATACAGGCACTGCGAGTAAAGCCGTGATTAATAGCAACCCAATTGGAAAGATCCCGTCAGCTCTCACCCCCGTATTAGAGGAACAACCAAAATGGTCTTTGTTGACAGAGATACTCGAAGAGATTGAGAGGGGAGCTCATTTTAATCAAGTACCCCAAGACTCAACATACGGGACTACACTCATTATGTGTAGCGATGAAAAAACATGTCGTCAAATACGGGAGTATCTACAGACTATGAACGAACGTCCCCTAGAGGATGCTGGTGATAATGATACCGACGAATCTCTCAAGAAAGAATCATCTGCAGCATTTATGATGCGCCGACGACTCCGTGGGTATCTTACTTGGAAAAGTGATTTCAGTAAAATCAGCGCCTCCCTTTTTGCTGAAGATCAAAAGGCAAGACTCGGCGGTAATCCCTCTTCCGACGGACCTCGACGACAACCAGATTCCTTTCGTGGTAAAGCACCACCCAACAAACGAAGAAGAGTCCGAGGGGGGGCTAGTGCTGCATCTGGACCAGGACGCAGTGCCACCGGGGTCATTACGATTTCGGAGGATCAACCTCTAAATGTAGCGGAGCTATTGTCTGGAGTAAAACCAACGGAAGAAGAGAAGGCACTCAAGCAAGAAATCGGAGTAGATCCGTTCGATAATATGGAGGATTATTTTCAGCCATATGAGATGGGAGACCTGATTGTAGTACATCCATATGATGGTGATATGGATGAACGCGTCCTTGAGGAGCTAAAGCCTAGGTATGTAATTATGTACGAACTAGACCCGGCATTTATAAGAAGAGTAGAGGTAAGTAAATCTAAATTAATTCTTGCATGAACATGGTGTGGTTAATACGTTTTTGACAAAGGTGTACCGGAGTTCGCATAGAGACCGCAATATCAGGGTGTATTTTATGTATTACGGGAACTCGGTAGAAGAGCAACGCTATCTTAGTACCGTTCGAAAGGAAAAGGATTCATTTACAAAACTAATCCGTGAGAAGGGGGTCAGTTTTTCCACATGATTAGAAGGGCCGACGATCACTAACAGATCTAACAGAACATGTCGGTCACCCTTACTCTCGACTCAAAGGGTGTAGACGACCCACAGGAGATGTTCCTCAGAACAGTCAATACTAGAATAGCGGGTGGGGGGCGCCTAGTCGCGACTGCAGAACCTCCACGAGTCATCGTTGATGTCCGTGAGTTTCGTAGCTCTCTTCCTTCACTTCTGCACGGCCGCAACACCTTACTTGTGCCATGTACTCTAACGGTGGGCGATTATATCTTATCACCCGATATATGTGTTGAAAGGAAATCAATCAAGGACTTGATCGGATCGTTTAAAGATGGGAGACTCTATAGCCAGTGTGAGACTATGCTACTACACTACAAGTCTCCAATGCTTTTGATTGAATTCGACCAGAACAAATCCTTTAACCTGGAGGTACCGTCGATCATACGTTCTCACTCGCATTCAAGTTGAAGCGAAAAATAAGCTAACAAAAGACGTTGGAGAGATATAGCCATTTGCAGATTTAACATCTACTATTGGGCAACATGATCTTCAGTCCAAGCTGGTGCTCCTGACAATCGCGTTTCCAAGAATCAAGATTATTTGGTCATCTAGCCCTTATCAGACCGCGGAGATCTTTGAGGAGCTCAAGGTAGATTCCCATTATCAGAAAATTTCTTTAAATTAAATCTAATATGTCCGTGAGAAGAAAAATCAGCCAGAACCTGATCCCCTAACAGCGATCAAAATCGGTCTCGAGGATGGGGAGGACTCCACAAACCCACGTGCACATAACCAGGCCCCACTGGTAAGTATGCCTTCTCTGTCCTGCTCGCATCTAGATTTTAATGGCTTTATTTTTTTACCTTAGGATATACTCCGAGCGATTCCTGGAATAACGTCCAAGAATTACAAGAATATCATGATGGATGTGGAAAATATCGTAGAACTTAGTAATATGGAAGAAAAGGAGGTAGCTGCACTTATTGGCCCTGAAGCAGCTAGGAAGGTGTACAGATTTTTTAATAAATCTGTATTTGAATAAACTTTGCGCGCGTTCTACATAATCATTATCTGTCATTACAGACTTGTTAATGGCTTGAATTCTCGTATTCGATAAGTAGCTATTAGTTAGTACAAACATAATCAATATAGGCAGGTTTGACGACTCCCTTATTCTCTCACCAAGGTCGGCGCCCAAACCCTGCCAGAAAGCCTCGAAGTGGCAGAAATATGCTTTACCATTGGTCACATAGATTGCGCATGGGCACTTGGTTAGATCGAGATTGAGAATGCATGCCCTGCAACTTCGAGGGCTCTATCTTCTTTAGATCTAGTAAATCCCGAGAGCGCTTCGCGTCTTAGGCCACCAATACAAATGACTGTCATACATATACTCTCTCTCAACTTGACTTTATTTCAAATTTATGTTCGAAACGCCACGATTACTGAAGACAGCGTGCTGCCTACTCTGCATGATAGGGGTCCCATGAGTGGATCATCTACGTATGTCATCGTAACCCCCCTTATACACAAAGCCTCAATTAGCTCTCTCCAGCGGGTGTTTTGTCTCGTTACGTTTCTTGTTCTATTCCTGTCCCCTTAGTTCTTCCTGTGCTTCTTTAGATAATTCGAAAGATCTGTACAGAGGGTCGGGATGGAGGACAGCAGTGGAACGTTGATCCCTAAACAAATACCGTTTTGCGCGGCTTTCCTATTCGACTTCCCGAGTAAGGTTGCACGCAATTGATGAATTAAACAAAAAAAAAAAAATTTCGACTTCCCGAGATACATCACAGGCTATCACTCGATACCATTCGATCCCAGATCTCACCTGGTACGCGATAACGACGACTAGTACCAAAAATATTTATGCATAAAACTGTGGGTTGAGTGTCGATCTCTATATTGTCTAACGAATGTGCATAGGATTAGCAAATGTGTAATCGCTATCAGGGGGGCTGGGAAACTGAGACACGTATAGAGAATAATTAAACCCAAGTCTCGTGCTTAGACCTTCTTTTTACACTTTGGATGCAAAACTCTGTTCTCTGATGCATTGGGAGCAGCTAACGCTGAAAACCAATCCTCACCTTTCTCCCCCTCCCCATCAGAAACGGCGAAAAGAAAATCTACAAAAGAAAAAACCTCTATCATTACCACAATTTCCCGCTCCCCAGCTAACTAAACGATAAACACACCAATCTTATATAACTACATCGGAGGGTCATGGACATACGCTTATGCGACTATTGACCTGCCAAGAAGGTAAATATAGATAGCCCTTAGAGGAGAGAAAACCAAACAATTTGTTTTCTATGGCACAATTATTGTAGAATCTGTTGACGACCACAGGAGGCTAGTGTACCATAATTAGCGGCGGAATTAATAGTTGTATAGTCGATCATTGATGTATTACTAATAGTGGACGTTTATGCTTAACCTTTGAGGCGACAACAAGTGACGTAACACTTATCTCTCATGCTAATACGGACGACACGAAATACAGAGGGCCAATGCACAGTATCTCTTTTCTACATCCGATCCACACCCGACACTCCACGTTCATATTCTTTAATTCCCTTGTGTGTACCTTTAGAGCAGAAACCATGCACAGGGCAGTTGTCGAATTTAGGGACGACGTGTTTCTCATAAGCTCTCTATAGCCAGAACAGAATGGGCGACCAATACTTCCTGGAATAGCGGCCACAAATACTTGAACCCCACCACACCATAATGTCAAGAAGAAAAAGGAGTCCGTAAGATATTGGTGGATGTTTCATCATTTACAAACTTGAGCCACATCCATGCGTCGATAACAATTTGCCGTTGGTGTTGTAATTACGTGTGACAATACTCTACAGTGAAGGGCTATGGAAACATGGATATAACTTGCAAAATTTTGTAACTTATTTTTGGTAGAAGTAAACATTTCGAAAACTTGGTTGAGCAGTATGTAAGTTAGTGAGGTAGGTTAAATCAAACTGCATACACCAACAAAACATTGAAAAGTAAACTAGCGCACTGTAACCAGTCTTTCTCATTGATAACTCTGTTCTAAAACGCTAACATTATACAGAAATTTCACCCCCTACACTGCTCAAAAGAAATACTATACTGTGAATGGTTAAAGGAAAATGGTAAGGGGAAGGTACGGCAGAGAGAGATAGCCACCCAAGTATTTGTGCCTTTGAGGAATACGAGCCAAAGAAGGAAAACATGGTAACAATAAAACCAGGAATAATCAATCATCTCTGTAAACCTAATTAGCAATTGAGGCTCTAAGCTCTGAGACTTACTGTCCTCCATCTCTACTAACACCTACGTAGTCACCAAAGTTGTGGATGCTAACATCCATCCGTTCTCTTACAGTCTCACTCATAGGCTCATCAAAGCCGTGGCCGTTGACTTTAACCCCGTTCATTTTCAGCACATCAGCGACATCGCCCTCATTAGCAATACCGGCGGCGACAGCTTTGATAGCGGCTTCTTTTCTCTTCAATTTGGAAGTCTCGCCACGAATACTTTCGAGCTTTTTGAAGTAGGATGGATCCACGGGAGTGACGTATTCCCCGTTAAAGACTCCAACTTCAAAGTTCTTAATATGGCTGGAGAGAGAAGAGCAGGATTCAATGAGATCTGGGAGAGTCTGGTAAATGACCGCATCTGCACCGATATGCTCTGAGATTTCTTCTTCTGTTCGGCCATATGCAACTAGCTCTTTGGTATCGGCAAGGTCGATCCCGTAGATGTGGGCATTCCTATACAAGAATCTCAATGTGGGTGACTATGACTTTAACAAAAACTGGATCTTACCTGATGGGGGGTGCACAGCTGGCAAAGTAAACCTTCCGTGCACAGGCTTCCCTAGCCATATTCACGATTTCCCGACTGGTTGTTCCTCTCACGATACTGTCGTCAACAAGTAAAACGTTCTTGTCCTTGAACTCTTCTTTCATAGCATTTAACTTCCTCCTTACAGACTTCTGCCTCTCTTGTTGCCCAGGCATAATGAAGGTCCTTCCAACATACCGATTCTTGACAAATGCCTGGCAGTACGGAATTCCCAGCTTCTGGGAAAGACTGAGGGCTGAAACCTCCGAGGTTGTAGGGATAGGAATGACAACGTCAATCGTTTTGACAATTTCTGCGCCAAGCTTTGCTAGAACAGTGTTCGCTAAGGCCAATCCCATATTCTGCCGGGATCTATAAACCGAGATACCATCGATGATGGTGTCCGGACGAGCGAAGTAGACATACTCAAAGATGTCCGGAGCGTGATTGAGGATGGGATGAACCTGTCTAAAGATAGGTTTACACCCCTTCTTAATGATAACAGCCTCTCCTGTTGAGAATCTGTTAGTTTTATGATCAATTTACACAGGGAAGCCTCAAACCTTACCTGGGTTGATATTACGGTGGTTAGTGAAACCGAGCTGGTCCAGTGCAACACTCTCGCTGGAAAACATATAATCCATCCCACCATTAATACCATTTCTCTCTCCCAGAACGAGGGGCCTAATGCCGTAAGGATCCCTAAACCCGATGATTCCAAACCCTATTGAATGTCAGCTCTATCAGGCAAACATTCACAATGATTCCTAGGATAATTGGAGATATTACCTGCAAGCATAGCTATACAAGCGTAACCACCCTGGCACCGCCGGTAGATAGCCTTCAACGCAGTGAACAAATCTTCTTCGTTAACACGGAACTTTCCAGTCTCCTGCAAGGCACTAGCGAAAATGTTCAGCAGTGTCTCGCTGTCAGAATCAGTGTTGATATGTCTATGCGCTTCGTGATCAAGGTAGTCTCGTAGCTCTGATGCATTAATGAGGTTGCCATTCTGTTAATCATGTCAAAATACGTCGTTTTATACAAAGTGCAAGAAGGGGATTTACATGGGCAAAGCAGATCCCGTATGGCGAATTTACGTAGAATGGCTGGGCTTCGGCATTTGCTGATGAGCCGGCGGTAGGATAGCGCACTGTCGACACCCCAATACCATACAGTCAGACACCACCTCGTATAAAAATTTATCCATTCGAAAGACATTTACGTGGGAAACAATAACAGTGGGTGTATCGCTAGACAAGGAACAGGTTGGAGCGATGCAGCATGAACCGCTGCGATACATCATTTCAAATACGGGGATTGATATAGGGAACAAATTCAAGGGAACCATACAATGTCCAAGCCCCATGTTCCCTGGCAAATCCATAAGCTGTTCAGGGAACCTAAAGACCTCAGAACAAAGCCCATTGCCTTTGCGAGTATAAATTCGACCCCTCTGACCGCAGGTAGCAATTCCGCAAGCATCCTGCCCTCTGTGTTGAAGAATTGGAAGACCGTTATGGATATCGGTGACGGCAGATCCGTTAGGATCAGCAAGGATGATTGCGATGATTCCGCACATCTTATATATCTTGAGCCAAAGAAATATTAGCTAAGGAAGTTGTTGTTGTTTAGAAGTCGTAATGGATGGAAGGGGGGGTTAAGCAAGTGCGCAATCAAGAAAAATATTTCTGCAGAGCCCCTCAAGGAGACCTAGAAGTCTAACATAAAACATTCATGATGTTGTAGCAAGAGTAACAGTGTGAAACAAACGAAACAAAAATCTAGGTTTTCAACATACCCAATTGAACTCCGAAAAAACCTGCTATTTGCCCTATTTGTCGATCAATATAGCCTACTTGCTATGTCGAGGAAGCAAGTATGTTCTAAACTTGATGATAGACCTGTGGTTGCGTACGTGCTTGTGACGGAGGGGGAGGGAGAAAAATCGCCCGACCACAAATACAACCAGATGACCTCAACCGGAAATTGTTCTCGAGCTAGGGATCGGGGGGATCAGAAGTATAAAGAGAACGAACAGACTGAAACCCGGACTTGGCTGGTAAAGACGGGAGTAAAGTCACGGTTGTAAAAGGGTTCTCTCTCGCTGCCATCTTCCCCTCTCTGAGTGTTTGTAATTTCTTCGCTCCTGGGTGGAGTAAGAAATAGGGCACTGCGCGCCGGGCAACACGCAAAAAAAAAAATTTGTGAAAAATTCCGTAGTGCAAAATTCTTATCCACTAGCGCGCCAAGATCATCTAGGATTGATGATTCCCCCCACCTTTCCCCATAAACCAACCCCCCCTCAAGAAAAAAAAATCTAAAACGCGAACAAGCGAAATATCCACAGTGAACCAGAAAAATTTAATTTTTGCATGTAATGATATCCAAGAATGATTTATAATACAGCGTAACAATTAACTAAAAACATAACGTTTCATGTTCTGTGTAAAACTACATGTACATTACACCAAAAAATAAATCCTTTCAACCTACACTCCTATGGTTGTATACATGATCTACTGTACGTAAGTACATGTACATATATGTACTTATTAGTGTTACTTCCTTGCCTTCCCACGTCCCTTGGTTGAGACTCCGCTGCTGGCTTTTGATTTTGCTGCAGGTTTGCTTCTGGTCGTTTTGGGCTTCTCATCCTCAGAAGTCTTTCCCTTTCCCTTTCCCGTTACCTTCTTCGGGACCTTGACATATTTGTCTTTGCTTATATCCATTGAGTCATCTTCAGCCATTTTTGCTTCTGCATCTTCTTCACCAATGGCACCTTCATCCTCGCTTTCTACAATTGCGTCCTCAATGTCAGGGACTTCTTTTTTCACAGCCTTAGGTGCAAAGTCACTGGTGGCTTTCATAAATGGCATGGGGTGAGACATCTGGTTGTATCTGTATATCCGTTAGTATAAAGCTTTCCATTGTTTTGTGATCGAGGGATTATACAGTCTAGTAAATGAACTTTTCGTTTGAGAGGATATGTTTAAACTGCTATCAGCCATGGGGCCAACGCCAAGTTCTACGATAGCATCCCAATCCTCCTTTGTTAAGAAGTAATCATCCATGAGTTGAATGATATCTGGAATGACATCTTTGCCTTCAGACTCAAGACGTCTAACAATCAGGTTGTGCAAGGTTGGTATGTAATTTTGTCGGACTTCATGGCGGTCTCCAGACGCACGCAGCCGAATATGCGATTGAATTTCCTTAACATAACGTACCAGTTTGCCTAGAAGTTGTGGAATTTAGTTGATAACATCCAAGTATTACTTTCCAGACAGACTTACCTTGCTTGGAGTTCATTCCTAACCACTGCGTGAAAGAATATTGAGAGCCACCGTATCCGCCATACATATATGAAGATGGTTTCACAGTTGAAAACATGCCATGAACCGGCATTAGGCTCCATTGCTGCTGTGGCCCATGAATAAGCGCGTCAACCAAATCGCCATCCGAGATACTTTCAGCAGCATTATCCGCCAACTCTAGTAATTTCAAGGTTCTCTCTCTTCCCCTAAAATTACCAGCCCTCGCAGGATTGGTTTTGAGGTAATTCTCTTGAATCATGAGATACGAAAACTCGTGGTCGTTGAAATAAAGCTCTATTTTGTCATTGAGCGTCTTTTTACTATTAGGGTTGAACATTTCGGTGCTTAATAGCTTCTGCGCAATATCCCAAGGTTTGAGGATTACATGCTTTTCCCATGATTTAGCTCTACTTAGTGTCAGTTATCTCAAGGCCATCACTGTCTATAAGGCGAGGTTTCGTACAAATCTTTGCTTTCCTCAAAACTCATACTTGATTGAGTGGTGCTGTATGTAGACAACATATTAATGATTTGCCGAATATCGGAGTGTGTTCCCTCAACAAGTTGGTCAATGACGTTTCCGGGAAGTTTGATTCCCTCGCGATAAGCAATAGACATAATTCTAGAGCGGACTTCGTTGACATTTGGCCGCCTAAAAGGCATATCAAATGTTACATTGTTGAAAGGCTTCATTTTTTGAAGTTTTCGTTCATTGCAAATGCAAATTATGGGAATCTAGGATAATTAGATATTGGGATTTTCTTGATATGACCAAGGTCGAGAATATACCTGAGTTTTTCTACATAGGCTTGCAAGTTGGCCTACACCGCCGCGGTCACCGGCGGACATACCGTCCACCTCATCCATTATCATAACAAGCTTCTGCTTGGAGGCATCGACTTTCTGCTTGTCTCCGGCAAAGTAGCCCATGAGCGACCTATTATCAAGAACTCCACGAAGAGTTTCCTACTCTGATGTCAATTGTGATTCATCATTAATATAGAAAAACTCATCCATACCTCCATTAACTTTTTGCTTCGAGTATCACTGGCATTGGTTTCAACGACATCATAACCCTCCAACCTGGCAACTAAATGCGCAGCACTAGTCTTCCCGATACCAGGAGGACCATGAATCATGGCCACCCGAAAAATTCCGTTTCCATCTTCTCCTCTCTTTTTAAAACCAGACTTCAAGTTTTTTGGCCAGTTTCTGAGCCACTTTTGCAACTTTTCCACCTGACCTTTATTGCCACAAATTTGATTTATTTGTGTAGGGGCATATTTAACCGTCCAAAGCTGATCAGCCTCCTTTAGAGCCGCCTCTTTACCCTTCGACTTGGTCGCTTTATCCATTTCTTTTGCCATTTCGCGAATTTTGGTTTCTTCAATTGCTTTTTTGGCTTCGTTTGCCTTTGCGGCTGCGTGGTCGCCACCGTTCGCAGGAAGTGTGCGAATCAAGTGGAATAAACCCTCCTCTCCAATTGTTTTCAAACCGTGTTGTCGGATAGTTTCTAGCTTTTTTGGACCAGCATCGTCACCTAGGACTACGTAAGACGTCTTTTTAGACGGTGCTCCGGTGATTTTACTGTTGATGCGTTAGGTCATGGGTGGGGGAAATGTATGGGAGCATTACATACCCTCCATATTTCTTGACAAGTTGCTGGCCATCCTCCCTTGATAAGCTTCCTAGAACGCCCGTGAATACAAACGTTAAGCCAGTCAAACAATTTTCTTCACCCTCTGGCATTTCCACAGTTCCTTGTGCTACTGGGCCAGCCCTTTGTTTGAAGTCCCTAAAGTTAAACTTCTTTTCTTCCCCGGAACGTGGCGGGGGCGAAGGTGCTCTAACGGTGGGGACACTATCAAGTATTTTTCTAACTTCCTCGTCCTCAATGTGTTCTTCCTTCTTCTTCTTGGGAGCGGGAGCCCGTGTCTTCTTAGCAACTGGTTTTTTAGCCTTTGGCTTTAGCTTTTCATCCTCTTCCTCAACCTCTTCCTCTTCTTCCTCGTCCTCGGAGGGTAAAGATCTTTTTTTCGTCCTGATTGTGGGTTTCCTCCTTGGTTTCATTACAACTTCTTCATCTTCATCATCAGAAGGCAATTTCTTCCGCTTGCTACTTGAGGCGGCGGGTTTTCTCTTCGGTTTTGTTGCTTCCGCTTTCTCGTCCTCCTTCTCTTCATCTTTTTGCTCTGCGTCGGGAACTAAATCTTCCATCTCATCGTCCCTCTTTTCTTCTTGATAGTCGTCCTCATGCTTTTTGAACTGGTCGGCAAAAATTCCGAGATCGATATCGTCATCATCGTCAATGTAATTTTCCTCTGGGTTTACCTCCGGCTTCACTTTTTTCGGCCTGACTGGAGCAGTCCGCACAATTTTGTTTTTGCCGTTACTCTTGAAATAGTCAGAGGTAGTTGTGGGTTCTAATTTCTCCTCTTTCTTCGCAGATTTTGCTGTTGTTTTGGGTAATGCTATTTTCTGAGTTGTTTTCTTTAGAGGTTCTTCATCGTCATCATCAGAATCTGGTAATCAAGGTTAGATCGAGCCTGTAAATTGGATATGTCTAAACCGTACCGACGACCCTCCGCTTTCGAGCTGCAGCTTTCTTCTAGAAACAATCGTACTGTAAGTGCCTTGAAAACAGTTTCGATTCAATCCCGGGGGTGAGAGCTACCTTAGCAGGGGTAGATGTAGATTTGGCTTTATCATTGAGTGAAGGTTGGCTACCTCCTTTGGGAGCGAAGAAGCTTCTGATATCGGGCATGTTTATTTTTTTTCAGTACCTTTTTGGCTTGGACGGTGCTTTCTTTAAATTGTCGAAACTTGAGCAATTGGAGGCAAATAATAAATAGACGCGTTGAGAGGTGACGCGCCCAACTTTTCTTGGTGGAGCTGGTCAATTTTCTACTTTGGGTTAGACCAGCCAAGTGCAGTTACCCTGTCCATCCGTTTCACGTTCTCCCAGAAGAAAAATATCTAGCTAGCGAACCATTTTCATTATCGACATAATCATGAGCAAAAGACCTCCCCAAAATAACTCACACGAAATGGATAATTCCAGGAAAAGAAAACGGCCGAATACTTTCACTAGCGCAGGACCTTCCGTTGATATTACTACAGCTAAGCAATTGGAAAGTTTACTAGGTGACCTTTCAAGCCAGGAGGGTTTGGAAAAGGGTAAGATGAATCAACTAATTGATTTAGGATATCTGATTGGCACGCAAAAGATTAACACATAAAAATAGGCGCCCATCAGTTTTATTCATTCCTTATACAATGCTCTAGAATACACAATTGCTCCGAAGAAACCTTGCAACAAAATTTGAAAATTTTAAAGCAATGGTTGGAGACCCAAAGCAAGAGTGCCGGTGATACTGAAGAGGGGGAAGGTCAAACAAACGCATTCAGGAGCATTCTTCAAGTTTGCAGTTTTGCTGCACAGGTATTTACAAACTGCTCCTGGCCATTTCTTCAAAGCATATCTGAACAAAACTTCACCTTAGAAACCCTACCATACAGTAATGATGTCGGTCATGTCATCCCTGACTAGTCTTGTGCGCACGTGCTCGCAAAACGATGAGCTAAAGCCATACGGGACAGTATTATGCAAAGCCATTCTTCAGCCAACCTACTTGAAAATTGTGTATCAAAATTTGAGGTCCAATCACGACCGTATCTCCACACCAACATTAAAGTTACTCACTGAAATCAATAAGTTTGATTTTGGGAGTATTTGTGGATTGCTGCATTCGGCATTTGATTTTACAACCAAAGATATCACTAAAAACTTTGGAATACGAGGAGGGAAGGAGGAAGTCATGGTAGCTACGGAAGAGACCAGAAAACCTTCGGTAAGAACATCATTTGTGAGGTTCCTTCTTTCATTTTTCCAACATGGAAGCTCTTCTGTGAAAAATGAAGTGCTCCAACAGCGAGTATGGATTACAACACTATTCAAATATCTCAAATATGATGCACCTTTTGTTGTGCACGAGGTCTTGGAAGCCATTGGCAAGAGGATATTGGAGGATCGTGGTATTCCTCGAGCGACCAAAACAAGCATTTTCCATGAGGGGACACTTACCTCTATTCTCGCCCTATATGATCGCACTGATGTCGTGAATCTTGAAAGAGCGGGAAAGACTGAGGAAAAAGCAGTCAAGGAAATATCACACGAATTTCTGATGAAAACATGTACTACACCCGGCAATGGTGTTTGTTTCCCGGATTCTGGATGGTATCCGTTAAAGCGTGGCGAAAACGACGAAAAACGCGCCGGTCCGCTCAGTGTACACAATCGTGCCCTCGCATCGTTTATCATAAAAGTCCGTCCATATTTCGACATCCTACAACAAGATCTTTTGTTGGAAATTTTCAAAGCCTGCCCGGAACTGGTTGCAAGTTACTTTCAGAGTAATCCTCCCTTTAGCTTTGATCCAAAACTTACATCCACATGGATCGGATATTGCGCCTTCCTCACATCTACCGTACAACTACCTACACCAAAAAACTTTGGTATGAGCGAGTTGTCTGTCATTCCTCCACCGGTCAATATCGCCATTGAGAATGTAGTTCCAAAACCGCTCAACAAGGCTACGTTGACAAAATGCTTACAAGAAAACTCTCTTATTAAATTTTCTGTCACTCGTCTTCTCATATTTTCGTTTCAAAAGCTCCGAGCTGTACTTGATGCGATTGATGATGCGTCAAAGTCGATGGTTGACCCTTCCTCAAATTGGATCCGAGTTCGATCTGAGCTTATTGAAGAGTTTTGTAAGCGGGTACCAGATATGTCTTTCCTGGTGGGCCTAGTCCACTCTTCTTTCAAAGGCAAGAACCAAATTCAAGGAAAATTGCAAAAGGAGGCTTCCAGCAGATTACTTGCGGATTATTTTGAATTGTTACCAGAGGTTGCCACGGCCGGGAATTTTGATATCTCCACTGCTCTAGGAAACTTTTTTGCAAACAAAGATAATGTGGAGGACAGAGGGTTTAGGGTCCTAGAGATGGGGCATTTATTAAGGGTCGCAGAGGATGCCTCTGACATCAAGTGGTGGAATAAAGGTTCGTTTGAAAGTTTCACCTGAAACGGGTTTGGTTCTAACCAAGCACTAGGCTCAATGCAGTTTTCGCCTTTCGTTTCAATCCTCAACATATGTTGCGGCCCTGCGTCAAAAATGCCTTTAAAACAGATCAGGAAGCTTCTCCGCTCTTTTATCACCCCAAGCAATTTATTTCAGAGCGACACGATAGCATCGCCGCTCGAGACCCTGCTGGAAAGCCTGTCGTGCACACAAGACCCACTGGCCCTCAACTCCATCCTTTTATTTATCGATCAATGCGCGATACGTTGTATACGTACTCCCTTCAAATACACCGATGACTACGCCGAGCTCGCTCTGGAGACCATGAGATCGAAACCACTGACTGAGAAATTTCCTGCCGTAAGCCCTCTAACAATGACACTAGTGGAGCAATGGAAATTCTTCATGAAGTCGGACTCAATTCCTGCCGTAAAAGACACCGCTTCAATCTGGCTTGTAAGATTTCTTGAGTCGAGTGTGATATTAGGAGAGAATAAATATGTTCTCGCTGTATTGTGCGGACGTCTCGCTACCATATGCGAAGAGACGGGTCATTTAGATGGTAAGATAGTATTTACAGAGCTAAAGCTTCAGCTGGAAAACGAAAAGTATTTGGAGCTCGAGAGTGGGTCCTCAAACCAGATCGCACCCAATTCTCTAAACGATTCATTATCGACTAGAAGGTTATTCAGAGACCTGTGTCATTTCAATATTGCCAACATCGAGCGAGTAACGAAGTCTATTGAAGAAAGGGAAATTGATGTATCGCTACTAGATGTTGCAGTCGCTCAAAAGGCAATTATCTATGTTCTAGGATCCCAGAAGATAAGCTCTGATGATTCTTGCTTGGCATTGTCCAAGTTAATGGATCTTATGGAAGCCATTCTAGTACGCCTAAAGGAAGGAGAGGATACTGGAATCTGGAACGATGCCAAGAAAATGCTTGCAACTAACGAAGATTGGGTGAAATTATTCCTGGGACTACCTACAGAGCCAAGTGGAACCTCGACAAAATTACGAGATTTTGCAAGATATGCATACTTCTCAGAAAGTAAGTTAAATGATTAATCTCTAAATATACTCGGTAAATACTGACCTTTCTTCTCCAAGGATATTCAAATCTCCTTAGGGCTAGTTTTGATAGTTACGAGCCAATATTAAAAATCATTTGTGTTCAAGCACAATCTTCCATCGAAAGCCTGGGTCGTTATCTTGAGGACAATCCGGATGACCACTTTACAGAGGTATTTTGACGCAAGAGTCCTAATTTAAGATATGATGTTAATTTCTTTCTAGGTTCTTTCTACGTACAAGTGTATAATCACACAACTTTTTTCTTATGAGCACATGTTGGATTTCATCAAAACTTTTATTCTCGTTGAAAGTGAACCAAGTGAGCTTAAGTTCGAGATTCTAGCATTATTATTACAACAATTATCTTCAAGGGGGCAATACCTACCCCTTAAAGATTTGGAAACTCTTTTGGCAACAGGCGATGCCCCCAAGACATTTTATAATGCTCTTGCTGGATACATACTCTCTGTGCCGAAGGAAGAGATTGAAGATCTTGATATCGAGCATTACCATATGGATTTTGAAGCCGAATTGCACGAATGGATGGTCTCACTTGATTGTGCCTTGATAAAGCAGGTCAAGTCTGTGCGCGAAGCAGCCCTATCTACCTTAGACACGAATTTACGCAATGGAAAAAATATCCCGCATCTAGAAAGACATTTCTCGACACTCCTAGCAAGCTTTGCGGTACATAGGGAAGACGCTGCTGGATTTGAATGGGAGGAACCAACAGGCTCAGAGATTAAGGAAAAGATGGAGAGACTTTTCTCTGTGATCCAAGACAAGATGTTTGAAAATCCTCCTGATGCACCCCAAACCGAGGTCTTCCTGATGGCGGCATCGCTGTTGAACTCGATAGACAAAAACCGCCTTCTTAAATTTATCACAAGTGATAATCGAAGAAGCACTTTGACGGCGAATACAACCGCACTGCTTAACGTTTTGATTCGGGATATGAATTCAGGGGAGGCAGAGTCCGTCGAACTACGTAACTGGCTGTTAATGGTGTTTGATCACCTTACAAGGCGCTTTGCTGAGGACAAAATGCTCTCCGATAAGATTTTGGACTTCACTAAGCAACTAGGTATGTTCTCCTTCCAGATATTTCACTAGGAAAAATTCTAATGTTATCAGAGCGGTTGCTCAATCTTGGAACGATCAACCTCAATTCATCTGTACCACGACCAACACTGAACGCCGTGCTTGAAGTCGGTTTGGAAAACCATATCCACATACCGGAGGTAGTTTATTTCGCCGCCGTGATAGTTTCTCAGTTGCCGGCAAATGTAAGATACTAGTTTCTTCCTAATACGCTAATAAATACTAACACTTCAATTTCGAAGGCTCTTGAGGTTGCAAAACTACTACAGATTGTTCTTGGACATTCTCAAAATCCCCTCCTTCTACGAAATAACTACTTCGATACCCAGGAAATCTCATACCACACGGCGTTTCTTATCTACAGACTGTTTTCCATGGCCAGTTCTAGACAATCTAACGTCACTACTTTAGATGGGGTTTTGTCTCTTTATCGAGGTTCAAATGATATCATCGATGCCGCCTTATATATGATCATCTGCGATATCGAAGCGCATCTGGCGCGCAGTATTGGAGACCGAATCGCCTCCTGGACAGTTGTGGAGAGTTCAGATATACCTTTGGTTTCGCGAGTACGAGGACGTCTTACAGTCACGATTGATTCAAAAACACTGGCAAGGAGCGTTTTTCAATCGTCACCCAATCGACCAATAATTCCGAAGGAAAAACTGAAACAGCTAGAATTCTTCATGACCATATCAAAAAATGAGGATCAACATCTCTCCAAGACTTATGACCTTGAGTTTATTCTACCCGCTCTCACATTTTGTCTCAATTCAGAACAACAAGTTATCGAGATCACAACTATCATCGAAAGACACTGCTTGGGGTTCACCATAACAGGTCTTTGCTCCGACCGCAGCCGTGTGCGTGGTATGGCGATTGGATTCATTATGACTTCGATCGCAAAGTTAGAGGTAACAATTCCCTCCACTCCCTCCAAATAAATAACTAGATCTAACATCACTAGAAATCGTCACATCGCGAAAAACACCAAATTCTTGGATTGCTCTGTACACTAGTCGCCTCAATCAGCGATAAAGAGAAAAAAGATGGCGAACAAGGCTTGAAGCACCCGATACCAACCGTCCTTGGCGTCTTTTTCGCCCAGTGTGTTCAAATTGTTATAAACCCTGGGCATTTCCTCTATGAGAAAATTATGACATTGCTTCTTCAACAAGGACCCATTATGGATCTTTACGATCTGCCCTACATCTTACAAGTCGCAAGCCTAGAAAGAGGCGATGACTACTATAAAGAGATCTCGTGGGTCCTGGGGATACTGGTTGCAGGGCTAAAAACAACTCAAGTATAAACCTAAATTCGTCATTCCTATATCGACAATACTAACCAGAACACAGGACCTAGCGATCTATCACAACCGCAGGATTTTTGGTGGCTGTCTCAATGCTTACGTTGCACCCCACTGCAGCGACAGAGCTAAAGAGAGGATCCTTGAACTCCTCTGGAACACCGCCGCCGTTGAAGGGGGTGCAACCACACTCATCACTCGTAACGCCATCATGTCCTTCATTGAGACCCAGGCAAACAGTGCCGAAAAGGACGATTTAGTTCTGTTAAAGAGACTTTCGGCTAGACTCTATGAGGCGTCATCAAAGGGGCATGTAAAGGAGTGGGCAAAGGGTAATCTGGAGGCTCATTTAGAAGATATCTTCGTAAAATAGGTAGATACACAGAAATTAGTGATACCATGTGAAGCGAGAAAGCTGTTACTATCGGCTTTGAGATTTAGGCAGTAATTCAGGGCTTGTTAGATCGGTGTTTCCCTTTTTTCTTTTCATTTTCATGGCATTTCAATCATTGCCATGTGTTAGGATCATATCATATCACTCGGATCTCAATCATGACTAATTCAAAAAAAAAAAGTGTTATACATATCGTTTATCCCTTAAGTCGTCAGGACCGATTTCAATCTCGTTACTCATACCTGATGCGGAAGTCGTGATATGAACATCGCAGAGAAGTGATCATGATTCGTAGCTGCTCACGCTAATTCTTATCATTACAGCAAAAGCTTGCTATAACGGTACGCTCGGGACCGGAATTTGGTACCGTTATAGAGAGATTACCCTTATATAGGAGGTGCTGGTGCTGAAAGCCAGGCAAAAAGGACCGAGAAGTGCTACCGTTATAGAGAGATTACCCTTATAGAAAGTACCGTTATAGCAAGTTTTCGCTATAAATCGTGATAGATCTCCTCTGTGACGTTCATATCACGACTTCCGCATTAGGTATGAGTAACGAGATTGAAATCGGTCCTGACGACTTAAGGGATACTTCTCTTTCATTCTAGTGATAGGATGGTAGGTGCACTCAACCATTGGCTCTGCGAAATTATCAAATAAAAGTCGGCGGAGTCACGATTATGACTCTTTCACAACACTTGTGTAGAGTCATAACACTTAACACGAGCTTGTGTAACCCACATTAGCTTACCACGGATGCACACATAGCTTATCACGTGATATGAGTCATCACGCGTACCGCACAAGGTCCCCCGCGACGCGCCTTCATTAACGCGTCTTCCCCATGCGTGTTCCCAGGTGTCTCCCTAAGCTGCCATACTGCACCTCCGCAAGAGCTGTATATCCCCCCATAACATCACTATTTCTTTCCCGCAAAATGTCTTCCACGCCTAGAAAACGTAAGGCCGAAGCGAGTAGTAGCACCAATGCCACCAGCGCAAAGAAGAAAACTACATCTACCGCTACGGCTGCGACGGTATCCAATTTCTTCAAACCGGCATCCCAGAAGGAGCCGGAGCCAACGACGTGGAGACTGGTCTCAAAGTCGCTATTGGTCGGAAAGTACCAACCCAAGGGGACAGTCGGGATTGATGTAGCCGCGGCGGGGAAAGTGAAGATCGCTGGATTCGATCTGGTTAGTCAATGCCGTATCCACTGTCTAAGGAGAGATACATGTACCCGACAGTGCCTGAAGGCCAACTGACAGCGATTGAATAGGACTCAACCCTCATCTCCACACTTTCGGGAAATAAGTTCGCCAAAGACGCTACGGATTGGAAATGGTGGGACCCGTCTGTGCCGACCCGGCTTAAATCACTACAAGCCGAAGGCTATCAGCTTGTCATCTTCACGAACCAGAACGGCATTCCCGACCCGACCAACGAGTCGGTACGCCTAGCGGCGTTCAAGACAAAACTCGCTGCAATCTTTAAGACGCTGAATATACCGGGTATGTTGGTATATGCAGCGACGGCAAACGATCGATTTCGGAAGCCGAGGCCAGGAATGTGGGAGGAGCTCTTAGACGACCTGGACTGCGATGGAACAGTACCCGAGAGGGCTGCTGAGTTGAAGGAATGTTATCTAGTTGGTGATGCGGCGGGGAGAGAGGGCGACTTCTCAGATACGGATCGGTATGTGTGCCTATTTGTCCCTATAATTAAATGTCGACATACTTAACCGGCACAGGAACTGGGCAATTAATCTCAAAATCGGGTTTCACACGCCTGAGGAATACTTTCTTTCCCAAGCTCCAAAACCTATGTCCCACAGGTTTGACCCGGCACTCTACATAACCCCTTCCACCAGTAGTAACGGTAACGAATCTGCATTCACCCCCAACCCCCAATCTCAAGAGATCATCCTTTTATGTGGCTCTCCCGGTAGCGGTAAGTCCACGTTCTACCGGCGCCATCTCCTTCCCCATGGCTATGCGCACATCAACCAAGATACCCTCAAGACCAAGCCGCGCTGCCTTAAGGTCGCGCGTGAGCACCTCTCTGCAGGCAAGAGCATTGCCATTGATAACACTAATGCCGATATTGCCACGCGCAAGCTGTGGATTGATCTGGCGGGCGAGTTCAATGCGCCGATCAGGTGCGTGTACTTCGTAGCAGACGAGGCACTGTGTATGCATAACGCTGCTGTGAGGGCGTTTGGTGGGACTTTGGTGAACCCAGAGGGGAGGGAAATGTTGCCGAGGATAGCGTTTGCCGGTTTTAAAGGAAGATTTGTAGAGCCGAAAGTGATAGAAGGTTTTTCGGAGGTCTCTAGAGTGGCGTTTAAGTGGGAGGGTGAGGAGGAGGAGAGGGGTGTCTGGAGTAGATTTTGGACTTAGAGCCCTCCACTTCCTTCTGTCTTTCTTTTTTGTTTTAGAAGCCTTTCTAGTGTATTTTCTTTTCTTTCTTTTTCCTTTTCTTTTTTATATGTAGTAAAATGCGGATACCACTTTTTCTGTTATGTCACTCTGACTTTCTTATATGGGGGTATGCTTTTAGCAAGACTTTTTGTGGAACTAATTGTCTCCTCCTAAGCTCTCCTGATGGATTGGGTATAATGTCGCTCGATCCCCCTGGCTCCATAAGGGTAGCTTGGGCCATGTTAGCTTCATTCAAGAGCGAGTGATAAGTAGTGATTTGCAAACCAAAGGTATAGCTTAGAACGTAATTTTGAATAAGAGCAAAAATGGACGACCCTTTGGGGTGGTTAACCCCGGGTCATACATGTAGGTATTGTCCATCTCAATACATGTATTTCCATGTTGGCTTGGAAACTACACGTAGGTTTAGCCTAGGTTTAGCCTAGGTTTAATAACAGTTTTATTCTCGTGCTGACTACGTGTATTATATAGAAGGCAAGACCCTGTTCGGCCTGCCTGAGATAGGCTTGCTAATTAGGCCGATGAACACTTATATGGGAGCACACGTTGATAAACCTTAGCTCATCAAAAATACCGAGTGATATTTTGTGAGCCATCACGTGAAGAGGCTTTACCTTATCCGGAGAGGTTATGGGAGTTTAGAAACACACCCGAGAGACATCAACCAGGAGGTATTCCCTAGATCGAAGCATAATTCTTTGAATCAGGCAGGAAATTGTGAAATTATAGTATTTCAGTATTCTACTTTTTTTCATGGGATTTTCAACCGATACACGTCCTTGGCGCGCTAGTCCATCACCATCCTTATCTAAAGTGGAAACAACGCTCGACGCGTTGCCGCCGCGGGTCCGAGTATTGTCTGCAATCCGCGACACCTCCCCATATTATACGCAACTTTGCTTTTCCTCGGGCTCCCCCTGGTTTCGTTTATTTATTCTCGTCGGCTTAGACGTCGGTTTTCTTACCTTGCTGTCAGTGATAAATTAACGGTGCCATGGGTATCACAGGTAAAATACACCTTCACCCTTCAGCCTACGTAAATATTGTGCTTACCACCCTCTACAGGGCTCTACAAATGGCTCGATTCCATCAAGCGTGTAGAACACGTCAAAAAATACAACGGCCTCACCCTCGGAATCGACACCTACAGCTGGCTGCACAAAGGTGCATTCTCCTGCGCCCTCGAGCTCGTCCAGGGCACACCCACAACCCGTTATGTCGACTTCTGCGTCGAGCGCATCAAGATGCTACAGTATCACGGTGTCACACCCTACCTCGTCTTTGACGGCGATTACCTCCCCTCTAAAGCGGGTACCGAGGCAGGCCGCGAGGAACGCCGTGAAGAGAGCAGGCAGAAAGGCCTTGAGCTGTTAAAGACGAATAAGAAGGAGGCTATGGATATACTGCAGAAGGCGGTGGATGTGACGCCGGCAATGGCGCGTGCGGTAATACAGGCATGTAAGGAGCTCGGCGTCCAGTATGTCGTTGCGCCGTATGAGGCGGATGCGCAGCTGTACTATCTCGAGAAGATAGGTGTTATCGACGGCGTCATATCCGAGGACTCGGACCTACTAGTATTTGGCGTACGCCTGCTGGTGACCAAGATGGATCGTTTTGGAGACTGCGTTGAGGTTAACCGCGCGGATTTTACGAAGAATAGAGACATTACGCTAGCAGGATGGACGGATGCGGAGTTTCGTATGATGGCGATATTGTCTGGGTGCGATTATCTGCCGAGTATCAGGGGTATTGGGCTCAAAAAGGCACATGGCTACGTGCGCTCTCATAAAACAGTTGATCGTATTGTGCGTGCGATCAGGATGGAGGGGAGGATGACTGTACCGCCAGACTATCTCGAGAAGTTCAAGCAGGCGGAGCTTACATTCCTGCATCAGCGGGTGTGGTGCCCGAAGGCTGAGATGATGGTGATGTGCAATGAGCCAGATGAACCACTTACCGGGGAAGCTCTAGTATTCATCGGCGGGTATGTAGCTCACCCAATTCCTGCTTCCGCCTCGTCTTAACACCCAATAGAGTAGTGGAACCTCAAATAGCCCGCGGGATTGCACTGGGCGAACTCGACCCAATAACCAAGCTCCCTTTTGACCCTATCCCAACGACTACGCATACAGCAAGAGCCTACCCGTCACAGCCATGCATAACCGTAGGTCACCCTTCATGTTATGCCTACCTGTTTCTAACCCTTATCCCAGTGCTAACCCACCCGCAGTTCCGGCCCCGTCCCCGCCCACCCGCTGCAAAGCCTGTTAGCATCGCAGCATTCTTCCCCAAAACCTCAACGCCAAGAACACCACTCGCTGCAAAATCGTCAAATATTCAAGCCATTCGTAAAGCCTTCACCGCACCGAGACCATCCTCAGCATCATCATCATCATCGTCGTCGTCGTTTTCATGTCCGCCTAAGAAACGCGGTGCAGAGGAAGCACCCAATCCGGACACTCCAATCAAGAAGTCGCGGACGCTTGCCGCGGATGAGAATGTGAGGGTTACGGGAGAGCGAAGTGCCTTCTTCAATACTCCCAAACATCTGCAGTCGCGTCGCCCACTTGCCGTAACTGTGGAAACACCTACGACCAAGAAAACAGTCACCGAAAGCGCTCCAATTCCCCCAACCGTGGCGGACTCTGACCTGGAAAAAGCGATCCAGGCGTCACTGCAGCCCGAATATCTCCCTGACACGGAGATTGAAACCGGTGTTCAGAAAGTCGCACGCTCACTCAAAGCCGATTTTTCAAAGAGTGGTCATGGGAAACTGGCGAAGTTTGTTGAGAAGCAACGGGTTGGGGCGGCGAAGGCACGGTTGAGCACGAGTGCAGCGGGAATAAAGAAGAACGGCGGGTTTATGCAGCAGTTTAAGAGGTCTGTCGGGACAAAGATGCAGATACCGCATACGGTAGGCGTGGGTGAAGAGAGTCAGGATAGTGCTGGCGGCGATAGCCAGGGTGCAGGCCTTGGGCTTGGCGTTGGGGTAGAGGAGAGCCAGGGCAGTGACATTGAGAGCCAACGGGAGTTTGGACGTGGTTTGGAGGCGTTCAGGTTGAAGCGGTAACGGGTTTTTTCATCCAGAGATACACAAAGACTATTTTGTGCCTTTTTTGTTGTCGTTTTGTACTCAATTGGCGTTAGTCTTTTTTGGTTGTTGGTTTAAATCTCTTTTCTGGCATGGGAGCGTTTTATTCTTTCCTTTTTTTATATTCTTTGGATTGGTTAAATGAATGGGATGAATTATGGATATATTACAAACAAGTGTCATATCTCAATAAATTATAGCGATATCAGGCTTCTGTCTGAATTCGTTGTTAACTCTCGAATCCGTTTGTTTCTAATCCCATACCGCACCAGAATGTTCAATGACACTTCTGCCGTTTTTTATAGTTGACCCTCGGTAGTTTAGCGCGGGTAAATGACGTAATTCCACTTCTTATTGCATGCAGCAGCTTAACTCCGTGGATTAGATATGCTTCCCCGCGACAACATATCTCTGAATCTCTAATGCTTCTACCAAGAGCCAGTGTTCTAAAAACTCGACGTCTACTACAACCTCTTAAATTCGCGCAACAGTCTCGAGCTATGCAGATCAAGTCGATTCCAATGTGTATGTTGCTACACTTGTGCTCTAGGCCAGTCGCTTGAATTAATTTGATGTAACTTAGGGACCGGAAGCCATGATAACTATGCTTATCTGGTGGTAGACGACAAGACGAAAGATGCAATGATTGTGGATCCAGCGAACCCGCCAGAGTATGCCCTGCGGCGTCCTTGGGATTGTCTGTTGAAGAGACTTTATCTGACGGTGGGCGTGTAGGGTGCTACCGTACTTGGAGAAGACGCTGGCGGCGGAGGGGATTACCCTGAAGGGTATTATCAATACGCACCAGTAAGTTAAGCCTTCAGGGTGGGTCGGGCTGGATATAGCTAACTCAGGCATTTGAAAGTCATTATGACCATGCCGGCGGTAATAAAGAGCTGGTAAGCATCCAAGATGCTTCTGCCTTCCAGGCTGACTGCTAATATTCTCTCCCGCCAGCTCAAAAACTATCCAGTCCCAATCCTCGGCGGAAAAGACTGTGAGGGCGTGACAAAAATCCTCAAAGATGGCGAGACCTTCACCATTGGCAAGGGGATTAGCGTCAGGTCATTGCACACACCGTGTCATACTCAAGATAGTATCTGCTATTTTGTCCAGGATGGGGATGAGAAGGCAGTATTTACGGGGGATACTCTGTTCATTGCCGGTGAGTGGTTGTATATGTGTTGGACTAGGGAGTTGGTTTAATAATCGTGGTTTTAGGCTGTGGTAGATTCTTCGAGGGTACGCCAGAGGAGATGCACAAAGCATTGAATGTGACGCTGGCTTCACTCCCGGACGATACGAAGGTCTACCCGGGACATGAGTATACAAAGTCTAATATCAAGTTCGGACAGCATGTCACGGATACGGTGCCGGTGCAAAAGCTGGGAAAGTTCTGTGCAGAGAACGAACAGACACAAGGGAAATTCACTATTGGGGATGAGAAGGTGTGTGATGCTTCCCTGCTGTATCATTTTGATGGTGGTCTAGCTCATGTTACTTATACTGACGATTTCTAGCAACATAACGTTTTTATGAGAGTTGATGTTGGTGATATCTTTCTATAATTTGAATTTTGATGCTCTTAATGTCAGCTAATATAAATGGTGGTGTATAGGACCCGGCTGTTCAGCAAGCCACCGGTGAAATTGAACCAGTTGCGGTTATGAAGAAGCTTCGGGAGATGAAGAATAGTTTCAAGTAGTTTGGTCCTTTTATTTGACCTTTGTTAAACTACTTTATTCAATTAGTCTCTAATATTTGTGCAGACCTCCTGTGAAGTCTATATTGTAGAGTTGTGCGTGAAATATGAGGTTGTAATTTGAGTATAATTTTCGGGACTGGTGTGTTTAGTTTGTGTCTCGAGATTTAATCCATATCCCGGGGAGTCCATTAACGATTGACATAAGTTTGAACACTGGCTGGATATTTCCTAAGTTGGTATTTCGGGAGTGTTCGCATAATCTCAGCAGACCTAAAGAACTAATATTGATACAAGGGTTAGGGGTACGCTTTCGACTCATGAGGATGAGGCTCTGAGTCAACCCCGCGCCGCATAAAAATACCCCGCCATCCCATCTCGAAAGTCCATCGCAACGAAAAACCCCACCAACCATAGCACTTCCGCCCACAAACCCTCAAATCTAATAAAGCTCAACCTCAAAATTTAGCTTTTATGGATTTCCCCAAGGAAGAAGAGAAAATCCTCGAGTTCTGGAGGGAGATTGATGCCTTCAGGACCTCGGTCAAATTGTCAGAGGGGAAGACGCCGTATTCTTTTTATGACGGACCTCCGTTCTGCACTGGGTGAGTTGCTCTGAAGATGATTGTGAGCTTTGGAGCAGAAGCACTAAACATTTTTTGATCTGGGTGTATAGATTACCGCATTATGGTACACACATTCGCTTTGTAGTTTTCTTGTCTGTGTACTGACTTGGTTCGTTTGACCGAAGGCCACTTGCTCGCCAGTACCATCAAAGATATTGTCCCCCGTTATTGGCACATGAAAGGCCACTATATCGAGCGAAGGTTTGGTTGGGATACTCACGGTCTCCCCGTTGAGTATGAGATTGACAAAAAGCTTAACATCACCTGTAAGGACGATGTTATGAAGATGGGCATTGATAAGTATAATGCCGAGTGTAGGGCTATTGTCATGAGGTACTCCACAGAGTGGAGACAAACTATCGATAGGTTGGGTCGCTGGATCGACTTCGACAACGACTACAAGGTTAGTTTGTAAATTGCTGTTAAAGATCGGGCTGCAGTTTCGGCTACTGACAAGTGCTAGACCATGTACCCGACATACATGGAGTCCATCTGGTGGGTTTGCAAGCAGCTTTTTGACAAAGATCAAGTGTATCTTGGATACCGTGTTATGCCCTATTCAACTGCATGCACCACCCCGCTTTCCAACTTCGAATCTCAGCAGAACTATAAGGATGTTCAAGACCCTGCCGTAGTTGTCAGCTTCCCACTGGTAGAGGATCCCACTACCGACCTTCTTGCTTGGACCACCACACCTTGGACTTTGCCCTCTCACACCGGAATTGCGGTCCACCCAGACTTTGAGTACATCAAGATCAATGATCAGGCGTCTGGCAGAAACTATATCCTTCTCGAGTCATGTCTGAAAACTCTATATGGAGAGAAGGGGCTCAAAAAGGCAAAGTACACTATTGAGAAGAAGTACAAGGGTAAGGATATGTTAGGATGGAAGTACGAGCCGCTTTTTGACTACTTCTATGAGGACTTTAAGGAGCATGGTTTCAAGGTATTGAATGCTACCTATGTCACATCGGACAGTGGTACGGGGTTGGTTCATCAAGCACCTGCATTTGGTGAGGAGGATTACAATGTCGCGATGGATGCGGGAGTCATCACGGAGAAGAGGCCTCCGCCAAACCCGGTTGATGAGTCTGGTATTTTTACTAGCCAAGTTAGAGATTTCGCTGGGCTTCACGTTAAGGTACTTTTTCTAGCCCTCTCTCTATATAAATGATGTACTAACATGTGAATTGAAGGCTGCAGACAAGTCTATCATTAAACATTTGAAGGAGAAAAAGAGACTCGTCGTCGATGGTCAAATCACCCACAGTTATCCGTTCTGTTGGCGTTCAGATACCCCTTTGATTTACCGAGCCGTTCCCGCTTGGTTCGTCCGTATCCCCAGTATCATTCCCCAGATGTTGAAGAACATTGAGGGCTCGCATTGGGTTCCTTCAAACGTGAAGGAAAACAGATTCGCAAGTTGGATTGCAAATGCTAGGGACTGGAACATCTCTCGTAACAGGTATTGGGGTACACCGTTACCCATCTGGGTTTCGGATGATCGTGAGGAGATTGTGTGTGTTGGAAGTGTAGAGGAACTCAGGGAGTTGAGTGGATGCGGAGAGATTCCGGATCTCCACCGCGACAAAATTGACCACATCACCATCCCGAGCAAGAAAGGAAAGGGTGTTTTAAAGAGAGTGGAGGAGGTCTTTGATTGTTGGTTTGAGTCTGGAAGCATGCCTTACGCTAGCAAGCACTACCCTTTTGAAAACAAGGAGCAGTTTGAGGGCTCTTTCCCAGCTAACTTCATTGCCGAGGGATTGGACCAGACGCGTGGATGGTTTTACACTCTCCTTGTCCTTGGTACACATCTTTTTGGAGTCTCTCCATTCCAAAACTGCATTGTCAATGGTATTGTACTTGCCGAGGACGGAAAGAAGATGTCCAAGCGTCTCAAGAACTATCCTGACCCCACATTGGTCATGGATAAGTACGGTTCTGATGCTCTGAGACTGTACCTTATCAACTCACCAGTTGTCAGGGCACAGCCGCTGAGGTTCAAGGAGTTGGGTGTCAAAGAGGTTGTCGCCAAGGTGCTGTTACCGCTTTGGAACAGTTACAATTTCTTCGAGCAGCAGGCACAGCTGTTGAAGAAACTGACTGGTAATGAATACAGGTTCAGCCCTGAGTCAGGCGGTAACAAGAATGTGATGGATAAATGGATTTTGGCCAATTGCCAGAGTTACTTGAAATTTGTGAATGAAGAGATGACTGGTGAGCTCACTCAAGAGTTGACGGTTATTGTCCGTTGCTAATCAGCTTTAAACCCTTAGCGTACCGTTTGTACACCGTGGTTCCTAGAATGCTGGAAATGATCGACAACACAACCAACTGGTACATTAGATTCAACAGAAAACGTCTGAAGGGTGAATATGGCCTCGAAGACACAACACATGCTCTAAACGCACTTTTTGAGGTTCTATTTACGCTTGTGCGTGGCCTCGCCCCATTCACACCATTCTTGACAGATAATATCTACCAACGCCTGCGCCCCTACATTCCCGAGTCACTCTTACCCAAGGATTCTAGAAGTGTACACTTCCTGAGCTTTCCAGAGGTTAGGGAAGAACTGTTCGATGAGGATGTTGAGAGGAGATTTGGCAGAATGCAGAAGGTCATTGAGCTGGCACGTGTTTCCAGAGAGAGGAAGACTGTCGGCTTGAAGGTAGCTAGATCCAATAACTTATAAATCACTTATAAATCACTTTGACGCTAACTGATATTTCAGACACCTTTGAAAACACTTGTTGTCATCCACAAAGACCAACAATATCTCGACGATATCAAGTCTCTCGAATCTTACATCACCTCTGAGCTTAACGTCCGCGATCTTGTCCTTTCATCGGACGAGGATAAGTACGGTGTACAATACAAAGCTGTTGCCGATTGGCCTGTCCTTGGAAAGAAATTGAAGAAGGATCTTCCCAAGGTTAAGCAAGCTCTCACTAAGCTAACGAGCGCTGAGGTCAAAAAATTTGTCGAAGACAAGGAAATCGTAGTCGGTGGGATCACACTTGTGGCCGAGGATCTCAACGTTGTCCGCGAGCTCGGGGAGTCATCATCGGGGCATATGGAGACAAACACGGATAACGATGTCCTTACCATCCTTGACACAGAGCTACACAAGGAGCTGGAGAGTGAGGGACTTGCGAGAGAAATTTTGAACCGTGTTCAGAGGCTACGAAAGAAGGCGGGCCTCGTGGCTACGGATGATGTGAAGATGGAGTATAGAATCCTCAAGGACCCGATTGGACTCGAGGAGGTCTTTGTAGAGCATAGGGATACTCTTGAGAAGGCGCTCCGAAGGCCTCTGGATAAGGCCACTATCACGCATATTGAAGAAATAAATCCAGGTGAAGATATAGACAAGATCATTATGGAGGAGGAGCAAGAGGTTGGAGAAGCCACATTCTTGCTGAGGCTTCTAAAACTTTAAGGTTTAGTGATTCTTAGATATATTCAATTTATTTAGAGTTCAAACGTTTTAAGAAAACCTAAAGATACTTCGATCAAGGAAAGAAGAGAACCATGTAAAACTGGACTTCTATCATTAAAGGCACCCATGATGTATGATACCATGTGATACAAATAACTACAACTACAATTTCCACGCTGCACTAAACTAGGTTATGGCACGAGACCACATTTACGTATGTGTGAATACCGAGAATTCGAGTCCTCTGTACTTTCCCTCAATTTCTCGTGTAATCAGAGCCTACATGTATCTTATTACTCGCCACGTCTTTATTCAGGGAAATACGATAATTACTACTGGTTTACAGCACCTAATAAAAGTATTTTATCTATAAACTAAACAGCCATGACTAAATAATAGAGCTCTAGAGTAGAGATTATTAGCCTTGTCCCCAGGCCCTGGTTTAGTTCTGCTATACTTTCGATTTCTGGCTTCCGAGTCTGGAGGATATATTATTGCCGCACTTAGCCACTTCCGGTACGCCAAGAGTTATATGGGTATATCAAGGCCTCTATATACATTATATTACACGATATTAGGTCGGTCAAGCAACCAACTCTCGTACATTCCACAAATAATATAAAGGAGCTTCCCTTTACCTTCATATACCTATCCACAATAGGTAATTCCCGAGATAAAAATGATCCAACAATATGATATAAATCATATGACTAGATATCCTGTGTAGCTATAAATAATTCCAAATGAGGATATTCAAACGAGTGAAAGGCAAAATCAATAGCTGGGGGGTGATTCATGAAGACTACATGTACTCTGGATCCAGTCGCGCTATGGTTCTGGTACGCCAAGAATTATATTGGTATGTATAAGACCTCTATTATAGTAGTGTATGTAGTGAATAAAGAAACCAGTATCGTACACTTCACTTTACATGGATATTCACTTTTATCTTCATATTCCCGTATTTACTAGTAAGAGAACAGGACCTAGAGCTAAAAATCCGTCACTAAATGAAGGTAACGGGCATCATACGTGGTATTCAAAGTAGATCCATAACCAGAGCAACAAAAGGAATAGAAAGCTAAGCCTAATTAGGAGTTCTACACTATTGGGCTGCAGATTTCGCATGAAAAGTGCCGTTTCCGTAACTACAAAAGTTTTTCAAAATTGCTTACATGTAGCAAGCTAGACAAGATCGGAGATGTTGTTTTGTCGATCTTAACACTTGTTGATCATCATTGGCCATAGCCCGATCACCAATTACACAGGCGAGTGATACTCCATGCTTAAGATATACATGTATTGTAGTCTAAAATAATCTATTTTTGGTCGTACACGACATTACATTACATTAAAATAATCACATGCAGTGAGAAATATTCTCGCTAGTCCTTATACCTACCCCAACTCTCTATCAACAAAATCCTCCCCTTCAATGCTTTTCAGTGATGGAATATCCTTATCTAGGCGTCTCCAGGACGAACATAGTTAGATGAGCTCGGACCCCTGGGTTTAAGGAGCCACAGAGAGAAGATAGAAAAATGAAGAAATACCGCCCTAGGCAAAACAGACAAAGAAACCCAAGAAACCCAAGAACCCTAAGAGAGTAAGTAAAGAAATCGATGAAAAATTACAAAAGACGCCCAGCGTTCGTGAAACAGGTAGAAAAAATAAAGCAAAAAACAAGTCGTTATACAGATACAGCAAGTGAATAAGAATGATCGAAACGAAGAAGGAAATCAGCTGTTCCTAGAACAGGGGCAAGGGGTATTTCTTTGAGAGCGGGTGGGGCATAAAAAATAATTCGTCGCGCCGATCTAGCCTGTTGGCTATCTTATTCAGTTCATCTTTCCAGCTTCCACATCCATCAAGTCGTCAAATGCATCATCTTTCCTTACGCCCCACCATCCACTCTTCCTCCCAACAACCAATGCAATTATTGTTAGCGAAGCAGCTCCAAGGAACAATCCATCAAACCATCGATCGACGAAGGCGGGGTCCAATGGTGCCCCAAGCGCATCGCTAATCACAAAGCTCATATGTGAAGGAAGATTGCTTCTCAGCAAGAGAGCCGATGCAAGCATATAAACAGCACTGATTTGCGATACAAAAAGAGCAAAATTGGGATTGTCCCCTTTGCTTGCATGACCGATCACCCCAGGGGCTGCGCGGCTTAGCATATTGAGAGTTGTCATTACGGATCCAAGTGACCCTATGATAATGACACCGGAGAAAGCAAAGCCTATCATGCGAGACCAGGCAGCACGATCAAGATGCGGGTCCCAATGCTGGGCGAGAAGAGCCACTACATTATTGATAGGGTCGCTTTGAGAGAATGAAGACCTAGATCTATGCAAAAATGGAATATGTGCTAAAGACGTAGCAAATATTCTGTATAAGCAGTAAACAGAGAAGCCGTAAGAAATAGTTAATATAAGTCGACCGAGCACTGATTTGGATCGTTGTTGTACAGTTAGCCGGCGCTGAAACTCTGTAAATTCCGCTGACAATGAGGTTCGCATTGTTTCAAGACCGTTGATCTCACTAAGGAGTATCGAATGTTCTGCAACAATTAGCAATGCATACTAAGAGCCGGATTGGAATCAAACCTTGAAGGTCTGCATCCCCACGAACGGCAGAAAACACTTTGCTCATGAAGCCTTCTTGAGATGACTGTAACGTATTAGAATTTAGATGAAAACATATCTATGATCTAAGGCAGACAAACCTTCTTGTCTTGGATTTTTATTTCTAAGGTCCTCAGCCGTTTCCTTTTTTCATCCAACATCTCAGTCGCTGCAGTCAAACCAGCTTGGGCTCGGGAAACATCGATGTCGGTGACTGGTCTCGGTTTTGTTGTAAAGTTGTGCCATGGTGACGAGACACAGCCAAAGCCAGCTATCTCAAACATTAGGTTAAAGAAAACATTAAGGAATATTGAGTTTCTCACAAAGCAGTGCCATTAACTAGAAGTGGTTAGTATATCTATTTTTAAAAAAATCGGCGATTGGCGAACCTACGGATACCCCAATAACGCCAACTCTGGCTAAACACTCTTCCATCAGGGTGCGTGCTAGATCCCCACAATTAGCCTCACTCTAAATCGCGAGAGATACGATACTTACATGTTCCCCAAATAATATGATCAGCTCTCCTTATGGGCAACCTATCGCCCAAACTCCAGAATACCCACAACCACCCCGCAAATGCGGCAAGTTCAGCCATAATCACATATTGTCTCCTCCAACTTCCTATACCACTCCCCCCAACAAGACTGTGTAATTCTAATAGGGGAGTGATCACAACCAAGCAGACTAATAGAACCCCGACTACAATCGGGAACCCAAGACGGCGGCTTGTCACATCGCCCCATTCACTAACTTCACACAAGATCAACTCTGCCAATACACCTGTAGCTCCAAGGGTTGTTGAAAATGTAAGTGCTGCTATCCTCTTCCGCGTGCGATTTTCGAGGTGGGAAAGGTGTCTCGCGCCTGCTCCGCATAAGACCGGAAACAGTCGTTGCAGTACGGTAAAAAAGATGAGACAAAATGTCACGATGAATAGCGACGATGAGAGCAGCTGATGTGTGCTAGATTTATGCTCCTTCCCCCAAGGCGGGATACAGTCGTCTGTACAGATATCTGGCAGTTCAGACGAGACATCGTCGCCGGGTAACATATCGGCGGGTTAATCTTTGCTGCACAAAGCCAGGGGCGATTTCTTCTTGAGCGGTAACAACTTAATTGGATAGAGATAGTTAAATGCAGGTATATGTTGTGAAATAGTGAATGTCTAAAGGAATTAATTGATAGAGCGTGGGAGGTAAATATGTGTGAGTAGGGTACATGTACGTACGTACGTCTGTAGGTAGATGTTAGGTGTGGAGTAGCTGATCAGGGAACAGGAGTTGGAGGGTGACGACTCCCGTGGGCGCCTCACTCCTTGCCAATTTCAGACACTGGACCCTGGTTTCACACTGGGTTCCTCGCGTGTATGCACCCTCTCTAGGCCATCAAGGCTCTAATATCCTTGGAGATTCGCGTTCAAAGGTATTAACTTTTTACGACTCCTTTCCTTCACGCCTAAACGAAGAGTAGCGCAATAAAGCAAAGTACTCTAGAGTACGCACTTTGCATAAACCTTACTACCTATTAAGTACATGTACATACTGCAGATATACGGATATGTATGCATATGCTGCACATGTGATTTTTCCCGGAATTTAAGTGAGGGTACCTCTGCCGAACCTGCACTTGCTATCTATCCGAAGATCAATACCTATCTCCGCGTCTATTCTACCGAATTCATTACTTCACCCCCTCAACACTCCGGTCGAATATCTGGGCAAGTATAATTTGTTCTTGGGCATGCATTCGATCTAACTTTCATCTATACGGATCTAATAAAAATTGCTAAAATGTAGTCGGAATAAAAAAGGAAAAGGCAGGAGCTCTCCAAAGATGGCATGCCGACGCAATCAGATTCCGTGATTATAAGCGCCAAGTGATACCAAGACATGCCCAGACATGCCAAGTTACGCCAAGGTATTCCAAGCCATGCCAAGAAATAATACCATGCTACTAATTGGTAGTAGAGTCGCTAACGCCACCACCTCTCTAATCATGATGTGAAGAGAGTATTGAGTCGTTTTAGAATCATCTCCGGTTTGGCCATAATGACAACTCATGCGTGACTTTCAAAGCTTAATCAAAGACATCATGACATTTGACAGTCTTAGTTACAATAAACAATAGGTATTTACGAACAAAAAGATCTAGCTTTAGGGTAAATAGAGTGGGTTCCGATCTCTTTAAGAAGCCAAGAATCCAAGAACATCCAAGACATCCAAACAGCTATCTTTTCGTTCTAACTGCCTTACTGAATTATGCCAAGGAGCAATAAGCGCAGAATTTGCGTCTTGGTGGGGGTTCTTTGTATCATATCTCTTGGTTCGTCTCCCGTTTTTCTTGGACTTTTCTTGGAATTGCAGAAGTTAGACCCGGGTGGGCATATGATTGGATTTGATGACTCGATTTATTAGCTATTTGCGTGGGACATAAGAGTAATTCTTGAGATACCACATGTACATGTATTTACCCACAAGGCACTCTAAGGCTCGGCACCGTCACGGCCATCGAGAACTTGAGTGAAGTATGTAAAAAAAAAAAAGGACCCCACCAAGCTTGAACTTAATTTATGCCGTAGATTTCTGGGCGCTGCCGGGAACCTGTTGAGCCCCAAGGCAGCTTTCGAGTACAAATATGATGCCATTCCTCCCTGTTGTCCTCTTCTCTTCCTCCACTCACCAATGTTAACAGTCCCTGCTTCTAGCCCATTATATCTATTGCCATCATGGCTAGCAAAGAATCTGGACCCGCGAAGCCTTCTTTTTCCAGACCTGCTTATCAGCTCACTCCGGAGCAGGTTGCTCAGGAACTCCAGACAAATGTCGATACAGGCTTGTCTCCAGCTCAAGCCGAGCAAGCACTTAGCAAGTACGGCCCAAACGAACTAGATGGGGGCGAAGGGATTCCTATATGGAAGGTCTTTGTCAAACAAATTAGTAATGCTATGTATGTCACTGTTCCAATATATACTGATATAAAATGTTCATATTCTAACGGTTACTAGGATCTTGTATGTTTTCAAATTTCCCGGTCGTTTGAAATTATATATATGTCGTATTAACTGGAACTAGGGTCCTCATTCTTGCAATGGCTCTGTCTTATGGTGTCCAAGATTGGATCGAAGGTGGTGTTATCACTGCCGTTATTGCTCTCAACGTAACCATTGGTTTCTTTCAGGAATATAGAGCGTAGGTATCACTTTCTCATTAATTTAAAACATGTCTAATGTAAAACTAACAATTCATAGTGAGAAGACAATGGACTCTCTCCGAAGTCTCTCAAGCCCTACAGCTGCTGTCCTAAGAGACGGAAATGTCGAACACATCCCAAGCAAGACTGTGGTACCTGGTGATATCGTTGAATTGAAGACGGGGGACGTCGTTCCCGCAGACCTCAGACTATTTGATGTCATGAACTTCGAAACGGACGAAGCATTACTCACTGGTGAATCCCTACCAGTAATGAAGGACCCTATGTTGGATCTCAACGAGGAGACTGGGGTTGGCGACAGGATAAATATGGCCTTTTCTTCATCGACGGTTACCAAAGGACGTGCTCGTGGTATTGTCACTGGTACGGGTATGGCTACTGAGATCGGAGCAATTGCAGAATCCCTTTCTGGTAAAGACAAGAAGCCAAACCGATCAATGTCTCGTAAGAAGTACGGTACCCTTCAACCTGTCAAGGGTGCAGCTCTTAACACCTGGGATGCTATTGGTAAACTACTTGGGCTCACGGTTGGCACACCCCTTCAAAAGAAGCTGTCTAAATTGGCATATGTCCTGCTTTTCTGCGCTATCTTGCTTGCCATTATCGTGTTTGGTGTTAACAAGTTTAACGTCACTCATGAAGTTACTATTTATGCTATCTCGCTTGGTATGTAATATCAGCCTATATAAACCTTTTCCTTCCATTTTTTGATCCCGAGGGCCGCTTTCAAAAACAAAACTAACGCTATATTTAGGTATTGCCATCATTCCGGAGTCCTTAATTGCTGTCTTGACCATCACTATGGCCGTCGGCATGAAAAGAATGGTCAAACGCAAGGTTATTGTGCGCAAACTTGACGCTTTGGAAGCTCTTGGAGGTGTTACCAATATTTGCTCTGACAAGACTGGTACATTGACTCAAGGAAAAATGGTTACTCGTAAGGCTTGGATTCCGGGTATTGGAATCTATAGCGTCGACCGCACTGGCGAGGCCACCGATCCGACATCTGGTACCATTCGCCTTGGGCCTGCACCTACTGCGGCTTCAGAGGCAGATGCCGAAAAGGAATACCAACGGAAACAGGATGAACGTGATCAAGCTCGTTCTGCTCTCGCATTGAAGTTCGCCGATGAACCTAGACCCCGAAAAAAGCCTGAAGTGCCAGAAATGATGCAGGAACAAGAAAAAGGAGAAATATCAGGGGATCAAGAAGTGCCTGAAGTGGGAGCGGAGTTGGGGGCTTTCTTGCAGTCCTCTGCACTTTGCAACTTGGCAACTTTACGATTTGATGAACAGAAAAGCATGTGGCAAGCTACCGGCGACCCAACAGAAGTAAGAGGCAATTCATTCTATTTCCTGTTACATATACTAATCAATGTAGATTGCCTTGCAAGTTTTTGCACATCGATTCGACTATGGGAAAAAGAAGCTTACCTCTGATGGATGGAAACAACTCGGTGAATACCCTTTCGATAGTGACGTCAAGAGGATGTCTGTCATCTTCCAGGAACCAAACGAGGGGAAATACCTTATCTTTGCCAAAGGTGCTGTTGAAAGGATTCTTGATCTCTGTACCGATATTGGATTCGGAGAGAACACCCAGCCCATGACCGAGGAGCTTAAGGAGGAAGTCACTCGACAAATGTCGTTGCTCGCTGATCAAGGATTACGTGTTTTGGCAATTGCTCGTAGAGTTGTTGAAAGCCCTCCTAAGGACTGGACCGAATTTCCCCGAGACCAGGTTGAACGAGAACTCACGCTTATGGGCCTTGCTGGGCTTTACGATCCACCGCGTCTCGAGACCAAAGATGCTGTCAGAGAATGTACTGAGGCCGGTATTCAGGTTCACATGTTGACCGGAGACCATCCTGGAACTGCTCGCGCCATCGCTCGAGAAGTCGGGATCATTCCTAGAGACTTTGGATCTTTCCCCCCAGATGTTGCCAACAGTATGGTCAAAACTGCTGCCGAGTTCGATGCTCTTACAGATGAAGAAATTGACAATCTTCCGACGCTACCGTTTGTCATTGCTCGATGTGCTCCCAACACCAAAGTTCGTATGATCGATGCCCTCCATCGAAGGAATAGATATGCAGCGATGACGGGAGATGGTGTCAACGACTCTCCTAGTTTGAAGAGAGCTGATGTTGGTATCGCAATGGGGCTTGGAGGGTCTGATGTTGCAAAGTCTGCATCTGACATTGTGCTTACCGATGACAACTTCGCTAGTATCGTTAATGCCGTTGAAGAAGGAAGAAGGATGTTTGACAATATTCAAAAGTTTATTCTTCATCTTCTCGTTTCTAACGTCGGAGAAGTCATCCTTTTGATTATTGGACTTGCTTTTCAGGACAAGAACAACCTCTCGGTCTTTCCGCTTGCACCTCTTGAGATCCTGTGGATCAACATGTTGACAAGTTCATTCCCCGCGTTTGGATTGGGATTGGAGGCTGCTTCTTCCGATATTATGAGACGACCACCGCACGACTCTAAGAGGGGTGTTTTCACAAAACAAATTCTCGTAGACATGATCGTATACGGAACAATTATGGGCTCCTTATGTCTTTGCACCTTTGTAATCATTGTCTTCGGCGTCGGCGACGGAAACCTTGGAGTAAACTGCAATGCTTCCTATACGCCAGAGTGTGACCTGGTCTTCAGGGCTAGAGGCGCCGTATTTGCAGAGCTAACTTGGTTGATTTTGATTTCGGCATGGGAGTTCAAGAGCATTCGCCGAAGCATGTTTAGACTCGACCCTTACCAAACGGAACACAAATTCCCATTTTTCAAGGATGTAAGTACCCAGAAATTATCTATCTCCATGAACAGCATGCTAATTGGTGAAAAAAAGATTTACGAGAACAAGTTCTTGTTTTATTCTGTCTTCATTGGCGCCTTATCTGTCTTCCCAGTCGTTTACATTCCAACCTTGAACACGCAAGTGTTTAAGCATAAAGGGATCACTTGGGAATGGGCGTTGTCTATTGGTGCTGTTCCAATTTTTATTCTTGGAGTCGAACTATGGAAATTTACCAAGCGCTACACTGGCTGGTTTAACCGCGGCGAGTCTGATAGAGTGAAAAAAGATGCTTCACTCAGTTTGCGTCAAGGATTCTTCACAATGGCAAAGACCATCACACAACCAAACTCAATCCGATCAAGGAGAAACTCAATGAGTGGCGTCGGCTCCAGGACCACTACTATGGAGAAGAGGCCGGCCGTCGGAGACGAGTTGGTTTAATTTTTTTCTCTTTGGTTTCTTAAGCGATTGCTGGATTTCTTATTTCCTATCTTCTTTTTTTTTGTTTTTGCATGAGATTTTCTATGATTTTTTTGTATGGGTTTATGATGGCTATTACGAATGACTGTTGTTAATTCACAGTTGATGAATTAAGGAAGTATCTGTAATATAATTGTGGAAGAATCATTTGCCGATAATATTCGGGGGCCGCGCATGAGCCATAGGTATACCTGGCGGGAGATCTAGATTCTTGAACCCCCCGGCCCCGCACACCAAGGTTCCATATCATGTATGGAAAACACGGGCACACACAAGGCACATACAGCACATCGTACTGTAGTCCCGTCAAGTAAGTATCACTTCCTCCTAGTTCGGGGCTCCAGCTGACATCAATGCCATTAATCTTAATCCAATAAAGCCTAATTAATAAGTCAACAACTAACTATATTAGTAAAATTTGCTGAGACAATTGAGCCGAGTGATTTCTCATGAGCGCATATTGCGCACAGGCGCCCACGCACAGCGGATAATGGCTAATCTCGATCTCGCGGAAATTATTAAATAAGAAGCATATATTTGCTTCCATTTTCAAACCTTCAACAATCGCCCTTCTCCTCGTCCCGGGGTTGGAAGGTTAGTAATAGTAGGTATGTAGATGTATTTAGTACTAAGCTAATACTTAATACATGGTGATCTAAGCGCCTAGTAAGTTACTATATTAATCACATGTACATGTAGTATAGTAAATCTACCGGTAACTGATATTTTACCGAAGAAATGGTAATCCTGAAGTAAGTAACCATACGCGTATCTAGATATATATACCGAGTATGCAATGTGGATTTAAAAGGGTTTTATTGGCTGAGTTTTAGACCCTTTCTTTTCTCGAGCTATTTAGGGTGTCAGCTAAAAGGAAAGGTTATGTTATGTCCTTTTTATTGTTATTCTGTTGTTCGGTGATTGTGATATTGTTTGGGATTTTCTGGGATTGCGATATCCTTGTTAACAGCGCAGCTCTTTAGCAGGGCAGCGTAGGGGTACCGATATTTCTGGGATATACGCCCATGGGCTTAAAGCAAAGGTGGGAGGAAAACTGGTGGTGTATGCATATTCCCGTGACTTAAGCCAATCAGCAAGCACTTTCTACCAATACTTTGCTTTAAGCCCATGGGCGTATATCCCAGAAATATCGGTAGTACACCTCTCTAGTGACGATACACCCCTATTATAGCGCAGCTATCTAGTGACACTCTTTATTCTTTATTTCATTATCCTCACCAGCCAAAGACCGGAACCGGCTTGTATTATAGCTACATCTAGAAGTACAGTAAGTGCTCGATCGATATAAGTATGTACTTATAATGATCGAACAAATACATGTACAGCCGCATTCGAAAAGTACTGGCACCCTACTATATTGAGTCGTTCATGAATTGTAGCCCACCAAAATCCATGGCACTCGCGCATACTCAACTTATTGATAGGTATGACCGCAATAGAGTCATGGCAGCTCTCTCTGGCAATTGTCTCGAATATGAGGGTTGAAAAGCAGAAAGGACTGCCTCGTGAGTTTGGCTCGGAGGTGCCAATACTTTTCAAATGCGGCTGTACTTATTTTTTTTTATTTATATACATACTTGTTAACTAGCCGTCAGATACCTATATCATGCGCGAAAAACCTAAGATAAAGAAATATTTGTATTCAATGAATATACCTACTTCCTTGGTCTGTTGTCTACATAATTTTGTGGCGAGTTATCAGTATCGATGCATGTCCGGAATATAAAAATTCCCGAGTATCACGGCCAAAAATCCCAGGAAAGCGTCTTAGCGGGTTTCCCAGCTCGCGTGCGCGAAACCAATTATCAGGTCCGATTCACAGCATCTGTGGGGGGTTCTGGGGGGTTGGCTAGCCTGCAATCCTTCGTCACGAGATCCTAGCTCCGGCTGGTCTGTACGTAAATATTCAACATCCGGCATGAGCGTACATGATGATTCACATGTCCGAATCATAATTTATCACTCGATACAATTGGCATGTATGTTTGCTTTTTTTAACCGCCTTGGTGCCCCTATTTACCCCACCTTCTCGAAGAGCTCGCGAATTGACTCTCGCTCGAAGACTACCTATTCCCTTCACACATTTTTGTATATATCTGATCCGACTGGCGCCTCAAAAGCTTGGAGATATTTCCTAAATTGATTCCTACATAACCTTCGGCAATTCCCGACGCATACATGTTTGAATCCCCCACTCCAGCGATTCCCCCCTACCAGTCTAGATCTCAATAAGAGGCTACCGCAGTAGCACGACACGACAAACTAATTCTAAGATCCATAGGGACCAGTAGAAACCTGAATGACACTTTCGGCATCACCTTTGGCCTTCCGGAGCGATTGCGACATGTAAGTGCCCAACGCGCCCATGTCAGAGGACACCGACAACATATGAAACCCTTTTTGCGAAAACATGTGGGCTATGAAAAGTGCCAGTTTTCCCAGCGTGGGGAGGAAGGGCAATTCAAGTTAGCAAGACCACCAATCAATAACGTAAAGAGCTGTGCTAAATACGTGGAAACGTAATAAAAACCTAAGGCAATGGGATTGGGATTGGACAAACCTTGATCGCCATCAACACAGTAGATACCAGCCCTCTTTCCGGCCGCGGCCGCCGCATTGTAGACCTTTTCAATGGCGGCATGCAGGTTCGGATGCAACGTGTCGGAGGTTATTGGGTGTCCTATTCATCGGGATCAGTTAACGGTTCTATAGGTTTCAGATAGCGCGAGTTTTCCAAATCAGGACGCACCGATGGAGTTTCCAAGGTCGAATGGCCCGACGTAAAGGACATCGATACCGTCAACCGCTGCTATCTCATCCACCTACACTTGTTTAGAAAACTCGCGCGCACACACAATCTGCACTATAGTTTTGAAAGACTAAGAACTTTTGAGTGGGAAGGAGGGCGGGGCGAAAGCTTACGTTTTCCAAAGCTTCCTTGGTTTCAATTTGAACAATAGTGACAAGGCTGTCGTTTGCTTGTTCAAGGTAATCAACAGTCGACGAGATACCGAAAGCTCCCATCGGGCTATACTTGGAATTAGCTCATAATCGAGAACGAAGAAATGTTTGTGAATATGAAAACTTACAAAGGACTTCCAAAACCTCTGATTCCTCTTGGGGGGAACTTGGAGTATTTCACTGCAGTTCTTGCATCATCTGCACTGCTAATAAGCGGGACCATAATGCCATGGGCGCCAGCGTCCAAGGCACCTTTAAATCCAAACCGACATGATGTTAATTGGTTGGGCCAACCAGTGAGGTTCCTACAAGATATATAACTCACGTTTGAACATCCATCCTTCGCAAGCAGGAATACGAACTACTGGGCTAACACTGCATCCAGCAATCGCTTGCACCGCTTCATGCATAGCGGCGTCGTCGAGATTACCATGCTCAGTATCCACGAGGACCCAGTCGACGCCGGAACGGGCAATTGAACGTGCAAGGTGCCTATAGACATATCAGTAAGTATCTATAGCCATATTGAATTTTGAAAGACTTGCGTTCCAGGAAGCATCTGCCATGCGCCGAAAGATAGGCCTCTTCCAGTTTTCAAAGTCGTACGAAGACGATTTGCAGATTGCATTTTGTTGATATAAGAGCTTGATGGAGTTGATTGGATATTGGTTGTCAAGTTAAAGTCTGAACTGGGTTGATATTTTGGGGAGACGAAAATTTACTTCAAGTATGAGTGAGTATTTATATCGATTCTCGAAGAGAGATATAAACAAATTGCGGGGAAACGGCATCTAGTCACGATGGTGTAGAACAGCCTTACCTCGTCTATTCCCCAGACTTGGCAGATGTTACCAGCGCACAGGGCTTTGGGTCGCTCGCTTGGGCGGAACCGGAACGCCCACCGTGTCATTGAATACACATGGCGGAACCTCAGTTACGGGTCCCAAATGAAAAAACACAAGAACCTCATCACAGCTGGTCACTCTATTCCCAGATTGACGTCACACCAAATACACAACCTTCCAATCGTTAATGAGCAAAATCGTATTTGCTAATCCTAAACCTAGGCCCGGAAGATCATGTTGATAGTACGTGTGTAGTAAATGCCATCATCTAGCATGGATCATTGAATGCTTTCCACCGAGACGACGATGCTTGCATTAATTTATATTCCAATTATCATATCAATATCTTCTTTGTCTCCATGCTTGGTGTCGACTCTCCTGTTCCACCCAGGCGATATCTGTTCCTGCACGGCTCGGAAGCTGTACGGTGAAAATCATCTGGCCCTCCTGGGATGCATATGTGTACCCCACATCAAACTTTTTAGTCCCTCTCCCGCCCATGCCCAAAGACTATTGTCACTAGTGGTCTTTAAGCTCTAGCTGTTGCTTGCATGAGAGTTATTAGACACGAAAGGTGGATCCTATCGCTTAGAACCTGTATCTGCACGCACACTCTGCTGATGTCTATATTTGTTTTGTGAGATTCGAATTCCCAACTACAACAACATGCACTTGGGAAAAGCCCAGCCAGAGAGGGATTAGCGCGCAATATCTTAGCTTAGAGCCGCATTGCCGCTATCACCAAAGTCAACTCATGACTTGTTTCCATATGGTCATGGCCACAGGCCCCGCGGGGGGGGGGGGGGGGGCAAATCATCATAATAATTAGTCAACAAATCCCGTGGACTTCCCATATCTGTGACTAGCATGATTGAGTATAACTCTTACTCCCATTATTGATTAAAACGGATCAAAAATGTGCAATCTTGGTAATGGATCATGATCAATCACTCAGCAACCCGTATCGTGGCTGAGCAATCAGACCGGCATATCATCATCCTACACAAAACGCTATTTAGCCTATTTGTTTGCTCTATACGCATATCTGCCTTACACCCTTGTTATGGGAATCAAACATGCAATTTGATGGCTTTTGATAGTGTGACTGGTGTCAATTGCAGAAGGGAAGGCTGAATTTTGCCCGTAAATTGGTTCGCCATGTACACAAGCACATATATCTGCGGCTTGACTGATAAAAATTCAGCGATCAGCCATCCTGGCTGTGGGGTTAAAAACAAGCACAAGCACCTCAATCATCTATTCATTTGTCACGGTTATCTCGTCCGGTGAATTTTCTTCTAATTATTCGCCCGAGACTCTTGCCTTTAAGTGCGTACACTTCCAGAACTGGAACTAGGAATACGAAGACGTATTTATTTGCTTGTTAAGGAGCTGGGTAGACGGCCAGCTTCGACCATCCAGTACCTACGTTCTGGGTATGCTCCGGGGAGCAAAAAACTACATCATGCAAGACACTCGTACTCGCAGTTGTGATTGGGCCTCCTATTGGGAGCAGACGACAACTAAACCAGATCATCCACATTGAACCGGCAACCGTATATGGTAGGCATAGCAGGTTTTGGTGTTTTCTTTCATTTTTTTTTTCCAAAAGAAAAACGGAGTTAAATGGCCTGATAACTATAGCTAAAGGCTCCATCCAGTGTAGCATAAATTTAGCTAACCACCCGTTGGCGGGCTCAATCAACTACGTTGTTTTTCCTTTACACTGGGTATAGGTAACTCGGAGTTCACAACGGTCAAATTAACGGTTGGAACACTTAGCTGTGTGTACCTGTGCAAAAAAGCAAAAACGCAAAGAGATGTGACATCGCAAATCTTGAATCGGGCCATGTATGAGCGGGTGCCATTCAAATGGCACCCCTTAATAAATAAAAGACGAAGGTGTTTGGTTAAGCTCATTGGGTCGGAGATAATAATCTTTAAAGCATGCCTTCACAAAAAACCATGGCATATCTAGCTGAGATTGCAAAATTTGGGGTGAGATATCCTGCAGTTCATTGCCCGCCCAGTAACAAAAATCGATTCCGTAAAATTACCTGCTCGAATCTAATTGGTACGGCTTCGTGCGAAAAGAAAATAACAAGCGGTTTGATACATGGCGTATGTGTTATGTGTTGTGTCGGAACTGCATAAACCCTTAGGATTTTGGCGCTGCAAGGGCCAGTGCGAAGTCCGAGTTCTGGGGCAGCATGTGCGGTTTGTATTTTTACTCCAACTACGTATGTATCTACGTAGATATGCACGGGATGCTGAATCCTGAGGTCTAAATCATACCCACGCGCTCCCTCGCCAAAGCACCACACGGTGCGCACACAGCCATCCCAAAAGAGCAAGTCCTAACTACAGGATTCATTTATTTTGAAAGCGAGTGAGATATCGTGGTTTCGTGTAGAGTATGTGTGTACATACATAGCTAATAGCGTATACGCGCTGAGCTATTGACGATCATATGAGTGTGAGTTAGAGGTTACATAGTTCGAGGGGGAGAGAAAGAGGGGTAGTAAAAAACAAACCAAGTGCCTACTATTTCAATATGCTAGCTGAAGCTGATCTTTACTCGGAGAAAAAATAAGTTAAAACGTTTCGTCCACGGGAGTGGCGGAGAGAGGTTGGAGGAAAGAGCCATGCATGTGGGGTGCGGGTTGGGACATAGTATTGATTCTCGGTGCATGAGCTCAAGACGCAGGGCCTAATCTTTCAGATCTTTGGATGGATTTTAAGCAGGATTCGATATTTCATGCAGCCCTGCTACAAAAGTAGAGTACTCTGCGTGTCCTTGTACGTAGTTTCCCAACCTGACGTTTGTAAACTGGGCCGTTATTGCATACCATACAAAGTCGTGGACTTGACGCGTTTTTGTATGGGATGCAATAGTAGTCTAGTCTAAAAACGTCAGGAAAACACGAGTATGTAGGTTACTCCAGAGCGGATGTTGTGCATGTATTAACCTCCGGAGCAGAACAGTTTGGGAATGAGGGGAACGCGCATAAAACCAAGCTGCTGCAGGTTTTCTGGGTATGGTACTATTCCCCCCACCGGTCTGTAAGTGAGCACTTCCGACATCTCCGGGGACATATATATGTCAGAGAAAACCAAGACCTAATGATGATACTGAGGATTGGGGGATCGACTACCTATACTTCGTAAGTACATACCTATCAAGTCTTACTTTCTTGAAAATCAGAGAAGATTATGTACGTACATAGTTTGGATTTAAATGTGCACTTGCGTTAGTATGTACTGATTTCGCGTGATAGACGGCCCCGAAGAAAAATAAATAAAACGTGGGGAGTCGCATAGTTAGTCGATCATACGCTGAGTTGGTGTTTTGGATGTCATGCTGCTGCCAAGTCACAAGAAGAAGCAAGAAGATCCACATGATCAGCCGTAAAGCGATGTGTCCGAGTGATAATCTGTGACTTTCCATTCGGATAACCTAATTTAAAATCTTTTGCGTATTGTACATGTAGTCGTGAAATAACAAAACTGACATAGGGGGGTCGACGGGGAATTCGCCTCTCAAAGTAGAGAGGTATATACTCTCAGCCATGCATGATCTCTAATATTCTCTTTCAAAAAGACTTTAATGATCTGATTTGTCAATATTAGCACAATAGTTGCCCAGAATCCTAATAGTTTTTGGAATCAAACTAGCAACTGGAGACGTATGTGTTCAAGATAGTGGCAGCACATTGATAATCGGAATATTAATTGAGCCACCAGGGATGTTATCGTGCTTCATGCGGTACCTCTGATCACGATCTATTCCAGAACCATGTAACCGAACTAGGTAGCTATATTGGCTAGCGAGACTTTGCATGGCGGCATTTGTAGGAACTCTTGGCATGCGTTTACCTGCACAGCTATACCCCATGGATATGGCTATGTAATAGCAAGCTTTACGAATTCGAAGACTGTTTGATATATATGTACTCAATTCAAGACGGATCACCGAGAAGACTAGCTCAAATACGGGATTTACCGGCCCGTGAATAGATTTGCGTATGCCTCCACAAGAAAATGTCTTAATACTCTGTGTACATGTAGTTACAACATTATATGTCGATACTGTATAAGTACATGCACCTACATGTACACATGTAGGTGCTTGTATGTATTCTATCCTCGTCCTCTACGGGCTTCGGATTCGGCGGTATTCTTATTCTTTTCTTTCCCACTCGTTGCTCCCTGGTGAACATGCTGATATCATATCCATGTTTAATGAATACTAATCAACTGAGCGTACATCCGGATCTATATATTGCAGATTGCAAAAACCGAAAATTCTGATTATCCATTGGGTAGACCAGAGACCCCTGTTCTCTATTTGTTCCCCACGACTTTTTCCGGCGCTAGTCAACAAAGCGTGCATTGCGCATGGAGCACTTGAGTGTATCTCACCAATGGATGAGCGCCTCTTTACCAAATAGATACAATACTCGCAGTCCTTTTAACCTACTCTGGATAATAGATTGAGATACACAGATTCGTTGTCTAGAGTGTGGGCTGAGGCAGATTTATGCTCATTGGGTATTACTACACCTTTCAATCATGAATAGGTATGTAGCTCCTAGATTCCTCTCACTACCTCTGGAGTTGATAGGTTTAAATCTTACGAGTACTGAAGGCAGAGCGAGAACATGCATATGGGAGGCAATATCAAAGATACGGGGAAGTGGTATCAGGAAGACTTAGCAAGCCACAAAAGACAGCTATCCCAACTGGACCTTTAATGCACCAATCTCACACCGCGAGAAGAGAAGCTCCACTAGCTAGTGGCCCATATTCCAACGACAGACCCCGCAATACTTGGCAAGCTCATGGTTATGTTGATTCTATTAGTAACTTATTACTACCCCTCTAAAAGAAATTATAACTTCAAGCCAAACATGGATCTTCCTATGAAGATATTTATACAACACAGCACAGCTTTTTCTCGCAATACAAAACTACCTCAAGGCTGGCCCACCGACAGTAGGCGCTACTGAGCCACCGCCTGTAGCTAGACCCGTCATCTCAAACACAAGTGATACGTGGCTGAATTTCGAATTAGCTTCTTCACTGACCGTACATACCAAGAAAGAAAAAACAGGGAAGCATACTCATCGCCTGCAGTCACTACTCTATCCTTGGTCTGCACGAAACCCAAGATACCGCCTTCACCCTCGCTCTGATTGCCCCCCAAATGGCCCTTCCAGCAGCCCAACTCAGTTCCAGCCCTGACATCCCATCTTCGCAGGGTCCCATCGATACTACATGAAGTGAGAATCCATCCGTCAGTCTTGACAAACTCAACCTTCACAACAGCTTCCTTGTGTCCATCCTCTAAAGTCCTCCTCACCGGGAAACCCCTCGCCGCATCATAGATCACAATCTTGCCATCAACGCCTGCGGAGGCAAGAAGTGGTTGAGTAGGGTGGAAACACAGTGACTCGACAGACTCAGAATGGGTATGTAGTGATGCTATGATCTGTCCGACTTGACCACCACCGGTGGAACCTCCACCACCAGCTTGAGGCCGTCCAGCACCCCTTCTTTGTGCTCCAGATGCGGCCTGTGTAGATGATGGGAGCCCAACGACACGCATTTCACCAGTTGCACCACCGACAACCGCAACTGCACCCGACGGGGAGACGGTGACAGAGTAGAGCCCACCTTCGACGGCAAAGCGCTGGTCCGCACTCGTGAGCGCGACCACTGCCCGCCCGGAGTCAGTTTCCCATGCGTAGAAAGAGCCATCTTCGGAGACTGTGCAAAGTATCTTTCCGTCAGAAGTCCAAGCCCCTGCAGAGCAAGAAGCGGTGTGTGAGTAAAGCGCTTGCTTGATCTCCAAACCTCCAGTCTCCAGGGAATAGATCCATACGCTTCCGTCGTTCGCGCCAAGAGCAAATAGAGGTGCCGTGGGGTGTGGTTGGATCCAGTTGATTTCCTCGACCTCTTGTGCTTCTGCGGTTTTCTTCCACTTCTCGGCTTGCGCGTAGACTTGGATTTTCCCGTCAAGCCCACCAGTAACGGCATATGCACCGTCGGGGTTAGTGAATGCGGCAGCCGTGACGGAATCTTTGTGGCCTGATAGCCGCACAACCGTTTTTGATTCCCGGGGGGTAATATTTGCATCTTCTGTATTTGCGGGCATGTCGGGGGTCCAGATGTAGGCGACATCATCGCCACCCCCGGTTAGAAATATCGACGGGTCGGAAGGATGTGCAGCGATAGAAAAGATGCTATCTGAGTGTTTGTCGAAATACGCCTTTGAATCATTCGTTATCTCTAGCTCCTCGGCCTCGGCATCGTATTCTGCGTTCTCGTCGTCAGAGTCCATGGGAACGTCGCCGTCGGCATCCTCGGGGATCTCTTCGGCTGCTTCGTCGGGGTTGAGCATTTGGGGTTCATCTTCGGGATGATCCGGTGTAGAGTCCGTAGCTGAAACGGCCATTGTGCTATGTGGGTATGGGGGGGGTTGGTTGGTTGGTTGGTTGCAGTGGTTCTAGTTTTGGTGGGTTGTGGGCTTAGATGGCGGGGTTGAGGCTCTCTTCTACTTTTTTTTTTTGGTGGCAATGCTTGGCCAAGACAGCTTAGAAATGCTTTCGGACATTCTAGTAATATTTAATAATTATTAATTAAGATGTACCTGTAAGTTGCTAGTTAATTGGGTTATAAATTACGGGTGTTTGGGATTTGAAATTGTGAATAGCAATCCAGCAATTAATTATTGTGGTATCGGTTGCCTTAAATGGCCATTGCATACAGAGAATATAAGGTTAATGATCACTGTCGCTGCTATTTGGTGGAATCACAGTTGAGCACTCGCAAAGCCTAGCCAGATTCACAAAAAAAAAATTTAATTCATTAATTGCTGGGTTCATAATTAATCTTATACCCACAATAACAAATCGGGAGGAAGCTAAAGTGAAATACAGAAAGAAAAATCGAGCAATAACGACAAGTAAAAGAAGCACCTTTGCCCATAATGAAATTTAAAACTCGAACTCTAGGCGCTGCAGCTGCTAAAGAAAAGAAAAGGAAAGATTTAATTCATGAACAAAAAGGTCAAACTAAACAGACGGAACAGATAGTAGCAAGGCCTCAAATAAAATAGTTGGCAGTCTCGATGGAGTCCATTTCAAATTCCAAAATCCACAAGCTTAAGGCAGCTCGAATCGAAAAAATCGACAAGTCTTGGCCCTAGTATATATATGTTTATATCGCTACGTATAAATGCACATATATACGTACATGAAGGGTTAATAAAAGAACTGTAAACTTCATAATGGTTAAATAGTATGCCAGAAAATTGACAAACCTACCAAAGATCCTATCTACATGTCTTAGTCACCCCGAGGTACTTTGAAGATATGGTTGTCGTGAACCTCGTCATAGTCGTTTTGCTCTATTATCAAGCGCTCATGGGTGGAGATATCTTAATTTGCCACCATCGTCTTGTACAGTTTTCCGGGGTTTGCTGCTTAAAAACCGGAATGATGAAAGACATGATGAATTAGGCAAGGAGGGCCCTAGTTGGATTATTATTCCCCCACTATTATCTGTAATAGATACATGTGGGCATGCGCATTGAACATGTGATTTTATGATTCCAACATTAATACTTTGAACGTTAACTGCTACATCAAGTGCTGTATTACCCAGGGAGTTCGTGATAGAGGATTTTGGAGAAGGTTTCACCAAAGTAGCTCTCGGTAGAGTTGATGTCTGCGCCGTTTATGTTTTGAAGGAGCAATTTAGCTATCTCAATTTGGCCACACCTTATAGCGGTTGAAACTACACTATCTCCGATAATGCCTAGCTATGAACCAACTTCGCCTTGCGCTAATAATCTTTGTGTTGCAGAGTAATGTCCTAAGGCAGATGTGACCAGTAATTGACATAGTCTTCTTAAAAAATAGGACTCGGATAGAGAGTCGAGATCATCGGTACTATCAATCTTCGTCTCAAACGCCCATAAAAGTGGGAAATATATACATGTATGCATGCGGTGTACCAGGCGAGTGAATTGGTGCATGCGAATACCGTATATAAAGGAAAAAAACTCCTGCGGGGAGCTGTGTAACCAGTCTATATGTATATATAGCCCAGGATTTTTAAGAACTCGTAGCAGAAAGCCCACTGTCAACTCTTCTTTACACTCCATGATGTGACTCTTAAAATGTACGAGCACGTATAGCAAAAACCCCCGCATATTATGCTGGTATTCGCTAGCCCAAGTTGGTACGTGGGTGAAAATATCGAAAGCAAGGTATGTAGTGCACCCTATAGCCACTCTAAAGCTAGCATCTTCCGGGATACGTCTTCTCAAGAGATACTCTCGAATAGTATAATGCGCAAGCCTGACTATTCTACTGTTTTCGTCCTTCGTGACCAGACTAGCGCAGACATCCAGCAGCGTTTTGTTGCCAGATAGGTCGTGCTCATCTAGCTCGTATCTTTCTGGCTCTATCGATACAGCTATTCCAAATTTCTCGATAGTGAGAGGTTGCTTCGCGTGTGCAAGCCATGATAGAATTGTCAATCCTAATTCACGTCTATTGCTTGTCTGACTATATAATATGCTCATGGCCCTGTCGTAAGTCGGATCCAGGGGCCATAGACCAGAGGCTGAGCTTGAATCCCGAAATTTGTCGAGTTCTTTACGGATATGCCGTACTGTAGGTTGTTGACATATGTGTTCTATGTGAAAGCGAACCAACAGAAACCTATGATGTTTCGATATAAATTAATATAACTCCATATGTATTTAACTCCTAGGACGAAGGAGAGATATCTAAACTATATAGTCTTCCTCATCGTCACCAGGAACACTTTCTATTGGTTGTTTACTATTTCTAATATTGACTGCATATCATTACACAAGTAGACAAAGAACTACATGTACTCCCGGGATGGAAGGGAACTGGCATTAAAAGGCGTGTAGCTATTGCAATGGATAGATATAAAAGAACAAACACTGACAGAACTACAGCTATATTTTTATATATCAAGGTCGAATTTCCCTGATGGCATTTTATCATGAACTAATACTAAAACTGTTCATTGAATGACTTAGAGTGCATACTAGAGCTAATAAATCACAGATTACCTATAAGGAGAGATGGAGTTGAGATTTAGTCCGTGCCTGTACGTTTGGATGACCCAATAATCCAGAATGACAACAATAATCTAAGAAATTACTATCGCAGTACCGCCCACACCTTCATTTCCTCGCTACATTTGGGCGGCCGGAGGCCGCACTCCGCTTGTATAACATACATTCCTTTGGCACAAGATTTGAGTGCAGAAATGATATCATCTCTGCAGTTACCCTTTTCAACAAGCCGCTTTGCACATGGGTTATCATCTATCATCTGCTGTATATATAACTCAATATCATCATCTTGAGCAGCAATCTTCATTTTGTTAACTGCATTGGCGTCGAGAAAGACTTGGAGGTCTTCCGGGTGCGGCCGGCTGGTGAAAAAGACATTGATACCCTCTTTTGCCAGATCAAGAAACAAAGGTAAAAGTTCCTTTCGCTGGTTGCCTTGGTCACATTCATCCAAGGCGTCAAAAACTATAAAGGTTCGCTTGAAGAACTTTGATGCTGTAATTAGAGCACTGCGTAATTGCCCAGCTAGTGGGCGTTCTTCTTTGAGTCGGAATTCTTCATAGAGTTCATTTATCTCTTTGAATGACCCTTGATTACCGAGCTGCTTAAGTAAACTGGCAAGAATCTTGATAGGTTTTTGGTGCTCTTTATCTGCGTAATCTAGGTAGATATATGCCACAGCGTGGTTTGAGCTCAGAGCCAAGGATTGGGAGTAAAGGTAATCGATCACAGTAGAGCTGTATATACACCATATTTTAAGTTACTGCATCTGAGAATCTCAAAAGAGGTTTAGAAATATCTTAAAAACGTTTTCCCTACTCCAGCTATATATAGGCTTGTTCATAAGCCACCGAGAAAGACATTCAAGGTGCAGGTACTCAAGTTCAAAAACCACAATTAATGTGACTTCAGAAAATTTACATTGTTTTAAAAACAAAACAATATTTTCACATATGGGAGGGACCAGTAGCGATTGAACCTGAGCACCAACACTCCTACAGGATCAATAAGAAAATTTGGAGTTACCAATTCCATATCCACAAAGCAGAAAGAAATCGGGTTGCTCTTTAATCCAGTTCTTGAATTTGGGTTTTTGAAATAGCCATTTCCCAGTCCCGGCTTGCCTTTGACCGCTAATCTCAATGTGCTTTAAACTAGGGTCTTTAGGGTAGAGCCACTGGAGAATTTGGTTTCGTTGTTTTGCGAGTTGATCACTTTCCATCTTGGATATAAATGAATCTAGTGCCGCCGTCTGGACCTGGACAAGGTCTTTCATATCCTTTGTATCTTTTTCGATTTCCTTCAAATGATTTGCTATTTCCTTGGATAGAAGCCTGAATGGAAGTTAGTGGTGCAAGACGTTTTTACCAATAAAGTGGATGCAATTTACTATAGATTACTGACATGTGATCGAGTCCTAAAGCTAGTTTGAAGAGACTCTTGTCCCTCTCTATCCGTGATATATGTCCATAAGTTTCCTTTTCCTTCAAGAGCCACGTAAGAACCTTCATCTTGTCTCTCCACCCATCCTTGGGCTTTAGTTTGAGCTGTAGCAACTTCAGTCTCCAGACACATCCTTCAAGTGGTCCTTTCTGGCCGTTTAGTCTTTGTAGTGCTGTAAATTCGAGTTCCGGGTCGTTCTTGACTATATTCTGTAATATACGTAGAACGTGGATAAGTGAGTTGAGCTCTTCAACCAGTCTTTCAGCATGGTTCGATGCGTTCATCACCCCGCCTATATAACCATATCCTAAATTTGCTAATTTCCCTGCGAGGCCGATTACAGTCGTAATATTGACCACGAGCCCAAATATTTCGGCCATGAAGTTGTGTTTTGCACAGAGGAAATCTGGAATAGAGGGAAACTAGGATTCGGTGAAGCACGAAGAGGGTTGTGTTGATAATGATGTTTAATTAGCTCAGCCTTGCGCACTGAAGTTACGATTGAGGGCAAGTACCGAGGAAGTACGCATATGCGATAGGTCGTGTTCCTAGACGCCTTCACGGGAGTATGTAATATGGTACTCACGGGAGTATGGTGCATGCAACAACTAATAACGTCGTCAAAAATGAGGACAGAATACGTATACATGAACATCACCTAACAAAGCATATAGATAAATTTATCTGCACGAAATAAAGAACTCTGACGTCTTGACTTTCTTGATTTCCTCGATTGCCTCTCGCAATTGAGGAAATTAAAGCACTATATATACCCCCATGTAAACAATACCCCCGTGAGGGCGCCTAGACCTAACTACCTTACACTAATTGGCGCAACGAAAAATCGGATTCTTAATTGCAATGCTAATTGTTTTTCAGATAATGATTGGTCAACTAATACCTACTACATGTACTACTTAGTAGCGAGAATGAATCTTGGCATACATGTAGCGTACAGTACATATACAATTTGAACTCGGCCTATTGGAGGACTTCCCATAAGCAATAGAGCACGTTCTATCGCGCAATAGACCTTGTTTTGTCTTTCTATCGAATAGAACACTGGTGTCTAAGAAACTGGATAGAGCACCATCTTCGAGGGGGGGTCTATTGAATAGAACATTTTCTATCCACTTGAATAGAACTTTGTGTACTTTCACCTTCCCTTTTCGGTTAGAATACAGAACTCACTAGGAAACGTCCACTGCTACTATACCCTATCTGCCTTAGTAAATGAATGGAACAAGTCCGGCGAATAGAAACATATGGGAACTGGATCTATCTAAGAACCACCTGCTATTGCAATAGAACGTGCTCTATTGCTTATGGGTATTATGAAAAACGAAGTAAACCATTAAAATAGCGCATTAAAGAAGGTATTTTCTCCAATCCATTCTAGCCTTTCGTACTGCATATCGTAAGTAAACTTACCGCATATATCTGAAGCTGAATATATGGTCAAATACTGACTTGTCTACACGTAGTTACGTTCAGGAACTATTCAATCCAAAACTGTACCGATTGGAGTAGATATCTAGTTTGATAATTGTCACCGGCTAGCTCTAACAGTTCTTTAGAAAGCCAGATGAGTTATAAGTTAAAGATCATTATCATACCATTCAACATCCGAATTAACCCATGGAAGATTTTCTGTACGGGCACGATTGAATAGTGTGAGTAATACATGTCAACTAAAGATCGATTCGCTACCTGAGATTTAAACACTAGACTATGCGGGCAAAATTCTGTATGCAGTATGCGCTTCAACGATATGGCACGGGAATTCGGTCTTTCCCCGAATTTCCCCGTTGTGACTGTGCTCCTACACGTGCACGTATCGAAAGCTATGGGTCTAGAGCTGGGGGCCTAGCTAGGAAACGGGATTTGGCTCGACCTTACCCCCCCCCCCCCCCCCCAACTGCAGCGCATGCAGAGTAATCGTAGATTGTGTTTTCTTTTAAGCGATCTACTGGCAAGCCTTAGATTTTGGTAGACTCCTGAGTTTTTTTTTTTTTTTATTTGCAGCCTTATATGCCGCAAGTACCCTCAGACAGACCAATCTGTCGAGATGCCTCGTTTTGCCTTGAAGCCTAGTCGGAACTCTGTGGCACTCATCCTAATACTCTCACATTTTGTAGTTTTCGGTGAGGCACCGTTTTCTGTTTTTCTTATTTGTATACAGGACTAGGCCTCGTTGATCTGTGGGTAACCGGCCGTTGTGATGATTCCACTAGGCCTAGGAATGTCCGAGTGATGAGACATGACCGGGACCGGGGTGTCGGGAGTCATACTTCTGATAGTCCCGAAACCAATGGCTGGACTGTTACTACCCCAACTTCTACCCCAAACTTCAGCCCGATGTTAGCTATCTATAGTAGCTAGCCAATGAGTCCGGTGCTCGGGGGTATGTACTATCGGTAAAGTACTAGGAATGTACCTGCGCCCAGTAAGGCTGCGGCACAAATTTCAGCCTTGCGAAATAAGGCATCCAGGGCGGAAGCGATAACAACGCAGAAATAAGATAGGGTTACTTTACAGGATCGTGGGGTGGAGTGAAGTGTAATCGACGATGTACGGTCTAGATCAATAAACTGTAGATACATGCGTAGATGTTCAAGTGCCGTGGTATGCAGGCAAATATTTCGGTCCGAAATCAGGGTAGTTAGCCACCCACATACGTCATGGGGCAGTCAAGACCTGAGCCTTTCAACCAAGCGATGAGGCCGGTTGGGCCCCTAAAGAAGGGCAGATATCAATAATCCTTCGTAGAAGTGACAAAGGAGGACATATGACTCATAGTACATCTATTAGACAATGTTCACTCGAGTCATACTCTCATGCGACGGGGTTGTAGCCCTGCGCCGCAGCCCGCCAAACCCCCACCACTACCACCGCCCGTCAGTACTTCGCAGATATATATCGAGCTTCAAAGCACAAGTACTACATAAGAGCCTTCAACCACCCCGGCTTTGTGTATCGGGAGGAGGCACGCACCCGTCTATTCTCTCCAAGCAGCGAATAATTCATTCTCGTGTCGGAACAACCTCACCCCTCTTTTGCGCCCTCATCTTCTTCTTCCCCCCACCACCTGCTACTACCCCACCAACGCACTCCACCAACGCACGAGCAAAGCCAAAGCAAAAGCCACAAACCACCACAAAAACAATGGCTTCCACAACCGCTCCCTACACCCCACAGGACCCTGTCGAGGTCACAAACGTAATCAACAACCTCCGCAGCGCCTCCAAACAGGCCAAATGCAGCTACTCCTGCAAGCAATCCACATTCCCCATCACCGGCACCAACGGCATCTCGGTCGACTCATGGAAGTTCCGGGACTGGGACTACAAGAGGCGGGACCTGCCCACGTACGCGCGCGGGCTCTTCACCTACTGCCACCCGAGCAACAACACCGACGAGATCGTCATCCGCGGCTACGACAAGTTCTTCAACATCGGCGAGGTCACGCGCACAAAGTGGGAGTGGATCGAGGAGAACACGAAGGGGCCCTACGAGGTCACCGTCAAGGAGAACGGATGCATCATCTTCATCAGTGGGCTGCCGGACGGGAATCTGCTGGTCTGTAGCAAGCACTCGACGGGGGCGAGGGACGATGCGGATCTCTCGCATGCGGTGGCTGGCGAGAAGTGGGTGGATAAACATCTGGCGAGCGTGGGTAAGACGAGGAAGGATCTGGCGAAGGCGCTGAGGGATGCGAATGCTACGGCGGTGGCGGAGTTGTGTGACGATAGCTTCGAGGAGCATATTCTGGCCTATGAGGGCGACAGAGCGGGGTTGTACCTCCACGGGATCAACCTGAACCTCCCGGAGTTTGCAACATACCCGGCGGCGGAGGTTAAGGCGTTTGCGGACAACTGGGGGTTCAAGATGATTGACTTTTTCACAAAGCAGGATGTGGGGAGCTTAAAGAAGTTTTTGGAGGAGGCTGCGGAGACAGGGTCGTGGGATGGAAAGGACGTGGAGGGCTTTGTGATCCGTTGCAAGGCCCGCGTGGGCCCCGAGCATGAGAACTTCCCGGACTGGTTCTTCAAGTACAAATTCGATGAGCCGTACCTTATGTATCGTCAATGGCGGGAGTGTACAAAGCAGATGATCAGGGGCAAGGCTCCCAGGATCAGGGACCATGAGAAGGTCACAAAGCAGTATCTTTCCTTCGCGGCAGAGTACTTCAAGAAGAACCCCGAGGCGCAGAAGAAGTATGAGGAAAACCATGGTATCATCAGCCTCCGGAACGCATTCCTTGCTCACCAAGGCATCAAGGGAAGCGATATTATCAGACAGGAGGCGGAGGACAAAAAGGCCGAACGAGAAAGCATCACATCAAATCTCTGTCTTGTCCCCATTGCGACCATTGGCTGCGGGAAAACCACCGTAGCTGTAGCGCTCTCAAAACTGTTCGGATGGGGCCATATCCAGAACGACAACATCGTCGGGAGGGGGAACCGTGGGGCCAGATTTGCGTCCGCAATCTCAATGGAGTTCCTTAAGAAGTCGGTTGTCATCGCCGACAGGAACAACCACCAGAAAAGAGAGCGGGACCAGATCTTTAACGATGTTACTGGCGCCACTCCTGCTGCACGCTATGTCGCTATACACTATGTCCATGACCGTCCCGAAATGGATCCTCGGGATCTCAAGAGGCGCATTAAGGCTACTACAGCAGACCGTGTTCTTAACCGCGGGGATAACCACCAGACCATTGATGCAAAAAAGCTTCCTAGGCGAGAGCTGGATGGTATCATGCAGGGCTTCCTCGACCGATTCGAACCCCTCGATACCCAATCTCCCCCAGATGACCAGTTTGATTCTTACATTGACCTCGACCCCGAAGTTGAGTCGAGGACTAATCTGGAGATTGTTGTCAAGTTCCTGAAAGAGACGTACCCAAAAATCATTGACAAGCTCCCCACCTCCGAAGAATACGACGCGGCTATCCAGTCTGCGATGAAGGAGTACTCTGTTGATCGCCCCAAACAACAGCAGCAGCAGCAGGCCCAGAAGAACCCGAGGCAGAACCAGTGGCAGACTCAGAAAAACCAGCAGGCCCCTCCAAAGAAGAAAGCAAAACCGATCGATTACTATTGCATCAACGTCCCCGCCGCCCAGATCAACACGATCGTTGGAAACGCCTTTGCAATATACTCGGACGCCGGCGGCGACGACTCGTTCTACAAGTCCCTCTGCAGCAAGGGCCGTATCCAGCCGACATTTCACGTCACCTTGGTCCACCGCGCAAACGCCAGCAGAGACCCGCAAGTGTGGGATGCGTATGAGAAGAAGCTCGCAGAGTGCCCGGAGCGCGGTAATATGGGTGTTGCGAAGGTTACGCTCGATAAGATTGTCTGGAACGGGAGGACGATGGCGATTACGGTCAGCATTCCGGATCAGTCGATTGAGACTTCGAATCCGATCAATCATATTACGCTGGGAACGTCCTCGCAGGCGGTTAAGCCGAAGGAGTCGAATGATATGCTGCAGGCGTGGAAGGGCGGTGAGCAGATGCATGAACTGGCTTTGCCGGATGAGACGGTGGTGGAGGGTGTAATAAAGGCTATGGGGGTGAGGTATTAAGTTGTGGGGAATTTGGGGGGGACTTGGAGAGGATTTTTTTAAAAAGGGTGCATGGGAAATAAGGATGGCTCATTTCGATTCACGTTTTTACTTGTTTTTTTTACTTGTTTTTTTCTTTCCTGGGAATTGGCTTGTTCGTTGTAAATTTTGTCCCCATTGAGTTGAAGCCTGTAGCTGTACTCGTGAGCGCAAGTGATATCAAAAATAGTTAGGTTGTACTTGTAAATATTACTAGTAGTGATGATGTGCTTTAATTGCTTTACTTCGTTCCTAGTGGAAGACCAGAGAGCTTGCAAGATCGTCAAAGAATAAAAGGTTCTTGCAAAAAAGAGCTTCGGATATAAGAAACTATAGCACAGCTTGCCCGGGAGTCATGACATGACTTGATCATGGATTATCACTCGGGCAACGTTGTTGGTCAATGTAGGATATTTGGCTTGTCAAACGACGTCGAACCCGTAAAGGCAAGCTGTCCGAACCTGCCATGTCGACACTTGTCCAATCCGTGACTATAACAGAGTCACTTAACTACTTCATATCTCGCCGTAGCTGCTCTGCTCTTTAACGTCAGTCAGATATGGTGGACGACGGCTGACAGAAGTTGATTCCAAAAGGCTGATATCCTCTGGTATATATTCCCTGACTGTCCCTGCAGTGCAGTGTTCAGACGCCCACGGGCACTGAAAGCTAATAATATCCATAATAGAAGTATTTCTCTCCCCCGTGATATTAATATCTTATCCGGGAGTGCCAAGACCGACCGAGGGGCACTTGTGCAGAGCCTCACCCTGCACGCCCCACGAAAGTTTTTTTTCCTATTCTTTCATTCTTTCCTGCTCTCACACAAACACCAATTCTCACCACGAACCCACCCCCATTCGCAGCCCACAAAAGGGCAACTACAAACCACCTGAAATCTGAAATAAACCTCCAATTGAAGAGAAAAGACCTCTAATTTGTCCCCCAAAATCATGGACTACACCGTCTCCGACGCCCACTTCCTCTCCACGGCCTCCGGCCTCCTCCCCCCGACACAATTGCGCTCCTCAGCTCCCGCACCACAAGCACACAACTCTACCTCAGCACGCTCTCGCGCCTCGCGCTCCGCCCCGACCTCACCGCCCATGTCTTTTCCAGCTACGAGCCGCTCTTCCCCGACCTCTGCGCCAGATGGCGCGACACAACCACAACGGCAGCAGAAATCGCATGTGCGTTTGCGCGGGTGTTGCCGCTGGCGCCGTATCTGGCGGATGTAGCAGAAGAGTTTCTGGCCCCGGGGTCAATTGCGCTGGGGGATGGTCTGGAAGTGCTATTGGCGCTGTGGAGACTGCTGGTGTTTAGGAGGGAGAGTTTTGTGGGATTGGTAAAGATGGAGAGCGTGGCGCCGCTGCTGAAGCATAAAGAGCCCGCTGTGAGGTATTTGGCGGTGAGGGTCATGTGTATATTTCTCAAGGCGTCGGACTCGACGAGGGAGAAGATGTTTGCGCAGTATGGCGTGGGAAATGAAGCGGAGGAGAAGGTTATTGGTGTTTGGGAAGGGAAGGAGATGGATTACGGGTTTTTGGTGTAGGGGTTTCCTTTCTGCAGTTATCTTTACTTATAAATTGACTAACTGGCGGGATATATCACAGTCTCATGGAGAACAAACGCCTCGAAAAACTAGCCCAAGATGTACAAACCGCAAAACTACACACCCTCTCGCAAACCTCAGAGCGCAGAATAATCCCCACAGACGCACTCTCACCACTGACCGCCGACATCTGCGGCATCCTCACACCCCGCCTCCGCGGGCCTCCCTCAACACCCTCTAAAATAATTGATACCCCAACCACCCGCCACAACATCCACGCCACGGCCGTCTCCCTGCGCTCCTCCTCCCCAACCCTCATCACCGGCCCCGCCGGCTCCGGAAAGACCTTCCTCGTCCACCAGATTGCACACACACTCAACACCCTCAACACCCTAATCTCAATCCATCTCGGCGACCAGACAGACGCAAAGCTGCTGGTGGGCGCATACACCACCGCCGACACCCCCGGCTCGTTCGAATGGCGTCCGGGCGTCTTGACGACCGCCGTGAAAGAGGGAAGATGGGTCCTTGTCGAGGACATTGACAAAGCGCCGACAGAGGTCCTCTCGGTCCTCCTCCCGCTCATGGAGCGCGGCGAGCTCGTGATCCCGAGTCGTGGGGAGACGATAGTTGCTGCGCGCGGGTTCCGCCTTATTGCGACGATGAGGACCGCCGCTAGCACTACTAACAGTACGAAACAAGATTCACTGCACATCCTCGGTAGCCGCCTCTGGAACCGTGTGGACTATAAGCAGCCGGACGAGGCCGAGCTGCATACAATCATCACCGCCCGCTTCCCCGCCCTGACCGCTGTCGCGCCATCACTCCTGCGCGTCTACAACACCATCCAGCACCTCTACCGCGAGCCCTCGTTCTTCGCCCTCAGCAAGACATCCCTCGGCCGCCAGATCTCGCCAAGGGACCTGATAAAATGGGCCACCCGCATCGACGCCCTCTTTACCTCCACCGGCTCCAACGGCGAAGTCATCCCCGACGGCCTGTACGACGAGATCTTCATGGAGGCCGTCGACTGCTTCGCCGGGTCCCTGCAGACGCTTGACGCCCGCCACCTCGTAGTCCGCAAAATTGGAGACGAAATGCTGATCCCGCCACAGCGCGTGGACCTCTTTCTGAACGGACACATCCCGGCGTACAGCGCCAGCGACAAGACGCTTGCTATCGGACGTGCAAGGCTCAAAAAGCGAAGGCGTGGTAAGCGCGCGCAGGCGCAGAAAAGGCCGTTTGCGACGACGAACCATGCACTGCGGCTGCTGGAACAGGTTGGGGTTGCGGTGCGCGGCGGGGAGCCCGTGTTGCTGGTGGGCGAGACGGGGACGGGGAAGACGACGGTGGTGCAGCAGATGGCGGATCTGTTGGGATATGGGCTCACGGTGATGAATCTGTCGCAGCAGACGGAGAGCGGGGATCTGCTGGGCGGGTATAAGCCGGTGGATGTGCGCACGCTGGCGGTCCCGCTGAAGGAGGTGTTTGAGGAGCTGTTTGAGAAGACGTTCTCGCTGAAGAGGAATAAGCGCTTCTTGGAGGTGTTGGCGAAGTGTTGGGGAAAACAGCAGTGGAATAGGGTCATCACCCTCTGGGGAGAGGCCGTGAAGATGGCGGACCAGTTTTTTGCCGCGCCGACGCCGGAGGCCCAGGACGGAGAGGACCAGCCAAAGAAGAAGAGGAAGATAGACTCAATGGACAAGCCCGCTCTGCAAGCACAATGGACGCGATTTGCGAGTGATGTCGCAACACTAGAGAGACAAAGCTCACAGATTAGCAAGAGTTTCGCATTTAGCTTCGTAGAGGGGAGCCTGGTCAAGGCCGCCCGAAACGGCGACTGGGTGCTTCTTGACGAAATAAATTTGGCTGCACCAGACACGCTGGAGAGCATTGCAGACCTACTCAAGGACGGAAAGGACGGCGATGTCAGGAGCATCTTGCTCTCGGAGAAGGGTGACGTAGAGAGAGTGAAGGCGCATCCGGACTTTCGCATATTTGCTTGTATGAATCCCGCCACCGATGTTGGGAAACGCGATCTCCCGAGCGGGCTGCGCAGTAGGTTCACGGAGCTCTATGTAGTCTCGCCGGACCAAGATTTGGGGAACCTATTGGCGATTGTGAGGGAGTACCTTGGGCCGCTCGTTGCTGGGGATGAGAGAGCCGTAGCAGACGTTGCGGGGCTCTACATGGAGGCGAAGAAGCTCTCAGAGGGACAGAGACTCGTGGACGGCGCGAACCAGAGACCGCATTTCAGCATGAGGACACTCACGAGGACACTCAGCTACGTGGTTGAGATTGCGGGGGTCTACGGCCTGCGCAGGAGTCTGTATGAGGGCTTCTGCATGAGCTTCCTCACGCTTCTTGACCGCACTTCCGAAGCTGTGCTGCTGCCCGTGATTGAGAAGTTCATTCTGGGCAACCAGAGGAACGTTCGGAGTCTCGTCTCGCAGATCCCGAGGAGGCCTGTCGGCGCAAATGGAGAGGAGTATGTGCAGTTTAAGCACTACTGGATGGCGCGCGGCACCCAAGAGGTCGAGGAACAGCCGCACTATATCATCACGCCCTTTGTCGAGCGGAACATGCTCAACCTTGTGCGTGCCACGGCTACTCGCCGCTTTCCGGTCCTCATCCAGGGTCCGACGTCGAGTGGGAAGACGAGTATGATTGAGTATCTCGCGAAACGCACTGGCCACAAGTCCGTCAGGATTAACAACCACGAGCACACGGATCTGCAGGAATACCTGGGGAGCTATGTCTCGGACAACACGGGCACCCTGCGCTTCCAGGAGGGAATCTTGGTGGAGGCGCTGCGCAAGGGGTACTGGATTGTTCTTGACGAGCTCAACTTGGCGCCTACCGATGTTCTCGAAGCCCTCAACAGGCTTCTCGATGACAACCGCGAGTTGATGATCCCGAAACACAGGAAGTCGTGAGGCCGCACAAGGAGTTTATGCTCTTTGCGACACAGAACCCGCCGGGTCTATACGGAGGGCGTAAAGTGCTTAGTAGGGCGTTTAGAAATCGATTTTTGGAGCTGCACTTTGACGATATTCCCGAGGAGGAGCTGGAGACGATTCTGCGCGAGAGATGCGGCATTGCGCCGAGTTATTGTGCCAAGATTGTAAAGGTTTATAAGGTGAGTGATATTCTGTGACGCGGCTAGATTTGTGGTTGTCGTCGCGGTTGCTAACTGTATCGCGTTAAAGGAACTATCGGTGCTGCGACAATCAACTAGATTATTTGAGCAGAAAAACAGCTTCGCAACGCTGCGTGATCTATTCCGATGGGCAAACCGCGAAGCCGTCGGATACCAGCAGCTCGCCGACAATGGGTACATGCTCCTCGCAGAGCGCGTCCGCAAAGAGGATGAGAAGCTCGCGGTAAAGAAGGTTCTTGAGGAGGTAATGCGGGTCAAGATTGACGAGGCGACACTCTACTCTCCCGAATCGACGCCAGAGTACCAGCTGGTGATGAAGCTGGAGAGCGACGTGGTGTGGACAAAGGCGATGCGGCGGCTGTACTCGCTTGTTGCGCACTCGTTAAGGAATAATGAGCCGGTGCTGCTGGTGGGTGAGACGGGGTGCGGGAAGACGACAGTGGTGCAGCTGCTGGCGGAGGCGTTTGGGAAGACGTTGAATATTGTGAATGCACACCAGAATACGGAGACGGGGGATATCATTGGTGCGCAGAGGCCGATCAGGAACAGGACGGCGTACACGGCGCAGTTGGTGGAGGATCTTCTGGCGGTTGTGAGGGATCACTCGGCGATAGAACAGTATGGCGCAGATGCCGATTTGCAAATGTTGCTTGAGGCGTATTCGATATTGGACAAGCAGAGCTTGAACAGCATTCCAGAGGATCTCAGGTCCCGAATTGAGCTCAACCGGATACGAGTAAAGGCGCTCTTCGAGTGGAGCGACGGTAGTCTTATCCAGGCCATGAAGGAAGGGCAGTTCTTCCTGCTCGATGAAATCTCACTCGCCGATGACTCCGTTCTCGAGCGACTTAACAGTGTGTTGGAACCCCAGCGCGGAATCCTGCTCGCCGAGAAGGGGCCCGAAGGCTCCGCAGTCACCGCCGTCGACGGCTTCCAGTTCCTAGCTACGATGAACCCCGGCGGCGACTACGGCAAGAAGGAGCTCTCGCCGGCGCTGCGGAATCGATTCACTGAGATCTGGGTCCCCTCCATGTCGGACTATGACGATGTGCTCCAGATTGTACGCGCGAAGCTATCGCCGTTTGCGCTGCAGCACGCTGAGGTTATCGTCAAGTTTGCGCAGTGGTTCTCAGAGACCTATCATTTTGCCTCCTCGACCATCTCGATCCGTGATGTTTTGGCATGGGCGAGGTTCATCAACATGTGTGACCCGCACAATGCCGCATTCGGGCTGTTGCACGGCGCGGCGCTTGTCTTCATTGACGGGCTGGGCGCGAACCCGTCTACGGTCCTCATGTCGACTGCCGCCGAGGACCTGGCCAAGGAGAAGCGCAAGTGCATCCTGAAGCTGTCGGAGCTTTGCAGCCATGATTTGGCGTCCATCTATGACCAGCCTTTCAGTATGGCCCTCGACGACGCCACTCTACGTCTCGGCGGCTTTTCGCTCCCACGCAAGATCGACTCGGTGGCGGACGTCTCGTTCAATCTCGAGGCGCCAACAACGGGTGTCAATGCTATGCGGGTTGTGCGCGCGATGCAGCTGCGGAAACCAATCCTGCTGGAGGGTAGTCCCGGTGTCGGGAAAACTAGTCTAGTCTCGGCCCTCGCAGCGGCGTGCGGAAACCCGCTCACCCGTATCAATTTGTCTGAGCAGACGGATCTCATGGACCTCTTTGGCTCCGACGTTCCCGTCGAGGGCGGGCAGAGCGGGGAGTTTGCATGGAGAGACGCACCGTTCCTGCAGGCGATGCAGAGGGGACATTGGGTGCTCCTTGATGAGATGAACCTGGCATCGCAGTCGGTTCTGGAGGGGTTGAATGCGTGCTTAGATCATCGTGGAGAGGCCTACATCTCAGAGCTGGACCGCACCTTCAAATGCCACCCGGAGTTTTGTGTCTTTGCGGCGCAGAACCCGCATCATCAGGGTGGAGGAAGGAAGGGGCTGCCGGCGTCGTTTGTGAATAGGTTTACGGTGGTCTATGTTGATACGCTGAATCTGGAGGACTTGCAGTTGATTGCGACGAGACTGTATCCGGGTATTCCGCAGGATGATGTGGTGAAGGTTATTACGTTTGTGGTTCTGCTCGACCGTGAGGTCTCGCAGAAACGCAGCTTTGGGAGCCTTGGTGGGCCGTGGGAGTTTAATTTGAGAGATACACTACGCTGGCTTGGGCTTCTATCTACAACAGAGGGGCTTCTCGCTTTTCAGGATCCTTCAGAGTTTGTGGATATTGTCATCAAGCAGCGGTTCCGGACCGTCGAGGACAGAGCCCGAGTCGACGAGCTATTCTCTCAAGTCTTTGGTTTCGCACCAGCAAAGCGCCATCTCTACCACCAGCTCTCCAAAGACCACTTCCAGGTCGGCCATGCCCTCCTGCCCAGAAACAGCCGCGCCCAGCCAGTCCCAACTCAAAAGACCACACTCCTCAAGCGCAACCTGCGGTCTCTCGAGACCATCATGACCGCAATCCAGCAGCGAACACCCATCATCCTTGTGGGTCCCTCGGGGCTGGAAAGAGCAGCATCATCAAGCTACTGGCAAGTGTGGCTGGCGCCGAACTGGACGAAATTGCGCTGAACAGCGATATTGATACAACGGATATTGTCGGCGGGTTTGAGCAGGTTGACATCTCGAGGAGTATTTCGGCCTTGTTCTCAGAGCTCCAGAAATTCTTGGGTGAGTCGACCATCCACGCACTTCGCTGGGGAGTCGTCCCCGGGAGTGCGGAGTTGGCGCTCTTTGATGCCAGTGCCTCAGAGGCTACATATAATATTGAGAGACTCCACCGCCTGCACACCGCCCTCACGGCCATCGACCCACCGCCCAGCTCAGAGATCTCCTACTTCATCAACCAGTGCGAGCTCCTGATCTCTCAAGCGCACCAAGCCTCCACCGCCCGCTTCGAGTGGGTCGACGGCATGCTCATCCACGCAATCGAGCAAGGTAAGTGGCTCGTCCTCGACAATGCTAACCTGTGCAGCCCCTCCGTGCTCGACCGCCTCAACTCGCTGCTCGAGCTCAACGGCTACCTGGTCGTCAATGAGCACAGCGACAAGAATGGCGAGCCGAAGATCGTCCGGCCGCATGCTAACTTTAGATTGTTCCTGACCATGGATCCCCGCCATGGGGAGTTGTCCAGGGCCATGAGGAATCGTGGGATAGAGGTGTATATAGACGCGGGGGTTATGGAACCCATGCCGTTGGCCGCGCAGGAGGATGATGTAAGGCGAGTGGAGGAGGCCCGGTGGATGGCAGATGCTACCACGACGGAGGCGTGTATAGCGGTGTATAGTGACGTTGACAGACTGGCTGCTACTTCTACTACTACTGACATAGGTTCTTCTGATGCTGCTGATGCTGTGTATGATGAGCTGCTGCGGGTAGTCTTTGATCATTTGCCCCGCGACCAGATGAGCATCTTGAAGAGATGGAAGACACACATAGCTGCCGACAAGGTGGGCCCCGTCGTGGACGTAGTCAGTAACGTAGAAGACCTGAGTGCGCATCCGCGTCTGGCGGTGCTGCGTGCGGAGTTCTTGAGAACCGTGGCGGAGGAGTTGAGCCTTGGTCAGAGCTTTGGTGATGCACAGGTCAGTGGCCGTGCCGTATTTTCTTCTCCCTCTTCTTCGCTCTTGCTTTCGTTTGATTTGGTTAGCTTTTTTTGGTCTTGATCTTGATCTTGATTTGAGGCATTCATTTTCTCTGTCCCCAAAGATATAACTCCAAGTCAATGGTTTTATAATGAAATGAATAGTGAAAAATGGAACTAGTTTTCTTTTTCATTTATATATATGTATACTGATAGAAAACTCAATAAAGCCATTAAACCCCATCCGTAACACATCTCTCCTCTCCACCGGCATAAGAAAGAACAATGCCTCCTCCTCCTCCGCCATCACCACCTTATCGGCGATCCACGACCTCGCCCGCGAGATCCTCCACATCAAGCGCACCGAGGCCGACATCCTCCAGCGCTCCACAACAACACGTATGAAAGAAATGACCTTCCTCGAGAAGTCAGCGTCGAAATCCAAAGCCTCCTCCGCCATCTCCTCCGCACAATCAGCATCATCAGGCGTAGTGGGACTCCCGCTATTCGCCTTTCTCACCACCGTCCGCCGCTCCCTAGAAGCATGGCTGACGGAAGTGACCATCGAAACAGACACCGTACACTCCCCCCTCCCCCTCCTTCCCTCCCACCTTTTCCCCTTTCTTCTTCCAGTACTAACAAGCCGCAGAACACCCTCACACGCATAACAGAGCTCCTCTCCCTATGGCGTGACATGGTCGCCCTGAGCAGCACCCACAACCTCAACGAGAGTATCTTCCACGTGTACCTCTCGCTCCTCGAATCATGGATCCACACCTCCTCGCCCACCCTCCCGCCAGCAATACTCACCGCCACCGAGCGCGCGCTCGGCGGGTTCCGTGCGCCGCTACGGCTCACCACGGGATTCGCGATGGAGGCGTTGTGGGGTGCATTAAGACCGTCGGTTCCGGCATCTGTGGGGGCGTGGGAGGCGTATAACCGCTTGCGCGAGATTGCGGATCGGTTTGATGCGATTGTTGGAAAGTTGCAAGGTGAGTTTTTTTTTGGTGCCGCGTCATGGGTTGTCACTCGGTGGCTGGGTTGCTGACAGGGGTGTGTGTAGGTTCGTTTGAGACTGTGGCGGGGCTGAAGAGCTCGTTGATGGAGGCGCTTACAGCAGTGTTGACGTCGGAAGTTGAAGTTGGGGAGTTGGTGGAGGGGCTGGAGGGCGCGATTGTGGGGTTGGAGGAGAGGGCGGGGAGGAGTGGCGTTGCGGTGAGGGAGTCACTGTTGAGGATGGTGTTTGACTATTTGCTCAAGTTTAAAGCACTGGGCGGGGAAAAATCGGTAGGCGTAAGAGAGGCATTGGATTATGGGTTGAAGCTGACTGTGCGGTAGTTTAATGATACCTTGACGCTCGGCCATTTTGCGGGCAGAACTACAGCTAGCTTGTTGGGATACCAGGGACCGGAGACGACGCTACGTATGGCGACTGAATCTTTGGGGTATACATCTAGAGACTGACTATGGTTTAGGAACTGCCTATAAGCAAGTACTGGAGGATATCTACGAATATGACTTTACCTCAACAGGCCCTCAAGGCCTACTCCAAGGACGCTTTGCGCTGGAGATGCTACGCACAGGTCAAGCTGCCAATAACTCGTTTATTGGACAGCTCAGTAAACTCAACATCGAACTCGGGGCACTTTCAAAGCAGTTTACGCAATTGACTCAGCAGGTGACTAGTGATCAGCTGTTGCAGCTGAATATGCTGCTTCTGTCAAATACGAAGAAGGTAAGTGCTCTTTGAACATGTATAAGATAGTTATGGGGGCTAACATTCATTGCTCTAGATCTTTGAACTCCATTCCAGAACATACAATGAGGATAATTTCACAGTGCTCATTTCTGCGCTTGAGAAGCTAGAGCTTGCACTCAATGGGGATTCAAATTCCTTCGAAGGTCTTGACTTTGCCACGGCAACCTTAGATGTCGCATTCAAGTCCGTAATCGACGATCATCTCATCCACGTGCTCAACTGCCTTTCTACAATCCCCCAAACCTCTTCATATTCAGAAGCCCTCGAACTATCCGGCAAAGCTTGGACCCACTACGCCCTCGGATGCTTAAAGCTCTACGTCCCCAATGTCGTATTCGACCCCGCGATGAAGCGCCTCGTCCAGCGCGAGCGCTACCTTAAGCGAAAGACCGAGCTGCACAACAAGACCGCGGCCGAAAAAATCTTCGAGCTAAGGTTTACCGGCCAGCAAGACAATGCCCAGATCCAAATGCTCGAAAAGCGTCTTGCGGACCTCGGAGAGGAGCCGCCAAACTCGCTGGTTGTGCGCCCGGCAGAGTCGGAGATGACGCAGCTCCAGGGGGATATGATTAACCTTCTGCAGGTTGTTGTAAACACAAGCCCTCATGAGCGTTTGCTACCGTCCATTTTAGAGCGTAGAGCGAATTATAGGGATGAAGAGTCATTGTTCCAGAAGAACCTGTCGCAAATCATTGAGAGGCTGCGTCGCGGATATCCGCTTTATAAGGATCTGGTGGATCCTATCCTTGGCTTCCTGTATTCCTTGAAGATGGGTCTATCGCTTTCTGCCATGGAGGCAGACGATTCAAGCCTTGCTATAACCCTTATTGAGCCAAGTATTCCAGAGGTATTCAATCAACAGGTACTAGACGATCGGGAAGATATCAAGCTGCTGCGACTGTGGCAGATTGCAGCCCATCAGAACATCGAGGGCTACGAGAACACTAAGCAGACATCCAACAAGACAGTCCACAGCATCTTACAAGGTTTTTTCGAAGCCTGGAAAGTCAAGACCCAGAAAGAGCAAGAAGAGGCGGCCGCAAATGCAAGCTTGTACAGATACATGGGCGAAGAAGAAAATGCTGACGAGACGGAGCTTGCGGCGATGTTTCCCGCTTACGAAGATGAAGAGGAGAAAGAGAAGGAAAAGGAAAAGCCCGCTGGTTCTCAGCACCGAGAGCTTGCTTGCCAGATCGCTCTGTGCCATTCCGCAATTCATCTCAGCACAGGTTTAGAGTCTACAACTCTCTCATCATTAATTCAACGGGGCGTTTCAGCTCTGGTGAAATCTATTGGGGAAGAGAGCTCTTTCTGCATATCACCAGGAAAGACGGAGGCATTCTTACCAGCTATTATCCTCTCTTTGAAGGAGACATCACAATGGATCAACGGAGTGACCTCCCAAACCTACGACTTCTACACCGAGGAGAACCTAGAACAGGCACGGAAGCTGGTTGTGATTGTCGAGAAAGCCCACGCGCGGTTATCAGTTCTAGCCGAAGCATGGCCAGAGCATGTCACTATCCAAGATGCCATAGCGGTTTGCCAAGAGATACTAGACCTCCCCAACTCCACCCCGATTGCCCAGTCCCTCGTGAAGGTCGAAAAGCTGCACGAGCATTTGAACGAATGGCAGGGCGTTGCAAGCTCTGAATTTTCTGCCGCTGAGCACTTTGATGCTGTGACGCAACTGATCATCAGCTGGCGCCGCATCGAGCTGTCAGCATGGCCACGCCTGTTCGATATCGAAGACGAAAAGTGCCGCGCAGAGGCGAATTCGTGGTGGTTCTACGTTTATGAGAGTGCTATCGCGAACCCTCTTCAATTGCTCTCTGAAGGCCCAAACCTCAAAGAGCATGTTGAGCAACTCCTCACAACCCTAGTCGCTTTCGTAGAGACATCTTCGATCGCCCAGTTCCCACATAGATTGCAGCTTCTGAAGGCATTTGAGCAGCATGCTCTTCGTTTGTCTGATGAGTTCCCTGCCATGAATCTGGTACAGAAGGGACTGCACAACCTCATCGCGTACTTCTCACAATATGCATCCGAGGCCAAAGAAGCTACGGCAAAGTCTCGAAAGAAGTACCAAAAATCTATGAGTGATGTCGTCTTGCTTGCCAGCTGGAAGGATACAAACATTCTAGCGCTTCGTGATAGTGCCAAACGCTCGCATAAGAAGCTTTTCAGAGTTGTTAAAGGATACCGCCAGGCAATCAATCAACCCATGGCTCCGATTATTTTGGCCGGCATGCCCGAAGGCTCTGCCGAAAACTCTTCAACAAACGGAGCATTGCCAGAGCCTACTAATGAAATGTCTATCGATTTCGAATTGATCAAGGGAATCTACGAGAACTCCGTCAAAAAATGGACCGAGAGGCCAGCACGTCTTCAAGATCTCCCAGCAGCAGTACAGATGATGAAACGCGTTGCAAAGATCCCCGAAGACCGGGCCGAGACGATCAACTTTATCGAAGACTTTTCATCTTCAATCATCTCGACAATGAAGCAACTTCAATCAGAGACTCCAGGAACCCTGAACGATGAAACCAAGGATATTGCCAAGCATCTCAAGACTAGGAAACGAAAGGCCTTTGCAGATGCTCTGAAGGAGCTCAAGAACATGGGTCTTAAATCAAACCTGAGTGCTGCCCTACTAGGCAAGCAAGCAACCCTTGAGCGTATCCTGGCTATAGCCGACCCTCTTGAAAACAGCCAAACTGGCGTCCAGGGTCACTCTGAAAATCATTATTTCCTTCGCATCGCGGAGATTTTACCAAAGATCCGAAAAGCAGTTGTAGAGCATTCACCAGACTTGACCAGCGCAGAAGTCGCAAGAAGTGTGGGGTTCATCGAAAACTTACTTTCCCTGTCACTCGACCAGCGTTCTTCAATCTCGTCTTCACTGAAAGAACTTGAGCTAGCGCAATCCTCAATGGCCAGATACAATACACTCTCGAACCTGGAAATTGATAGTGCTAGCTTGTATGGAAACAAGGATCTTCAATCTTATGCCGACCTCCAGAGACGATTCCAATGGGTTCCAAAGATATTGGACTTAGCAGCCGAACTACTGAAAATTCACTCCGAGTTCAGCGACAAGACATTCGAAACAGCGAATGAGCTCATTAGTAGTTCTCAAAAATCTGCCACCGGGGTCAATGATCGATTTTCCGCCCAAAAGCAGCTTCTCATTCACAGTGGAATATGGGAAGATTCTGCGAAACGTTTGCTTGAAGAAGCCCAATCAACACTTAGCCTCATTGAGGGTAGCATGAAGACCATAGGAAACGACTACCCAGAGATTGCATATACCACAACTCAAGTATTGCCATGGGTTTCTCTTACCGCCTCGGAATTCCAACCGCAAACCAATGGCGCAGTATCTGAACCTGCGACACTTCAAGCTCTGGATGCGTCACTCAAGACACTCTCCGACTCGATCTTTGTTGCCCTCCAGCAGCTCAAAGAGGCTCAAGCAACGTATCCTCCCTCGATCGAAGAACCTGGATGGCTCCTTCAGCATCAATCCGCAAGCTCAGCCAGCCTGAAAGCCCTGCACACAAGCGCCATTACACGCAGGATTGACGATGTCATTGCCCTTACTTCCCGGTTACAGCAGTCTGATCTTTCGAACTCGCAAGCTGTTCGTGCACTTTTCGCGGCCTATCAGCCCATCATACAAGAGTACACTGAAATCTCTTGCAGGACAGTCCGGGAAGCGCTTTCACAGTATCGCTCTATCTGCAAGACTACTTATATCCTGAGTACTTCTGCATCAACACTGATCTCGAAGGGCTTCTGTATGCCCCAAGAAAAGGGCGATCCTGAAGGCGGTAACACAGATAATGTCGAAGGCGGAACTGGTCTCGGAGAAGGTGAAGGTCAAGATGATATCAGCAAAGACATTAAAGCGGATGAGGATCTTTCTGAGTTGGCACAGGAGAAGGACAAAGAGAAGAGAGACGAGGAAATTGAGGATGAGAAGGATGCAGTTGACATCGAAGATGAAATGGAGGGAGAAATTGGGGATATTGCAGATAAGGAGGATGACGAAAAGGGCTCGGGCGACGAGAAAGAAGATGATGATATGGACGAAGAAACCGGTGATGTAGATGACTTAGATCCTGACGCCGTTGACGAAAAGCTCTGGGATGGAGAGGCCGATGATGATGCCCGTGACAAGGAAGGAGATGGCATGAAAGACCAGCAGAAACAAGGAGAAGATATGGAAGCAAAGAAAGAGAACGGAAAGGAGAAACAAGGGGAGGAAATGGAGAGCAAAGAAGACGAGGATGGTGAAGAAAGTGAAGGCGAAGGCGCAGATCAGGAAGATGATGTCCGGCAGCAAGACGATAACGAAAAGACAGATGCCCATGTGCCAGAGGTCGACACACTTGATCTGCCAGAAGACATGGAGCTAGACGGTGATGAAAAGAGCGGAGGGGAAGAAGAGGAGGATGATATGAAGATGGATGATCTCTCAGACGTTGACGATGAAGGGGAGGAAGTGAAACAAGATGACAAGGGTGATAAACAAGACAGCTTCCCTGACCTTGACGATCCCGAGAAACAAGGAGAAGAGGGAGAGCCAGAAACTGAGAACCAGGAGGAGGGTCAAGAAAATGAGGGCGAGGAGAATGGTGAAGGAGAAAAGAATGATGAGGAGCCAGAGGAAGAAAACAAGGAGGAAGGAGCTGATGAGCCAGAACCCGACAGTCTCTTGACGATCCGCGACGAACAAGACGCAAAAGAGGGCGAAGACACTGCTCCTAGCGACTTACAAGGCGTTGAAGGAGGCAATGATGATCAAGATGCCAACGAACAAACCTCAGCCCAAAGGGAAAGCGGCGAGGATGCAAAGTCCGGCGAAAATGGTAAAGGAGCAGATGAAGCCCAGGCACAGGAAGAGACCACTGGACAAGCTTCGGCACAAGAGTCTGAACGTCCTGATGAAAAATCCAACAAAAAGGATGAACAGACTGAAGCGGAGTCGTCGTTCCGTAAAGTTGGTGACATGCTCGAGAAGTGGCACCAACAGCGCCGCCAAATCCTCAACGCTAAAGAAGAAGATGAGGAGCGCCCTCAGGTTGAGAATATGGTAAGATATATATATATCCATCCATCTATGCCACTCAGAACTAACACAGAAATAGGAAATTGATGCTCCCGAATTTGAACATTTGCCCAACGATGATACGAAAGCTGATACACAGGCTCTTGGTGCTACAACGGAAGAACAAGCTCACTCTTTAGACGAGTCCATGGCGATCGATTCTGGTGCTCAAGAAGCCCAAGACGCATTTGAAGACATGGAGCCAGAGGCAGCAGAGGATCCAGATGCAAAGGATGGCGAAGACAATGAAGCCCTTCCTGAAGCCCAACAACCAGCAAGCGATGAGCCGGAAACCCAAGCTGGTGCAATGATTGGTGAAACCAGAGAGCAACGTGCCCAACGCCAGCAGAAAACTGAAGAGACTATGGATCTCGACGAAGTTGAAGAAACGCCTGAAACTGCTCATGTCATTGACATTAACCAAGAATCGGCACTTACTGAATTCGGCTCAACCCGTTCAAGAGAGGAAGCACGTCAACTATGGCAACAGTACGAACAGTCAACTAAAGCTCTGTCTATGGGTCTTTGCGAGCAACTTCGTCTCATCCTTGAGCCAACCCTTGCAACCAAGATGCGTGGCGACTTCAGAACTGGAAAGCGTCTCAACATGAAGCGTATCATCCCATACATTGCGAGTCAGTACAAGAAGGACAAAATCTGGATGCGTAGGACAAAGCCAAGCAAACGCCAGTACCAAGTCATGATCGCTGTAGATGATTCCAAGTCAATGGCAGAATCAGAATCAGTGGCACTTGCATTTGAGACTGTGGCCTTGGTTGCAAAAGCACTTAGTCAGCTAGAGGTCGGGCAGATATCAATTGTTTCTTTTGGAGAAACGACCCGTCTCATCCATCCATTCGACCAACCGTTTACTTCAGAGGCCGGTGTGAAGGTCTTCGAGCGCTTCCAGTTTGACCAGTTGAAGACAAACGTCAGAACCCTCCTTGATACCTCTATGGGAATCTTTGAAACCGCAAAAGTCAATTCCAGTGCGGATCTATGGCAGCTAGAGATCATCATTTCCGATGGTGTTTGCGAAGACCACGAGACACTGAAACGCCTGGTTCGGAGAGCGCAGGAGGAGAAGATCATGATTGTGTTCGTCATCTTGGACTCTGTCAGAGATAAGAGTATCCTACACATGAAGCAAGTCAGGTTCGAGATGGGCGCAGACGGCACACAGGAGTTGAAGATGGAGAGATATCTAGATACTTTCCCGTTCGGGTTCTATCTTGTGGTGAACGATATCAGAGAGTTGCCGGGAGTGCTTGCGTTGGCTTTGAGGCAGTGGTTCGCGGAGGTTGCGGATGCGGGGATGTGAACTTAGATATTTCGTAGATAGCTTTTATTTTCCCCTGTTTTTAGAGTTGTTTTTAGAGTGTATTATTACTACTTTCCTTGTGCTAGTTTGTTAGATTTAATTCCTAAAAGTTATTTCGGTTGTGTAGCAAATCATCGTTTTCCTCGGGTTGTCCGTCTAGTGTTTTTATGACTATGGAGGGGCTACTTTATGTTTAGCGTACCCTGCTGATCGACTTTCTTCATCGTGACAGATCATCGTGATAGGTTTGTTCCCGTAAACATTGAACTCTCATTCTCTTAGTCTTAGACCTGTTGGGGGACAAAAGTGGTTGAAGAGGGGGAAGTGTATGGATAAGGGGGGGGGAGGGGTGGGGGTGGGGTGTTGGTAACTTTCTATGTTTACCAAAGTTCAAGACTTCGGGGCTTCACCTAGTACATGGAGTGCTCGGCACACCCTAGTCTCGTATCCGTCCCCTACGGACAGCTTGCTGTTCAGGAATACACATGCTGCAGGACAAACCCAAATCTGAATAAAACATTCACAGCATCAACACCACCGACCACATTATCTGCGCGGTGTGTATAGGCTAGATATTCACCCCATGCCTAGCTTCGTCTTGATACGGTTGCAATAGTTTATATAGCCCTAAGAGAGTTAACCTTTTAAGAGACAGAAAGAAAGAAAAAGCTCCATGTATAGCAAACCTCCTATTGGTATTAATCCAAGCACATTTCCACCTATGCGAGCGAAGCTTCGGGGTAGAATGAGCGCTGGAACGGATGAGCAAAAAGGCCACTCTTGTACCAACCCTAGAACATCGAGTGATACACTGTGATTCAAACCTTCGGAAAATAACATCCTACCCACTCCATAGGGACTTGGCCGGCATAGTTTAGCTCTGGCGAAGGGCAAAGTTTTAATTTTCCAGTCGTTATATAAAGGATCACTCGGACATCGATATCTTATCCATGTTGATTTTAACCCTAACCCTGTGCTAAAGACAACCCAACTAAATCTCACCGGTACTAGGGTTATGGGATTGCAGTCATGTTCGCAACTATTAAAAGCAGCTTTTTCCAAAGCTCCCAGGCGAAGTACTGTGTCTGCTGTTGAATTATTCAAGCCATAATTGAGCTTGAAATGCGTAATGAGTTTCGTTAGAGTAAGAATTGCGGCATTGCAACAACCCTAGCCCTGCAATATCTGCATGCGGACAAATAAGTTGAAATAACTCCTGATGGAGAAATAAATAACCTTACAGGCAGATAGTTATCCTCCTCACAGCGACCGGGTTTTCAACTTGGAGGCACCGGCACCCCGGCCCTTCACCCCCACGAGCTCCATTATTATTCGTGATTGGTTTGTAAAGCCGTTGACATATAACTCAGGGTCTTCTTATTCGGGGAGTTAGCCTATTGGAGGGAGGCATCTCAGCTCTAAATAAAGGGCCCCGCCGCAACCCCGCCAAACTTTTTCTATCTCCCTCTTCTGACCAGTCAACCTCTCCCCGCGACACTCATTCTCCTTAGACCCCCACCAGCCAACCAGGAATCCATATCTTCATCACAGCTTGAATTGAATTCACTGTAAAAAAAAAAATGGCTGCTCCCACTGCCTCACAGACATACCTCAGCACCCGAGGCGGCTCCACCGGGGTATGTTTTTGAATTTTCTACATAGCTGTTCCCCCGCCGCCCAATTCAATCGCAATTGACTAACCAGCAGAGAATCTCAAACACCACAGTTCTCCTTCGAAGCCGCCGTGCTGAAGGGCCTCGCCAGCGACAACGGGCTCTTCATCCCCGAGGCCATCCCCGCCCTGCCCAGCGACTGGCAGACCCGCTGGTCCAAACTCTCGTTCCAGGAGCTCGCCTACGAGGTTCTCTCGCTGTACATCTCGCCGTCCGAGATCCCCGCCGACGACCTCAAGACGCTCATCAACAAGTCGTACTCGACCTTCCGCCACCCCGACATCACCCCGCTCAAGTCCCTCATCCCCGAGGACAACCTGCACATTTTGGAGCTCTTCCACGGACCAACCTTTGCGTTCAAGGATGTGGCGCTGCAGTTTGTCGGGAACCTGTTTGAGTACTTTTTGGTCAGGAAGAACGCGGGAAAGAAGGAGGGCGAGAAGAGACACACTTTGACGGTCATTGGTGCGACTTCGGGCGACACTGGAAGTGCGGCTATCTATGGGCTGAGGGGAAAGAAGGATGTCAGTGTCTTCATCCTGCACCCAAAGGGCAGAGTGAGCCCCATCCAGGAGGCGCAGATGACCACTGTCCTCGACGCAAATGTCCACAACCTTGCCGTCGGCGGCACCTTTGACGACTGCCAGGTAAATCCCCCCACCCCCTTCTTTTCCACCTCCCCAATCCCTAACACCCCCACCAGGACGCCGTCAAATCCCTCTTCTCCCACCCCGTGCTCTCCAAAACCCACAACCTCGGCGCTGTAAACTCCATCAACTGGGCCCGCATTCTCGCCCAGATCGTCTACTACTTCCACTCCTACTTCGCCCTCCTCGCCACCCTCCCCGCCGGCGCTCCAACCCCTAAGATCCGCTACGTCGTCCCCACCGGCAACTTCGGCGACATCCTCGCCGGCTACTTCGCCAAGCGCATGGGCCTCCCCATCGACCGCCTCGTCATCTCCACAAACAGCAACGACATCCTCGACCGCTTCCTCAAGACCGGCCGCTACGAGAAGCAGCCCGTGCCCCCCTCCCAAGAAGCCCAAGGCGGCCTCCCCGCCGACGGCAGCAAGGCCCACGAAGCAGGCGTAAAGGAAACTCTCTCCCCCGCAATGGACATCCTCGTCTCCAGCAACTTTGAGCGCCTCCTCTGGTACCTCGCCCTCGAGTGCGAGGCCGCCGGCACCGACCACGCAAAGGCGGGCGCCGTCGTAAAGACCTGGATGGACGATCTCAAGACGTCGGGCACCACCGTCGTCTCGCAGGCGGTGCTGGACGCCGCGCGCCGCGACTTCGGCTCCGAGCGTGTCAGCGACGAGGACACCACCGCGACTATTCGCAAGATCTTCACGGAGGCGCCGTCGGCGCCGTATGTGCTTGATCCGCACACGGCCGTGGGCATTGCTGCGTCGCTGAGGCTGGTGCAGCGCACCAAGGAGGACGGCGAGAAGGACGTGCACTACGTCTCGCTGAGCACGGCGCATCCGGCCAAGTTTAACCATGCGGTGGATTTGGCGCTGGGTGGGCTGGGGACGTATGATTTTGAGAGGGACGTGAGGCCGGTGGAGTTCCGTGGGCTGGAGGCGAGGGAGAAGAGGGTGAGGTTTGTGGAGAGGGCGGATCCGGAGGTGGTGATGAAGGTGGTGTTGGAGGGGTTGGAGAGTGAGGGGAAGGAATAGGTGGATGGGAAGGTTTTGGGGGTACTGGGGGTTTTGGTATGACTTGTCCGAGTAGTTAGAATAAATAAATAAAAGAAAATGGGATTTTTCAAATGCAAATGTTTATAACTACTACTCTTGTTACCTCACTGTGTTGTTCTATGAGCTTTATGTGCTTGTGAGAAAAAGAAGTGACTTTTGCACTACGGAAGTTTCATTATCCGCATAGCTATAAACAACATGATAACCAATCACTGACACGCACCCACCGAGTGACACCCGATGACCCACCCACCCATCAAACCCACAACCCAAAAGAAAAAAGAGCCCAAACAACCAACCCAAACCAAAGACGAAAAACTTCCACCAAGCCCAGAAAACTAATACAAATAATACCCCTGCGTCAACGGCAGCCTATCCACCGGCTCAGCGGTACACGCCACGCCGTCTGCCTCCACTGTGTACGTCTCGGGGTCGACCCTCATCGCCGGCATAGCATCATTGAGCTTCATGTGCTTCTTGCCGATGTTCCTGCAGCCCCGCACGGCCTCGACGCGCTTCTTGAGCCCGTAGGACTGCACGGTGCCTGATTCGAGAGAGGCGGCTGACACCCAGGTGATGGATGTGCTGGGCACGAGCGGCGCGTACATCGGCCGCCCGATGATGGGTTGCACGGATGGGATGGAGCCGTTGGCGTCGCCGATGTGCGCCCAGGCGATTAGGCCGGATTTGAGTCTGCACGGGGTTAGTTGGGGTGTGGGAGGAGGAGGGGAGGAAGGGGGGGAGGGGAGAAGGAGAAGGATGAGCTTACACTAGGCTTGGTTTTGCGCCGAATTGTGCGGGGTCCCAGAGGACGAGGTCGGCGAGTTTGCCAGTTTCGACTAGAACGCAACTCACTCACTCAGTAACTGTCTCTTGGTCATAATTCTATAGCTGCTGTAGAGCAGAGCGGAGAGAGATAGAGGGGAGTTCTTACCGGAACCAATAAGATGGCTCATCCCCTGCGCAATCGCCGGGTTCACGGTGTACTTTGCAATGTACCGCTTGACCCTAAAGTTATCCGCGCCCGTCCCCTCATCCTCCTTCAGCGGCCCGCGCTGCACCTTATTCTTGCTCGCCGTCTTCCACGTGCGCAGCACCACCTCGCCGACACGCCCCATCGCCTGTGAGTCACTGGACATCATCGATATCGCACCCAGATCGTGGAGCACGTCTTCTGCGGCGATAGTCTCAGCCCTGATACGCGACTCGGCGAAGGCCACGTCTTCGGGGATGTTCTTTGACAGGTGGTGGCACACCATCAGCATGTCGAGATGCTCATCGAGGGTGTTGCGGGTGAATGGCCGAGTGGGGTTTGTGGATGAGGGGAGGACATTGCGGTGCTGCACGACGCTGATGATGTCTGGTGCGTGGCCGCCGCCGGCGCCCTCGGTGTGGTAGGTGTGGATGGTGCGGCCCTTGAAGGCGCCGATGGTCTGCTCAACGAAGCCGCTCTCGTTGAGCGTGTCGGTGTGGATGAGGCACTGGACGTCGTACTGGTCGCAGACGGACAGACAGGCGTCGATGGCCGCGGGTGTGCTGCCCCAGTCCTCGTGGAGCTTGAGGCCGACGGCGCCGGCGGCGCATTGCTCGGCGAGGCCTTGCGGCTGGCAGTCGTTGCCCTTTCCGGTGACGCCGAAGTTGAGCGGGAGGCCGTCGAGGGCCTGCAGCATCTGGCGGATGTAGGTTGCGCCGGGGGTGCAGGTTGTGGCGTTTGTGCCGGTACTAGGCCCGGTGCCGCCGCCGAGCATGGACGTGACGCCGGAGGAGAGTGCTTCGGCCGCTTGCTGTGGACAGATGTAGTGGATGTGGGTGTCGAAGCCGCCGTAGGTGATGATTTTGCCCTCGCCGGCGATGATGTCCGTGTTGCTGCCGACGATGAGGGAGCGGTCAACGTTGTCCATGATGTCCGGGTTGCCAGACTTGCCGATGCCGACGATATGCCCGTTCTTGATCCCGATGTCGGCTTTGTAGATGCCGGTGTAGTCAACAATGAGCGCGTTTGTGATGACGAGGTCGGCGGTCTCGCGGTCGGAGCGGCCGGACGCTTGCCCCATGCCCTCACGGAGGGTCTTGCCGCCGCCGAACTTGCACTCGTCGCCGTAGGTGGTGTAGTCCTTCTCGACCTTGATAAAGAGCTCTGTGTCGCCGAGGCGGACGAGGTCTCCCGTCGTGGGGCCGAACATGGCGGCGTATGCCTCGCGCTCCATGGTAGTTGGGAGCACCGCACGCTTGTCCATGGGCGCGTCGATGTGGGCAAAGCCCATCTTGACAAGGTTGTTAATGATGTTGGTAATGTTGACACGGTTGCGGTCGACGACGCCGCTGGCGATGCGGTTGCCGCCCTGGATGATCATGTTCCCGCCAATCTCGACGATATTGACGGTCTTGCAGTCGCCGGGCTCGAAGCGCACGGCCGTGCCGGCCGCAATGTCAAGGCGATAGCCGTAGGCCTGGATGCGGTCGAACTCGAGGAGCGGGTTGGCCTCGATGAGGTGGTAGTGGCTTCCAACCTGCACGGGGCGGTCTCCCTTGTTGACGATGCGCAGACGAGCCTTGCGGCGGCCCGGGTTGAGCTCAATGCAGCCCTTGACGGCCACGACGGCACCGGGCTGGCGGATGGCCTCGTATTCGGTGGTCGAGGTAATGGGCGGGAAGAGGGACTCGTCGGGGATGGGGAGGAAAGAGCCGTAGAGGGCTTTCTCGATGTTGCCGTCATCAGAGGCGATGGGGTTGTGGATGGTCACGAGATAGGTGCCGTCGTGGAAGGTGCCTTCAACCTGAATCTCGGCGAGGGCAGAGGCCACAGCGGGGAGGACATGCCGGCGACCCAGCATCTGCTTGCCCGCGTTCATGAGCGCGGCGACTGTGTGTGTGCCATCGCGGATGAGCTCATGGATGTTGTTGGCGATGAGGGCCGTGGCTTCGGTCTGGTTGAGGCGGACTCCGCGGGCGAGGCGCTTCTGAGCGAGGTAGCCGACCTGGGAGATGAGGAGCTTGTCGATCTGGGGGGAAGGGTTAGCTACGGCTTCAATTCAATTGGAGAGCACTACGTAGATAGCTATCTCATACCTCGCGGGGAACCAAATGCATTCTGAAAGAATTGATATGGGTGCAGACTCGTGGGGTTCTGGAGTTGTAGTCCGTGATCCAAGATCCAAGGGACGACGTTGGAATTAACGATGGGCCGAAGGGAAAGGAGGGGAAAGACAGCTGCAGCTCGCCGATAAGAGGAAGGGCAGCCGCCGATAAGATAAGCAACATGTCAAAAGTATGATTGATTGATTGCCTACAGGGATTGTTGCCCGGGGTCTAAGTCAACGGCAGGCGACATCTAATGACTTTGGCACTGTGTCGGCATTTGGATGGCCATTGAGTGTTTTTCATGTCAGGAGATACTCTCCGGTGAGCGAGGTTGAGTATCCTGACGGGTGCCTGTACATGTATGTATAATTCGTGACGTTGGGTAGTAAGGCCAATGATCAGCCTGCAGGTATCTCTCGAGCCCGCTATGTAGATGCATGTAGCACTGATAACAATGATAAGGGAAGCATACACCCGTCATATATGCACTTGCATGCATGTCAGGAACAGACACCTTATGAAAGCGTTTCCGATATGCGCAATCTGGGACATGTCTAAGACAGCTGGTTCTACCACTCGATGTCATTATCAGAACCGAGTGACCTCCCATGACGCAGGCCCAGGACAAGATGCATACATGTAACTACATGCCCTCTGTACAAGCGTTATTTTAGCTGAGAGAGTTTGGACGGGTTGGATAAATATCTGGCTGTTGTAGGAAGAGACATGTACTGGTTCAATTAGTAAGATGTGCAAGACCTTTGGTCCAGTTCTTGATAAAGTAAGGCACAGCTCGAATTGATTACGTACTGACGACGACGACGACGACGACGACGATGATGATGATGATGATGATGATGATGATGATGATGATGATGATGATAGAGGGAAGAAGAAATCTAGATAGATACACATAGGTGTAGTTGTGGCCAACGGATACGGTGGAGGTTGTGACAGAGGACAGGCCATAAAGATTACGGTGTCCTCATTAGCTAGACTTGTCTCCGCTTATTTCCAAACTGACTGTACTTTTGTATTGGAATTATTTTGGCCTCGGAACTGTAACTAGAAAGAGAGGGTCTCCGCTCTCTCTCGCTGTTTCTACCCACCAGTTCACATAATACATTCTCTACGTGCTCGGTTCTTTACCTTGCTTCACGAAGACCATCTCTGAAAACACACATAACACACGTGATGTCGACACCCATAGGCTATTAGCCCTAACTCATGTATACGAAACTGAGCAAAGGGGCTTGGCACTCCTCCCCACGGCTATAAAAACCCACGCTCAACCTCTTCTCCTTCCTTCTTCTCCAGACAATGTCAACACCGAGGTCCTCTCCCGCAGAGGCCACACCAACCCAGCATGCCACGGGCGTCAAGGCGAAGGAGAAGCACAGAGGCCATGGGGCCATGCTTCCCGGGGACCCCATACGCGGCAACCCACCGACCACCCTAGACCAGCCGCTCCCACAGCCTTTGGCAAGCTGTGGTGCACGCAGGTCGAAAGGTGGTCGCCTCAAAAACCGGCTCTCCCTCCTCCCCCCCATTCGCTTTCTGTTCCCTCCCTGTGGGGGAGCACTCTTCTTCCCCCTGTTGGTCCTTGGGCGTTGTCCGAGGGGCCGAAAGGAGGATTTTCCCTTGCTCTGTTCCTGTTCCTGTCCCTGTTCCTCCGTCCCTGTTGCTCCGTCTCTCGAGCTTGTGTTCTCCCCGCAAGGAGAGAACAAGGCCTCTTTTGACTCCTAGGTTCTGTCCGAGGAGTCGAGAGGGGTCTCTCGTTGTTCGTCTTCCCGTCCCTCCCCCGTTTCTTCCCGTCACTGTTTTTTGTTTCTCCCCCCTTCCTTCCTTCTTCCGCCCCGTTCCTTCTTCCGTGCTTTCGTGCTTTCCTTGGGGAGCACGATCCCCCCGTTCAGAGACCAAAGAGTGAGCCCTTTCGTCCGAACTTTCTGCCCCGTTGTCCCGTGCTTTTTTTTTTTTTTTTTTTTACGGAGGGAGCATAGCCCCCATCGTCCTCTGGGTTCCATTCGAGGATCGAAAGGGATGCTCATCTTTCCCGTCTCTGTCCCCGTGCTTGTTCTCTGTCCCCGTGCTTGTTCTTTACCTGGGCATCGGGCTCTAGGAGACGAGCTGTCCAGCTGTTTATATAGAATACAAGCCTCTTGCGCAACATCGTGGCGTGGTCGAGGGGTAATAGCCTCTACTACGTTGCATGACATCCCCGGTTCAACCCGGGATGGAAGCATTGAACAGAATGCCCAACATGGTAGCGACGCTCTTGAGGGATGATACTGTTCACGTAAGTCTTTTGTCACTCAGGGTTTTTTTCTTTTCTTTTTTTCTTTTTAGCGCACTACCTATATAGGGCACTAGGTACTATCACCTGTAGTAATAAGCGTGTTTGGGTGTAACTCTGTGGTAGGGTGGAACGGATTGCGCGCTGCCGCCTGGGGACGGGCACTGAGGAGGGGCATTGGAGAATGGAGAATCATGGGATATCACTCGACTGATTAAGTTGCCAAGAAACTGGCTAGCCAGCAAGGTGCGAGAACCCCGACAGACAACAGACGAGAGACGATAAGGTAGCTGCGCTCAAAACGTGAGTGTTAATCGTTACTGTAATATAAACCCAATTGAACCATTCTAACCCCACAGCCGTCCCCAATAATTTGCCTCACTACCTTACTTGTAGGTGCACCTGTTATGTGCCTGGGGGTAGATTTAATTATTCATTGATATATGTGCCCATAGCCAGCATACGACGGTGGAATGCTTTTCCTCCCTTGGGCTACAGGCTATGTATCCGCACGCTGTATTGTGAGAATCGGGTGAGAATCCATGATAGGGCTATATGAGTGTAGACGAAATTGGGAGTTTAATCTACATGTAGTTGTCAAAGTGCCAGAAGCCGCATTCTACTTGTATGTAAACCAGTGAGTGTTTCTAGTTAAATGTGCTTGTTGCATTCCTGATTTTCCTGGTAATCCAGACCGACGGCGGAGATCGAGAGAGACCCTTAATAGATATTGCGAGTTTACTCTGATTCTATATAAATGTCTCTATTTGAGCAGTTGGTTTTTTGGCAAGCATCTCATTTTCTTGCGGTAACTAGAGTACACCCGCCCAATAAAGCGCTACTTTTGGTGGGCTTCGGGGTCGCCGCATAGCAATAAATCCACAGAGCCAATGATTTTACAAAAGAAAGAAATGCGCTTTTATTCCCAGCTAACACTAATCATCTATCTATATACCACTCTCCCCCTCGAGCTCTAATTCCAGCTCTCCAACCCCTTCAACACACACCCCTCCCCACTCCTCGCCACAACCCTCCCCACCACCGCAACAGTCTCCCCCTCCTCCCTCAGCACCCTCACAACCTCGTCCACATCCTCCCTCGCCACCACCGCCACCAGCCCCAACCCCGTATTCCACGTCCTCGCAAACTCCAAGTCCGCCACATTCCCCGCCTTCTTCAACCACCTAAACATCGGCGACAGCTGATACGCGCTCACGTCCACCTCCGCCGCCAGATGCGCCGGCAGCATGCGCGGGATGTTCTCCGTCAGCCCCCCGCCCGTGATGTGCGACAGCCCCTTAATCAGCCCCCGCGTCGACACCTTCAAGATCTGCTTAACATAGATGCGCGTCGGGGTGAGAAACTCCTCGCCGACGGTAGCCGCGCTGTTCCACGGCGCGCGAGCGGTCCAGGCCAGCCCCGCGCGATCAACAATCTTGCGGATGAGCGAGTATCCGTTGCTATGGACGCCGTTGGAGGCGAGGCCGACGAGCACATCGCCCTCGACCATTTTGTCGAGCTTTGGCAGGACCTGGTCGCGGTTGACGGCGCCGATGGCGCAGCCCGCGGCGTCGTAGTCGCCGACGGCGTACATGCCTGGCATCTCTGCGGTCTCGCCGCCGATAAGTGCGCACCCGGCCTGCTTGCAGCCGTCTGCGACGCCCTCGACGAACTCGGCGGCCTCGTCGATGTTGAGCTTTGAGGTGGAGTAGTAGTCGAGGAAGAAGAGGGATGCGGCGCCCTGCGCGAGCAGGTCGTTGACGGACATGGCGACGAGGTCGATGCCCACGGAGCGGTGCTTGCCGAGGGCGCAGGCGATCTTGAGCTTTGTGCCGACGCCGTCGATGCCTGCGACGAGAAGCGGGTCGGTCCAGCCGGCGGCGTGGAGGTCGAAGATGCCGCCGAAGCCACCGAGTTCGGCGTCGGCGCCGGGGATGCGCGTGGATTTGACGGCCGCTTTGATGCGCTGGACGAGGGCGTTGCCGGCGTCGACGTCGACGCCTGAGTCGGCGTAGGTCATTGCTACCTCGGCGGGCTTCTGCTTGAAGGCTCTGCGGGGTGGGTTAGTAGAAGTTGGTAGGAGAAGGAGGCTGGGACTGACCTGTGGGCAATGTCCTTGCGGTAGAACATGGAATCGAATGAGATGGTGTTGACGCCCTCATATGCCTTCTTGACAGCGTCCTCAAGAGTGTCTGCAGTAGCAGTAGCAGCAATAACTCTTCCACCGGCGGTGACAATCTTTCCGTCGACCAATGATGTGCCGGCGTGGAAAATGGCGGTATCTATCATTACCCCACCGCTGTCAGCGTTTCGAAACAAACGTGTGATTTCTCATGACGCAAAAACTCACCAGGTCCCACAGGCCCCAACTTGATCTCCTTGCCCTTCTCGTACGAGCCCGGGTATCCTCCAGCAGCCACCACGACGGTCGCCGCAAACTGCTTGGTGACCTCGACCTTGACAGAGTCAAGATAGCCCATCGCACAGGCCATGAGCACCTCCGCAAGATCCGTGTCCTTGCTCAGCAGCGACATGACAGTCTGTGTCTCCGGGTCTCCAAAGCGGACATTATACTCCAGTACCTTCGGGCCATTCTTGGTCATCATCAGCCCCGTGAAGAGCATCCCCCTAAACGGATACCCCTCACGCCTCATCCCGTCCACCGTCGGCTGCAGGATCGTCCTATTGACCTCCTCCAGCACGCTCGGGCTCGCAATCCTCGTCGGCGCATAGCACCCCATGCCGCCCGTGTTGGGGCCTTGGTCGCCGTCAAAGATGCGCTTGTGGTCCTGCGCGGGCGGCAGCGAGACAATGTGGTATCCGTCGCTGAAGGTGAGAATGCTGAGCTCGTCGCCCTCCAGGAACTCCTCGATGACGACCTCGTCGCCGGCGGCGCCGAACTCGCGGTCGACCATGATCTCGCGCAGCCCTGCGTGCGCCTCCTCCTTGGTGGCGGGGATGAGCACGCCCTTGCCGGCGGCGATGCCGGAGGCTTTGATGACGACGTTGTGCGGAACGCTGTCGAGGTAGGCGCGGGCGGAGTCGTAGTCGGAGAAGTTGCGGTACTCGGCGGTGGGGATGGAGTGCCGCTGCATGAAGTCTTTGGAGAAGGTCTTGGAGCCCTCCATGCGTGCGGCGGCCTGGGAGGGGCCGAAGCAGGGGATGCCGACTGTGGGGTAGGGAGGGCTATATCAGCAATTGCCTCTTCTTCTTCTTCTTTCTCTAGGCCTGCCCGTGGGTTGATATGGAGAGAGCATACCCTTGCGGAAGTGGCCCTCAATGCCGTCCACGAGCGGTGCCTCAGGGCCAGGCAGAACAAGGTCTATCTCGTTCTTGACGGCGAACTCGACGAGTTCCTTGAATGCTCCCACGCCAATGTTGACGTTAGAGACGTTCTTGAAGCCACTGGCAGTCCCTCCATTGCCTGTATGAGCAGCAATTAGCATCTACATTAAAACAGAGAGTCGATAGCAGAATAAAGAAGAAAAAAACTTGCCAGGCGCAACATAGATGTGCTCGACCTTTGGTGACCGCGCGAGCTTCCACACCAGGGCGTGCTCCCGGCCTCCATTACCAACCACGAGAAGCTTCATTGTTTCTGTTTCTGATGTGTGTATTTTGTTGGAGGGGGAGGAACGGCGGTGGGGGAGGTGTTTGACGTCAGGAACAGGATAGGGGAGTTTTAATTTCGGAGTAGTAGACTCAGGTAGTGGGGCCAGTGGGGAGAAAGGAGCAAAGTTCAATTCACACCCCGCATGGAGAATACTTTTAATTTTTTTCTCTCTTCCTTGCTCAGTCACGGGATCTTGAATTTACTTTTTTTCTTTTCTTTCTTCTCTTCTGGTCTGTCAAACCTGGATGTCGTCTTTTTTTTTTTTTTTCTTTGCATCGAGGTGGGGGACGGGGATCTTATCGCTATCTTATCAGCGGGACAGCGCTCTTATCGCTATCGCGATCATCGCGATAAAACCCACCGCCCACTCAGCTGCAGAGCCAACGCATCTGGGGAACGGACATCCCCCCACCATTCATCGAATAACCAGAACGAACTGCATCCTTAGCTATCCCCACACATCTAACCTCCACCTACTTACAAGTGCACCCATGGCCTCCAAGAACGTTGAAAAGACGCGAGCCCGCCTCGAGAAACGGTACCCTGCCTGCCCCACCCAGCCCAGCCCAGTGCAGAGTGAGACAGGGGGAGAGAGAGCTAACTAACCCCGCCAGCATCGAGGAAGGCGCCTACTACGAAGCTCACCAGCAGCTGCGGGTCGTCTCGCAGCGCTACGTCAAGGCAAAGGACTACAGTGCCGCCATCGAGATCCTGTCGTCGGGCGCGCAGGCACTGCTGAAAGCTGGCCAGGGCGGGAGCGGGTGTGATCTGTGTCTGCTCATGATTGAGGTGTTCAAGACGTCAAACTCGAGCCCCACGGCGGCTTTGAAGGGTGAGTGGGCTACGGACAGCTATGTATATAGCTACTCTAGTGGATTGGCAGGTTTAAGAGGGATATGTATGGACGGGTGCTGATACTGGCGTGGGGATGGTGGGGGTGTAGCGCAGGTAATGCAGCTGATCACGCTGATCAATCCCGAGGAGCCCGGGCGGAAGAGGGTCATCAATGAGACGATAGCGTATGTGCACCACTTGCCACCATCTATCTAGCTAGCTAGCTAGCTAGATCCGCGAGGTTAAGCATTACTTGGGAACTGATCATTGACCCATTGATCCCTCCAGCTGGACATCCAAGCACGGCGAATTCCCCGCCGGCGACCCAGAACTCCACCACTTTATCGGCCACCTCTTCGCAAAAGGTACCTCCTCCCCCTCCTCCCCCTCTCTCCTCTCTCCTCTCTCCCCTCTCCTCTCTCCTCCACACACCCCACTAACACCCCCCCCCCCCACAGAGGACAACGTCTACGACGCCGAAAAGCACCTAATAGTCGGCACGCGCGACAGCGCCCCCGTGCTCACCGACCTCCTCTACAGCTGGTACAGCGAAGACGAGCCGCACACCGCACCGACATACATCGCGCGCGCCGTGTTCCCCTACCTGCTGATTGGCAACCTGCGCGACGCCTCGCGCTGCCTGCAGCTCTTCACGGCCGAGCTGGTCAAGCACAACAGCGGCGGGGGGCTCGTGGTGCAGGAGGTGCAGTCCGCAACGAGCGACTTCCGGGTGTTCCCCGCGCTGCCGCTGCTCAACTTCTTGGGACTGCTGCTGCTCGCGATCCAGAGTGGGGGTGCGGATGTGTTTAGGGGCCTCAAGAGCCATTATGCGGGGGCGTTGAAGGAGGTGAAGGGGTGGGATGAGGTGTGTGTGTTTCTTTCTTCCTCTCGCTCTATTGTTTTTTTTCTGCCCCGGGGGGGGGGGGGGGGACGGTTAGTGGGTGTGTACTAGCAGTGGCTAATAGTGGACGGGTGTGCGGATAGATTCTGGACCAGATTGGGGAGATATATTTCGGGATCCAGATCAGGCGGTCCAATAATCTGTTTGACATGATGGGCAACCTGTTTGGCGGGAACCCTGCGGCCGCAGCGCCAGCGAGACAGATAGGCGGTGCTGCCTCGGGAACGCAGCCCCCGTGGACCTAGATTGAGATTGGAGCACACACACACACACATAATTAACATAACATAGCTATATCCCCCCCTCTCCTCCTCTCTCTCCCGTGTCTCGTTTACATCGTGCCTCCCCACAAAGCAATTGACATAATAATTAAACAAAAAAAGAAACATTACTATTATATAAAGCTCGCTCGCTGCCAGCACCAATCGTGATCAATTATTCTATCTATGGGGTTTTGTTGTAGCCATGCAGTTCCTCATTAACGCCCGCGCCCCACGCACCCACGCACCCACCCACCCGCGGTAGTAGCAGTATGTAGGTGAAAGAAACGGAAAAGAGAGGGAAAAGAAAAGAACGAAGGGAAAAGAAAGAAAAAAACAGGAAACTTTTACACCCCCCACCCACACACTGCATAATATCATGGGAAGCTGTCTCTGCCTCGACCCAGTCCAGTACTTCCAGTTCTTCCAGTCCAGTGAAGCCATTGAAATTTGACAATTGCAAGGGTGACAATGCCAGTGTCAGTGTCAGCACTCCTCGTCCGACTCAAACATCCAGCTGTCCTGTGCCAGGGAGAGTACTTGTAGTCTCAGTAGCTCTGTAGAAGAAGAATAAACCCCCACAACCAATTAGTGACCCCCGAACGAACGAACGAACGAACGAACCCAAGCACAGTGCAGTGCAGTGCAGTGCCCCCCCCCCCCCCCCACTCCTGCTATTCCTAACTCCATGATGTTCCCAAACACCGTGGAACCACGAGTAGCAGCAGTAGCAGTAGCAGTAGCAGTAGCAGTAGCAGCTAGCTAGCTAGAACCCCCCCCCCTCCCCCGCGTAAAGACTGACTGACTGACCTGGAAGCTTCTTATACGCATCGACCTGATGCCTCTTCACCAGCTCCGCCGCCACGCGCTGCTGTTCCGCCACTGCCTCACACACCCACCGCATCAGCACTACCCAACACACCGCTCACACACCCACCACATTCCCCCTCTCAGGATAGACTTACGCTCCCTCCCAATTCCATCGAGCAACTGCGCATGCTGCGTCGTCGTCAGCGGCACCTCCAGATCCATGCTGCCGTCCTTGCGCCGCACCACAATACCCTCTGGCGCGGCGGCCTCGTCGTCGGCGTCGGCGTGGTCGGCGGCAGCACCAGCGACGGTGGCGGCGGGGATGCTGCTGGCGCTGGGCGAGCGTGGAGGGGCCGGTGCGGGAGAGGGAGCGGAAGAGCGTGCGGCGGACGTCGGTGGCGGATTTGGCGCGTGGGGGTGGGGGCGCTTTGGACATGATGTAAGGGGCGGAGGGTGAGACTTTAGGAAGGGGTGTTGGGGGGAGAGAGGAGAGGAGAGAGGGGGGAGAGAGGGGGGGGTTGTGGTGGTGGTGGTGGTGGTGGTGTTGAGAGGCTCTTCGCTCTGGGGAGAGAAGAAGAGAGGAAGAAGAGACCGGGTGAAGACGACGACGACGACGGCTCGGGTGGTCATTGGCTGTGGCTGGTGCGAAGGCCGGGCAAGTGAAGTTGAGTCTGTGCTCTCTGTGCTCTCTGTGCTCTCTCTGTGCAGATATCGTGGGTTTGCAATCAACCTCTCTCTCTCCTTCTCTCTCTTCCCCTCTCTCCTCTTGCTCTCCTTTCCTCTTGCTCTCCACAAGCTGTTTGCTCTCTCACGCCTGCACAAGCACCCAGTTATACATACAGCTATCCTCTCTATCTACAGACACCCACTCACTATCTATCCCACAGCTACTCCACAGCTATTCCCCCCCCCCCCCCCTCCCCCACAGCTCCCAATGACCTCCACCAGCTACCCCCTCCGCCCCATCCCCCCCCTCAACGCGCCCGTCCGGCGCCCACAGGTACTCCCCCCCCCCCCCCACACCCTCCCACCTCCCCCCATCAACGCGCTCTAACTCCCCTCCCCTCCTAGGAGATCACCCACTTCTCCTACGACGACACACACACGCTCGTGCACTCGGCGGCCTCCCTCAAATCCTACTACCCGCCGTCGCTGCCCGCGCAGCTCTCCAACGGCTTCTCCACCTTCATCAAGCACGACGACAACATCGACGAGCACCTCGACGGGCTGCTCTGCGCGCTGGAGCGCCTCGAGCGGCGCACGGGCGAGCGCACGCGCGCGGACGTCGTCACGTGGCGCGGCATGATGACCAAGTTTATGACGGCGCCGTTTGAGGGCCGTGATGGGTGGGAGATGAACGTGGTTGTGCTGCAGGTATGTTTCTTGGGGGTGGCTCTTGGGGGGTGATGGGGGGGTGAGGTTCAGGAGTGCGAAGGCTAATGTGGGTGCGGGGTGTAGGGTACGCTGTAGGTTGTTTCTACTGTGCGAGAGTGAGTGGGAGCGGGGGAAGCTGACGGGGCGCGGTGTGTGTGTGTGTGTGTGTGTGTGTATAGGTTTATTGAGGAGAACCATGCATACAAGCAGCAGAGTCGCGGGAAGCAGGACCGGCGCGGCGAGGAGATGAGCTACTGGGGGTACAAGTTTGAGGCGCTCTCGACGATCCCCGGCAACTGGGACGAGTGTCCGCGCGAGGTGATTGAGGCGCGCGACGAGGAGGTGGTCTCGAACGAGGCGCAGTTCTGCTCCATTGTCAAGACGGGCTTTGGTGACACGCGGGTCGTGATTGGGGGGGAGGTTGATGCTGGTATGTTGATTTTTTTTCCTGTTGGAGCGTTAGACTCATTTCTCCCAATTACCAGAGAGAGGGGGGAGCTGGGCTGGAAGGTAGGGGGAGAGTAGTATGTGCAAGAAAGAGAGAGAAGGAGAGAGGGTGCTGATATCCACAGTCTGGAACTCAAACCCCCCCACAGACCCCAACAACCCACCCATCTACATCGAGCTCAAGACCTCCAAAATCATCGACCTCAACAACCCACGCGACGGCGTCAACTACGAGCGCAAGCTCCTCCGTTTCTGGGCGCAGTCCTTCCTTCTGGGCATCGCCAAGGTCATTGTCGGCTTCCGCGACGACAGCGGCACGCTGCGCTCACTCAGGACGTACGAGACGCAGGAGCTCCCCGGGATCGCGCGGCGCTCGGGAAGGAACCTGTGGGATGCGAAGGTGAGTATTGACTTTACGGCGGGGCTGCTGGCGTGGCTGAGGGAGACGGTGGGGGGGAGGAGGAGGGCGTGGTGTGGAGGGTGCGGTTTAGGGCGAGGGGGGATAGGGTCGAGGTGGAGAGGACGGGGGAGAGGTCGTTTTTGACGGAGGGGTTTGTGAGGTGGAGAGAGGAGCTGGCGGCGGGATCGGCTGCGGGTGAGAAGTTGGAGGAGAAGTGGTAGCTGTAGGAGGAGTAGGAATAGGAGTATCAGTATGGGTATGAGTAGAGTATCATGTAGTTTTATGCGCCATGTATTAGTAGCTTTTCTGCTCTACAATATCTCGTTATGTAGTTTGCGGTATGCAGGACATCGACCCTCACTTCTCTCCTTGTCCCTGTCTCTGTTCTCTGCCTGTCTCTGTCTGTCTCTGTCTGTCTCTGTCTGTCTCTGTCTGTCTCTGTCTCTGTCTCTGTCTCGAGATCTCTCTTTCCTGGCGAGCGATCATTTCCCCGTCACGACTTCTCACTCGCAGCCCGGATCTCGCCGGCAATGGCAGCGCTGGCTTGGCATTCTTGATTTGTGAGCCATCAATCATCAACGTCATTGTTTCTGTAATCAGATCAGCGACGACACCCGGCGCAAGACCTTGACTTCAACAACACCACAGTCCCGCCCTGCTTTCGTGAGAAGTGAGTATTTACACAGCCAATTCCCCCCCCCCCCCCCCTCTCTCCTCTCCTTCTCTGATCTCTACTTCTCTATATCACTCTCACCTCTCAATTGACCTCTTCATTAACACTATACTGCCAATCCTCTAGCTCCCCACCAAACAAAAAAAAAATGTTTTCCCGCGCCGTCCCCGCCCTCCGCACCACCCTTCGCGGCCCCCCCAAACAAACCCTCCGGCGCTACACCACCGCCCCCACCCCCAAACCCAGCTCCTCCTCCACCCCCCTCACCCTCGGCGCCCTCGTCGCCGCCGCCTCCGCCGCCGGCTACTACTACTACAGCACCAACCTCGCCGCCCCTGCCGCCGCGCCCCTCCCCCCGCAATCGCCACCCTCACCGGCGACGGCGCCTGGGTCGACCTCCCGCTCATCTCCACCGAGTACCTCTCGCCCACCACCAAGCTCCTACGCTTCGCCCTCCCCTCCGACAACCACGTCTCGGGGCTCCACGTCGCCAGCGCGATCCTGACAAAATACAAGGGCCCCAGCGACGCCAAGCCGACTATCCGGCCGTACACGCCCATCAACGACGAGGATGTGCGCGGCCACATGGACCTGCTCGTGAAGCGCTACGAGGGCGGGCCGATGAGCACGCATCTCCACGACATGGCGCCCGACCAGAGACTCAGCGTGAAGGGGCCCATCCCGAAGTATGAGTGGGCGCCCAATAAGCATGAGCATGTTGTCATGATTGCGGGCGGGACGGGAATCACGCCCATGTGGCAGCTGATTAGGGCGATTTTCAAGAACCCCGAGGATAAGACGAGGGTGACGCTGGTGTTTGGGAATAGGAGTGAGGACGAGATCTTGTTGAGGAAGGAGCTGGCGGAGCTGGAGAATACGTATCCGCAGAGGTTTAAGGCGTTTTATCTGTTGGATAAGGCGCCCGAGGGCGAGAAGTGGGCGAAGCAGGGGTATGTGGATAAGCCGTTGTTGAAGACGGTGTTGCCGGAGCCGGGGAGTGGGAATAATAAGATCTTTGTGAGTTTTTCTTTTCTGTTCCTGGTGGAGGATTGGTGGGTTTGCTGACTGTGTGTGTGATTGGTTGTATAGGTCTGTGGACCCCCGGGACTGTACAAGGCTGTCTCTGGAGGAAAGAAGTCGCCCAGTGACCAGGGTGAGCTCACGGGTATCTTGAAGGAGTTGGGATACTCTAAGGACGATGTCTACAAGTTCTAGAGTCTAGAGGCCCAGAAGGCTTTGCCCGTTCTCCCCGCCTCTGCTTTTGCTTTTCCTTTTAGCTGTTTTTGTATCGCGTGTGATAGATGCGTAGATACCAACTTGGCTTGTGATATCAAGAGGGGATGGCAGTGGCTTGAATAAATAAATGATTTCAAAATGAATGCTCGAGTACGGTATGCTATATAGGTTTGAACTAGTGGTGAGAGTAGGAGGGTGTCTTTGGTCGTGTATGGTGTTTAGAGATCATTCCTTTCTCTAAGGTACAGTCTTGTAACGACATGATATCAGACAGACAGCGCATGGCAATCGGTGACATCTCCCTACATACTTATCCCAGTTGAAGCACCTCTTGTCTAGTAAGTATACATAGGATGGCCGCAAGATATTTATATCCGTTGCAAGTTAATGCTGAGTGATACCCTATGATCCAATACAATCCCCCCCGCATTTTGCAGTAAATCCTCCAATCACCTTACGGCTAGAAATATTATGCGGCAACAAACAAGGGACTGTTCGTAGTAGCGAGAGTCGTGCCTGGTGATGTGCATGCTGCTGAATCTAACCGCAATCCTTGCCAGGAAGCTTGGAAGCTTAGGACATCTACGTAGGTTTTGCTTTAGCCTTGACTGCGGCCCAGTGACAGAATCTGCAAAGGAATCTCAGGCTCTGTATGTAGGATCCAATCTTTGTATCTACTACAAGGGTGGCGGCCAGTGGGTACGTTCGTAGTAGATGATTTCAGGGTTAGGTGTCCCCCAGCTCACTTTTTTCCCCTCGCTCCCTTAAATATTACTTCCCGTGCTTTGACAGTCGTGTAGGCGAGGTAGTCTAGTGGTAGACGCCTCGTCCTGCTACACCGCGTGGGTTGAGCCACGACCACCCAGAGACGTCTGGGTCCGGAGACGTCCGGAGGTCGTGGGTTCAACTCCGGGGGTGGGAGTGATGCTCGGGAAGTACGGCACTTTCACGGGAAGCAGTGTTCAATATCTCGAATTAGAACCTGTGGACCGTGGGTGGCGTATAGTCGCAGCATCAACTTTTTATGTATTTATTGTCCGTTTTTGGTTTTTCTTTGGAGGGGCAGGAGGAGGGCCTTAGTGGATATACATAAATGTATCTAGCTGATAAGCTGATAAGATGATATGATAGATGATCCAAGAGACAAATTTCCATTTTATGTAGCAGCAAGTTATTTTCCTCTTTGAGCACCGCGTAGAGACTACATATACTTTAATAATCGTAGACCATTGTTATCTAAACTGTTACAATATGCTCCAAGGCGCACCCGCATCATCCTGTGCGAGAACATCAAAACATCACAATATAACTTCCGTCATATCATCTAGTCTAATGAGAGTACCATACTTATCTTAACTTCTTTCTGGTTAACGATACTCTATTGTAATAACGGCTTTGGGGGGTATCTGTCTCCCTGCGTGACGCTGTCAGCCAGGGAGCAGTTGCATCATGCACTATCACTCGGCCAGCTACATGCCCTTCCAGCACCTTCTCAGGCCATCCCACAACCTCCACAGGCAGCGAACAAGATGCAAAGGATAACAATCAGGCCACTTCAGCCCATTCAAACCTTAATTGTGCCCTGTCCCGTGGCCAGATAGCCCTAGAAAGTACAGTCCCGCCGCGGGTCTCCCAGCTGCCGCTTCATCCCACAGTAGATTTCGCCCACATATAATCCCACACCCGTCACTTTGTCTTTCTTAGTTCTTTCTCTCCTCCACTCACCACCATAAATTCCCATCCAACACTGCTTTCTCCTGTTCGTCAACAAACAACAATACATCACCATCCAACCTTTTTTACAGGCCCAAATCTTCAAACCCTTCCTCAACATGTCTTCCTCTGACTCTGACTCTGGTACCGCCCGCACTGGCACCGTCCTCACTGGCGTCTTCACCCGCGCCGGCGTCATCACCACCAACAACGAAGCCACTGCCTCCACTGGCCCCACCGTCAACAGCAACGAATCCATTGTCGAAGCCATCCGTGAAGCCGTCAACGACTACTCCCTGCGCAAGAAAGCCGCCTGCGCCGATGGCGAGGACTGGAAGAATGTCGCTGGGGCCCGCACCAGGGAGCTCACCGAAGAAGAATCCGCAAGGTTCACCAAGGCATTCGACGAAAACATGGAAGCCAGTGAAGACCTTGCAGCAGACTCCGACACCGAATCCGGCGACGCCCTCTGTGCCATGGCTGCAGAGCTTTGCAGCAAGGAGCCTGAGGCCTGCTGCAAGAAGACCGTCGATGAAGAAGCTAAAGACGCCAGTGTCAACACCAAGGCCACCGACGAGGCTGTCACTACTGCTGTTGACGGAGCTGCGGAGGTCGAAATTCAAGGTACACTATCCACCAGCCAAACCCTCCTCCCTGCCAGCGTGGCATGGTGGAAAAAAAGAGAATCGATTGTAGACTTCGCTGCTAACTACGGGAACAACCAAGCCGGCAACGAAGCCACCACCTCCCCTGCTGTTGAGGAGGAGGAGAAGGAGGCCAAGGACCTTCCCCCGGCGTATGTTGAGGAGAAGGCTGTTGAGGCTGTCAGCAGTGAAGTTGTTGCTGCCATCCAGAAGATTGAGGATTTGGCCATCAGCGAGGAGGAAGACATGTCTGTCAAGGAAGTCACCACCTCCGATGGTAAGCATGTTATTATTTCTCCTTTCGGCGACGTCGTCCCATGGGATGATTTCATCGAATTCATAAATGTACTCGTCACAGAATTCGCTGATTCGGATATTAATTTTCCCTTTAAATTTGAAGAGGTCAAGCAGGTCACTGAAACCACTGGTGGTACTCTGGTTGAGGTTGAGAAAACTGAAAAGGTAAGATAATTTCCCCCCCTCAGAGATACATCTCATTGCAAAAAAGTACTGACAAGAGTCTCAAGGTTGCTGGGAACGGAGGATGCTGCTCTTCTTGCCACTAATTGGCTCTGCCAATCACCTTTTCCTTTTTCCCCCTCAAAGGATAGATTCACGGTAAGAAGGTTCAGCTCTTCATTCTTGAATATTAAACTAATGCATTGCAGATTTAACGGCTTATGGGTTACGAAAATGAATTCTGCTGGTATCATGGGCTGATTTTTTTCTCTTACTTTTCCTTTTTTTCGATCTTTACCTTCATTTCAAAGTTTGTAGATATCTGCTTTGAAATATCAGTCTTTTTATGACTGACCTTCGTGCTGTCCTGTTTGACTGCGTATTAACATTAAGCTATTAATCAATGCGCTGAGAGTAATAAATGATAAGCTGGTCGTTACCGTAGCTACTACCCTGCTAAAGTTGAGCCCAATAAACATCGAGCTGTGTTTAAAAACACGCTGAATTAAATAAGGTCCAGCTGAAGGGCCTATATAGCATCCATTAATTCCACCTCCATTTATCTATAATAACACAGAAACTAGCCTCTTGCATAGGTTCTACTGGGAGTAACCAGGTTACACCTTTGCTCTGCGGGTACCCTTCCTCCTCCTTCTTCATCCCAGCCTCTGTGTAGCGTTCGCCACCAGGCAGGGGCCATAATACGATCCCGCATCTAACATCATCCCGCCCCCAGAGTTTCTACTGCATACGAGAGACGTGGCAGATATATAATCTCCGAAGCTCACCCTCCCCCGTCCCAGATCCACGGGACAGGTGGATACGATTCGAAGGCGCATCGCCTATCCCGAGGTTGAGTACTTGAGCTGCAGCTGAGCTGTAATCTTTCATGGACGTTTAGCCTAGGCTAGGGAGATGATTGCTCTTGCCTTTGCCCCCTGGTGGCATTTCCCGTCTGTCAGCTTAACCATACAACTACGGAGCTGGACTTCTGCCCCCTGTCAACAAGTTATCACTGAGAAGGGAATTAAAGCCGCTGTGTTCGTGACTCGTGGGTCCTTGGTGAGGGAAGGTGGGGAGAGAGCTCGTCGGCGTTGCCGTGAAGACAGGGAATTGGATGGTATATACGGTGTATTCTCTTTATACGCTTGGGATTGTCTCATAAGGACAGTATCATATAGGTAGGGATATTGGGTAGGGATATTGGGATATATGGGTACCGGTCTTATCGCATAATAGTGCTGATTCTTAGTTTCTACTTTGGTATTTGCAGGTTCTCTCTTTTTTCGGATTTAACTAACGTTTCGACGTAGCCGATGATCAGATATCCAGCCAAGTTCTACACTGATCATCAAAGAAGGCAACTCAAGATCCAATCGACGTACGGCAAGATTTTAAAACCAGCAAGCGTATGGTATACTCTTGCTGTCTCATTGCTTCCTCCTACTAAGTTTGGTAATATTTATCCTTTCGCTCTGCGCTATATAATATAAAGTGCTGGAAACTCTACTCGACCCCACTCAAATAAAGCTTAAAACACAGTACTTACAATTTGCCCCCCCCCCCCCCTCCCAGACAACCCCTCAAAGACAGGGAGAGGTTGCGTAGGCGGCTTGAGGCATTTTAACCCACGGGCAGTCTTTTGGTGTCCATGTGCTTTCTCTGCATATGTACATTCTTGAAACTTCCCTGGATAGTCAACGAGCGCAAAAAAAACAGACCTATATATACATGTAGTGAGTCAGATCGCACGGGCAAGCCCCGGATTACATCCCACATCACTTTTTTATTTCTTTCGAAACCTTCTCCCCACCCCCCCCCCCCCTTTTTTTTTACGTGTACTACTACGTACAGACCGGCCTCCATAAGTACGAGAGTTACACCATGGAAAACCGAATGCCAGGAAAATTTCAGGTTTAGCACCCAGGGTAAGAGATCTATGCAACTTGTGGGGAGGAGTCCTTTTCGAGACCCAGTAACCCATAACTGCAATCCAGCTTTAATGCAGTATCTGTAAAATGAAGCGTTCCTACCACGCCTACCTGCAGCGCTCTTTCCAAATGGTTGCATAATTTGTTTCAATATCCATTTCTAAAGTGGTACGCTTAAATTGATATAGACGGTTCCCCTGGCCACCCAGACACCCTCCTCACTCGGACATTCAACGTAAAAAAAGAGAAGATCAACGTTTTAAGTGGCTTCTGTACCTATCCTCCACCAATCATCATTGACTGCCCGAGTGAGGGGTGTCCGAGTGGCTAGGGAGGTCGTTTAATAAGTTTTTGAGAATCAATGGGGGAAAGGATGCATCTACTAATGAGGAAGAGCGTAACCGATTATTAATCATGAATGACGCGGAAGGTCAATGACTACCAATACGCCTTTTTGATAATAAACAAATACCTACGGTAAATTCATTCGAATGCGGCTAAAAGACTAAGAGACACTAAATTAAATACTTGGATTTGCTACTTGAAGATTTTACAAGTGGCTATGGTGAGACATAAGCTTTTGTACACACAAACTCTGATCTTAATGATGACTTCACCCCTCCGGTCCAATCCATGTACACACCAGTCAAGACCAGTTAAATTCCAACAACTTTGTCTGCAGGTACTTCAAAGTTGCTCCAGAGTCATCCACTAGACCCGCCAAGGAAAGAGCGAGATCGGAAAATCTCCTTGCACTAGATATATCAGTTGCGCTATTGCCATGTAAGCCCCCAATATTTAATATCTGCATGAACATAAAACCGCCACAGGTATTCATTCATACCAATGAAAGTCAACAGACCTATTCCAGGTAGATGCTACCCGCACGCACTATTATTTAGTGTTCAACATACACTATCGGGGAAATGCGCAAACCTGTGAGCCATTGAATCTCATCGTTTGGGTACTTTTGCCCGTCGCTTCTATTTTTCGTTACATCGATAACTTCAACTAGCAAAGCTTCCGTGACCTTTGGGTCCTTGGCAATCGATAGCTGCACTAAAGTCCTAATCCATCTTGAGAGTTTCACGATATCTGCCATCGGAGACGGAACCGTATAGTTCAATATGACCTGCATGATTATCAGCTTAACCCTGCTAGGGGCCTCGCAACTAATCAAAATATCCGTAACCTTTTCGAAAATGGATATGCCTTTGTCGGTGGATAACGCTGCCTCTTCCACGATGCTTCGGAGATTGTCCCAGTCTTTCAGCCTAGCTGCAGCTTCAAAATCGTAAGCCAGAAGAATTCCAAATTTCTGGCTTAGATCTTCAGCTTCCTCTTCTACCTTACTCCGGACACTTTCTTTCTTGCTACGGAAATCCTGTATGTGCCGTCGGGAAATTAGATAATGCTGTAACTGGGCCTCAATGTTATCCTCAACGCGAGCTAGCTCTATGCTAATACAAGCGCAAAGATAATTGCATAGTAATCTTCTATATGAAACTTCAGCTAGTGTAGGCTCGTCGATATCATCCGGATACAATTCCAAGAAGCGGATACAAGCTGAAATTATCCTATAGCTCCTAGATGAAGACCACTCAACAATACCCCGAAGACCAATGTTGTAAGCATTCCGAGCGAACCAATCTAATTCCTTGATCGTAAAAACAATTTCGATATGTTTATCAGAGGTCCTGGGCTTTTGTCTTGATCGTTTTGCCTGTTCCGCAGCTTCCATGAAAGTAAGTATGGTTTCTACGTATGGAAGTAACAATAACCTACCTTTCTCTAAAAGTAAGCATAGTGAATCAATTGTTGCATCAGCTTCTCTAGAGCCTTCGATTTCTGCCATTGTTAATCGAATGGCACATCTTAATATCGTGGGTATGTGGCCGATATGGGGTGCCACGAGCCCAATCTGATCGAGTACCAGTCTAAGTGCTACTAAAGCTAATTCCCGGTTTCCTGTCTCCTGTGCATCCAAAGCACAGCCGTAGAGAAGACGCCTGTCGGGATCGCTGCTTTCGCTTAGATGTTGAAGACATTTTACAGCTACCACAGGTTAGAATGTACCCGGCCTGAAGTTCCCCAGCTCCACATACCTAGGTCTTTGTCCGAAGTTCTCACCGCCACCTTAAACATTAGGAAACTGGTAAATGCTTCATTACGGGCTGCTTCAGGCATCTCTTGGAACGCTTCCATAGCCATTCCAAAATCTTTACTTTCAAGAGCGCATAGGATTATTTTTCTAATAAGGTTAACACAAACATGAATACCAGCGTGATGAAAACCGGGCTTACCGAGATATTTTTGCTATATTTGATCCCCCAGACGTGTCAAAAATGGAGTGTTGCGCTATTCTACACCAGGAGCCAGCAATCTGATATTTTCCCTGGGAAAAGAATGCTTCTGTGATCTTCCACAATAAAATCTGCGCAGCGTGTGTAGCCTTTGGGCTAAGTGCCTTGGTAAGTTTCTTCATCATGGAATCCAAGATATTTCGTAGAGAAGGTAGGATAACCTCATCATCCGCAGCTCGATCTTGAATAGTAACCCAAAGACGTGTAACAAATGTTCTTTCTATCCAGTCATCTCGCTCTAGAACAAGAATTCGTTTGATAAGGAGCTCATCTAGGCATTTGCATGCGAGACGAATGTCTTTCTTTGAAACAAGCACATGAATCCTCCCCATTATTACTTTGAAAGAATGCTCTGTAAGTTGGACAATAGACAACATCCTGGAAAGGACCTCACTGTAGCTCTGCATGTTATCTGGGCCTTCGGCAATAACCAAGTCTAATCTGAGCAGGTAGACGGTAAGGCGGGTTGGCCAGTCTTCATTCATCATATCGATAACATTCCGAGCTTTATCCAAACTTCCCTCCGTGGCATGCGCAAGATATGCCCTAGCTTTTTTTAAACATTAGAAAGTTGGCCCCTCTATGAGCGCCGCGGGATCAACCTACCAAGGCAATGCATGACAGCCAAACGAAGTTCCGCACCACTCTCCGAAAGAGATATGGGATCCATTTCACTAATCACATCAAAGGATCTTTGTAACCACTTTGTAGCTGCATCAAAAACACTTTGCTGTAGTAGCTCATTTCCAATCTCGTATAGTGCATCAATCAAGTTCTCGGACATCCGCGGATCAAGAAGAGACTGCTGCTGCTCTTTTGCCTTACTGTACATGTAATCTGCCATAGAGAGATTCGACTGCCTCCATGCCAACACGGTCCGGAGAGTGAAATAGTCGCAAGACAACCTACTACGCGTCTGCTGATCTTCCGGCTTGAATTCAGGAGAATCACACGCCTTGGTGAGGTCCTCCTGGTACTTTGCGGCCTTTTCCATAGTTTTCCATGCCCATTTGTCGTCTTGTTGATCTAGTTTACGATATCATTAGGTTTCTAAAGCCCTAACTTAAAGACAAAGTCAACTAACCTAGACATGTTTTCCCTGCTTTGACAGCCACTCTAAATAGTCGGATAGTATTTTGAAGCTTCCGAGCGGAGGATGGGTGTGAACAATCCAGCATGAAAAAGGCCAAGAGTCGGACTAGCAAAATCAGTTTCTATTGATCCACTGCTAGAGAATAAGAGCGTACCATGGAGAACATCTTTCCCCTTTGATGAAAGGGAGCTGTCCCCATCTTTAACTCTAGTAAGTGTGGTTGATAGATTCCACAGCCTGGTGGCTTGGGCATCTAACTCTTCAAATTCCTCGTCCAGTTTTATGTTCTCACGAGTAGACGCACATTTTTCAGCAAGTTTCATTGCCGCCTCGATTCGAACACCCAGTGATGCTTCGTTCGAGTTAGATGATAAGTCACGGTATATCTCAGCAGACGAAGCTATAGAAAGAATCAGTATAACTACACTCTTCTCAGAGCGGAGATTACAAGCGAAACACAAAACACAGGTGCTTGACCGGACAGCGACATGATCCTCTTCTGCAGCGTGGCAATAGCTGTAGCATTTGGGCCGTCGAGGGGAGGCATTGCTCATTCTACTTGGTGGAAACTCTTTCTTAGAACCGGAGACCGGTCTGAGACCAGGAGCTAAAAACAGTGTAACTTGCGAGAGACCTATGGGTGCAACCTTAAGAAGGAAGTCCCCCCCCCCCCCCCCCTACACACAGTCTTGTGGGTCCATTACTGGCACAGGATCGACTACGGAGCGAAGCGTGTAAAGAGCGGTGGCGGCTGGTTGACAGCTTTGGCATTGAAGTGCCGGTATATGGCCAGCCTCATACATGGGCACTCGCATTGAAAGGGCGGGACGAAGCACGGGTCTTCGGCTGGCTGCCTGCAACTTCAACCCTTATGTGGCTGCACAGAGCACGAATAGGGGAATGAGAACCTACTCACTCGTAAGATTGACCTCCTTTTTTTTACTCGAATAAGGTCATAAATTGTACACAGTGCTCTCTTTCCTCCCCCTGTTTGTTTAACCCCCCACTACCCCACCCACGTTATCACCGCCCTATACCACCAGCCTTGCGACTACCGTCTTTAAAGTAAGGAAAATATAGCCCATAAACAAAACATGAAAAAAAGCAAGCATTCAACTCCAAACTAGTCTGCACTCAACGCCGTGAGAAATATGCAAATACACATTGTAGCCTTGTGATACACCCCTTATCCTCAGCCTAGTATCTCGTTGTTGACGTACATGTACAGGAGTAATCTGACAGACATCAGGGATCCCCCCTCCTTCCCATGTCGCGCAGATAATCGAAGCATGGAGTATCAGCAGAAGGCCTTTGATTTGATGGGAAAACGACATAGAAAATTAGAAATTAGAGAAAGAAAAAAGTGGACTTTTCGAAGGCGATCAATTAGTCCGTTGGTTAGTTGATCTGTTGCTCATAGCTTTTTAGGATTGATTGGCATGAAATTTCCTATTATCAAGGCCGGTCTATCACATAGTCAGCCAGCTATAATTTTTGGGGGTTTCAGTCTGAAAAAAGATAGCTTAAACTAACATATCGTACATATCCCTCCGGATTGTGAATGAAAAACAGCAGTGAATAAGTTTCTGCTCTGCATTCGGGTCCGGGTTTCGCAAGTGACAGCTCGTCAACATGGCCTTTTGGCTCGTATCGAACGCAATTTTACCAAACTTTTCCCAGTAGCTAACTGCGGAGTCTTCCACCACTAGCTCGTAAATTGCTAATTTTCCCTAATCGTATGAGACATATCAAATCAGCTACCATCGGGATAGGTAATGTCTCGGATCTCAAACCCGACAAATCGGAACAGAATAAAAAGAAATTAAACCTGGGAGTATACATCTCGCATTTGTTCAATCGGAACATTGATTAATTCCGCAAATTCTTTGTTTCCTCTGAATATTTCTCCGGTTCTCCGCCAGAGGCACGCCGGAACAGCCATTGACGCAAAAACTCGGTCATATTCAAGCAATGACTTTTCAAACCATTCCTCCACATGGACCAGGTCTAAATCTGTAAGTTGGTGGGTCCTTTCGCGAAATTTTGGCCTGAATTGGTTTAATTGACCCAAAATACGTTTTCGAGATGTTGGTAGCATTTCTCTGTCCATATATTGCGATAACCTTGCATATCCCTTGACGTAGTTGAACGGCTTAAGTAGGCCAGCCTCCAGTTTTGCCTTGAGGACTTGTTTCATACGCTCTTCCGGATTGTTCTGAGATGGGTCTGCAGCGGTGAGGTAGTAATTTTCTCGAGCTCTTTCTGTCGAGGGTTTCTGGCTTGCAGAACGGGGAACAGTCGTCATAGTGCTGGTCGAAGGCGGTTGAAGCCGTTGAGGGTGGAACGTGGTGCCACCGTTGCTTGCATCAGGTTCCCTTGAATTATGCTGATTGCTTTGAGGTGGCTCTGAGAACAAGGTTGGACTTTGATCGTTGTTAAAGATGTCCTCGGAGTAAAGGTTGCCGAGAAAATCGCTCAGTAAATTGAATTCACTGGAAACCTCTGGTGTTGAAAACATCCACTGCTGATGATATGGGTTTGTATAGCTCGACTGCTGTTGAGGAGGAGGGTGGTCCCAGTCGGTGAAGCCCAAAACTGCCAACTCGTGTCAGTCAAAAGAGAGTTTCGGCTTGGGCTGCAACCACGTATTTATATATCAGGGACTCAACATACAGGCTTGAGAATTCCCATTCAGATTGGATCTGGGTGTCACAGAAACCGGTGATGGCGCAACAATAGAGGCCCCTGCGTTACTCCTTGAGGGTATGGGGGGAGGCGGGAGCGAAACACTGGAAGATCCTATTCTCGCTTCTTTCTGCTTGTCAAGGGAGTTTGGCATGCCGTCGACCGGAGGCGCTAGCAATACCCTGGGAGGGGACGTGTGCGAGTCCTCCTGATCGTTATCCAAAGTGTTGGCAGCTTCAGTTTTTGGTTTCTTAGGTTCGCGAGGCTCGTCGTGACAGAGATGACCTATATTCCTTTTCACGCAGCGCATACACGGCCGGTCTGACAATAGATTAATCGCATGTACCACATCAGCAATTGCACATGTATAAGTTCACCAGCCCGCCATTTTGGGGAGAGAAATAGGAAATTGGGTAGCCAAAATGCGCGTTCTTTCTGACGTACCATCATCGCATGTCATGTGTGATCTTCGGCAATACACACAAGCTATCACGCGACCATAAAATCAGTCTACGAGCCCTGGAATGTCTTCGGAATAGGGCTATTCAGAGCAGGTTCCAAATGTCCATACCATGATTGACCTTGCGCCGTTTTTTGGGACTACGTCCCGAAGAACTTTGCCCTGGAGTTGAGGTTGTTGGCGACTGGGAACCTGAGTGCGCAGGACCCCCGGAGCCCGCAGTAACAGTAACAGTGCCTGATACTCCCCCTCCAAATCCTCCAGCCAGAGAGTTTTTCTCAGCTGCGGATGGATGGGGAGTGATCACTGCAGCTCCATTACTACTGGTGGGGTGTTGAGCTTCAGTCATATGGGAAGAAAGGATTGGTTGAGGAGAATTAGTTTCAATCGATATTGAGTGTTCTGTCTCGCCGCATTCAACTGAGCGTCCTGTCCTAGAGGGACGGGTCACACTAAACAGGATGATGCGGTGATTGCTCGATCTTTGCTGCTGCTGCAATCACTCAACGTCGAGTGTCTATCGTGTAATTTTAAATTTTTTTTTTTCCTTTCCACCCTCCTCTTTTCTTTATTTTTTTATTTTTCTTTCAAACTCCTTTCGTTCTTGCCACGCAGATAATCGTGGAAACCGACAGCGTGGTTGTATGTATGTACGCGTGCTGTCGGTGGTGGTGGAGGCTCTGGGGGCTGGCTGTAAAAGGTGTCGCACGACCAAAAAAAAAACCAAAGTTGCAGTAGGTCTTCAGTGGGTGGACAACAGGCTGGAAAGTACCGACAAGTAGAGAGCCAAGAATGGTCTTTGGCCTGACCAGGGAAACGGGTCACCGAGTGACTGCTAACAACGTGAATTCAAAGAGCTGAATAGAATCAAAACAAAAACAAACAAAATAGAAGAAGGAGAAAGAGAAGAACTTGATACGAAGCTGCTCACCAGTGGAGGGGGAGTCTACAGCCAGCTTTGTCTGAATGAAGAAAGTACCACTAGGTCCTCTACGGTACGGAGCGTGCAATTGACTAACGTAGCGAGGAAAATGTATTATGTGATGCAGCCGATGATGTACCTGCACTCATCGACGGCGCAGAAAAAAAGAGAGCTCTATCAGCCTATTCCTAATTCCTCCAAGTCTACCGGTGAATCGTCGTCGCATGGCCCTTTCTGCAGCTGGACCCTGGTGAACTTCATTGGATCGACAAGTGCGGCTTTTTTGAGACTTTTGAGATGTTTCCTTTTTCTTGTTCGACAGCACCGCAGCAACGGTTGTTTTCTAGAGATTATAATTTGTCAATCATGCGGCCTTATGACGTGGGGAGGACGTTTCTATCTCGGCTTAGTACGTTAAGGTTTTTTTTTTTTTTGCGTGGGGATTGCTTCGCGATACTTGTTCACAGCTACAAAATGATAGGGCCAGTCACTACAGCATTAATTGACAGTCAAAAACCGAAACCGCATAAATTTATTCGCGCTTGTTCTTTAAACTCTTAGCCGCTACAGCCTCGGCTTCGGCCCGAAGGCCCCCGCCATCCACTCATCCGTAGAACTCCGAAACGCCTCCCGCAAAATTATCGTTACAATCCTATTATTTTATCATAGACCTTTTCCCCTGCGCGTTGAAAAAGAACTTCATCAACTGCCGCCTTACTCCTAAGAATCCATTCGTTTACTTCCTCTAAAGGCCCGCTGTTGCCTTGCATGCTAGAAAGATGTTGTTGTAACACTTTTGTGAGTGGGAGGATCTGCCGGTCTGAACTGACATCGTATGAGGATGCAACAGCGGGAATCTTGGAGCTTGAGAGGTTGATATCATTGATCCCATCTTTTACGCCTACGTCAGTTTCAGCTGCCTTCCGTAAAAGTGGATGCGTCTTAATCATGAGTCATTAACATTAGCATTGGAAATGATTGAAATGGTTGAAATGTTTAAAATTAAGTAGATGTCGCTTACCGATCGAGCTTTTTCTTTCCTGATTTTTTCTTGCGTAGCAGCGTTGTTCTTTAAATTCCTGTGAGAAGCCATGTCCTGATCCATGAGTTTTTGTTCTCGCTCAATTTCTGCCTCTAGATCGGCAATCTGACGGAGCTCGGGTTCTAATGTTGCTTCTAGATCTCGCTTGTAGGGTTCAGTGGTCCGAGTGAGAATAAGTGAAGAGATAACTTCAACTCACGTTCTTTGTAAGCAACTTCTCATAATTTAAAGTCATGTCTTTCCCCATAGGTGGCACGGGTATTTTAGGTAGAGCTGATTTTAATCTGGCAACGTCGGTCAGTCAGACAAACCGCAATCATGGTTATATTTGGAGTTTTAAGTCCCATACCTTCTCAATGCTCCATCCAAAACCTTTTGGGCTTCTGCCCTCTTCTTCTCGTTCCCAAAAGTCATAAGAACTGGCCTTTCCGCCACCTTCATAACTTCTAGAAACTCATCTTTTGCCTTCTCTGATAATAGCCCCCATTTGTTTTCCACGACTTCCTGAGGAATATTCCGCACCCTTGGCGTTAACATCGGCATCTTCACATACTCGGGACCTACAGAATTAATTAGATAATCTATCATATAACAAATAGCGGTAAACAGGTGCATACCATCAACTTCCTTCTCGACAATTTCCTCAGCTTTCCGTTTGTTTCCAGTCTTCTTTACAGGCTCCTCGGGTTCTTGAGCAAATTTGCCTGTCGTCTTTCGGACTCGCTTCTGGGCCGCTTTTGAGCTTTCGCTGTTTACTAGGCCCACATTTTGGCGCGATGACGAAGCTGCCGCTGACTTTGCAGGTGGTTCTTTGTGTACTCTTCTAGCATTTTGCTTTGACTTTGAGCTCGCTTGTGGTTTATTTCGTGCAGTCGCCTAGTAATTATAGTAATTAAATCATGTCCTTTAATTGATCAACTCGGTAACATAAGTAGGGGGTAAAAAGAAACTCACCATATATACTGCAGGTACAAACCTGGGGAGACGCGTCGAGGCAACGACAAAGGATTCCTGTAAAACCTGGGAGGACGTGATTGTTTTAACGCGTGACGTGGGGAGCGCCGATACCGATAGCAACTTATCACCGTGGAAACATCCCCACCAACAATCGGTTCAGCACGTTGCAACTGTCGTTGCTTTGTGGCTTTTCACTTTTTTTTCGCTGACTACCAATTGCGCTCCTCTCTTGTATCTTTAGATTTCATCCCCTCACCTTTATTTACTCCAGATTTTCAGATCTCGGGAGTCCAAGAATTCGACACCGAATTTCGACTCTTGCTTTCCCCGCAAGATATAAACTCGGAATCAAAATGGTGGCCATCAAGATTCGAATGCAGTACCTCCGGGGTGTAAGTCAATCCTATTACTTAGAGGATTCGATATTCGCTAACTTACGAAATAAGCAACTGGCCATAATCCGCAGTGGGAAAGGCGCTGCCATCATGGCTCCTGGAGTTAAGAGAATAGCTCTAGAGTTCCCATTTAAAAATCAAAACGGCGCCATGGGACCACGGTACATCCTCTTTCCCGGCATGCCTTCATATCCGCCCTTAAAGGACAACATCTAATACTAGTTACCATAATTAGAAAGTTTTGGCAAAAATACATGCCAGCTTTAAAATACCATAATCCGAATGTCCAAATGGATGTTCACCGGTCTAGGGATCCAATGACACCTTCAACGCTCACAATTGAATTTGGTATGCGCCAATCCCCAGACAATTGACACAAAAAACTAATGAGTATCTTTTACGTATACAGATGGCGATCGAAAGGAGGTCCTTAATGTACAACACAAAGATAATACCGACATTTGCACCACCGTACTAGAGCTCACAAAGGCCACCCCAGTCCCCACATCTGAAGAAGACGCCGCACTCATACGAGAGTATGAACAATTGAAGAAGCGTGATATACAGAAAGTCAAGAACAGGGAATCTAGGATAGCAGCGGAGAAAGAGGCGAAACGAACGGGTGCAGGAAAATCACCGCTGATGTCATAATCTCTAAATCCGCATAGATATTGTACTATTACTCATTTCATCAACTTTCATTCAAGAGTCGTTCGGTTTTTCAAACAGGGCATTGTTGTACATAAAACGCTGGCAGCCGCCAGGTGCAAAGAAATATGGCGTAAAAAAGAAAGTTAGGTATTCCACCACGAAAAGATTCCAAGACAGAAAAGGAGGACACCTGCATCAGCGATGATATTCGTCCAAATAACACTATAGCGGGCAATGGTAGTCAGGTAGGTTCCGAATGGGGGTGGCAAGAATCCGCCAATTGTGCTAAGCCATGAGCCTGGGGGGGGCGGCCCTAATTTAAACAACAGTTAGCAAAGTCCCACGAGGCCTATTTAGATAGAGCTATCCATACCTTCTCTAAGAAGAACCTAGAAGATTGAAGAACGAGCTCCATGGTTGTAAAATACCAAAATAACTGCTAGAGAACCAATCAGTATTTTATGCTCAAAACGTGTGGGTGTGAATGGTTATCAATACCGGTTTCTCGTCCATATCAAAATTCGCCGACTCCGCCCTTTGTAATGCGCTCCCCGAAAAGCTCCATTCTGTAGCTTTCACAGCCCATAGTCCTAGAAGGAGAGCGCACAGAGAATGTAAAATTCTCCACCAACTTCCCCAATCATTGCCTTGTTGTTGCGGGGGCATTCCCATGGCACCCATCATACCTTCCATACCTGGAGGCATTTGCATCCCCGGGCCTGCCATACCTGGCATGCCACCACCGCCAGCCATCATTTGTTGCAGCATCGCCATCATTGGATCCTCTCCTCCAGAACCACCCACACCCATACCTGGCATATTCATACCTGGTGGCGGGCCTTGATTCATACTCATAAGCATCTGCCGTAGGTCTGCATCAGAGGGTTGTTCGGAATTACGACCTGCCATGGGCGAATTAATCATATTTGCGAAAACGTTTTCTGTTTGGAGACGATCCTGCTGGCGGGCTTTAGGCTCGTAATGATGGGCAGAGATGTCAATCTCCGGGGGGTCTGGAGTAGGTTCATCCCGAGCTGGCGTCGGTTCTGGTACGGGGTTTCATCTGCACCGAAAATAGTCAACAAAAAAGAAAGGCTAGAGTCAAACGAGTACGTTTTGTTTGCGATTACCTTCCTGGCGAAATGTTTGACCTTGTGTTGATGTGATACGGTTCAATCGTGCGCCAGCACTAGACTTGACTTTGGCCTGGCGGCGCTCACGGCGTATTCGGGCCTGTTCTGCTGGGCTTAAAGGTGACGGGGGTACTTCGTAACCCATCATTGTGTATTTGTGTGATTTGCGGATTCTGCAGTAAATATCGTATGTATGAGGGGTGCTCGAACTTTTCTTATGGTCGACGTGGCGGGAGAGCAGTAGAGCTACCAATAGCTGCCGGGTAAGGGTAGTAGTTACTTGAGTTATGTAAACGTTCAAAAGTGAGATATCAACTTAATCAAAAGACCTGCCTATATCCTGAAGGAGAATAGGTGTTTGCACTCTGAAAAGAAATGGGATAAGGATTTAAATGCTATTGCCGGTTGTACGAGCCTTTTTCAGCCCCAAGGTCATGTTTAGGACACAGTTTTGTTGCAACCATTTCTCTCTCAGATCTAATCAGATTTACGAGCAACTTCCCACTTACATCAACACTACATGTAATTCCCCACTGGGCAGCACTTTGGTGGGTTCCAATATGAGCGAGTGATCACTTATGAGTACACATGTATTTACATATATCGTGGAAAAACATATATATATTTACATATGTACCGGTACATGTAGGTACATGTAGGTACAGCTACTGGTATGCCAATGCGATGAAATGGCATAGAGTTAAACTCACCTCCCTGAGTACATGTAGTTGTGTCTGTGTAAAAGATTCCATCAACCTCCCCTCCTGTGTAATATTTGTCGAGGGCGTTCGTTTAATAAACAGGGCTCAGTGGATGCATGACATTGGTAGCCCGCCAATAATTTTCCCCGCACATGAGTGATAAACTCGACTTTTGGTTTGAGTTTGGGAACAATGGCCCAGCCTACTGCACCCGCAAGTTGATCATTCTCAAGATAGTGCCAAGATATTAGGTGTAGCCAACCAGCTCAACTTAGACCCTGAGCCCTATATCCAGCGCGCTTCAAAATTACTTCGGCCACTGGATAGGCCAGCCCCTTCTTTTCGCGTCAACCTACCCTCGCCCATCGCTGCGCATCGCTTTGGAGATACAACAACATCTCTACCTCCCTCTGTCGTCAACTAATCGTCAGCCTTGTTGGACCAAAGTACTCTCTCACGACTATCCTTCCACGAATTTCTCACGACATAAGATCATCCTCAGCGATACCTAACTACTTATTTGCCTATCGCTTCCAAGGCGCACTGAGTGTCATCATTCTATTGAATCGACCTACAATAATACGAGATACATCATCATTGGGATAATATGTCTGACTACATGGCTTCAGCGACCGGTGGCGACGATATGAAGCCTGAATTTGCCGAATATGAGAAGGCAAACCGCGCTGCTATGGAGGATCCAGACGATTTTGATGCCTGGGAAAAGCTTGTGCGCGCGGCTGAACATCTGGAGGGTGGTCTGAACAGAAACAGTTCACCACAAGCGATTTCTGCGACGAGAAGCGTATTCGATCGGTTCCTAGCGAGGTTCCCACTGCTTTTTGGATACTGGAAAAAGTATGCAGATTTGGAGTTTACCATCGCTGGGACTGAGGCTGCTGAGATGGTACGTACCCGTGGTACGGCGTATACTTGTTAATCAAGATTTGCTGATTTTTATTATTGCAGGTCTACGAAAGAGGCGTCGCTAGCATTACCAACTCAGTTGATCTTTGGACGAATTACTGCGGTTTTAAGGTCGAAACTAGCCACGATCCGGATGTCATCAGAGAGTAAGTTAGGATTATTATGTTCCGCAAAGAGCATGACCAGGATTTGCTGTTTCCCTTTTATTTATCCTTCCCCTCGCCCCTCCTGCCTTAACCTCAGATGCCAGCCGATTCGAGCTGCATGCACATATTGAGGGCCTATCGGTGAGCTGTTGCAAAACTAGCCGCCTTCTCTTGACTTGAGATCTCACACATAAATTCCCAGACAATCGCGTTCCTTCCTTCATGTTTGCATTTTGCGTCTCGATGGTTAGAATAAAGAGATGGACATCAAAGAACTACTGATATTTTGCCGTATTTGCTCATCCTGTCCTTGTTCCTTCACTACCTCCTCTCCCTTGTCTCCATCAATCCATAGCTAACGTTTCTATCGCAGACTTTTTGAACGTGGTGCAAATAGCGTTGGTCTAGACTTCTTAGCCCATCCTTTCTGGGACAAATATATTGAATTTGAGGAGCGCCTTGAGTGCGAAGACAAAATCGTTGCTATCCTAGATCGTGTGATTCACATCCCCATGCATCAATATGCACGTTACTTCGAACGTTTCAGGCAACTCGCACAAAGCCGTCCTTTGGAGGAGCTTCTTCCCTCGGATACTTTGGCTCAGTTCAGACAGGAAGTCATCGCGGAACCTCCGGCAGCTGTTCAGGCTGGACAACAGCAGATGAAAATTGAGAGGGGGGAACTGGAAATCGAAAGGGAAATCAGGGTTAGAATCGACAACTTCCATCTGGAAATTTTCTCAAGAACTCAAACAGAGACAACCAAAAGGTGGACATACGAATCAGAGATCAAACGTCCATACTTCCATGTCAATGAACTGGATGAACCTCAACTTGTCAACTGGAGAAAATATCTCGATTTTGAAGAAGTTGAGGGCGATTTCACTAGGATCCAGTTCTTGTATGAACGTTGCCTGGTGACCTGTGCTTTCTATGATGAATTTTGGTACCGGTACGCTAGGTGGATGTCTGCCCAAGAAGGGAAGGAAGAGGAAGTCCGGAATATCTACCAGAGGGCTAGTATGACATTTGTTCCCATCACGTAAGTATACACATTCCTCTGATGGGTGTTCGCCATGTGCTAATGCCTAGTAGCCGAACTGGCATTCGTCTCCAGTACGCCCATTTCGAAGAGGCCCAAGGAAGGGTTGACATGTCAAGGGCTATTCATGAAGCTGTCCTCGAACAACGTAAGTTTTGCGTATATACTCTATGATCGCCCTTACTAATATTAACGTCAGTTCCCGGCCACATTGAAACTATCGTTTCCTGGGCCAATCTTGAGCGAAGACAAGGCGGCCTGGATGCTGCAATTGCCATCTACCGGGCTCAAATTGAGAGCGACAAGTGTGATATCTATGCTAAGGGTGCTCTTACCGCCGAATGGGCCCGCCTTTTGTGGAAGGTCAAAGGAAACGTTGAGGAAGCTCGTCAAGTGTACCAGAAAAACCATCACTGGTACCTCGATAGCCGATACTTCTGGATCAATTACCTGCAGTTTGAGATGGAACAGCCAACCAATGCAGAGATAGAGACAGAGAATGCCGCTAGGATCCGACAGGTTGTTGATGACATTCGCAAGAAGAGTCATCTCCCACCAATGACTATTCGCGATTTGACTCATTTTTACATGGTCTATCTTCTTGAGCGTGGTGGAAAGGACTCTGCAAAGGAGTATCTGTTGCTGGATCGTGAGGTCAATGGGCAAGTACCAATTTCTCTATCACCCCCCTAGTATTTCCTCCCCCCCCCCCCCCTCACATTCCAGGTTTTGTCACCGCAGCCCGTTGCGACGGCCCCTTGAACACGTCAAAATAAATCAGCAAAGGCCAAGTCTCTTATCCAGCCCCCCCCCCCCCCCAATCCTTAGGCTTGTAACCTATTTGAACCTACGACCCCTAATTTTCCCCTCTGTCCCCTTTCTTGTGTCAATTTCCAAAAACCTCCTTCAACTTACCTATTTACCCCATAATACTTTATTAGTATGCCCACCAGTTCCACCGCTCCCACCCCTCATAAACCTTAAGGCCTTTAGCTAACTTCCAACCATCTAATAAGACCATTCTCCGTGCAATCTGTCAACAAAGCCAAGCTAGCTGAAGATGGAAAAGAGTCCACAACTGATAGACGTCTCATGATGGAGAACGGCCATCCCGGTGTGGAGATTGACGAAGCTGCTATTGTCAGGGGAGAAAATCCTTACACGAAATATTTCCAGCAACAGGGTGAACAGCCAGTTCCAGCCAGCAGTCAGGTGAGTTCAAACATCCTTGGAGACATAGAAGCGGACGCTTTATGGAGATTGGGATTTTGTTGACCGTTGGACTGGGGCTTAGCAACCCACCCCCATTAGGTATCAGTAAAATAGTCCAACTTAAACGTAATCCTTCGCACTTCTGAGTAAAATATACGTTACTTTTATTCGGAATATTTTCATGCTCTGTCCTTCTGTTTAGTCATATTTTTTTCTTTCAAAAAGGGATTAACTAGGTTCACCCCTCCCCCCCCCCCCCCGGTTCTTATCATCCTATGTGTGTGTTTTCCGTTTCTCCCTTTGCTTGTAGGGAGATGGCTGTGGTGTAAAAAACGAAATGGAATTCATGGAGATTGTTCATCCCATTTTGTACTAGTAACTTTATGTTTCTGCTGCTTTCGATTGTTGTAGTTATACTCTTTACCTTTGCCTACTTGGAAAGGAAGGCGATGGATGATGGGGACATTAGGGACTGAAATAATATAAAAAAATCAACCTTTGAATAGTCAAGTTTAAACTGTTTTACTAAGCAGTTTGTCCAGTGCGATCCACGAGTACACTTGAGGCGAGCCCAGATAATGTCATTAGGGCTGTTAAGTCCATATAGATAGACTACATGTAGACTATACTACATCCCTTGTGTCATATCTTCGGGTCATTTCAAGTTGGCCTATTTCGAGCTTCCAAACTCCATCACAAGCAGTGACTCGCTCATCATCCACCAGATTTCGCTTGGCAATGGACTTGGATGGGGCGAATGGCTTGGCGCTGAAAGAACAAACTAGGTAGAGTGCTCTACCGCCAAATAGTGGTAATCAAAGTGCAGTTGAGATTTTCGAGTCGAGTTAAGATTTGACAAAGAAGGCAAAGTTTTCACCAAAGCGAGGATAGAGTAATTCGGGAACAGGAGAGGAACTAAAGAAGCACCCGAACCTATTTTGTAAACATCAACACAGGTGGATTTTCTGATTAGCCGAAAAACCTGCAAAGGTGAAACTAAAAGTCTCAATTCACCTCAACTGCACTTTGATTACCACAATGTATCCCTCAGACAATCAGGCATGATCCAAATCGTGCTATTCGACCGGATTCAGAAGTTATAATGCCAAAACTACAAGAATTTAGGAATTTATAATTCCTCGCGATTTCCCACTAGCCGTGTTTAAACGGTTTGTCATGACGTCTTCTATATCAGGCTAGAGTCACGCGAATAACTGAAGAGCGATTAAACTATCATCGCTATTATTAAGTTATGGGTAATAATTGGTTGAACATTTTATGCGAGTGAGGGTTCATGTCGCAACATATATGTTACGAGAAGGGAAAGGTGGCACTCCAAGTTCTATCTACTCTACTACTCGAGCTCCTACATGTAGTAACAACTGTCGCCTGGCAACGGTGCTAAATGTAAGGTACTGCATTTTAAACAAACGACAATAATCAAAGGTATATATATTGATGCAGTAAGCGTTTGAATGCTTTTTATTTTTTCTTTTGTCAGCTCGGGTGCTATTCCGGGGAAGAAAGAACTTAGGAGATGGTGATAGAAGATACATGTATATACCATGTGCTGTCAATTCTACATTTGTATGGGAGTTGTAACCTTCTATAAGATCTCCTTGAATTATGCGGTTTTCCGATTTTACAATAGGCCTTTCCAGGCGACTGGTTTTTAAGTCTGACAGGGTTCACGCTCCAAAGTGGTGTTAATTCAAAAACATTTCGTTAGTCCCACGCCCTACTAAAAATTCTCCTTGTGATAAACTCGCCCCTGCCTTTTACTCTTTGATGGTAGAATACATGACATAATAAGCTGCCTTAGTCTACAGGTGTAAAATGAAAATCTCGGTTATCCGCCTTGCTAGAGCTTCAACCCCCCCATCCCATATCCATATCCCTATTTTAGCGCTGGCCCCTCTCCCTTCGAGCTCTAACCTCCCTCAATGCCCTGCTCCCGCTGAACAATGCAATCGGCGCGACAATGAGTGACGCCCCAAGAGTCTGAAAGAGGTTCCACTGAGTGTAGTACAGAAAAAATATTCCTTCAAGAGTCACCAAAGATGCAAAGAACAACGGGTGGGAGACTGGTGCTGCCCCAAGAGCTTTCGGGAGGTGCGAAAAGTTTGCGCCGAGAATTGGAAACCACTAATGATGGATGTCAGCTTTCTAGTGAATTTCTTCTTGAAACCATTGAATAACCTACTACTACAAAAAGTCCAACAAGCGAGGCGATAACACTTGCTAAGAAAACCAAAGTAATGATCTTTGGAGGATTTTGGGGATCTGCTCTGAAGATGTGGCTGATCTCCTTCTTAGCCTTGTAAACGATGGCGCCCTCCCCAAGATCTTTCAACTTCTGTTTTTCGAGAAGGCCAAGAGCTGCTGCATCAAGAGCAGGTATAAGATTTCCGATAGGTAGGATAGATCCTGGTGTAGAACCGAAGGAGCCCAATGCAATCGAGAGTGAAAGCTTAGGCGAAGCGAGAAGGTGCGCAGGAAGATCCTTGTGCGTCTAGTTTATGAGATATAGAGTCAGCAAAAGCATAAATTTTTATAAAGGGAGGATTACTCGTACCAACTCGACTTTAGCTTTACCAGATTCCCCTTTGATAGTCAATGGGTAAAATGTCTCGAGGCCACTGGCCTCTTCCGAAACGAGAAGAAAGGCTTGGTGAGGGCGAGCAGCCTTGCTGTCCTCTTTTAGTGAAAAGGTGAGCTTAAGAGTTTCTCGCGGTGCTAGGGTGAGCGATTCTACGATTGGTTTCGTCGCGGAGAAGCTATAGTTGTCATCAGCTTGCCGCAATTGTGAATAGGAATAAGAACACAATTGCAAAACTTGGGGAATTGGAAAGCTTCGGAGAAGGGAAATAATGTGACGCTAAGAGTTTTTCAAAAAAGAAATCGAAAAATATTTACCTTCGGGACCCTTCAGCGACACCTTTACCGGAAATGGTAGCTTTACCATCCTCAAATGTCCATGTTCCAGTAGCAGCGGCCAATGTTGAAAGCGATAGGACGAAAAATGTCTTAAGAGACATATCAGCAGAAATTATTGAGCGCATTATGAGTTGAGAAGTGAGGTTGTGATTTTGGTTTGTTAAGATTCGTGTTCTCGTCTTCCGCCCTTTGAGTTCAAATAAGACCCCCAAAGGAAACGTGGTGTTGGACAAGGTGTACCTTGAGTCTACGCGGCTGTAACGGCCAGCGTTACCCGGCTTTGTAGAGCAATCCCGCTAGAAATCACTAGCGCTCACTCGACTCGGACTTAGGAATTCCTTGAGTTGCAATAATTTTGATGCACGCATATAGTACCTTCGATAGATTTGATCACTAATCTACCACTGGCGAGGAGTGTATCTTGGGCTCAACAGGTGTGGGGCGGTTTGCGGTGCCTTGCCCATCCCGTGATACTCATCAACAAGAGTACATGTAGCTTAATTGTATTAGTTTATAATTTATGATTCATTCGCGATCGACAAATTTGGTGACCTCAAACTACATGCATGCGTATACATGTATACATAGTATCGTACCCATCCGCTACTAGATATGCCTACAATACATGTACATGTAGTAACCTATATCCGTAAAGTACTAACTTAAGGCAACCTAATATGATATACGTATATACATGTATATATGTACTCCTAACTACATGTATGCTTTGAGCTCCGGCTTGAAGCACGTCCAAGAATTCCATCTTCTTATACAAGTAAGTGCACGCTTAACTATTAGTCTAAACCCGAGCGAATTAAGCTAGTTACATGTAGCTAAACGATGCCGTAGTGCGCAATAATAGGATTCTAACATGAATCAAAATGGCTGAAGTACGGTCACACAAGATTTCCGATTGTAGAGCTCGACTGGCGTTTGTCGCTTAATCAATTCGCGTCTTTTACCTCCTTTCACATTTACCTGAATACTCAATACCAATTACTCCAAACAACAACATGGATACTGGATCCAACAAAGGCCACCTAGAATCGAGCGCTAGTTCTCCATCTGAAAATGACTGGGAGGACATTGAAACAGGCTCGCACATTTTGTCTAAAATACAACACAGACTCCCCCGTCACAGACTTCTATCCTATACCTGCTGCCTTGGTAAACAAAGGCGTGCAGTCTACCCGTATTTCTGCAATCCTATAGTCTCGAAACTTTCCACCGAGGATGATCTGCAGACCTTTAGAAACACGGTGTTTAATTCAAGTCCATTAAATTCGGATCACGTCCTCAGCTTTAACATCACCGAAAGGCATCTTATGGAGATTTTGCCTCAGATCCCAGATAATCTGACACTGGGTTCATCCGCCATCCCCAAAGCCGCAGAACAGTCAACGAAGCTTGTGAAGAAGATCTCATTTAGTGAGCGAAATACTATTTTCACCTATGTTTGTAATCCTCTGTTTTCTCGTTGTAACAATTCTTACTGACATGTCATGATATGATAAAGAACAGTTACGAAAGTAAAAAACGGCCCCTTAGCCCACAGCCAGAGCCGGCTCGCCACAAAAGTACATTTGATTCCGCTGAGTGTGGTGAAGTTGTTGATTCAGTGCCTCTCTAGTTCCACAGGACATCGCCGGATGATACCATTGTTTTGTGATTATTTTCATGTTTGACCCTTACTTACGTGCCTCATATGGTGAGAGTTTTTATTTAATACTGATTTATCTTCGCTTCATTTTATTATTTTTTGTTGCGGGATTGTCTTCGTTTTATGGAGGTATGTACTTTACCTACATGTAGTTACAGAATGCATGTAGCTATGTACAGATCTAGAGCTGATAATGCAACCGTGATCGTCCAGAGATCAGGTGCGTGTGGGGGCGTTGAAAGAGTTTCCCACAAGATAAGCGAAAGAGCCTAGATTAGAGTAAGGTGTATTAGGATTGAAGTGGTTTAGCCGAAATTCCCGTCTCTTCTTCTAACTGCCGCGCATAGGCCTGTAGGGCTGAAGGATTATGAATTGATAGCTAGTAGGTCGCTCTACCACTCGCTCACTACATATGAATTCTTTACTTTGTTCTCGTATACCGATTGCAGGGGTTCAAGCTTTACAATGCTAGGGTACACCTATGATCATCGAGATGTGATACCAGTAGCACCTGGAAACAGTTGAAGTGGGGCAGTTAAAGATCGTCACGGGAGCATTGGGCACGCAGCCCAAGCTTTATACCTTATGTAGGTATGCTTAGCTCCGGATGAGACAAATGCGCCAGCTACCCCACTTAAAAGAGATCTAGAAGATGTTGATGATCATGACATGATGGCGTAAATTATGAAACATGCGGGGGAAGCTTGGTATTTATTCATTTCGCACTTTTCAGATTGCAGAGTGCGGGTGAATACATGTATTCATTAACCTTGACAATTGAGAACATCAACATACGTATTTATCGTAGCACAAATTATTGCAACAGAGGTCTGAAATAAGAGAGAAAATGGCATCTTGTGTGGGGATCGTATGATGAAATGCTAGGGGATGAGAGGAACAAAAAGGGTACACGAAAAAAAGGGAATAAAACATAATACCGAATAATAAAAAAAAGAACTCCAGAAAATGTTAAGATTCCACTCCCCGATGCGGATACAGGTGTTACCCATAAGGTGTCCGGCCCATAACAAAAGAAAAGAACATCCGTAACCATTAACTCCGGCCTCCCATAAAGAATTTTTGCCACCCTCTACTATCCCCTTCCTAAATTCAACCGCAAGATATACTCCCCAGCTAACCAAAAGATAAAAATAGAAAGAAAAAAAATTTGTCGAGAATTCAGTATGCTCTCCCTTCCATTTTCTGCAGGTGGTGCAAGTAATTTCTCAGCCGCTCATTCCCCTTTTTGAGTTCTTCCAAGTAATTTGCGGCGTGTATAAGAACGGCGCTTTTGCTATATCCTCCAGTGTTCAGCTCCGGCACCATGGAACACAGCTCTTCAAACCCTTGACGAATAAGATTTCTTCGTTTTTGCTCGCTGTGAATGTGGTTTTCTCTCTTTTGCGCTTCCGTCAAATTATCCCTTTTGGCTCCTGCAGTCTTCTTCTTAGCTGCCCTTGCAGCGGCGTCGGATTTTCGAGGTCGCGCCTTGCGGGACTTTGAAGACATATAATCGTCCATGCCATTCACGCGCCGTTTCATGGTGCCACCGGCACTCATGATAGAGGGCGATGTACTATTGTTGTCATCATCGCGATAATAAGGCCCATTTTCATCTTCCTCCTCGGTATCCTCCCCATTTCGCTCATATTTGACTTCAGCCGGGGAATTTACGGCAGTAGTCACCGCCGAATCGTTTTTGGGGAAAGCGGTGTAGATTTTGGAGCGGATTTCTATATCTTTGTCAAGTTGTACAGCAGGTGGGGGCGGATGGTAGCCTGTAGGCGCGAAGTTTGTGTCGGTGCCAAAGTTAAGGAGGCTGTGGTTGTTTAGCTGCGACGGCGAATGTTCATGCTGCCGTTGATGAATATCATGGTTGTTACTGAACGGGTTGATGTCGACCTGGGGTGGAGCCATCGATGGCGCAGAAGACACGGAATTGCTCCCAAGATACCCGTCGATGTTGGTATTCATATACCCATGATGGGAAGACAGGTCCGATGCTTGGTAGTTGCTCGGGGGTATGTCAGGCCAGTACGAAGTTTCGGCGGAAATCTCCCCCGAGTATATATGTGAAGGATCTACAGAAGAGGTATTGGTATTGAAGCCGTCGATCCAGTTGTCAAATTCCGACTTCTCTTGCGTGTCCAGCAGCGGCTGTCCAACCGGGGCGGGAGGGGAGGATGACACACTGAACGCTGCAGCAAATCCATCTGGGGAAGCAACGTCAGCACAAGTGTTACGGCTAAATATTTGAAGAAAACGACACGGTAGTACTTACAGAAATCGCTGTTGCTGTATGGTTGGTGGTGAGAAGAAGAAGTCATGGTGTCGTAATACTTGCTTTTGAGCTTTACTGGGTCGTGATTGTGTTGCGGAGTGTTGAGCATTTGGGAGGATTTGTAGGTGGAGAGAGTAAACGGAGATGAGGCAAGCGCGTTGGTGTACTAGCAGGCAATAATATGGGAGATATCCTCCTTTTCTCCACAATGTGGGGAGAAAGGGTGGGGCGGATCGGTGTGAGTGTGCGTGCGTGAGCGTGAGTGTGTGCTGCGGAGTTGAGACAGCCACACGCTATTCTAGAGTAAGAACTTCAGAGATATGGGAATTTAAGTTGAGCTTTGCCCGCGATGTGAATGGCGGTTGCTATGGGGTATGAAGTACGCTCTCGGCCGCCGGCTTGCGCGATGCGAGTTAGATATTGTTGCTCATTCACCACCTAATCACGTCTCGACACTAGGTAGGATCTTGGTCTCGCCAAATTGACAGAAGCTCAAACAAGAGGCAGTCCGTTTAATCGCTTCCACTGTTTCTCTCTCTCTCGAGTTCCTTTTTATTTCTCTCTGTATATATGTACCTACTTACTGAGTCCTTGCTGTTGATCTCGTGAACAATGACGTCCGTCGTGCTTTAGAGGTGGAACTGCATCTGTAGAAATGACAAGTCAAAGACCCGGACAGATGGATAGCTGCAGTAATGTTTATGATTGATGAGTGGCTGGATGGTCTGCTGATGGATAAAGTCCGTTGAATCAATCTGATTGATGGAGACCGTCGAGTCTGGGTCTCTTATTTGTCTTATGTGCCTGTCCTAGACGTATCTACATCTTACATATGACCTAGATTTTGTGGCTCAAAATTTTCTGCTCTTCATTTCATTTAGGGTCAACTATTCATCCATCTGGTTTCGTTGTTTACATGGAAATGTGTTCCTGAGTCTGACAGTAGAGGGGTTGAGAAACGGGGGGTCAGAGGACAAAGCACCGTTTCTGTTTGGAGTGGAGTTCGCCGTTTTGGTGTTGCCCAGGGCTGGCTCTGGCAGGTGCTCATCCTTGTCTGAATTACGGACCTTCACGTGTGTTGTGTAACGACCCACGTATTATCACTTCCTGGATTCGTTCCTCGGGTTCCTGCCACAGGCAGGAGAGTAGCATATGTAGGTACATACCCCCGTGTAGGTGGTAGAGCACGATATTGTGTGCAGTTTTTACCAGTTACCGGCAAATAGATACATGATATTTGCAACTATATATCTCCACGACTAATTCTCATGCAGGTGGTATAATCTACCTTATGCTCATCTCGACGCACTTCTTTGTAACCTATAGCTACTACCTTCCATATGTGCATAAATGTAGTTCAGACTTACCTAGCACTATGTAGTGCGTCGTTGAATTTCTCCCATGGGAAGATATTACATGCAGTACCCGGTTGATAAATGTGGTACTCGCAGTGCTAAAAAGCCTGGATTACTTACAGTACTAGTACTACTACTGCTAGTAACTACTAGTACTACTACTACTACTACTACTACATCCTACTGTAGCTAAAAAATGATAGGACAAGAAGGAGGAAGACCATAGAGTACATGAACATGTATGTACCTATCACTCAGCATTAACTTGGAATTATGCATAGTGTGAACGATGAGGGGCTGATTGATTGATTACTTAGTATGTACATATATAGTTGATCATGAAGGATCACACAGCATCATCCAGTAGTCACCTCCTCAAGTGAGGACCCAAGGAGTTTTTTCATTAGTACATGTAGATAAGGTTCAGATCATATCTACAACCCTAGCGCATCTTCAAGCAGTATTCAAACACGTGATGTGGAGACTTTCTGGGTCAATGGAGTATAGCCGGGTAACTGTCTAATCCGAATTATGAAATTAGTCATTCGCGTTTTTCTTTATGAAATTAAAAAAGCGGCTAGATAATTTCCTTATTTGTTAACCATTTGGTTGTTTTTATCATGTGGGTGTAAAGCTAAAGTACAAGTACCTAGAGTACATGACTTTAATTCTTCTCCGCCCTACCTCTTGATCATCTTCTTCGCCTACAGCTATGAGTAGCTGAATCACCGAATGAAAACTTTCAAGCATACGATCATGATGAATTGGTTTTAATTTCAATGTTTTAATTCATAAATAAAGTGCTCATTGAACGGCTGACATCGTACCAAAGGATCAGTAACGCGTACGGTTTGATTTGATGGAAGTGATTGGATAACCCTATTTCGACGAACCCCTGTTTTGCCATGCAATACAGGCGCTAGTTATCTTACCTACTCGATCTACACAGCACACCAAGCTTGCTTCCCCTTCTTTCTCGAGAACCTTTCTTACTCCTGTTTCTTTCAAGCCCGCATGAAGCCATCTGCTCCAGCTTTAGCAGTGCTCAATAGTCATTGGGCGCTTTATCGTTAGTCATTGCATACCGAGTTTGAGGGTCCTCCACCTATCAATATCAGTATCACAAGCTACCGCGGCGATTGAGTAGCTAGGCAACCAAAAAAAAAAAAAAAAAACTCAGAATAACAAATGTTCTCTTAAAGAATTACAAGCTATTCACAACAACAATGGGTACGCTCGTACGCAAACAGGAATTGAGGCATTTCAATCATAGTTTTCTTCGCCCGTTAGTTGATATCCTTACTCCTTTCTGTATACGTATCGCTATAATATGAATTATGTTACTGACGTGACCCTACCGGCTTTCTGACATACTAGTTTTCTACGAGCATATGGGCTTGGGTTTCTGTCCTATCTGAGTCCTCGACTTTTTAGTCTTCTGCTATCAAAGGCAAGGAGGAGACGCAGCAACAAACAGAGCCGTGCCCTTGTGCCCGCAGTCAGTAAAAATACCCTTTACCCTATTTCGTATCACAGAGCTACGGAACATGAAGCGGTTGCGGAATAACAATCACTCTAATCACGATTTTATTATAAGGATTATAGGTTCTAGACATTTTCAAGAAATCTCTCGAACTTCATCGATTTCCTGCGTTCTGTGGTGTCACAATCGGCGGATGGCACGTTTTGCAACCACTTTTTGACAAATTATTAGGGCACATCCCCGAATCGTCGGGTGTAGGACGATACGTCAATTACCACAGGAGCAGAATTGCAACCTTTTTAGCGTCCTCTACATCAGCTGCTGGGGCTATACAGCTGTTGAACACTTGCAAAAAATCACATGATGCAGGAAGGACATTAGACCTTACTTTTTTTGCTGTCTCTAAAGCCCTTGATGTAATAGTCGGAGAGCTATGGGCTAGGAGAAAGGCTCGCAGAGCTAGCTCTGGAAAATTTACAAATTTTGAAACAAAAATAGGAAACGCTGCAGATGCAGTGGTATTTGCTGCGAGTGCTGCAGCCATCACGTTTTCATGGTTCTATCTTCCAGATAGGCTTCCCGTGTAAGTTGAATTCTTAATTCATTTTGGGTTACTATATGTACATGTAGTTTTTGGTGAACGGTCAGAGTAAGAAGCACCTTAAGCTAACGTATCTATTTGCCGTTGAAGGTCCTATAACAAATGGATTACCGATATAGTAGATGCAGATAGTCGTCTGTTGGAAACATTACGCCGTATAAGGGCTGGAGTCTTTGTATATGGCAAAGACACAGGACAAGCACCATTGCTACAATCGATGTGTGAGGATTTAGGGCTACCCAAGGTGTGGGGAGACCCTGCTTTGACGAAACCAATACCTTGCGATGTAAGTTGGGTGACAAAAAGGAGCACTTCAATCACACTTTATCCATCAAGAATCTGGAGTTTAATGAATTCTGCGTCACTATAGATAGTCCATGGGGGTTACTCACCTAGCTGTGAAGCTCATGCCATATACAGATTTTGGAATGCATGGAAAGCAGGGTTTTTGATGTACCTGGGGTTAAATTTCCTTGTCAGGATACGAAATCCCAGTACCAAAGCATTGCTGAAGGCCCTTGCAGATTCCGCTAAATCAGCTGCGTTTCTTGGAACATTTGTCGGGAGCTTTTGGTACGCGATTTGCCTAACGCGGACTAGACTAGGGCCTTATGTTCTCCCATGGATTGATCAGATACACCTTGATAACTACTGTGTGAGAGTGGGAAGTCTGGCATGTGGCTGGAGCATCTTAATAGAGCCTGTTCACCGTCGAACAGAGATTGCCTTTTTTATGGCACCCAAAGCTCTTGCGACTTTGTTCCCTCGCAAATATAATAGAGAAGTAGGCGTTACGCCCTCCGTTTGTCATATCGTTTCACTAATTTAAGTTATATAGTATCTTTGGATAGAAACCTTGATTTTTGCGTTGAGTAGTGGGGTGGTTTATACAACCCTGAAAGAGAATCCAGAAAGGGTGAGGGGCGTTTTTGGGAAGTTATTAAGGAGAGTGGTGGCATAGAATAAGAACGGCGTAGTTATAGATTATATTTGATCGAGCACATATATCCTTTGATTAATTTCTTAATATAAGCTTCTGCACTTATCTCTCCCCACTGCTTGGTTGTGCTCTAAATAGTAACACTAGCCACATCATCACATCGGTCAATGCGTGGCGCAACCTTGTCTTAGCTCATTCGTGTCCCACAACCTGTCCTCAGCGAGTCGCTGCTCGAAAAAGAGAACACCTAGACATCCCACCACCATCACTTCTGGCACTTCGCCAGGCACTCCTTCTTCGCAACTCTATCAATATCTTTTCGTTAATCTCAACACAATCCTTTGTACGTCATACTATTAAACTACTCGCTGGAAATACCATAGAAACACCGAAAGCTCAATCTACGAATCCACGAAACAGCGAGAAAGGGAGCGCATCTAAAAGAAAAGATGGCCAGAATACGAGATATCCAAAGGACGGCCGCATTTGCATGGTCCCCTGAGGCCGCACCCTTCATTGCTACCGGTACCCAGGCTGGAGCTGTCTCCGCCGATTTTTCCGACAATACGGTTTTGGAGCTGTGGGACCTTGATCTAGAGAATGCTCAGGGCGGGGGTGAACTTTCACCGGTAGCGTCTATCAATACCGATAGCAAGTATGAATCTGTTTCGAAATCTTTAAGGATATCCCCAGGTATGGGATTTGTCTGGGAACACTTGACTAACCGGGAATTCAAGGTTCTACGATATTGCCTGGGGAAGAGTATCAACTGAAAGGCCAAGAGGAATCATTGCTGGAGCTTTGGAAAACGGATCTTTGGATTTGTGGAGCGCTGATGCATTGCTAAGCCGTAGCGAGTATGCTAACTGATTACCCACTGAAGGATTTCCCGCTAATAATGATGTTTAGTGATCCCCTAATCTCGCGAACAACCAAGCATAGTGGGGCTATCAAGGCCCTTCAATTCAACCCTTTCAAATCTGAGCTTCTCGCTACCGCTGGCGCGAAGGGAGAGGTATACGTTCCCGACCATCCCCTTACAGAGTAAGACTAACGCAACCCGATAGCTCTTTGTCTGGGATCTCAACAACACAGAGAACCCTTTCCAGCTCGGCAACAGGGCTGCTAGGGCAGATGACTTTGATTGCTTGGATTGGAACAAGAAGGTTCCCCATATCCTCGTTACTGGAGGAGGCGGGGGATTCCTTACTGTGTGGGATGTAAAAACGAAGAAAGAGTCACTCACGTTAAACAAATTCAACCGAAAAGCAGTTAGCTCAGTTGCATGGCATCCCGAGACGCAAACGAAGTTGATGACAGCTATTTTGGACGATACGAATCCTGTTATTCAATTGTGGGACCTGAGGAATTCAAATGCCCCAGAAAGGGTTTGTGAAAAACTTTGAGATTCATAATGCAAATGCTGATGAGGTGATTTAGACTCTTACGGGTCACCAAGCTGGTGTTTTGTCGCTTGCGTGGTGTAAGCAAGATACAGACTTGCTCCTATCTTGCGGCAAAGACAATAGAACGATTTGCTGGAACCCGCAGACTGGAGAAATGCTTGGCGAATTCCCCACTGTTACCAACTGGACCTTCAAGACGCAATGGAATCCTCGGAATCCAGGGCTTTCTGCTACTGCCTCTTATGACGGGAAAATTGTTATTCAAACCCTTCAAAACACAAACCCGAGTGCTTCCCCGGAGGTACCAGGCTCCGCCGGAGATGCTGATGATTTCTTCAGCAGAGCAAGCAATGCTCAAACATCATCATTTACTCTCAAACAACCGCCCAATTGGCTTCGAGTACCCGTGGGTGCTTCCTTTGGATTTGGTGGTAAACTGATTAGCTTCAGCACTTCAGAAGCCCAAACAGGACAAAAGCCTCACTCTATTGTGAAGATTTCAAAGTTTGCGGTTGATTCTGGTGTCAATACCGAAACGGAAAGCTTTGAAAATGCGCTGAAGGAGGGTAATCTTGAAAAAATATGTGACCAAAAAGTAGAGAATGCCAAGACGGACCAAGAGAAGGCAGATTGGGACGTTCTAAGAACGCTTTTCAAAGAGGATACCAGGGAAAAGTTGATTGAGTATCTCGGCTTCAACGAAGATGAGATAGCAGAATTGAAGAATGAGACAGAAGCTAAAGACACTAATGGCGAAGAAGCGGATGACGAGATCTCCGAGACTGTGGAAGCCGACGAGAAGCGACTGTCTTCATTCTTTGCCGATACTGGAGCTGAGTCGGAAAACTTTCTCGCCGATCTTTCTTCAATTCAATCAACTCACAATGCCAAGACAAACAATCCTTTCCAGATTTTTACTGGTGAAGAATCTGCAGCGGACAAAAAGATCACTCGTGCAGTTGTCCTGGGACAGTTTGATAAAGCTGTGGATATTTGCTTGGCAGAGAACCGTATCTCGGACGCTTTCATGCTTGCTATTTGTGGGGGTGAGAAGTGCATCGAGAAGGTAAAGACAGCATACTTTAAGGTTAAGGGACCAAACTATCTCCGGGTTTTGGCATCTATTGTTGGCAAAAATCTGTGGGATGTTGTGCATAATGCGGATTTGGCCAACTGGAAAGAAGTTATGATTTCACTTTGCAGTTTTGCAGAGGAAAAGGATTTTGCAGACCTCTGTGAGGCTTTGGGTGATCGCCTTGAAGACGAGTTACGACAAGGGCAGGGCGACAAGGAGGCCAGAAAACACGCCGCCTTTTGCTACCTGGCAGGTTCAAAGTTGGAGAAGGTCGTTGGCATCTGGATCGAAGAGTATCAAGAAAATGAAAGGTCTGGTCTGCAGGAAAACGACGGAGATTCTACGTTTTCGGTGCATGCCCGCTCTCTCCAAAGCTTCATCGAGAAGGTCACTGTCTTCAGGGAAGCAGTGAAGTTTGTGGATGAGGAAAAAGGTCTCTCTGCAAACTGGAAGTTGCAAGCACTTTACGAGAAGTATTGCGAGTATGCAGATATCGTTGCCTCTCAAGGGCAATTGGAGGTTGCGGCTCGATATCTCGACCTTCTTCCCATTGAATATCCTGCAGCCACGGTAGCAAGGAACCGCGTAAAGGAAGCTTCTGGAAAAATCCCAAGCGTAACTGCTACTCTTCCAGTCACAGGAGGGAAGCCGCAACAGCAGCCTATCACTAGTGCGTTCGCCCAACAGCGTACCACGACCAAATCTCCATACCAACCTACGCAGCCAATGCAAACTTCCGCGCCGAATGCTTACCAGCCCCAAGCTCCCGCTCAGACCCCAAACATCTATACTCCTGCCGGCACGGCTCCATACAACCCCTACACCCCTAATACATCGACCACTACCCAAAATTACACCCCTCAGGCACCTACAAATCCAAACTATTCCCCTCAGGCGACGACTCAAGCTTACAATAAACCCAATATATATCAGCCAACTCAGATGAACCAGACTACTGGTCCTTACGGCGCTGGCAGTGGCAGTGGTGGGTACCAGCAATATGGCCAACCCCAAACTTTCCAGCCTCCCCCACAGAGACCTGTCCCCTCTTCAATCCCCCCTCCATCGAGGGCTACAAAAGATGTAGGTAACTGGAATGATACTCCTGAGGTTGTCAAGATCCCCCCTCGTCGTGCGGCCTCTACAACACCAGGCCCACTAACGTCTCCCTTCCCCAATGTTCCTGGTGCGCAACCTTCACCGCCTATCTCAGGTAGTTTCGGCGGACTCCCAGCCCGTGCGCCCACAGCCCCTCCTCCAAGGGGTGCTTTGCCTCCGCAACGTATCTCATCACCTGCTCAGCACTCTAGGTCCCAATCGCCGGCTCTGCAGCAGCAACAACAGTCTGGGCCGTATGGCGCGCCAGTGAACCAAAGCTTCCCGCCGAATGCCGGATATACCACTTCCGCACCGCCACCTCCAAGCGGAAGATATGCCCCTACTCCTGCAGCGCCAATGTCGGTCCCTCCAGGGCGTCAAAACGCAGCTCTTCCACCCCCGCCTCAAGGGGCTGCTCTTAGCAGGGTTGGCGGCCTTTCATCAGGACCGCAGTACGCACCTCCGCCGATCAGCTTCGCCCAGCCATCTGGGTCTTCTCAATACGCACCCACATCTCAACAGCCTCCCAGTATGTATGGGCCCCCTCCTGGTAGTCAGCAACCTGGTCAATATGGACCTTCTGCTGGAAGCCAGCATGGCCCCCTTGGAAATATTCAGCCTACACCGCAGTCTCATCCGCCTCCTCCTGCACAACCGACACCACCCCCAAAGCCCCAGACGCCAGCGCCACAGGCATCCAAATACCGTGAGTCAAAGTTCTACCCTTTCAATTCTACGCTGGCATATTAATCTCCATGGTAGCTGCTGGTGACCGATCGCATATTCCCTCGCAATATGCACCCATTTATGAGCTTTTGACCATAGATTTGGAGAGAGTAAAACAACGGGCACCTCCAGCATTCGCCAAACAAGTCAAAGATACTGAAAAACGCTTGAATATCCTATTTGATCATATCAACAATGAGGAGTTGCTCTCCTCCGAAGCTTTGGAGTCTATGTTGTCACTCTCGAGAGGTTTGTTTTCAAGCCTTTCTGTTGGTTTCGTTGATTATGACTAATTTCATGTAGCTCTATTTGGCCGAGATTATGCGACCGCACACTCTATTCAAGTTGATCTTGTCACAAACCGGACTGCGGAGTGTAATGTATGGATGACGGGTGTAAAGAGGTTGATAGAAATGAGTAAGGCGACTCCTGAGTAGGATAGGTATCCTGCAAAAGAAGTACGTAGAGATTATTTTTATTCGGATCAATAGAGAAATTTATATCAAATGGCCCGGGGAAGGGGGGGGGGGGGGGAGGCCTGTTTTGTTTTCTAGTAGCCGGTTTATCTTTCAAAAAGCAAAAGGCATTGATCTAATTTGGTTTGTGTTTTGTGTTTTGTGCCCTTTACCCTACTGGACGCATGTGTAACCTCATTCACTGTCCCGTTAGCCTATCAGCTACATGTATTTAATGGTAAAGAATAGTTTATTGGTGAATGGCACCATTTGTTCTGGAACGTGAATAAGTAAAATTCCTAAAGTATATACATGTACCTACATTTACGCGTGTACTTCAGGCTTAGGCGGACTTGTAATTAACTGCCCTCACCCCGATCAGCTGAATATCGGTTTTCAATCGACATTTAGTAAAGTTTGTTATAAAATACATGTATGCGATTAAGTCCTTAACCCTAACCCCAAACCGGGCTGCGGCGGGTTCGCACTACATTCTGGTATTTTCTGGGTGTTGATGGCGGGGGCGGAGACATAGGGTTCAGTGACCAAGTACTAGTATGTAGGTACTGGCTGATCCAATGTTGGTGTGGAGCCTTGAGCACATGCATCCAGTGCGTAAGGAATGATAGGTAAAATAATCCATAGAGTTGTCGGCATCCCGAGCAATATGATTCTGATTTAGTACTTCGAGCTTCACTAACTTGGTACTTTATACATGTAGCCTGATTAGGTACTAATCATGGAGTGTGGTTTGGTTAGGCCTGGCCAGCTTATTGGAAATAGAGTACTATTCCGATTTATTTTCTTTATTCTGCATACTCTAGTTATGTATTTCTTTATCAAAAGTTTCTTCGGATCTAGTTCATGATACTACATGTACTTCTTTGTTTCAGAAGAGCGTATTTGGCAACTGTCGATTCCGACAATTGACAGTTCGCCGGCTGCAATAGCGGTTTGCCGAACCGTCAATTTTGATTGATGAGGGTATCGGCACAGGGTACCGGAACTTGGAGCTGGACTCTATCAATGCGCAAAAGGCCTTATCTCTCGATCTCGTCACCACTGATAATGGTCGAGATCTAGAGTTCGTGAAGTATAATGTCAATTTTGCGACCCGCAACTGTCAAAGCCGAACTGTCAATTGTCGAAATCGACAGTAGTCAAATACGCTCTAAACAGACTCTTTCTGACACTTACAATTTATACTCAAATCTGGCGCATTCGCCATTGCCCCAGAAAGAACTATAGGTAATACATGTATGTACCTAGAGTAGGTACACATTTGTAACATGTACCTGCCTGTCTGCCTTGTTGTCGCGTGCTCTGCATGTCCCGGATACTGAACCGAGAAGCAGGGAATCTACGGTAACCTAAAATATATTGAGGCTACATGTACTTTACCTTATGCGCCGTTGAAAAAAACACCAAACAAGGCCCCTTTCCCAGCTATATCGAACGAGACAACGCCTAAACAGAAGTGCACGACCCTACCCTTAGTCACAGCCCTAGATAGAAACACGCCATATCTGTCCGATACGTCACCGCTGAACTTCATCCTTTAGACGGGTTTACAGCATGGCTTCCCCGTTGACACTCGACCCGCGTCCGAGCTTTGAACCGAAAATCGTATCGCTTTACAAAGGCTTATTTAAGGTACGGGCTCGATAATCTTCACTTCGCTAAAGGTAGTCACAAGATTGAGTTAACGGGTGGAGGTCTTTTAGGAGGACGATGAGGAATACGATGAAGTGAAGTCTGAGGGTTTCTGGACGGAGTTCTTCTTGCTCAAGTGCCATGCCCCAGGCCTGAGGTCTATACTAGAACCATTGTCACCAGATGACCTACTTCATCTACAGGTATGAATGGGTTCCAGGACAGGGGGAAGCTTGTGTGGAATGGGAGGCTGACGGATGTTAGCCGCAAACAAGACAGCTGTTTTGTCGCGCCGTCAATTGTGTCAAAGCTGGCGCCAGTCCTTCGGATGAGATTGCACTGGATGTGAGGATACCCGCTGATTTATTCTTTAAAAATTTCCTTGTAGAGTTGGGTGTTGCGAAGAGGGCTGACAGCGATTAATTAACCACAGACGTTGAACGTATTCCTGAGAGAAGTGCTCTCAAAGAAATATACAAATCTCAGCTCAGATATCATCTCTTTGCTGACCGGGCTGGATAATGTTGATTCGATATTTACCGATTTTGTTGCTTCGCTGGATACGTGTATCAGGAGCGGACGCAGCGGTACGGCACTTTGAATCGTTTTAATCTAATGGAATAAGGTGTCTAATTAAATAATATTGTAGTCGAAGCGCGGCGGAAAGCTATACAAGTAGCTGTGTGTATAGCCTGTGGGGCCTTCCAAACTGGATTATTATCGTATTTTACACATCGGGATCTGTTTCCGGCCCTTATGAAGGTATGTATGAAATTGGTGGGAGATTCGAATATTAAAGGCTCATTTTGTAGTATATAAACGACCCGGAAACGGTTGGACTTTGTTATGAGCCGTTTGTCTTGCTTGGAGTCCTGGCTAATTGTAAGTTTAAATATGCTGGTATAAATAAGTTATTGATGGTGATCCCGCTAACAAATGCTAGACAACAAATTCGAATTCCAGAACCCATATCAGTTGCGGTTCGACGATTTTGTTAATGAGCCTACAATAAAGAGGATTGTGGCAGAAATAGGAAGCACTTGTGTCCGAACAAGAGCAGACTATATCTCCATTCATGACGATCTACCGGAAGGATGGTCACTCAATAACGTACTTACATTTGTTGGTCTCACGATCTTGTCCGGAGCCGGCCCAAGAAGTCGATCAACGTCGCCTGCGCCGGCAACAAACCCTGATGCACAGAAATTATCATTCAACACGCTGTACGTCTCTGTATATTTTTGGTGCATTTTGCATGCTAATTCATGATTACAGACCAGGGCCTAGGGCTGCACTTTTGCTGGCAACATATGACTTTGTCAATGCAAACAAGTTGTTTGCTTCTAACTTCGTAAACTATCAGGAATCCGATCCTAAATGTAAGTAGACTATCGGATTCTCTTTCAGCAATATTTTTAATATGGGATAACAGGCGAATCACCGATATGCTCTTACATATCTCTCACATCCTACCTCCTCCATCATGCACATCGTTCTCCTCGGTCCTCGCTCTACGCTCGCTTAAACCTCCTCGTTATCCGTATATTGCTAGAAGACCAGGCATTATGTAAACGGTTGACTAGTGACGAAACAAAGGCATTAGTGCGCCTATGTCGCCAAAAACAACCCCACTTACCCGTGATACGCACAAAACGGCCATTATTGACAGCAATAATCGATGCAGTTGTAGACGGAATCAACCACAATTTAAGGAAAAAGCTCGACGTTGATCTGTATAGTTCCTGTGTTGGAGTATTGGTTCGATCCGTATCATTTCTCATTAGAAGCAGAACTCGCCTGAGTAAGTCACTCAAAGTAACCCCCAATAGGTGTTAATATATTAACTCCACTAGTATATCACTGGTCCGAGCTCTGGCGGTGTATCCTTTCTCTAATCCGCTTCTTCTCATCATACACATCAGATCTGAAAGATCTACCCGGTATTCTAAAGTTCATAGACGATCTTGTAAACCTTATTGCCCTGGCTCTTTCAGCAGGTGATGCATTTCTTCCGGGGGCTGCCGAGTATGATGACTTGTTCTACAAGCTTGTCGAGGCTGGTGATGTCCTTGTCAAGTTTCGAGATGCCTGTATGTCTCGCCTTCTATCGTCCTAACCAATGGAGAAACACATGACTAATAAAGACAACCCTTTCTAGATGGCCTTGAAAACCGTACCTCTAACTCCATATCCACGCTCATCTCGGTATCTGAGCATTATTACCAGTTGATATCCGAGAACCAGACAAAGACAAAGTCGAAGAATCTTTCCCCTCAGCAGGTTAGTGAGGTTATCAAATCTGGGTATGAGACGCTTGCAATCACGAGCAAGGATGGACTGGATAGTTGGGAGCGGTATCGGGAGGCGGATGAGCGCGCATTCCTGAAGAAAGCGGCCCGGGTGGCCGTGGGTGATGTTAGAGAACTCATGGGGACTGAGTTGGAGGCTTTTGTTTAATCATCCCAGTTTTGTTGTCGAGAAGGTAATGGTTTGATTGTGTTTTCTTTTTGGCAGGTAATGGCAGGCATGGGGTTTATGAAGTAATGGTAGAGTGTAGAATTAAGGATTCCAATGAGAAATAAGATATTCCTTTAAATTGTTCATACCCCATTCATAAAAAATGTACATATCAAAGATAGTGAGCGCAAAGGATCTTGCTCCTTAACCATCAAATACCCAACTAAGAAAAAAATGTTAAAACAAATAAAAAAACGCCAGAACGCTAAAAGAGTGTGAAAATGTCTAGAACTACAGGTAACATAATAGATAGTAATGCAAAAATATTTACAGGAGGATTTTGATACCTAACTAAAGACCCTCGACGTCGAGCTAGTATATGCGATTGTTCCCGCGCCAAGTAAGGGCCAATGATCATACTACCGCATTTACTCACTATAACCTCGGCGTCTTCAAGTCCACATCCGCATACCCCGGAGAGAACGGCCTCGCCCCACCACCATCTGGACTCCCTAGCGGCGTAGTCCTCGAACTCACAAATGTCATCGGCTTCGGCGGGATCTCCCTTGATCTTGCCCTCTGCTCTAGCCCACTACTAGGCGACGAGCCCCTCCTTTGACCATCATACGGCATATCGGTATTGTTGTTTGAATCCGATCTAAATGAAATGTACTCCTCGTCCTTTTTACCATACGGTACCTTGCCCCTAAATTCTGCCCATATCCGGCGTATCTGCCGTCGCGACTCGCGGGTGGTGCCGAACACAGCGAGCATCAGGTACCCCGTGGACGCGCTGGCAAGGTAGAATGCCCAGTCTGCCAGCTGCTCGGAGGTTGTCCAGCCCAAGTGTGGGCGTGGTGCCAGGGGCTCCTTGAGGGCCTCGATGGTTTGGGCATATGTTAGTTGAGAGAGGAAGTAGGATGTTTGGAGGCCACCAATGACTGCGAATCCGGCCAGAAAACGGAGGAGGATATAGCGATCTTCACCATCGGTGGCTGAGGCGTTGGAAATTGTGCGCCGGATGCCGATTTGGTGACCAGGCTGATTTCTTCCGTGGCCGTTGTCGTAGCCGCGCCAGGCGCGGACTTTGTGGGTCCAGTTGGAGGTCCACATGACAAGGAGACAGCGTGCTAGAATAAGACCCATGAAGATACAACCTAATGTGAGGGTTATAGCCACTGATATCTATGTTAGCAGGCTGACTTAGATTGTTGGTGATAGGTTACTTACTGGTACAATTTCCAAATATCAAATGAAGAGTTGGGATCTCTATTATTGGCTCCAGATTCGTAAGGACAAGCTGAAAGATTGGAAGTATGAAGCAGAAGTATTTTGTCCCTGCCACGAACTTCTCGGATTTGAGTATTCTGGATTCAATCTCCCAGACGGAAACGAAGAGCATGAGACTCCAAAAAAAGAACAAGAGACTTTCGACGTTAAAGAAATATGTTCCTGGACTACATGTAAGCCTTCGTTTTTACTCGTCAATACGTATACTGTTTGTTCATATACTCACTCATTTCGAAGAGGATCTTAATAGCGACATTGGGCGAAGTCTGATAAACTATTGATGCCTCCGGATTGCGCCACTGCTCCATGTTCATCTCGTATGTTTCGATCTGAAGCAGTGGCCAAAGTGCTATTGAAAATGACTCTTGTGTTACTGTGAGTATATTCTGCAGGAATATAGACAATGACATCAAGGAAACATCTGTATATGCAGGATCAGCAAGAGTATGTGTTTCCTCTAGAAGCGGTTAGGACTTACAGACGACTTGTTTTCCATTTAATCTAAAGAGAAGATGTGTGAATCCGGCTGCAGCCACACTACCACAGGTATATATGATTATAAAGGTTGCGAAAACAATGACCTCTGGGTAGAGTTCTACAGAGGGCACTTCGTTGTCTGACATTATCGCGATAAAGACAGTAAAAGAAGAGAGATGTTAAAGACTGGTGCAATACTCTTCTCCGAAGAGCATGCACTGAGTAAAGAGAGCCGAATAGCAAGAAAAATCAAATGATATAGTAAAGAACGTAAAATCGGCCTGCCGAGCTGTATGGAAATGAATGACTTAGTTAGTTGTATGTAAGTTGCGCATCAATCAAGATGGCAGGAAAGCAGGTAGGTGGGTGATGATTTGGAAGATGCAAAGGGGACAGAAACTATGGTGGGGAGTTCCATTTCATTTTATTCAAAATTTGGACGTGTATTGTTGGAACATATCACCGGTTCACTAGCTCGCCGAAAACGAGCATGCGGTTTGAGATTTATACATGAACTAACTCCAGGTGAGCGAGCATGGGGAAATTTTCTCACCTTAGAAAGCTTTGGGGGCCTTCCGGTGTTCATAAAGGTACGCAGGTACATTGGTAGGCTTTGGTAAGGATTTCCGGCGAGCCTTCGCCCGGTACCGGAGGTGGTTGTGGTAAAAAAAGCTCGAGTGAGGCACAGACTGGAACATCTGAGAGGCTCTACAGTAATTCCAATTAAGGTAGTTTAAGCGACTCTAAACTTTATAGTAATGACTCCCGACGGATTTAATCGATTTTACGACCCCTCGTTCTCTGAGGATTGGAGTTTAGATGTAGGACGAATTAGGGAAAACTGCCGAGCCTCTGGTAATGACCAACATCTCAACTTTCAGATCCTGAAATATAGATATACTGTCTGACCCCGACCTGATACTTTATGAATTGAATTTTACATTCTCCTGTTGGTATTTATCTTTATAATTACTTTGTCTTCGCGCGATCGCAAACACCGCCTAAGAAAGGGAATCATGTCAAGCAGGGTTGCGCGACGCAGGTACCAGTAATGCTTACCCGGTAAACAGGACTCCTCAGCCACCCTTAACTTTTAAGGTCAAAAGGACTGTTTCTCCCCGCAGTACGCTGTGACTTCCCTCGGTTCTGGCGAGGTTCCCGGTACTACTAACTTTGGCTGGAACTCTGAAACACGCCTATAGGTTGTGAGTATTTGTTAGTAGGAGAAATGACTGAAGTTGGATATGACGAATTGTAAATCAAGCTTAAAACTGCTTTCTTATTAAGCTATATTCCATATCACTAAACAAGACGATCCATGTGGTAGGATGAGGTTTGTAATTATCAGGCGCCTCGAGTAATTTTTGATGTGGACGAGTCAGAATCAATGATAACTCGACAATATCTTCTTTTGTGGACTATGATGGATACATCCCATCCCGACTAAAACTTTAAAACCTTCGGAGAACCCTCTTTGCTGACAAATGTTTCCATTGAATGCATGTCGATCCGGTAGATCTCGGTGAGGGAACGGGCGTGGTGTGGCTTGGCCATCGCGCCACACCTACCCATGTCACCCAGTTTTAATCTTCTTAATTGTAAATGCAATAACTCAATTGAGGAGTTTATGCAATAAGACACCTGTGAGTTCATAAAATATATCGTAACCTACAGTAGAATCATCTGGCATAAACGTTTGTAATTTCTTTCACATATTATCACTCGGACCCAAGGTATTCAGGCGCAATCTTTAGAATCCAGTAGCTCCTGTTAAAATTTAATGTTACAATAAGTCAAGCTGGAATACGGAGACCAGCCCCACTCCCACTAAATTAAGTCTGCATTTCGATAGTCAATCTAAGATAGTTAACTATCGTATTTCTTGTACAAAAAAGGTAAAATTCAAGGAAATACGTGTTTAAGGAGCCAATTTGTATCGTTCAGTCATACCCAAACCAAAGAGAAAAAAAGACCGTATAGTTTTCATTACCATCTCCCATTCGCACCATAAGGAGTAGTTCCACCAAAGCCGCCGGCATATGGTGTTCTAGCGTCTTGGCCGCCGCCAGCACCATAAGGTGTCTCGTATCCCCCGCCGCCCCCCATCCCGCCCATCGAATAATCCTGTCCAGGGCTTCTCATTCCGTCACCGAAACCATCACCACCCTCGTTCTTATTGCCTAGAGTGTCGATAACGGATGCTAACTTCTCCTGGAGATACTTGATCCCTTGCTGCATGATCTCATCGGGGGGTAGGGAACCAACAGATTCAACATCAAGGTAGAATCGAGATGGTAAAGCGTCGTAGTTGAAGGGCTCGCCTTCTACAGGTGGCTCTTCCCAATCTGCATATTTGGATTTGGGCCTATCAAGATGAGTATGAATTCCACTACTTGTTTTAAAGTGAGGATGGGATGATGTCCTTACCATTCCGCCTCTGCGCTTTCCTCATACCAATAGTCAATATGCCTAAGTTTATTCCATGGATCGTACTCAAAGCCCATGGCCGACACAGGCGACCACTTTGCGTGCTCCTTTGCAATCCCCTTCTTCGCAATGCATTTCATTTTGAGTTCTTGCCCTTTTCTTAATTTGCAAATGATAGCTCCCTGGCCCTCCTTGTCTATCATCCATTATGCAGTCAGCGCTAACATCACCGTGAATGTGGTCACCTCTTCAACGTACCTGTGATAACCGGAGATCCCAACTGTGCCCCCTCCGCGACTACCAAATCTCTCGCGTAGACCGTGACATTACTCTCCCCAGTACAGCGGGCATGGAGTGTCAAGATGACTGAGCACTTCTCGCAGTACATTTCACACATGCAATCACGCGAGTAGATGAGCTTATCATCGATGTTGGTTGAGTCTAGCGGTATCATACCCAAGCGATGACATAAGAATTCGTCGGGAATGACGGAGGTGTTTGCTTCGATCTCTACAGTGTCGATAGCTAGAATCCCGTTTCGCTGTCAGTCGACCATTGGTATGGGGGATGGGATACGGATAACTAACCAACTGTCGGAACCTCAGCTAACATGATCCTTCGTAGCGAGTTCGCGAAGCTGCAGAAAGATGTTAATAACGCTATAAGGTATTGGGGGGAGTCCCACATACGCCAGGTCGCAGTTGGACAACACAATCTGAGCATGCTTGTTGTCGGCCTCTTTAATGGTGATTTGAGCTGTAGACACTGGTTAGCATTGCCGATTAGCCCTCTATAGCTTTAGATAAGCACATACGCCCGCGGTCAGAGCCGTAGAGTTGGTCGTAGTCATCCATTGTTGAATTATTGCGAAAGGAGTTGGAAGTGATGGATGTGGGATGCGGGTATGAGAGCGCAAACACCTGAGGATGCAGGTCTTCATGAGTAGCGGCTCTTCGCCAAGAGCCAAGAGTTGGTTTGTCAGAGCAGGCTTGCAGGGTTTAGGGTCCAGATGCAGAGGAGCGTTTACCCGGCCTGGCATGTCGATAGTCTCAACCCACCATATAATATTCTACGAGCTCGAGCAGCTTGCGCAATTGCTGCTAGTGAGCACGAACCTAGGAAATATTCATTCAAACTCTATCTCTATACTATGGTAGCGTTTTCTAGAGGAACGTATAAATAGGAATATTTCCTGGACCCAATATTATTCCCACCCTTGGTCCTAGGTACTAGGTGTCGCTTGTATTATATAATTATATTATACTCACTCGGCCATATGCATATCACGGATATATTTTTTTCGGATCAGCTTGGGGGAGATATAGAACGCAAATCCGCAACTAATCAAAATCATTCTCATTATCACTCTTGGGATAAATGATGACCATGTTATGTGACATCGACCCATATGTACAGCGCCATGCCATAAGTCATGGGAAGGCGCGAGGTCGCAACGCCTGAACACAAAATCTTTCACCACCACCGATGGCGCCCAGAGACCATGTACCCCGCCAGACAGCTAGGAGGGAATGACCAGCCTCCCTGTTGTGGCAAAAAACCGGAGTCTTACAACTCTGGTTGGAGGAGAATAGGGTAGATGTTCTGGAGGACTGGCTTGCCTATTCCATCCCATTGAACATGTTTGGGTACACCTCAAGAAGCTTTACCATCAACAGTACCCCCCATTTGGCATATGGTACTAGATCACCTTAAGTACTAAAGCCCCTCGTGGAGGAAGGTCTAATTCATTGCTGGGAACTGTTACCTGATGATTTATTTGGTAGCTAGTTGAGAGCATGCCTAGGAGAATAGAGCTGTTATAAAGGCAAGGGGTTGGTACACAAGATATTAAATGTCAAATTATTTTTATTTAGCTACTATTTAACAACTATACAAAAAACTAGCTCTCCAAAGGATCAATTGTGGTTGCTGGGTGGGTAGTCGTGGTGGCCCGGGAGGTTGCTACGCCGCGCCTTCCCATGATTTATGGCCTAGAACTATACAAACCTGATCGGAGAAGGCGATATTTAGGGGGAAATTCAAGCTTGACCCGGACTTAGAGCGCTAAAGAACACTTTTCTTGGCCACTTACTTGTATAATAGCGCCCAAGCATTAAGCATTCGAGTGGACCCCACCTTTTGATATTGTAAATATCATATCAAGAGAAAGGAGTAAATGTTTGTTAAGGTTTGTTAAGATGATTATTTCAGCAGATAAACATAACAGATTACCGGAAGCTATCTGAATTCTATTCTTTGTCAGTATTCAGGGGTGTGTTGAACCGTTATTCTCAACGTCTCCATCACGAGTGTGTTGAACCGTTATTCTCAACGTCTCCATCACGAGTTATCACTCGGACACAATTGGCTCTTTTCAAAATGTATTCCTTAACCTCAACGATATAGTATTGGATATTACGTGGTATAAGTTTAAACTGAGTTTGAGGAAATCAACGCTCGCGTTCGAGTTCCCCCTGGGGATTCCCTTGTGTATGTATTGGCGGTATTTCACATGCGAGCGGGTACCTGCGAAGAAACTAATAGATATGGGATTGACACATATCTAATTAACTAGCATGAAATGCCACTTGGCTTCGCGTAGTAATCTTTGGGATCTGGGAAGAAAGTGCATGAATGGTGCATGCACATGCAACACGGAACCAGAAAAGTGATGCATAAGTGCATGTTCGTATCGAACTATAAAGTAAAACAACCTATGGGTCGTAAAGTGCATTTTTACTCCTGACTCTCACCAATACCCTATTCAATCGCAGTTAGGGCGACTGATTATACATACATGCATTCATAATTGATGCTGATCAATTATCCCAGTGTAATGATCATCTCTTTTGCAACTTCTATTCCAACTGTAGCCACAGTCTCTTTTAGGAGTGAGTGTATAACAGTATCGTCTTCGAACCCAACCAGATCCTATTTGTTTTCCAATTAGATTCGGTATTCTGCATTTTGATATTGCACGCTTCATTACCTTTGCTTGTGCCCTGGTGCCTGCAACGTCAATATTGACATTTCCAACATCAAATTCCTTCAGTTGGCGATCCGTCAATAGACCAGGCATTTTGGTCTTGAAAACATAACCGGGGTCTTGAACCTCGTCATTCTCTTCGTTTGTTTCGTTCTCTTCTTCTCCTGGTTCTTCAATCCCCTTTGCCTTATCATTTACTACTACATTGTCACCCGAATGCATTCTAGCTCTGATCTCTGATGGGCAAACATATTTGCTTTTGTTCAGGAGATTTTTCAGATCGTCGTTGAGAGGATTCCACTCGTATGTCTCGGGATCTAAAAGATCAGAGGGACTGTATTCCATTTTATACAGCATCTTTGGGCAAGATTGTATGTAATACCCTAAAAAAGCATTAACATATAGTGTCGGGATAGCCTTTATCACCCGACAAGAGCAATCTATTGACATACCCATATTGTAATATCGGTAACCCCCTTCCTTCGCCAAAGCAGCTTCTCTACAAGCACTCAACTTGCCGAAACTCCATTTGGCGTAGTCTTGGTGATACATGAAGTAGACACCGCTCACAGAGTTTGGCAATAAGTCCAATACGGCCATTGCTACCAACCGTCCATCAACGCGATAGCATTGATGAAATGAGCCGAGCTTCTTATCAGAATTCCGAGGATACGTCAATGGTGACGCGCACAAAAACCGCCTGAAACCGCTCTCTGAAGTATCTTCCTTATGAATATTTCGTTGATAGTCTTCAAATAACGCGTACCTGAGGGTGAATTAGGACTTGAGGACTTGATAAAGGTAATGTATCAATTTCTTATAGGAAAGGAGTGACAAAAACCAGTGAGCAATCCAAGTCATACTTTTCTTTCGAGAATTCAGATGCCTCGAGATTAATTTCTAGCCGGTGCGCAGGCTCTGGAGGTGTTTGGTGCTGTATTGTAGAGTATTCAGGGGCATGAACGCTCTCAATAAGGTCGAATTCATTTTTTTGTTTCTTCTTTTCTCTATTGAACACCGCGTTTGTTATCAGCTATGCACAGTGCCAGGAAATAGGTTGTAATATTTATGTGCGAAGCCCTTTCGATTTTCCCTGAGTTAGAGGCTTTCTCAACAAAAGCGAACATACTCCTTGGATTTGGGAAACAGTTTTGCCGCTTCTCGTATATATTCTTCCCCGAGAATATATCGAGACCACTTATGCAAGCATTGGCGCTGATCTCGTGAAGGCTTGAATCTATGGGTATCTAATCTGCAACAAGCATTCCCGTTGTTATTTTGGGGGGCACTGGAACCTGGTATGGGAAATAAAGGCAAGACAAGTTTGCCGTTTATTGGCGATAACTTACCTGATGGTGTACTGAGGACAGCAAGTGATCTTCATATGCGGTTTGTACAGCAAAGAGCCGCTTCTACATCAGTAATAATTTTGTATCAGCCCAATTCTTAACATGAGAAAATACATTATAAAGAAATTAAGCGGACGTTCTCACCGTCTCCAACCACGGTTAATAAGTAGCTCATAATGATGGACGGATAGTTGTTGTGCCCTGAGGTAGAAAGAGCAACCTAAGGCAGGGTTGCTGTCAGTCTAGTCCTGGTTACTGCCAATGTGTGCTGCAGCATATAAGAGAAATCAGACCGCAACAGCATCGAGTCTAGCTAATTGGACAGGGTTGCTGTGCAGGGTAAGGAATTGGCAGATTTACTTCCGAAGGATGTCTTGCAGTAACCGCATCTATTACCCGATGATGAACCTGTGTTGCTCCCCGCCCCAGGGAGGGGTGAGTGTAAGCTGGGATGTTTCTAGTGGATAATGAAGAGCACGGGGTTGAACGATTCGACGAGAAAAGAGATGTAAACGTACCCACGTAGGAGATGAGAGTGACAGGATCGTGTGCGTCGTTTGACATTGCATACATGTAGATAGGTTGGTTCTCGCGAGTGGGGGGGCTAGCTTCCGATTTGTTGAGCCTTATGAATTAAATCAATTGGAGGGGGGAACGGGTAAGACTGAGCTTGGAGGGTTTTGGAGGAAAAGGAAAGGCCCTTGATGAAGAGGAATAACACGAGAGTTGAGGCTACAACGTCAATAGTGGATCGAGAAATGGAGGATGTCGGTGAGAAGAGGTTGGATGCTGCTTTGAATTCCCGATAGAGGGGTGAAGATCGAGGAAGCTCGGGATAGAAGTGGCGGTAAGGCACAATATGTAGGCTTCCTTCGACTGCCTGTAGCTAATGAGTGGGGAAGAATATGCCCATGATGTGAGTCTAAAGGCTATCAGACAATATTGCCAAACACCACGAGGAGCTCATAATGCTACCTGTAAACTCCAACTATCCTTACTGTGCTTATTGATTTCTCCCACATGTGCTCAATCTCCATCTTTATTGTAGATCTAACGTGGATCGAGTATTGATTAAATTCTCCAATTCAAATCCTCGATGTATTATGTTATACGAACGGGAAGCAAGCCTTTGCAAGTGGTGTTTCCCTGGCACCACAGCTATCGTGGCGGAGAATATTCCATCCAGTTTTCCCGGAGGATTTGTTTTGCTTGTAGACATACAGCTCTGGTACACGTTTGCGGGAACACAGTAGAAAGTGTCAAGTAAAATAGCTAGAACGCGCACACACGTTGTTCGTTGCACAAGGGAGAGAGCTTATTACTGGAATTCCTTCTTTCCCCAGATAAGACCTCTACCAAGATATATGGTGCCAAGGCAATCACTAAAGGAGTTGAAATAAGAAACGGGGGAAAGCAAACAAGATCGCAGTTTCGTCTACTTACCGACATGTATGTACGCATGTTGTTGTTCTTTTCGTCGCGTGGTTCTTACCGAATGGTAGCGAAAAAAAGAATCAAATTTGGATGACCCCGCGGTACCCTCATCCTTGTTGGGAGTAAACTGCCCCTCTTTGTTGTTGAATTCGAACCCTCAAGCCCGAGGCCGTTTCGTTGAAAACACACCCATAACCCATATGAATGCTACCATTGGGCCGCTCCTTCCAGATCTCTAAACCCTGCTTGCATTACTGCCCAGCCAATTCCTCCATCTCGTTTCCATCGCCAGAGTAGCTTGATTGGAGTCGACCCTACATACATAGCACCATCATGCTTAGCGGGTACATACGAGCGGCGGCGGCGCAAAGGCATGCACAAAGGCGAGACAGTTCGATCTCACTTTTTTAACCTACAGGCTACTACGGCAGAAAGTAATCCAACCCACGTCCGACGAGGTTCTTCCCTTCCCGTTCGAACGCAATTGAGGGCACACTCAGTTACTCCCCATGTTAAGCAGTGCCAGGCAGCACCAGAGTGCTTCTGCCTGCTTGCTGTCCATCATCTCACTGGCCGTGTCGCTCTTAGTGAGGAGTTAGGGGGGGGTTGCAGGAGTGGAGGGGGGAGAAAAATCAAACCAAAGACAGTGCAAGGGCGAGGGGTGTGAGGATATTGATAGAGCACAAGAGGATAGAAGTCAGAGCAAGAGATCGAATGGAACAGATGTTGTTCATCGTGCTGCACAAAGATTAAAGTTGCACTTCCTTCCTCCTTCCTCCTTCCCCCGTATAAAGCATGAAGGTACCTTTCCGTTCCCCTTCATGGCCATCTCCACGGACCCGCCCTTCACGCAGTATGATGTCTTCGGATCCGTAGTTCCACCAACGAAACTTTTCTCTTCTCTGCGACAAAATTTCGCTATATAGAGAATCCCATCTGTCCTCTTAGTCTTTTGTCGTCTTGACCGGTTCGTCTCGTCCACAACATATCTCTCCGCCGCGCCGGGAACCATCAAGCCCTCAAGCTCCCCCTCGCCTTGAAACAAAAGAGCATTGTTTTCAGCCCCACTTGCCAATCTATTGTGCATCGACCTGAATAGGATTTGCTTTGTGAACTGTCATCAACAAAAGTCCAACAAGGAAAAGGCCACGCCACTGAAACCGACTTCCCATATCATTCTATTCCACCTAGTAGTGAAGGCCAAGTGAACTTGAGATGGCTCACAGTCGATCCATGGAGGTCGGTTCCTACTCAAGGCATTTACTGCTATACGTGCATATACTGAGATACAGTTTTTCAGGCCCGCGTTGGGAGAGTCAAGCAAAGTATGTATCCTATTCGCCAATATAAAATTCAGCGCAACCCCAGAGCCCTTCGATTTGTCGTTTTATTCTAAATTACTTGGAGACTCATTGCTCACGTTATGGAATTTCCAGGATATGCACCCGACGGATCACGTCTTGTTGCGGGTGTTGTAGCGGTTTCGTCAGATAAGAAAAAAGTTCTTGTCGTTGAATCAACAAACCGTAAGAACCATTGGGTCTTACCCAAAGGCGGTTATGAGACGGATGAAGCCAATCCGGAAGATGCTGCAACTCGTACGAAAGCCCTTTCTTTTCTTTTTCTTCATGTCACGCCCAACCTCCGGGAGTGACGTTAACCGAACTTTATTTTCCGGCGTGCTGCGACGCTGCCCCTCCAGTTAAATTTTAAAAAGAAAAGAAAAAAGAAAAAAAAGAATAATATGCTAATTCAATGCGCTCCTCCGTTGACAGGCGAAGCTTGGGAAGAAGCTGGCATCACTGGAAAGGTCACGAAATCACTCGGCGAAATTAAGGATCCCCGCCCAGTAGTGCCTGAGAAACGGGTCCAGCGCTCGTTGTACTACTTCTTTGAGTTTAAGGTGGAAAAGGAAGAATCGGAATGGCCGGAGATGCACAAACGGAGACGCACCTGGTTGACCTACGAGGAGGCCACCAAGTGCTTCAAGGTGATGGGTAGACCTGAGCTACAAGAGGCGGTCGACCGTAGCAGCGTCAGTCGGTAGTCGATGCTCGAATTGATCGCACACGCAATACGGGCCAAATTGAGCATATCCTAGGCTTATCGGGAGAAGAAGAAAGAGCTTGGCAATATCTAACTCTATTGAAGGCTATTTTTGTTTCTGTTTTATGTGGGGCGTTTTTCCATTTCGTGCTTTTCTTTCAGAGTTCTTAGATTCCCAACAGCATTCAGCACTCGAGTTCATCCCGACAAGTACACTCGAGTCCGCAAAAGATTTGGAAGGCAGTGGCGTGTGGTGTTTCTGACTCCATTTTGTTCAATGTTAGCTTCCTTGATCTATGATGTTTGTTTTTGTTTTTGTTTCCCAATATAAAAGTTTGCAGCGAACATTCACATAGCGGGCATGGTACTATAACCAGGTCTGAGAAGGGTGCGTACAAATTGTCGTTATATGTGTTTCAATATTGTTGAATATCATTTTCATCTATCATAGAATCAAATGATTAGATGTAGGGATAACTATGGGGTATAGTATTTAGAACTTGGTGAAACTAACCGAAGCTCCCTCATCTTTCTTGTATTGATTGGGTAGATATTTTCTTAAAACCTCACAGGGTATACAAGTCTGAGCAAGCTTCGACCGGACTTTTTGGCAGATAGATACTCTTCAAATGGGGAAAGCCATCAATTTCTGATTACTGGTTTATCCCTATCATCCCGTGTTTTCTCCGGGGAAATTGACCGAGATCACTCGAGCTCAATGATCACAGATAGGTACGCATAAGATACTACTTAAGTCACCTGTAGTTATTGCTTTAGTAGAGCTATTACTTCAATAGTTTCATTTGTGGATTGAGCAGTAGGTCGGCCTCTACTCGCAATCAAACAAAGCCAGCGCCCTCTGTAAGGATATATAAAGAGAGCTCCATGGTTCTACAGATCTAACAGAAAGCGTACTAAAGCTAAGACAAATGTTGTCTCTAGCCACGTGCGCAGTTACCAGAACCGTGTCAACTATAAGCTTTAAATGGCTATTATCCAACTGTAACGATGTTAATTAACAACCAACAATTTTCGCTAAACAACGACTTACTCGCTAAGGCAGTTTTTTTTACTTACGCCAAGAGCTAATCCCCGACTATAGATTATTTAGTGTACAGTTCACCCGCTGCCACTTGGTACTTGGACTGATCCGACCAACTCGCATGCTACTCCGACGCTAAGTTAGTCACTGACTAGCTTTCCCGTTGCTGTGAGAAGCATATCTTTGATAGGATGCTTCCTCATGCACGAAATACCCCTGGGGAAAGTATATCTGGTGACTATACGTCATGAGAATTCTGGTGGCTGCGAGTCATGGATCATCACTCGGTATATTTAACTAAGGGACTTCAAACATCCCTGGCTGAGTATCAGGCAAACACTGAGCGCCACTCTCTAGAGTTATTTAAATTGAGGCTAAACGTGGAAACAGCCGGTTTTCTATCTAGTTCATCACCTAGTTCAACTATCCGTTATCGGCGAATTTCACTTAGGATCGTGATCAAATGTAGTCTCGTGCCCAATTAATCCTTTTCACCTATACTCGCCCAGATTATTGCGGTCTTTTCCCCATACAAAATAGCTTCATATAATTAATTCTCCTATCAAACTATTTCTAAGATGTTGAGCGCAAGGTTGAAATGACAACACTCATATCCCCCCCCCCCCCCCCCGCCTTAGTTGTATCGACGTTTCAAATTTCACCTATCTCATGGGCCGAGATATTGAGAATTTTGTTCCTTGAATTTTTTGCGACTAGCTTAAAATCGAAGATAGAATATACGATAAGATAGAATTCCAGATAGACTATCTGTTTGATACGGCACTTGCCGTTTTCAGTTCAGCAGCGCCCTTGCCGGCAACAACAAAAGATACATGAGAAATAGGATACCAAGCTTTGAAGAGATGTTTCACATTACTCACGGACCAGGGATGGCGGTCAGGGACCACTGGAGGGATGGCTATCTGTTTCCTAATAGTAATGGTCAGCATATACGTACCTTTTCGTCATCAGACAGAGAAATCCCTTGGCCCGAATCTAAATCATCATCACAGATCTTGGGACGATAGGTACTGAACGATATCTCGATATTCTCATCAATCTAAGCAAGAGAATTGGTATATGAGACACAGTGCGGGTGGAAAACTCTTTACGGATTCCTTCTGTCCGGCCGGCCGAGGCTTATTGTCAACGAGTAGAGCTCTAGTTCTGTCTCCTCGGAGCGCAGACCTCGATGGTAATTCGCTGCTGTGGTCAATCGTTATGATGAATGAAGTTCCTACAAAATATCACACGTAATACTCGTTTCGCCAAGTGAATGAATTCTCAACGGAAATCCCAGATCTCCACATGCAAGCAAGTGGCGCAATTAAAAACCTGCCCAAATCTCTGCATAAAATCGATCTTAATTAATTCGATCTGCTGGAGTAGGCGGTAAAAACCCGGTCAAATATCACCGGATATATTGCAAATTATGCAAAATGTCACCATTTTTAGTATCAACAGGAAAAAATAAAGTTTAAGCTAGAGCTTGTTAATTACATGTAGCAATACATAAAAACATCCTTTCTCAGCTTGGCCTCCAGCAACGTCATTCACCCTGGTTTTAGATTTCAATAGGCTGGCCGCCCTCCTCTGAGTTCCCTGTAAATTCGCGAAACTAATGATCAATCAACTTTTTCTTAACGCCCTGAACGAAGTGAAGGGTATTCCCATTTTTTTGTTTTTTTGTTTAATTCATTAATTGCATAAGGGTATTCCCATCATCACCAAGTGAGGTGTTCTGGAGTCTTAGTGGTCAACATAAGCCGAGTTTGCTTGAGCTCATGTCCACGCCGAAGTTCAACTAGCTATGTGCATAGACCATATGCCATGGGAAGAGCTCTGGGTCGTGGGAATCTATCCATTGATAGACCTAATGCGGGGCCGGTGGCTGTGGATACGGTTAGGTAAGTCTCGATATTCCGCAATAGAACACCGTTAACGTTACTACATACATTTTATACACAGTTATATGTATTTTATGTTGTGTTCTACGCCCCAGATCAGATCCTGCAATTACGCTAAACTCCAGGCTTGTCTCAAGCCAATTCATGTCCAACACTAACAAAAAAAAAATTTCCACCAAAGCTACTACAATTTAGTTTCCGGCATATATCTTTCGGACAGCAAACCCTCTTCTCAAGGCCAGTCAAATTAGTCAGGAGACGTATAAATGAGGACCAGGAAAACCCAATTTCGTTGTGCTCATAATATTGGCCGTATTCGAAGACTGGCGCTCTGCATCAAGCGCCGTAGAAGTGGTGGCATTCTAGACCTTTGCTGTGCCTCTAAATCCAACCTCAAAGCTGAGGTCTAGATCTGCCATAGTTGCACTTAGGTGCTGTGCATTCATATTCCAACATCTGATAAGAAGTCTGATATTATCTACATACCACACCCCCCGGCCTAAGAACAGGGGAGAAACCTAAGCTGGCGGACCCAGTACGGCGCCAAGAGAGTCCCTAGGACAAGGTGCAACCCTCAGGAGGTGACTAAGCTGCAATATAAGAAGTCTCAACTCTAGCCCTTGCGGTCTCAGTTCAGCAGCTAGCCGCTTGGTGTCTACTAGAGTACCCGAAAAGCACATCGCACTTGGGGTTTCCCCTGATTGAACGCGCACCAGAAGCTTACTCCCTTTTGCCGTCCTGATCCAGAAACTATAATTGGATCATATCACATCACTCGCTTACAAGCCGTGAGACTTCGGGAGTTTGACCAATGCCTAGAGCAGCAAGTTCATGTAACTTGATCATTGGTCGCTATCACTGATCTAGGATAAGCACATGTAACAGTCTGGATCGCGATGACGCAATATTTACGGTAGCGATGGTGTTGGATGGAGCGACAAACATGTCGATCAATATTAGATTTTTGGCAGGTTTCTTTTTCTTTCTCGCTGTAATGAATAGTTTTCATTGGGAAGGACCAGATTGAAAATATTTAGCTTTTAATTCAAGCATAAAGCCTTAGCTGATGACAGGCATACAAAATAAAAAAATCTCCAATCCCAAATATGGAATAAAAAAAAAAAGACAAAGGAAAAGAAGTTTTTAAGCTCTTATTTACAAGCAATACTCGAGCATAAAGAATGGAAATAATAATGAGCAAAAAAGAAACAAAAAACAAAACTATGTCAAAAACTCCTCTGATTAACCTCGATCACACAAAAAATTCCTAATGATTATCCGAATATCGCGCCGTACCCCTGCCTGTATGAGAAACGAAGAAAGAAAAAGAAAAGAAAACAATGTCGTAAATCAAGAAGAGAAAGTTCTAAGCATCTTGAATAAGCTCAACCGGAGGTCTCTGAGTGTGGAAAACACTGGCTGCCGCACTGATCTCAACTGGCGACCTCTCATCGCCCGAATCCGTGTAGTCGTCTACTGAGATAGCTGGCATTGACTTTCCATCCTGCTCCTCAGGCTCGAACAATACTACCGAGCTCGCGCTTCTCGGTCTCCTGAACCCCCGGGACTAGCTCCGACCTCTTCACTGTCTTTCTGGTACGGCTTGGTGTTGCAGTTCAACTTTGCAAGCGCGTGGGCCAGGTCCTCCGCAACAATGGTCGCATTTGGTGGTTCCTCGTTCTTGCTCTCCCATCCGTGTGGTGGGGAAGGTGGCGGGGAGATGAAGAAGAGCTTCTTGCTCTCCGGCGCCTGGAGGTGCTGGTCGACGGGCTGGATGGGCGTGTGTTCGCCGAAGTAGACACGGGTACGATCGCCCATGATTGTCTCGCCATCAAGAGCCTGGCGTACAGTGATTGCGTCCTCGGTGGAGGAGAAGGAGCATACGATACGGCGGAAGGACTTGAGGGGCGACCAGTAGACGACGGGGGCGGAGGCGTCAATGATTTCACGGAGCTGCTGAAGGTGCACGGGGTTGAATGTTTCGGGGTTTACTAGATTCTAAGTGGGAGGTTAGTTTGGATTCTACCTCTTCCATCAATGTTAGGATGAATGACGAGTGACTTACGGTGATGAGGAGAGTGTTGGTGGGGACGGCAGGCTGGGTGAGTGGGGGAAGGCTTGAAAGATCAAGGGTGAGATGGGAGCCTCTAGATGAGGGTCTTGATCTTGTAGGGCTGGTTGGAGAAAGCTGGGGGGATTGCTGGGGAGAGTCCATTGTGAAGATGGGTTTTAAGATGAAGTTGAGGTTGAAAGGAGGTTTTCGGTGATGGTTTGTGTTTTGTGAGGATGGGTTGTGAAAAGAGGTGGGGGAGTTGTTCAGGTATTTAGTAGCTTCTTAGCGTTGCAAGAACTTGGTTGAGTTTGATGTTTTGAGAATCTGGATGGAGTCGAGCGACAAGTTTTATAAGCTGTCAAGAACGGCCTACGAGTCCGAGACCTCCCCGACTGATAGCTCAGCCAACGAACAGAGTCTAACCAACTTGCAAACTGTCACTTGCGCAGCAAATATCTCTCGCTTTCTCACTCGCTCATCGGTTTCGCAAGTGTGTGAGACCTTTAAAGAGGCGCAGCACTTTGGGTCAACAACGCCGGAAAAGCAAAATCCCACAAGCTGCAGGCGAACGCTTGCCAAGCCCGTCTCTGTTTGTCTCTTGGTCCCCAAATTAACGGCACCTTGCTCCGCCCGGGGGGAAATTTCACTCGAGATGGAAGGCTTTTTTTTTTTTTTACTCTTTCTCTTTCTCTTCCTCTTCTTGGGCATTTCTTTCTTTCCCATTTTACGGGCTGAAGGGATTGCCTTTCGTGTGTTGTGTTCATGTTGCACAAGAGAGTAAAAAAAAGTGCTGTTTTGTCTTGAAGCCGAGCTCCCTCCTGAAGGCTCGCCTTTTTCCCCTTAATGATTATCTATTACCAACGCTTCTTAATTCTTTTCTTTTCTTTCTATGAAGTGCATCTTCCCCACCGGGAACATCCACCTCACTACTCTGATAGGTAGAGCACCACTAGCCAGGCGCAAATGCAATGCCAGCGCTGTATGGTACTCTGAAATGGGACATTTGCATTTTACAGTAATAAGTGGTGGGTGCCCTGTCCTCTCTTCTTACAAATCTGGGAGGGGAGGGGAAATGAGGGGGGGGGGCAGTAGATCTCGCGGTATGACTAAGAGTTACTGGGGCAAAATAGTAGCTACAAGCAAACCCCATGCCCACCGACGACGGCGGCGGCGGGGATTTGACATGTTCGTTTTCGTTCGGCCGAAGCTTCCAGAGTGTCCGGTGCTGCCCGGGGGTGGACCCTGGTGGAACCTTGCCGGATTCGAGGGGTGATTGACATCATTATTTTGCCTCCAATCTGTACTCGGCGCCACAGCTTGGGAATTTGGGATGGTGGCCCCCCCCCGGTCATTGGTGGGTGGGGGGTGGGGATGGGGCTTGTGTCAAGGGTGGCGCAGCCCGTTATTAACTACAGTTACGCATCGTAGAGTAGGGTTCAGACCGTTACACACTTTACGCGTTCCCCCGTGACATGCGCGACCTGCTCTCGTCCCTGACTGACTGAACCTGGCCACCGGGAATAGCAGCAGCAGCCTGGAACCCTAGCACAGTGCAACGTTGACTGTCACAACGACGACAAACGACGGACAAACACCACCACCACCACCACTACTACCACTACCACAAACGTTCTAGATCTTGATCATACCCAATCTTAACAAGATTTGCCCCCCGTCCGCAGCACCCGCACCTTACCCAGAACCGTTTCGCTTTCCCGACACCCAGGAAACATACAGTATTACGATTATTAAAAAACTTTATACCCACCACCCCCTACCCTGCCTCGTTCATTCTCATCAATAACCCATAATGCTCTACGTGGACAAACACAGACCACGGTCCCTTGAGGCTTTACACGTGAGTAGTTGACCTTGTAGGGCAGGAATGAATTGAACCTCCGCATGGACATGGCTGCAATTAGAGATCCCCCAAGCTGACAACATATCCGAAAACCTCAGTACCACGAAGGCCTCTCCACAAGGCTCAAAGCACTCGTAAAGCTCACTTCCCCCCCCCCCCCCACAAGGTCTAATCCAAGCCCAATACCATACCACGATACTAACCCCCCACTCCTTCCCCTAGGCACAATCCGGCGACTTCCCCCACCTCCTCATCTACGGGCCCTCCGGCGCCGGCAAGAAGACCCGCATCGTCGCAACGCTCAAGGAGCTCTACGGGCCCGGCGTTGAAAAGATCAAGATCGACAGCCGCACCTTCACGACCGCCAGCAACCGCAAGATCGAGTTCACCGTCGTCGCGTCCGTCTACCACCTCGAGATCACGCCCAGCGACGTGGGCAACCACGACCGCGTCGTAATACAAAGCCTGCTCAAGGAGGTTGCGCAGACGCAGCAGGTGGACCTCGCGGCAAAGCAGCGCTTCAAGGTCGTGGTCATCAATGAGGCCGACTCCCTCACCCGCGATGCTCAGGCCGCGCTTAGGAGGACCATGGAAAAGTACTCGCCGAACCTCAGGCTGATTCTGATTGCGAATTCCACGGCGGGGATTATTGCGCCGATTCGCAGCAGGACGTTGTTGGTGAGGGTTGCGGCGCCGAGTATTGATGAGATGGTGGAGGTTATGAAGTATGTGGCTGGTGCGGAGAAGCTAAAGTGGGAAGAGACCCTGGCCGTGAGGATTGCGGAGGAGAGTAATAGGAACCTTAGGAGGGCGTTGTTAATGTTTGAGGCGGTGTATGCTCAGAAGTAATCCCCCCCCCCCCTCCCCTCTCACCTCATTCTGGTTACTCCACCCCCCCCCCCCAGTCTCAAACCCACGAAAGAGGAGTAATACTGGCGCTAACACAGCACCACCACAGCGAGGTTGTCACCGCGAAAACACCAATCCCACCGCCCGACTACGAGTCACTCATCCAGCAGATTGCCGACGAGCTCCTCGCCGACCACACACCGCAGCGCATCCTCGCCGTCCGCGCAAAGTTCTACGACCTCCTGACGCACTGCATCCCCGCCACCGTGATCCTCAAACAGCTCACCTTCCGCCTCATCGCAAAGATTGACGATGCGCTCAAGACCGAGGTCATCAAGTGGAGCGCCTTCTACGAGCACAGGATACACCTAGGCAGTAAGGTCATTTTCCACCTCGAGGCGTTTGTGGCAAAGTTCTTGAGGATATTGGAGAGTTACCTGATGGGTATGGAGTTTTAGTGGTGGCTGGTGCGGTGCGGTGCCTGTGGGAAGAGGGAGGGGGCGGGGGTGGGGAGAGGAGGGTGAGGAGTGGTAATGATCTTTATGACCAAAAAAAAAGAGAGAGTCTAAAAAGGGTTTGGGCGTAGTAGGGTAGATAATATTATTACATACAGGGCCGTAGAATTTATTTTATTTTTTTCTTGCATCATAATACAGTAAACATACATATGTAGAACCCATTGGTGATTGTCGTGGCCGGTTTCAGAGGCCATGCAAGCTTGATCGGAATAAGGTTGAGTTGAAGAATGAGGGGAATCTTTGTTCTCCAGCACCCATTGCACGCGCCTAGCTCGGGCTTCGCAGCTATCATGTGCAGTTAGAGGTTTTCCCTTTCCACCCAGAATAAATAATCCGGAGACTTTTTCAGGTTTCTCGCACACAAGGCTGTGCAGGGGGGTCAGTGTACCTACCATGGCCAGCTTAGAATATGTCGTCGTAATGGAAATACGACAGGTCACTTGGCCGGAGGAGGTTGGAGCAGTACGTTGAGCAAGAATCAAAAGCACAGCCTTCTAAACCACGGAATGTCACTCGGCCTTGCTACATAAACTCGTATCTCATGGGCTGTGAAGAAATGCGACTCATCACATCTCACATATGACTCTCTCCGCACCAGCCCCAGCCAACCAGTTATGTAACTGCGCGTGTGCGTAACTACCAATGATCATTCCGGGTCTGCACCGCCACTCTGACTCGCACCAGCCATGGGCTCGTCTAGCCACACACCGAAGCGCAACCTCTCTCAAAACCTTGACCGACGACGGACGACATTCCCGCCTGAGCAGCAGCACACCCCACACAAGATGCAGTCACTCACCCGCTCGCTCGCCTCGCTGGCGCATAAACCTGCCTTCCCCCGCCTCGGTATTGCTACCCCTCAATTGCTCACGCTGCGACGAAGATCACGCTGACCTGACCCCGCCTTGGCCCGGATAGTAGCCCCACCACCGCCGCTGCGGCCGCATTCGCAGGTGTCTCGCAATGTCGCCCGTTCTCTTCCTCACAGCCCGCACTTGACTGGCTGCGTAAGAAGCTCCCCCGCCCCCCGCCCGCCCCGGGTCTCTACACGCACAAAACGAAAAACACTAACCCCACCACCGGCGCACCACAGGCCCCAAAGGCGACCCCAAGCCAGCGCAGAAGGGGCGGCCCCGCGTACCCACGGGTGGTAGTGTCCGCGGGACAACAGTGGAATGGGGTGACTACGGGATGCGTCTAAAGGACCACCACCGGCGGCTGTCTGCCATGCATCTCAAGAACGCCGAGGAGGCCATCAAGAAGAAGCTGCGTGGAATGAAGTACAAGCTCTACATGCGCGTGGCGTGCAACATTCCCGTCTACACCAAAGGAAACGAAGTGCGTATGGGTACGGGAAAGGGAAGTCATGACTTTTGGGCTACGAGGGTGGCAGTCAGTAAGATTATCTTTGAGCTGAAGGGGGAGGTGCACGAGCAGATTGTGAAGGAGGCGTTTAGGTTGGCGGGAGATAAGATGCCGGGTTTGTTGAGCTCCTTTCCTTACTGGTTTTGAAGGTTTGGTAGGTGCGGGTGCGGGGACCGGACTAATGTGTGTATACGCGCTGTTTAGGGATCTATGAGTTTGTGAGGAAGGGCGACTATCCGGTCATGGGCGTGACAAAGATGACGCCCGAGGCGGTCGAGAAGATGAACGCAAGGAAGTTCAAGTTCTATAACGTCAAGCCCACGCCCGAGAACCCAATGCCCGAGATCCTGCCATAAAGAGGATATAAATTATAACTAACTTTGAAAAGTGTATATTACTCTTTTTTTTCTTTCTTTTTTTTACTGTGAATATTCAAGACAAAAATGGGTTTTCCTTTCTCCGGTGACTTGAGGTTTTAGGTTTTTGACTTTATCTTTGTGGTTTGTGGTTTGAGTATATTTATCATTGGACACCTAGATTGGTTTTCTCATATGATATAGAAGCCCACATTGCAATTGCAATTGGCAGCCCGCAATAGGCGGCGTCGAGCCCGGCCCCGGCTCCGTTGACTTAAATAATCAACCTTTGGTTTTTTGTGCCAAGCCTGTTGTAAAAAATGCGGAAGAAGGGCCGCACCCCGCAACCAACCACCTGGGCCTCGGTAGCGATATTTATGTTTCTAACTGGACCCTGCAGCAGTTTCAGGCAAGCGTTTACCTGATCGATCCATTGCAGCAGCGGTTGCGGGGTGTTTGCGTAGATGATAAGCACAACACTGACAAGGCGAGGATGATCCCTTTCCGGGGTATGCGATAGGAAGATCTACTCTAGGTGGGAGAAAAAAGGATCAATGCGGGTGCGTGCGGTTGCTGGAATTGTTGTTCTGCTCTAGCTATGCGCTGTGTGGTCGACTTTCTAAGTATTATTAGGAGCCGTGCGTACTCGAACCTGGGCATCCTAAACCGGCTGGGAGCCGTGTAAAGCAATATGCCAGGAAGTATTTAAATAGTGAAAGGGCTGCAACCCCCGCTAGTATGTGATGCTATCCCTCTGTCTAACTATCGATGTTGACGTTCCCTCGTGTATGTAGGCGCCAGAAGCTACAGCATACCTCGATAAATTATTTGCCAAAGTTTGATTTAGATCAAGAGTTCTATTATAGTAGAACTAGTAGAATGTCTCGGCAGATCAAGGGGTAGGTACGCAGAGACCCAACCATGCAGAACTTTCTTCCGAGTGATATTTCGTGATTCACCCCTGCTGTTTTTTACACAGGTATTTGCGGTTTGTGGCCTCAAGCGGCCTTAGGGTACTGGTAAGCTCCGAAATTCTACTATACTTAGGATATAAGTTGTCAGGAAAGCTCATTCTCTCTCATAATTGAGGGCCAGCGTCAGGTCTCTTATTATGTAGCAGTACGTCAGCAATTTCGCGTTCTATGACAACGAAGAATGTTTATGATCAGCCTTATAGTACGCAGTATGGTTCACAAGGACAGGTTACCTTGTGTCTCACCTCGAGGGATACCCAAACATGTCGATCAATGTGCCTTGATACATATCAGTGCCCTCCTCGACCCGAGGAAGACCGAAGAAATTCGGGGCATACGTACACATATTCCAGATACGTATAGTCGAGGCAAACCCCCCCTTCGAGGCGGAGGAAACTTGGTGCATTAATTCTGGCCTCCCTGTAACGATGTGTCTCACGGAATATACCACAATTCCTGAGGTGATGGCTATATCTCACGCGTCAACCACGGCTTTTCGAGCTTCGGCTTTGTCCCATGAGCTCAAAATAGCTTGTCAGCAGGAGCGTACGGTGGGAATGGTAGCGTGGGCAGAGCAGGCGCTTGTAGGCCTTGCGTGTTTGAGTCCTCTATTTCAGGTGCTGGGTGGATAGGGTTTCGTTGTGGCCCCAGTACTTCTTATGGGTAGGTTGAGAGATACGTTGCAAGATGAGAATAAGGCTACGTGACATAAAGTAGATGGTAAGATGGGTTAACAACAAAAACAACAATAAGAAAACCGTAAGTTACGTGTCATAGTACTTACATGTATAGCTAAGCTTTTTACGCGCAGCTATCGCTCATTAATCATAAGCCCCCGCGCCTACGTGTGGTGGGGGTGTTAGTGCTATCTATGAGGCCGCTTGAGGATCTCAGGGAACCTCATTCTCATGGGGCCTTATCCTTGGTTCAGGCAGGTAGGTACCCTTTTTTGTGAGGGAAGGGGTTTCTTCTAGTGGTAGTGTGGGCTTTTATTGTGGTATATCAAACAGACCCGTAGAAAACCAAAGCCAGGGATATCCAGATTAGCACCGCGTTGATACAAAGAGAGAAGCTGGTAATAATAACAATAGCTTATAGCAAAAGATCTACGTTGTCATATAGGCCATCAGGTCAAATAAAATGGAGTACTGCGTATATATTCGTAATTCTAGAGTAATCCGCAGTATTATGTCGTGTAGACCCCAAAATCCCTTTTCCATACTAATCAAGCGTTTCTTACATTCCCAATGCATTGTTATTAACTTATTAGCTTGATTACCCACTTACATTTAGTTCTCCATCACAATCCGGCCTGTTGGCCTTGGGATAATTGGTGCTCGCAAGGTCCCACCCGTAAGGTTAAGCCACTAACCCATAGTCTAGATCTGCTGTCGCAAATGACTCGGCTTTTCTAATTAGTTAATTACTAAATAAACTACCCTCGCCAAGAATATGGGATAGAGTGTATTTCAATCATTGTCCTACGCTTACTACCCGCATCATGCTAAACCACATTGAATATCAAATTTTATCTATAAGCCCCCCAATGTGATTGCAGTATTTTTTTTTAAGTATAACTACGCCGAGCATCCAATTTATACCCATAAACCCTCGATGTTTAAAGAATATAAGAGATAATAATAATCGCTCTTGGATGGTATTATTGGCTTCGAAGTGGAGCTGCATGTATCTGGTGCTTGGCTGTTGGTGTCGAGTGCGAGTGATGGGCTATGATCCGGATTGGGATCAATTTCAGTTTATATACTAGATATACTCGAGTGGTTAGCTGGTCTCTGGTGGTCTCTTATATATAAGATGTGACTGGTAGGGTGTGGAGGATTGCTAGGAAAGTGGTCCTAAAGTATTTGTGGGCTGAGTGAGGGTATCATTTAGTATTTAACTGCAGAATTCTTATCAATGGACTATTAATTGTGGTCACTCATTGCAGTGATAGATTTCCTATATAACAATTGCATCGTTAAACATTGCCATAACTGTAAGGTTGCATGCAATCAATGAATTAAACCAAAAAAAAAATTGCATCGTTAAACATTTCATTATGTTCCAAACTATCTGTAATTTAGAGGTGGTTTGGCCTCTAAACTGTTACTATAAAGAGGAGCTTTCGCTCCCCCTCCTTTTTTCTGCTCATCAGTTGATACAGTACATTCTCTAAGTTCTCGGTTCTTCACTTTGCTTCACAAGGATCATCTCCGAAAACATGGGCTACTACATGTGCCCTCTTTTGTTTGAAAATTATTACTACATGTACTTCTACAACTACAATTTTATCACATTGAACTATAGTAAAGAAAGCGAGATTTTTTTTGATTCAATACTTTACAAAGCCACATGTAAGCTTACGCCGTCCATTAGCCCACTCTTGAGGTCCGCACCTAAACACTCGAATTCTTCAAAGTATGCCCCTTTTCCTTCATCACATCCTCCAAATACTTACTCCTCATCTTCACCAGCGGCTCCTCCTCCATCGGCGACCCAAACTTGATCTTCCCCGCATGCACCACCTCATCATCGACCTTATCCAACCCCGCCACACACCTCCTCACATAACTCGTGATCATCGCCAGCAACTCCACATCCACGTCCGGATCCGCATCAAACACATTCCTCCAGATCGCCCCCGCCAGCACCGCATCCCCCTTCACCAGCCCCTCATCATACCCCGCAATCATACCACGGTACTGCGCATACAGGTCCTTGAGGTACTTCTTCCTCTGCCCGCCGGACGTCAGCTTGTAGTCCTGTATCATCTTGCCCTCGCTGTCGTAAAAGAAGTGGTCCACAAAGTGCTGCTGCCACGTCTGCACGTTCTCTGGCTCGAAGGCGCGGAACCGCACGACGAGCATCCACATGTGCAGCACCGTGACCTGCGCCCAGGCGACGAAGGTGGGCTTGCGCTTGCACGTCCCGTACCAGAATTGCGCGGATTGGGAGAGCTCGGCGCCCTCGATGTAGGCGGCTTGTGCGACGCACTCGTTGTAGAGCTCTTGCGTGACGCCGTAGGCGACGTAGGTCTCGGTGGTGCTGGGCATGAGTGAGCGGACGGACTCGGTCAGGCGTTTGACGACGCCAGGTGTGTCGGGTGGGGGGGGATTGGCGGCTTGTGGGTCTTCGGCGGTGTTGAGTTGTTTGGAGGGGATGGCGGGGGCGGCATCGGCGGCGGTGGTGGCGTGGCGGAGGGTAAGCGTGAGCGGGAGAGGGGTGCGGAGGGTGAGGGGGACGGTGTGCTTGGTGAGTGCTCGGGGCGCCTGGGAGCTGTTAGTATGCTAGCATTGAGGAGGGTAATTGTGAATTGGGAATTGGGATGGTGATAAAGACATACCGACCGGGCGAGCATTCTCAGACAGTTCTGGGAAGCCATTATTGTTTTTTTTTATTACCGTATTAGATGCAATGTATTAGGGTATGTGATAGCCAGACAGGACAGTCAAGATGCACGGTGCCAGAGTCGATATCCCAACGTCTCACTCGTCGTTGTCCAGAGATATGAAAGGCCGAGAGAAGAGAGACCCGACTTCTTTCTATGCTGCCAACTACGCCCACCCGCACCGATGTCATCCCTCCCCACACCCACACCCACACCCACACCCACACACACACAGCCCAGCCAACCGGTGACTTCACCGCTCGCTTCTTTCTCCATGGCAACAGCAGCAAACGAAACGAACTAAACTCAAACTAAGCGACGACAGAAGCGAGCAAATGATGAAGTAACCAGCCAGCACGCCCGCCCGCCCGATCGGGGTGGTGGTGTGTGCTCTCCCAATCATTGACCCTCTCTCCTCTGCTCTCCTCTGTTCTCCTCTCCTCTTCTCTTCTGCACCGGCAATGATATCTCCAGCATGTAAAAAATTTCACTGTCTGGCGGAAAATAGATTTTCCGAGACAGGCGCACGTGATGTGAGGCTCTTCATGCAAGGGCTCTGCTCCCCCATCGTGCACGGACACTCTCGGAGCTCTATCAAAAACTCTTAGACTTTTTTTGCATGTCAAAACCGGGTGCTATTCGACAATAAAAAACATTGGAAAAAATAGAAAATAAACCCCAAAGAGAAAAAGAAAAGAAAAGAAAACCAAACGCCTCGTCGTCAATTCATAATTTACCTAGCTAGCTAGTAGAAAGCTAGGAACCCGGCCGACCCCCGAAGATACAACTACGACTACCCGCTCGCAGAGGAAGCAGCAGCGGCGCCGCCGATAACTGCCTTCTCCCTGATGGTCTCCACTATAGGCGTCAACTCGCACACGTACTGCGGATCCCTCATCAATCCCGGCACCTCCTCCGGCGAGCGCCCATACATTTTCTACCACCCCCCGCAACGCATCAGCACTACTCACCATCCGGACACAACCCCCACCACCAAAGCCCCACCAAGAGCAAAGAGAGAGAAAAACTCACATTCCGCACATTCGCATACGTCTCCTCCCTCGCCTGATACTCCCTCAGCACCTCTCCCGTCGCAAACTCGACAAACACCCTCGTGTCGCGTACACGTACTAGCACGCCGTCGAGCCGAAGGTAGAAGCGCGAGAGCACAAAGAGGCGCTCGGGGTGCACGCGGATCTTGACGCTTAGGATGGCGATGCCGTTGTCCGCCAGCTCGTCCTCGTACAGCACAATCTCGTCAAACAGCAGGATGGGGTCCGGCCGCTTGAGACGCTCGAAGGGTATCATCTCCTCTGTTGGCGCGAATTGCGGGGTTGCGGTCTCCTATACACACACACGGTAGCGGTAGGATTAGCTCCCTCCTCCTCATCCTCCTGTACCTAGCTAGCTAGCTGTAGAGTCCGGGGTTCGAGGTTCAGAAAACGTACCGGCACGCTCCCCCTATAAGCCGTGGTGTACGTCCAATCAAACGGCTTCACCACCTCCCTGATATCCTCATGCACGCGCTCCCTCATCTTTGTCCAGCTCTCGCTGTATGCAACCTTCAGCATGCTCTCGCCCGTCTTGTCGACGCCGCGGAGTGCGTCGAGCGCATTGAACGTGACCCCCCACCCGCTGGCGTCGTGCGCGATGCGCACGCCGTTGTGGCCAAAGATCATCTCGGGCGGTGCGATGCCGAGCGTCTGTGTCATGGCATCAATCTCGCCGGACTTGAGGATAGGCAGCTTGTGCGTGGTGATGGTCCAGCCGGCGATGGTGGTGGTCTTGCCTTGGTCAGTGGTGGTGGAGAGGGGGGTGTAGTATGACATGGTTGGGGGTACTGTGGGGTGAGTAGGTGAGTGAGTGGGTGAGTGAGTGAGTGGTAAAGTTGGTGAGTGAGTGGTGAGGATGGTGGTGGTGGTTGGTGGGTGGTGAGGATGTTGGTGGGGGAGGCTCTGTGAGGGGTTGCAGACAGAGAGAGATAACCCTGTACCTTTCAGGAACCGAACGCGTGAAGGTGACAACGCGAGCCCCTAAAGTAGCTACGGAATAACGAGGCGTGTGAGTTTCCCCGCGGAATTCAATTCTACAGAACGGGCAACTGTCATGCATGGAGACCTCAACCCAGAGAGAGTGTGAGGGGTTGAGTGAATTTGTTTATGTTGTACGTACAGACAAGCATTAGTGCGTAATATTAGCAGTGCCCTAACCAATTGTCATGACACCACCCACCCAGCAGAGGGTAAGTAACCTGAGAGAGAAAGAAAGAGAGAGAGAGAAAGACAAGTGCCAACTCCAAGTTCCCCGCCCGCCCTAGGATACCTAGAAGGAGAAGAAGGAGAGCGGGGGGTGGGGCGGGGAACTCCTGTCTAGGCCTCCCCAACTATTAACGAGAGAGGCCAAAGAGGATGAAGAATTAAAAAAGAACCGATAGTTTAAGAAAACAGTAAGTAGAAAAAAAGTTATAATACAGTTACGAAAAAAAAAAGAAAGAAAAAAGGTCGGAAAATCCATAAGGATCAAGAATGCACCACAGGTCGGGTCAGAGTGGGTATAATAAGAAGAAGCAGAGCTAGCTAGCTACACAGTAGCCCGCCAGCTAAGATACACCCTCTCTCCACAAAACCTGTGCACACGAGACGAACTATTTTATAAGTATACAATCCCACCCCCAGGTGCAGGAAGAAGCCGTGGGGAAGAAAAAAGGGAGGGGCAGAAAGCAAAGTCGCACCCATGAAAGACAAGAACGATATAGCAAAAAAAAAAAAAAAAGTAAAGAAGAGGAATTTAAAAGAAAAAAACCGGACCCCAACACCGATCAAGACATTAAACACGCCATCCAGAAAAAAAACTAGACTACCTGATAACTGCATCTTCCAATTTGCTTCGTTTTCCGCCTCGTCTCTTCAATGCGTCGAATACACCATCGATATCTTCCATCTCATCTTCGACTTGTTTTCTCTTTCTTCTGTTGGATTCAGCTGGAGCTGGGTTATATGCTCCCCTTCTCTTAGCCCTTACGGCCTCTGCTGCTGCTGTTTCCTCTTCCATCTTCCGTAGCTCCTTTCTGTGTTCAGAAGCTGTTACGTAGCGTTGTATGAGCCGGTGGTCATCGATTTGCTCCTATAATATGTTAGCGGCCCATTAAAGGAATAATGCGAGGAGAAGAATATTACCTCGGAGTCGTTCTTGCGCTTCACAGTTTTTGGCCACACCAAGCCGTAGATCTTACTGTGCCTTTCACAGCGTTTGCATGCTCTCGGCACATACCATTTATCGTCGTGTACGAAAGCTTTCTTGCAGTCGCTACATACACACTTGGTGCCTTCGTTGTTGAGATGCCAAGACAGATAATCCCCAGGGACGCGGTTGAGCGGTGGTTCTATGACCGCCGGCGGGACCGCAGGGAGCGAAGTACGCCGAGGTGCTGGAAGTGAAGAACGTCGGGGTTTCGGTGTGCTGGTCGGTGGCTTGGGCTTCTTGGCCTTTTTCGCAGATTTGGACCTTATCAATTTTGTCTTTTTCCGTGGCTTTTTGGTGGTGGAATGCGGAGCTGACATTGTGAGAATCGAATCGTCGATTTCAGAATCAGCAATATCGGTGAATTCCGACAACTCCGAGTCTGATTCATAGATTGTAGGCTGCGTCTGGGGGGCGGGTGCAACGGTCATCTCAGACAGTGGAGCTGAGAGTCCAAAGCTAAGAGTAAAATCCGGCGAGATTGATTTGACTGTGACAGACTCGTGAATCTCGTCGTCGGGAATGGTGGAATCCATCGATCCTTCCCTTTCAGTCTCAGTCCTTTCGTATCCGGCCATATCCTCCTCGTCTTTGATAGGGGTATCTCCATCCAAGTCCTTTGTTGCATCTCCATCCACCACTCCCGGCAAGGCTAGTAACGATTCTGCAACCTTCTCGGCTACTTCAACTTCCGCCTCAACCTCCTTTGCCACCTCTATCTCAGCTGGCGTAGCAGTTTCCGTTTTTGGTGGTGTAGCAGGGCCCTCCTCGGGTCCAGGACTGTGGCTACCACCTGGCGTACCCAACCTCCCTGCTACACTCGGTGCCTCACTCGCAGACACAGATGTCCCACGGTCACTATCTGGTGGGCTCAATACACCTCCTTTACTCTTCCTTCTCCTCCTATCCGGAACTTCCAGGCTTGTCATAGACGCACGCTGCTTCCTCGAAGATTGTCGAGTCACAATCGCACCGGGCACCAAGCTGTCGATATCGATCTCCTCCTCCTCTTCGCCACCAGATGGCGAGCCCGAGGCCCACCCATTCCTCATCTGCACTTCACATGTCCTGCACAAGCACTCCCTGTTCCCAACACCAAAATAATCATCCGCGTAGTTTACTGTAATCTCCTCGCCCAGCTCGATATCCCGCTCAACAATCAGTGTGACATTTTCCTTATTTGTTGTGACAAATTTCGCGTTCGGCTCACAGTCGTGATTTACAAAACGGGCCGGTCCTAGAAGAAGTGACATGCCTCCTACTCGGGAAGAATAGATAATGCTGAAGTCGGCCTGTGAACCCGCAAACTCATCCTCCTCGCTGGGGGTCATGGGGACCATAGCACCCGTGAGATATTTTATAGTGTCGCCACGGTGGAAGATACGTCGAGCGATGATGCAGGCTTCCGGTGCAAGTGGATTGTAGCGATTTGTAGAGCCAACCTCGAAAGGCGAGTCGGAGGCATACATGGAGAGGTATCGGCGGGCATGTCTATATAGTAATATATTTGTCAATTGAACTGTCCCAAATATGGGAGCAGAGGCATGGTAGAAGCGTACTTCATAAAATCGGCCTCAGCATTCGGATTCTTGTAGAGAACTTTATTCAGGAACTGCTTCACTCCGTTAAGCCTATTCCACGGTTCCTCCCTGTCAGTCCTGTCAATCTTTCCGGACAAGATGCGACTCACTCCATAAGCTTGTTCAACGCCCCCGATGTATTCTTATTCCGCACCACCTCACACACGATAATATTAACCACGTCATCCGTCTTTATACCCCGATTCGGGTGGTAGCTATGCTTCATTTTACGGATCTTTGTCCAGTAGTAGACCTATAAAATGAGAGGAGTATCATGTCAACAAACCTGGATTACCACCCCAAGCGCAAAAGGTGAGGATGGAAGAAAATGTATGTACTTACGCGATCGACAAGCGCATCTGTCAATAAATCGTCAAACTCAGCGAGCTGGCTGAGAGTTAACTGGTACTTTGCAGGGCGCGCCATTTGAGCAGACAGCGCTCTTTGACAGGAGGGGTATGAAGTTAGTGTATATGCGTGTATGTACGTCTGTATGATGTATGTATGTATGTGAATGTGTTTATTTGGTATGTATACGATGTGTATATGGTGTGTGAGTCGGAATGAAAAAAATAAGAAAGAGTGGTCGAGCGTAAGTGAGAGAGGGTGGGATTCAGGAGTAAATGGAAAGGGAGATATGATACAGGAACAGGTTTGGCCAGTCGAGGAGGGTGGAAGGGATGTAAGGAGGGAAGGAAGAGGGATGGATACAGTATGTATGGACGGATGGAGAGTCAGGACCGCACGCCGCTATGCATGTATCGTATTTACCTCCTCCACTCCCTTCACTTAATCACTCGCTAGCTCGCTTCACTTTCTCGCAACCTCACGATCCCACGATCTCAGCCCTTCAGTCTCACTCGTTCCCACTCTCACCTAGCTTACTCCGCTGGAACGCAAGAAGTAAAAGCGAGATAGCGGCCCTGGAGAGAGACAGATAAAGATCAAAAAGTTAAAAGACGAGAGACACGCGCCGACAAAACCAAAGCCAAACCACGCACCACCTCAAGCCAAGTAAAGCAACGCGGTGGAAGACCGGAAGAACAAAAATATAAATGCATGCATGACAGGGGCCCCACGGATGGAATGAATGGGGAACGGTAATCGAGATCTGCAGATTGGACAAGAGGAGCAGGAAGTGAGCAAACAAGGCCTCAGTAGGGACTTGGATTCTGGATTGCGCAAAGAAAAGAAAGGAAAGAGGGAATAGGTATCCAATCTATCACGCTTCGCCCACGAAGGGAAGCCAGATGCTCTCCCTCTCTTACTCGGTTGGAATCCGTGCCTGCCAGGATGCACGATGGTTGCTACGCCCTTGATCTACATGACGACTTTCTTCCCCACCACTACCTCCACACAGTAACCATCACCTCAATCATAGCCAGTGAACAACCACCGCATCGCAGGAAAGCAAGGCGGCTATGGTGTGGTACAAAGCCCATTTGTGGCTGTCGAAATGGAATCGAATGATTATCTGTCCATGTGTTTTATTTGCCGCAACTCGTTCATTTATCCTGGATAACTACTCGACAGTCCGGCGATCGAAATCCTCTTTGTGTGTTTCGAGAGTGCCCCGCGCTTTTTCCTGAACCTTATGGATCTATCCTATGCCTTGTGTTGCGCTCATCTCTCATAACCGTGTTGGTCACGAGAGTGTTTATAGACGACTCCTTAGCCGCGGATGTCATCCTAATACCGACTGTTGCCCCCTGCGGCTCTTGCCGGTGGCGTCCTCACGGTCCAATTCATCATTTCCGGGTCCAGTTGCAGCAGACCCTAAGATTCTAGCAACCGAGAAGTTCGAAGGTGTGTGGGGAACGGAGGGAAAGGGCTCAATAGTTGTGGATTATATTGAGGGGTTTAGGGGAGAGTTTCGGCAGTAGGTACGCGTACCCTATGGATCCCCGTAGAAATGAAAACACCGCACTATATCATATATATGCGGTGCGCTCACCCGCATACTCTGTATGTATCACTGCGATTATATTCGCTTCTAGAGGGTCGGCGAGAACCTCAGTGTACTCCGGTCGACATGTATGCGGCGATCTCAGCCTGAGACACCCGAAGTCTCGTCCGTCGCTAGCTCCACAAAGCACAAAACTACCCTATAAGTATTACCACCCTCAATTTTAGTGAAAATAGGCCTTCCCTATCGTTCTCTACTCGATAGAAAAACAAATCGAAATTTCCTGTTTCACGAGTGACAGACCATGACGCGAGTGCTACCTCATGATTCTGACCCTGAAAGGGCATAGTCTGTTCTTATACAAAAGGACCACTGAGATCTGAGTCAGGGTTGTTGCATCCGCAGTGGTGCATGGAATAGAGAGTGAAATGAAATAAATATGAATTCATGTCCTCTAACCTGGTCTTGTTCTTGTACTTCAAGGCTCTGAAGATTTGGGCGTTAGAACGAGTGCTCTTTAATATCCATATAGTCGACACCCAATTAGGATATTGAGGTTCATGAAGTAAGAAGAACATAAAATACTTGAAGATTTAAGGCAATCACTAGAGGACATGGTTATTATAAGAATAGGAGCCCACAGGTAATATGAAGGTATCACTGGAACCATGATTTCTATACTTGTCCCAGGGCTCTTAGTAAATCTATAGCATCATAAAGCAGGATTATTAGCACAAAGTTGTGACACCGATCTTGCTATCTTCCAACCTTGCTCATCTAGCCCGCTGATACCCTTGCACGTGACCTTGAGGTTAACGTCGTCCACAGCACTCTAACCGCATCCGGTAACGTCATACAGAAACTTTGAATCTCCACCATCATCTCGCAAAGTTCCGCCCGAACCTCGCTCCAACGAAATCCTCGAGCGCAGCTATTGAAGATGTTCGCAACCAGGCCCTTGGGCATGATCCAATTGAAGGCACGTGTTTTCCCCTTCCTAAGTCGGGCACCAGATCTGACCTACCTTCTCTTCACAGTCGATGCTCACATGCATCGACAATTCCGGCGCCGCACTGGTCGAATGCGCACAAGTACTGAAGCGGAAGAAGCCTGCTGGCATTGGTATCTCTCTCTTCGCACAACGCATTCTACTACGTTACCTAACAACGCCCAGGTGACAAGATTGTCGTGGTTATCCAGAAACAGCGGTCCCTCGGGCACGACTTGTCTGCAGCTGCACAGGCGGCTGTCAAGGTTAGGCGTGGAGATGTGTGCCATGCGGTTGTCGTGAGGACAAAGAAGAAGTACAGGAGACCGGACGGGAGCTACATTCGCTTTGACGATAATGCCTGCGTGTTGGTCAATAAGAGCGGGGATCCTTTGGGTACAAGGCTGAACAGTGGGCTCATCCTTTTCTTTTCTTTTGGAAGTCAGAGAGAGTGGGAGCTTGAGTGGGAGCTAACTAATCACGTGCATATAGGTGTCGTTGGAGAGGAGCTTAGGCGTAAGAAGTGGTCAAAGATCTTGTCTTTGGCTCCAATGAACGTATAGGTTATTTTTCTACTATTCTCATGCCACCATTGTACAGCATTCAACTCAGCAAAATGAATTTATTTGCATATCCGACCATTTTGCATTGCAATCTATTATAGAGTCTCTTCTTGTCATATCAGAAGTTTTCCATACGCCACCCTTGTATTAAATCATAAATCAATCAAAGTCCCAATAAAATCCGATAAAGGAAGCAACAACCCAAATGTCCTACCCGCCCATTCCTTTGCCCAGCCATATTATGTGCAAGTACTCATCCCACCGATGAAATATAAAAAATAATAAAAATAATAAAATAAAAAACGCCTATTTCCCGTAGTTCTCGTGAATCTGTCCACAAGTGCAGCACACATGGAACAACCTCTATGTCATCATTAGCACACTATTTTCCAATACCCATAGAATACATCATCAAAAAACGTACCATCTTCGTGTCCTCTGTTCTCTGCTGACTCTGGAAGAATACCGCCTCGGTCTCGTTGCAGTAGGGGCAGGCCTTGTTCGCTCTCGGTAATGTTGGGTCACTTCCGACATCCGTAGTGACACCAGCAGTCTCACCGGCTGATCCTCCAAGGACGTTGCGGAAGACACAGTAGTTGGACGCGGCCTCAGTCGCCTGGCAGGTACGGCAACGGTAAAGTAGTGTGTTGTTTAGACGGTCCTCGTGCGGGTAGAGCATGTTACTACTATAGGGGAGTCAATAAGGAGCTCCTAGAAATGCTTGTGAGGAAGATATATGTACCATTCGCGACAGAAACGGAAGGCGACCTTCTCATGACGCGCTTTGCGAGTCTCAGGAGCAGGAGTTCCGGTTTCAGACATGTCTATTTAGATTTATAAGAGAGTGAAATTGGTTGTGAGGTTTAGAAAAGAGTGGTTTAGGGTGTATATAATGGTTGGTGGAGAAACGAAGGTGCACGAGTGAGAGTTCACGGCTTGAGATGGAGTGATAGAAGATGGGAGATCGATGAGGAAGAGGATCAATGACCAGCAGACTCGGAAGCTTAAGCCTCACCCATCCATTCAATGTGGCTTGGCGAACCACAACCCACAATGTGGCTTAGTCACCGGCATTAGCCTCACCACGAAAAGTTTCAACGGCGTCTTCAACTCTCTCCGACCCACGTCAATTCCACTATCCTACACACACCCTGGTCCGTCTCCTGCGCAAAAGGAAACATCATCATACACAATGGCTCTCGCATCCAGGTGCTGTGCACGTCTCGCCCGTTCTGCCGTCGCTTCCCCATCTCTCAGACTCGCACCTTTCGCTGCGGCGCCTCGGCGATGGAACTCTACCGCCTCTGCTGATCCCAAGATCGCTGGCATTGTAGATCAGATTTCCGGTCTGACACTGTTGGAGACCGCTGACCTGGTCTCCTTGTTGAAGGTGCGCACTTTCACTGTCAATTGAGGCCTGCGAGGCCCTTTTCGATATCCCCCCACATCATCATATATATGCCCCACCTTCCACCCCGCCAAGGTTGTTTCGAATTGTTGCTGTTATTGACACAACTTCCGCCACTACAGACTCGCCTCAACATCCCCGACGTTGCACTTCAGTCTTTCGCACCAGCGGCTGGTGCGGCTGCTCCTGCTGCCGCCGCGCCAGAGGAGGCCGCTGAGGAGCCGGTCCTGGAGAAGACCATGTTCAATCTGAAGCTCCAGTCGTTCGACGCCGCAGCGAAACCTAAGATCATCAAGGAGGTTAAGTCTCTCCTCGGCCTGTCACTGGTCGAGTCGAAGAAGTTTGTCGAGTCCGTGCCAAAGATGCTGAAGGAGGGACTTGTCAAGGAGGAGGCCGAGAAGATAGCGAAGACATTGAAGGATCTTGGTGCTGTCGCGATTTTGGAGTAAGGGAACGAAGAGATGTTTATTGACAGGATTTGGGTGTAAATATACATTTTAGAAACAGCAAACTCCGTCATCAAAAGTCGGGCATACCGTTCTTGGGCCCAATTGTACAAAATCTTTCCCCCAAGGTTTTTTAATGCTCAGTATTCATTCCGTCCCTTAAGTTTGAATCTTACTGTACAGGTAGTTATAAAAATATAGAAGATATGAAGAAGTAAGAGATGTAAAGTTACAAACTACCCTAGCCTAGAACGCCACACAACCCAAAGGTCCCTCAGTACATGTAGCTACATGTAAGATGTAGTAATAGCAGTTGGGAACAATAAGAAAAACCCAAAATAACGAACAAGTCATCATCATTATCGAATGCCCCTTAGGATATCCTCAAGACACCTCATGACGTATTCTCTCCTCAATGAATGGCGGGTTGCAAGTCCTAGTTTGTCTAGGCGATTGAAGAAGCCAATGTCTGGTTCTCTTCGCGCATGATCTCGTAGTCGTCTGGATTCAGGTCGCTTGTTTGGTCCCACGCCTTTTCGAATTCTGGGTTGTGGCCTTCCCACTCCGGGTATCCGACCGCCCAGATGTTCTCGCGCAGACGTTTATGCTGCACAATTTCAGTCAGTGGCCAGCAATAACCCACGAATTTCCACCCGGAAGAAAGACTTACACGCTCTCGATCTTCTTCCATTCGCTGTTGGATGATCGCATCGTCGAACTTCCTCTTCGTGGCCGGACCCCTGCCCTCGCCGCCAGGTTCCTCGTCGTCGTCATCGTAGATACTTTCGGCCGGAGATGCGATTGCAGCCCTATCGTTTCTCAACGGCTTAGCCAATTCCAAGATATAAAGACACAAGGAAACAAGCAAGAGACATACTTATGTTCAGCCTCCCTCTCCGACAACATCTCGCCCACTTCCTGCATCATACTATTCTCCACGACTCCCTTATTCCCTAGGCTCTGAAGAATCTACCAACTCTGTCAGTATACCTCCTTGCGCGATTCCCATAAAGAAATAACAAACCTTCCTAACAGTTCCCACATTTGCGGCGCCCTCCGGATCGTTTGGAACAACGGTATCGACAATCTGTATGAGATCTCTCTGGATCATCTTCACGTAACCCCGGTACTCAGTCTTCATGCTCATATCACAAAGAACCTCAATGAAGTAGAGCATATTGACGCGGGTGTTCATAGTGCACTCCTCCTAGCTTCCAATTAACTCCTAGTAACTTCATAATTAACAAAGATTGGGTGGAAAATAACATACAGATTGAAGTTGCTCTAAAATGACACTGAATAGGTCCTCGTCGAGCTCTTTGTTTTTCAGCGCGAATTGCGCGCATTGTTTCGACGCGCCGGCAGAAGCATTAAGGCGCGAAAGGAGGCGTGTAAACTGAAGACGACAGTTGAAAGGATCATCGGTGGACGCCATGGTAAAATCAAAGCTACTACCAGTTGTTTCGTTGCAGAGCTGTTGGCTCCCAGGCTCTCCGTGATGTTTAGGATCTTCGGACATGTTGCGCTAAGGGTTAGGGTATATGCTTATCTGATAAGGGCTATTGAATACCGCCTAGGGTGTTGTAATCTGGTTTAGGATGTTGTAATCTGGTTTGATGACTTTTGTGGAGCTTTGTGGTTATAAGGGGGGTGAGACTTCTTTTTGGACCTTACAGTTAGGCTGGGTGGGAGGGCATTAGGGTACGGGCTTACTTGTGTCGAGCACCGCATTCCGTGGCCTTGCCATACAATGGGATGTAGGATCTAGACGTTACTTACATGTCCTCGTGCTTCCGTAACATACTTGAGTGTTTGAAAGAGCTGAAACTCTGAATTACGGGAGGTATTAGGTTTTAGTATGAGCAAGAATATACCAAATAATTCCGTCGTATCTAGATGGACCCAGCTATATGAATATCTCAACTAGACTATATCTCTATCTGGCAATTTCGCATCACCAAATGTGGTTCATATATGTGTAGATTCATGCGTGTTCTAGGTCAGTTGGATTTGGTCAATAATTGTAGCTACATCATTAAAATTTGGTTACTAACGTCAGGGGTGACCATAGAACAACACTGCTTAAAAAGGAGTAGATTTAGCTTTACATATCTTTGTGAAATGAGGGCTAGGGGATTCGTAGGTTTAATCAGAGGATTTTTAAATTTATATTCACCGCTTGTATGTCACTTTCAATTAAGCGGCTTCCGTCTGTTAGGACAGCACAAGACGATGTCGAAGTACACTTATTAAGTATACTTCAGTTCGAACTTTAGAGCTCGTTATTTTCCAACTAGGGTTTCTCTTGTATTCCAGCCCAATTTCTGAATAGCGATATCCAGTTCTACGCAATTGTCGGAGGGGAGTACACTCCCTACATCATTCATGAATGGCTTAGTTTGGAGTGAATGTTGAGCGAGTGATATCCTATGAACTGAATAAAAGGTGTGTGCCAGGTCATTGCTTCCAGCCAAGCCAATTAGCTTGCATTTACCTTTTGAAACAATCCCAAGGTCTGTCATATAACCTATTATGGATACACGTAATGATGTATATTCCGGCGACCAAATCTTACATGTACTCCGGATCTCACTAGAACTACATAACGCATGTAGTCTTGGAGGAAGGCGTCAACATCGAAATAGCATTCGTATAACCAAGGCAAAAATCGGAGACACTGATATTTCTTAACTACTCTCACCCTTAGCAGAAAACCGATGTAAACTACTTTTAATTCTACTTTTAAGAATCATCTAACCAAATCCAGATATGTATCTACGAAGATAAAGATTTGTCTAATCATAGCAGTATTGCTGAAGACAGATTCTTTGGGCGTACTACATGTAGCTGGTCACAATTGGATGTGGACGATGTAGTATTGTATTTCAAGATAGATCTAAAGATGGAATGCATGAAGCGCCCCTTTCACGAACCTAGTATAGTTACAGGTGCTTGGTGGGCTAGCTTATGGGGAGTAGTAGATGTACTATTTTGTGAAGCCTTTCATAGTTTTCCAGGCTGATGGTTTTGAGAGTTCTAAGGAATGGTATGGAAGAAGGTGTATGTAACTATAGGCCCCATCTCATTGTATTCGGTACTTGATTGTTCTTTTTACGAAACTAAATCTACGTAGGCCGAGACCAACAACTAGAAGTATACAGATCTAAATATATTGGACAATGGCCCTGGGCTACCAATTACTAGAAATAGGGAGTATTGACTAGAAAATGCTTTATGTTCTAAATAGTTGCTCATTATCTCCGGGATATGTGCACAAGGAGGGGCGTCTTCAAAAGTTGGTCCCTTTTAGAATGGCATCCAGTATTTTCAGATTCAACTGACTATTGCTCCTTAAATTGGTACGTACATACATATTTGCTATAGGTCTGTCCCAATCGTTTTTGGTACAAATATGTAGCCATTTTTGAGTTGGTCTCAGGGTTCGTGAAAGTGCGGCTAATAACATCATCGCCAGGACAAGAAAGAAGAAGATAAAAGAAATATGTACTCCCTTCTCGAAAAGAAAAAAGAAAATCCATCCATCCAGAAACAAACAAACAAAACTTTTGGCTGTACATGAATACAGGCATCGTTTTTTTTAAACGTCTTCATCACTAACGCTCTCGTCCTCATCACCACTGACTTCCTGGTTCTCCCTCTCCTTCTTGTCCATCAGAGCCTGCAACTCAGCGTCATCGTTCTCGGTGACCGCCTTCGGTGCCATTCGTACGACGCAACTTCCACCGGCTGCGGTGATGCTCTTCTCGATTTCGACAATAGCCTCCTCGAGGACCTGGATTCCAGTGTTCTTGTCCAAGCACTGCGAAGTCAAGACGTATAGCGGGGGAGAGACCAATTTGACTTTTACTGGAGTCTCGGGTGTGTTCTTGGCCTCCGCTTTTCGGAGGGCCTCCTTGACGGCGTCGATTCCCTCATATCCAAAGCATGTAACCTCGACATCGGCACGGACCTTAGTTGGCTGAGGTGTAAGACGCTTTGAAATGTAGGTAGTAAGCTCAGCGCGGACAGCGTCAGATGGGAATTCAATGCCTTCCCAGACATCAGGGTTGCTATTAAATTTATGTTAGGAGAATCTCTAAAAATACGTTAACAAGGGACCCTCACGTAATGGAGAACTTGAAGGCATCAACGGCATGTCCGTATTTTTTCATCAATGGCCAGCCGATGCTTTCGTAGAGCTGTTCGATAGGCTCTTTGGTTTTTTCGGCGACATGTCGCAGGATGGAGTGAACCATCTTTGACTTGTTGAATCGCTCTTCGCACTTGACGACATCCTCCGCGGAGACACGACGCTTGGAGAGATCGATGTAACCTTCATATCATCTTATGTGTTAGTGATTCCTTGCCATCTTTAGATTCAAAGGAAAATTTTTGATAGCATACCCTTCTCTTTGTCAACACGCAAGACAACAACGACTTCGTTCCGGCCAACACGGATAAGCTTCTGAATGGACCTGATACGTCTTCGAGAAAGCTCGCTGAGAAGAATCATTCCATCGATGTTGTCGTACTCAAGGAGCTTGACATAGGCACCCATCTCGGCGATCTATGACACATGAGTTCTCTAAACTATATAAGAGACAGCATCCAGTGAGAATAGAATCATACCTGCTTTACGTTGACCATAACATAGCTATCCACTTCTGGATACTTCTCGGGGTAGTAGCGCGAGTTTGTGAGCGACATGGTTTTCGGGTGAGAAAAGCGGATATGCGGATGTTCTTTGGTTTCTGGTTTCTAGTCTTCGAAGAATGATAACCACAGTATTTGCGACACAGATAGTCGAAGATGGTTGGGTTTAATGCTGTACTTGTTGTGGGCTAAATGTGATGTTTTGATGTTGGTTTGGGAGGGGCTCGGTGGGGGGGGTGGGGTGTGGTTGTTAAGAGGGAGTCATCCCACCATTGAATTTTTCTTTTTGGAGAGCCTCACTGTCATTCTAGCTTTAAACACAAACAGCTGAAAATAATGGAATACGTCACCGAAGGCTGGAATTGCACTTGTTCAAAACGCTTTATTTCTGACGGCTGTAGTTTGATGGCGAAGTCGGGAAGCGAAGTCGGGAAGCAAAGTGTCGCGATACATATATTCAGTCATGCGCGCAGTGTATTTACATGTAGTGTCCTACATTGTGAAATAACACAGTATCGTACCTACATGCACACACATGTGGGTTTACTATTTATCGACACATTACTTGAATTAGACATTGTTACCGCGGCGTAATAGCCTTGCCGAATATCTCACGTACTTTCCCCCAAGAAATGACAGACACTGCAGCCTATATTGTATTACATGCAGGCCTGTCGCTCATATATGTGCGGCAATGATTGAAGGACCCTAGGCCCTGATCCTTCTATTAACCTCGAAGCCTAGCCTCCGCCGTATACTCAAAATGAGACCGAACAAGAAAGAAAAGAAAAGAAATCACTTGCACTACAATTAAGGCTGCTTACATTAACCTAACGCTTTGCCAATCTCCTAACCTTAATTTCTGTATCCCCAATTCGTAGTTAACAAAGAGTTCTCAGCTTCAGAGTAATAGAACATACCAAGCTCTCCCGTCCATTCCTCGAGTTCTTTCACAACAGCTTCTAAATCGCCGACTCTCTCATCAAGCACATCGACCTGGTTCTTATACTTTTCGATATCCGCGTCTGTAGGCGCCTCTCATCAGATGCCCTTTCTTCGCCGTGAGCAAGGTTAATTACATTTTTGGGCTAAATACTCGCTATCAGTCTGCAGCCCTTCAGCCGCATTTGCCATAGCCTGGTACCGCTCCTTTGCGTGGAGGTTGATACGGTTCAGGAGGTCCAGATCTCCTATGGTTGCTTCTGTATCTGCGCGTATCACATTCTCCAGACTCTATCGAAAGTCAGCCCAGACCTGTGTACTGGGAAAGAAATCAGTAGCATACGGCTAGCACATCATTCACACTGTTTGAGGTTTTTTGAGCAGCCATGGGGGTAATATTGTTTATTGTTTGCGAGTAAGTACAGAGCATGCCCGAGGCTCGTGGCCCCCTGTCATGGTAACCCACATCCTTCTATCCATGCGCCAAGGCGCTCATCACCATGTGCCAAAATTTTCGACTGAAGAGTGGGAGAAATATTGAAAAATCTAAACCCCACCACCACCATCACCTTAATCCCAACGTCAACACTACCACCTCCAAACATAATTTCTATAGACCCTCTACATCAAGGAAAAGTCGTCTAAAGCCTATCCGAAATGTTCCGCCGTGCTCTCCTCCAGCAATCCCGTCAGTTCTCATCTAGGACATTTGCCGCCACGGCGAAGCCATCACTCTCAATCGTCCTTCCATCCATCCGACAATGCGCCCCTACACTATCCCGGGGCCGTTTTATGTCTACAGAGGCTTCATCAGAGAAGGCTGCTGAAGAGTCAAAGCCTGAAGCTGCCGCTGCCTCAAACGGTAACGGTAACGGAAACGTAGATCTTAGGGCTGAATTGGAGGCTTTAAAGAAGGAGCTGGAGAAGAAGACCGAGGAGGCAAAGGACTTTAAAGTAACTTCACCCAAGATCAATATCTCCGGAATCATATCAATTGGGCCCGTACTGATTCAATTGGAACCAGGATAAATTCACCCGCACCGTCGCCGACTTCCGTAACCTCCAGGACCGCACCGAGCGTGACAAGAAGGCTGCCAAGGACTACGCTATTCAAAAGTTCGCCAAAGACCTTGTTGACAGCGTCGACAACCTCGACCGTGCCCTCTCGGCTGTTCCCGAAGAGAGCCGAACTGACACCGAGAACAAGAAGGAGCTCGTGGATCTCTACAATGGGCTGAAGATGATAGAGAGCATTTTGTTGAGCACGCTGAAGAAGCATGGATTGGAGAAGATCGACCCTATTGGCGAGGTGTTCGACCCCAACAGACATGAAGCCATGTTCCAGGTACCGATGGCCGATAAGGAGCCTGGTTCGGTATTCCATGTGCAGCAAACTGGTTTCTTATTGAACGGGCGAACCATTAGGGTATGTTACCATCAACGAATTACTTCAGATTAGAGCTCGAACTAATGATTCTGGATATAGGCTGCCAAGGTCGGCGTTGTAGCAACCCCGTAAGAGGTTCTGCTGAAGTCTTACTTGCTTCTGGGGCGTATCTGATAGGTTGTGGAACCAAAAAATAATTTCTGGCTTTCTTTTCCTTTTTTCTTTTGTATATCTATACGGTTTCTTACTTCTCTTCTCTACTTCTGGTGTCTATATTGATGTAAAGTATAGTGTTCACATCTCCCTCCTCCTCTTAACTATTCATCTCACTAGGTAAAAGACATATTGTCGACTGTAAATATAAAACGGGTTATCATCGGTCAACTAGGGAAATCTCCATTGCTTGCTGAAAAGTGCAATACGTGCAGTGATCTCTTGTTCGAACAATTATACTGAGACCATGGACCGGCTATATGATCTAGCCCGGATAACTAACGGACTACGGCTTATTATGAGAGTCCTACAGTTGAGACTCAGGTTTTTTCTTTCTTTTTTTTTCTTCTTTTTGAGTTTATGGACAATCCACGGCCTGTATGAGAACTATAACTCTGGTGTGCTGAAGTACTACAACACAAACAATTCATAGACTTATGATGAATATGAGAAAACACATTCTTTCTCCTTTGTGGTCAACTCTCCCTACTCCGTCATGAAATATCACTCTGAACCTTGGTTTCTTTTTTCTTTCACTGCCTCCATCTTCTGCGCAGTTGTTCCCTCCCTTCTTCTAACTCCTTTTCTTAAGCTTGATATGCTTTTCTTCTAGTTTTCAAACTGTCATATTTAGCAATCTTTCTCTACTGGTGGGGTATATCCGGAGAGTATTCGTCGAGAAATTCGGACATTGAGGCCAGTTCAGTTAAATTCGGCATATGAAACATCTAAGGTCTCTGTTTTAAAGCTATTCAAATCATGATTTCAACGGCTTAAATCATATCCCCAATTCGGATTTTTATTTACAAAGGTTTTGTAATTTGACTACTTAGGTTAAGAAAGATACTAATCTGTTCTCAACATTCATCTACAATCTTGGACGAATACGATGTCAATTACAAGTTGGTTAAAAAGTTATATTAGGAAGCTACTTTGAAGGGGAAAAGCGTTCTCTTGAGCTGATGGTCTTAGTATCTACTACAGGGATGGCCAGTGGGATGTACGTTGTGGTAGATGATTATAGGGTTAGGTGTCCCCCAGTTCACCTTTTCCCCTCGCTCCCTTAAATATTACTTCCCGGGCTTTGACAGTCGTGTAGGCGAGGTAGTCTAGTGGTAGACGCCTTGTCCTACTACACCGCGTGGGTTGAGCCACGACCACCCGGAGACGTCTGGGTCCGGAGACGTCCGGAGGTTGTGGGTTCAACTCCGGGGGTGGGAGTGATGCTCGGGAAGTACGACACTTTCACGGGAAGCAGCGTTCAATATCTTGAATTAGAACCTGTGGACCGTGGGTGGCGTATAGTCGCAGCATCACTTTTTGTGTATTTATTGTCCGTTTTTGGTTTTCTTTGGAGGGGCATGATGAGGGCCTTAGTGGGGTATGTGTGATATCGATTGGAGCTCTCTCTAGCCGGCCTATAATTACAGATTTAACTACCTTAGCTTATCGCTCATTATTTGGCTAATCGGTCTCCAGGGCCGGACGTAGGATTAGGCCGGTCTAGCGAAACTCTTCCAGGCCATATTCTTTTATAGTATAGTAGATGTGGGTAGGTTGTGACCGGCGCAGTATCATAGTGGAAATCATTATTGTTCGACTTTCTATGTCTTGTGACCGTGAGGGGAATTCTAGAGCTAGATGATAGAGGGGATCTGGCTGTATTTGCGTTCCTCCAAAGGTACTCGAATCAGTTAAATAGGTTTGTTATAGTTATTTTTACAAAGTATTGTTAACAATTTCATTTTGAATCCATCGAGACACAGGGCTGGAGTAGAATATGACCAAATAGACTAAATATTTTCACAGGTTAGGATGAAGTATTACTCAATAGACATGAGCTATTATCTATGTTGTGTATGGTCCAATATTTCCTAGTAGATCTTATTCCACGGGTGAATATCAACTTATTATGAAGGTGGTGTATACTCCAAATATTAAGTGAAGGGATTTGTTCGATATACATATAGAGATGGTGCATATAGAATCCTATATAACAAAGGTAGCATTCTGGAGGAGGAATTTGCAATAAATTAAAGACATACATGACGGGACTCTCTAACTAGATCCGCTCATAGATCCTACTCACAGATCGAAGTTGACTGCAGGCTTGGTGTCGCAAATGGTGTTCCTCCGCTAGGTAATCTATACTCGACCGTAATCACGGATCGGACTTTGACATATATGAATACCTAGATCTATATAAGATGTCAATATAGGCATGTGGTCAAAAAAAAAAAAACACCGGCACCAACATCAATGCGGGATTAAGAATTCCTGCCTAGAAAATGATCTGTTCGGTATAACTACATAGTTGGTGTAGTAAATTTCACTTGGTTAAAGTGATCGTACGATCGAAAATTTGGGAATGTTTCATGAGGCAGCACAAACCAATTTATTTCAGTGTTATTCGGGGCAGGTTTAGGCAAGGTTTTATGTAGGCGATAAGCGCAGAGAGAGAGGCGCTTTACAGATAGCTTACAGCACGATTGTAGGCGAATTCCCGAAAAGTATCTCCGTCACTAATAAAGGAAAAACGGCAAGATACCTCCCAAATCCACGTAATATACATGATAATGTAGCCGCGCATTAGACGGGACGAGGTACATGTAATATGCTTACATGTATGTACGTGCACTTGATTTTCGACATGACCTGCCGTGCAGTCTCGTTGTCTTTTTCAAGGCTATATCCAACAACGAAAGCAAAGGTAGGACTCAATATACGGGCGCTACCCATACAGTGACCCAAAATAGGCCTAGGAATTCCCTTCCACGTGTGCTCTTTATTCTATCCCCGTATCTCCATCAACACATCTACATACTTGAAATATAGATGCCGGCCTATTTGGGAGGCATATGGCCAGTCAAAGGTTGGAAGGGGAGAGTTACACGGCTTAGGCTCACCACTATAAGTTCTTCATTCTGGTAACTTTGACAACTCGTTGGCTTACCAGGACACAAACAAACATATAGTCATCTATCCAGACTATATAAATTCGGGTTATATTCACGGCCCCATTTACTCCCATGGAGTGCAGCAAATCATGTAAGGCTACATGTAGTCTGAACTAGAGTACTTGACACCCACACCCAGCGCAAGGAAGGTGGCACATTGCAGTACCACATCGCATAAAAAACTGCATCCCTTGATTACACATCAAACACGCCTCGTGGGATATTCGTCCCTTCTCCGCTCAATGGGAGGTGCAAATAAAGTTTCGGACGTTTTTTGTGTCTCGGGTTTCGTACATGCAACCCATGAAACTAGGCATTGTGCCGCGGGTGATTATGCATGATCCTGCCAATGATTTGCGCCAACAGAGGGTTAGGGTTTCTGAGATGTCGCAGAGCCGCTAAAGTTCAACTCCAACCAGGTACTGTCCCGCAGCGCCGGCCGACCCCAAACCCCGATCCAGGAACGAAAATTCGAGATGCGGCTGTATTCGTCAAAGATACTGTACGAGGCCTCTGCTTGGGGAGGAGTAGGGGGCGCACAGTCAATTTTTCGTGTTCGTCAAGTCTCTGCGCTTGGACAATGGCACAGAAGGAGAAATTTATCCTCAAGTCTGTCTCTGTCTACTGCTACTATATATATAAAAATAAAAGATTACATGCGCTGATACTTCCAGCCTGACACTCTCACAGAGCCCTCAATTGAGCTCGAGAATCAGCAATTCCCTACGGACAGCTGGACAAATCTTCCCCCGCACATAGCCTCCGCCCTCCCTCGAAAGCTACACCTACAGCCCTCACATCCCATAGCCATAACCCGCAAGCTCATCGAGT